AAGAGGAAGAGTGATGACGAAATTATTAGCAAAATGCTCATGATAACCGGGTGCGGGGAAGTGAGGGGCTACAAGTATTTACTTTAGGACGTGAAAACAATTTATTTTTTTTTAGGACGTGAAAACAATTTATTTTTATGACATGAAGATAGTCTATTTCTAGTAGGTGGAGATAAAGTCAGCGCTTTGAAGCCACGACCGTAAATGAGTGAAATTACCGCGCGCCAAAACAGGAAATGATCTACACAACTATACTGAGAACTAGCGCCCTTATGGTGGTCGCTTCTTGCAAAAACGTCCGCGAAAATTCCCGGCCGCAACTCCGAGTGCCATGCCAACGTTGCTCCCGCTCCTTGTAGTAAGTCACTACTGAGGAGCCAAAACTCTTATCAGAAGGAGGCGCGACCCACCTTCTTTCGGTCAGCACTACACTCCAATAGCTATCGAAGTAGAAAGTGCCCTTTTTTCACAGGATCTAGTCTGACAAGATCCAACGAGTATAAGGCCCACACTCCCTCGTGAATTAGCCTACCCCAAACAGCCACTTCTTGCCCCTTACAAACGTAACTTCGCACAGCGCCCCGCCCTCAGAAAGTAATACTCTCGGGAAGCAGCTACCTATATTCGAGGCCGCTGCGTTGTAAGTTGTGCTCGCGTTCACGACGATAAGTGACCTCCTTTTCTACTGACCCCCCCCCCATCGGTCAGCACTAGAAATCGAGAAATTTCTAAGGCGCTGTGCAGGATAATGCGCGATAGAAAACCTGTTTCACCGTCTGCCAGACAACCTAACATTAGGCCCCTAAAATCCTGACGCGCCGAGCAGGATGATGCGCGACAGGAAGTCATACCTACTGCCCCCCCCCCCTGTCACCACTAGTTTCTTTAGGTTTAAGAACTAAAAGTAGTGAGTTTAGTGGTATACTATGCTATTCACGAGCTGCCTTCGATACGTTCGGCAAGCAAGATCTGAAAACTAAGCAACAACTTACTTATTCACCATGCAGTTGAGGAGTACTCATCTTCGCATAAAGTCGGCGACTTTCCATAAGAGCTGCGACTTATCCATCAAGCCACCCGTCCGCGCAAACCCACCGGCTTAAGGAGAAGAGGCAGCGCTACTTTCTGCCTTGAAAAAATACTTGCAAAAGTACTGCCTTGAAAAAAATCTCTCATGCTGTATGCAAAACCATGAGACGAAACAGCTCTAATGTGCCCATAACTCGATGGAGCACTTCGAACTTACTAGGACTATACTACACTACCACGAGTAGATGATAAAACACACAGCCATAAGACGCGGCTGCCAACCCCGTCCCCCCGGGGCACCGCAATTGCGCGGATATCATATGGGATGCGCGAGTTGTGGCCGACCTTCCTCTTCACCAAAGAGGAATTTATAGGCCGGAAATATAGATATTCGAGTTGAAACCGGCCCCCCCCAAGGGGTCTATAAGCCGGAAAGTGTGCGAGTTCGGGTCGAGTCGAGTAAGTTGAAATCTATAAACGCGTAGATTGATTCGGGTCGAATATAAGCGAGTAGTAGTCGAGTTGAGGTCGTAAATCGAGTAGCGAAAAACGAAAAAACGAGTTGCATCGAGTTGATTCAGTCGAGTTGCATCGGCTTCGAGTTGGTGCAGGTTCGTGTAAACGTCAGGGGTGCCATGATCGGATCTCGAGCACGCTGCCCCTAGCATGCCGGAGGGAGAGCACCGGCGTAACGTGAAGAACGCCCATGCTTTTGGATTCGAGTTGTTAAATTGCTTCTTGTTTGAAAAATGCCACTTTGGGCTTCAACTGCCCAAACGGGCTTAAAATCGTGCTTCTCTCGCCATCCAATGGCCCTAGTGTGGCTGTTCAAAGATTTTCTTTTATCATGTAGCAGGTCAACAGCTGCTTTGTTTGTTCAAGTGCACAAATGTAATGCCCTCAATGTGCATTGAAGATCCAACCGAAATTGTCAAAGTTCTTTGCTTTTTCAAGCTGTTCCGGGTTATCGGTTCCTACTAGAAATAGACCTTTTTGACACAGAAAAAACTTCTCTCCTTGATCTTCTTTGGGCTGCTGCTGGATCCCCGTCCCTCGGGTATCAGTGCCCTTGTCCTTTTTTGTTTTCTTAGGGTCCATTTTTTCGCTCGCATTTCCGATTTTCTTCCTCTCGGAACGCCAACTAAATCGGCCAGCAACTTGCCCCGCTCTCGACCCCCCCCTCCCCCCGCCAACTATCCAAACTTGCCGCCAAACCCCCCCCTTCTTCAGTTCCCTAAGCCTATGGACTCTCCCGCCCCCCGCTCTCGCACCCCCCCCCCCGCCTTACTCCCAAACCCCGCCAGCGAGGCGGCCCGCGATCGAGCGGCCGCCTGTTTGCGGGTTAAAAGCTGATGCGCAGCGCCTCGCCTTCGCTATTAAATGGCGCGCAGGCTTCGCAACTGCCTGAACTTTCTTCCCGTTGAGAAGGTGGCGCCCTGCGGGCGTCGCCTTTTATCTACGCCTTGACTGATCGCGATCGAGCGGCCTTTTGTTTGCGGGTCGCAAAGCGTACGCCGGAGGCCCTGCCTCCGCCATTAGGTGGCGCGACGTCCTCGCAATTCCCTGAAAAGTGCGGCCTCTTTCAAGTTTGGAAGGTGATCCGCCTCAAAAGTCGCCTGTTTTCGAAGCCTTGGCCGCCCGCGATGAGTCGAGGACAGGCGCGCATCGCAGAGCTACCTTGCAGCCGGCCCGCGAGAAGTCGTTAGCGGACGCGCTTCGCGAAGTTGACTAGCAGCCGGCCCGCGATAAGTCGGGAACAGAAGCGCGGCGCAGAGTTGCCTAGCAGCCTGTCCGCGATAAGTCGATAAGCCGAAAAGAGAAGGGGCGCGCAAAGTTGCCCACCAGCCTATCCGCGATAAGTCGATGACAGGCGCGCAAAGCGTCCGGGCAGCCTGTCCGCGATAAGTCGAAAACAGATGCGCGCCGCCGAGTTTCCTAGCAGCCGGCCCGCGATAAGTCGATAAAAGACGGGGAGCGAAAAGCATCCTCGCAGCCCTTCCGCGCTAAGTCGATAACAGACGGGGGGCGCAAATTTGCCTACCAGCCTGTCGTCAATGTATAATTCGATAAGTCGATAGCACACGCACCGCGCCAATCTTCCTAGCAGCTTGCCCGCGATGAGTCGAAAACTCATAGGTGGAAGACGCTGGCCCGTTGTAATTTTGAAACTCTCCGGGCTTTAAAAAGTTATGGACTTTTACACCCTAAAAGTTTCAGAGTCGTGAGAAGAGCCGCCACCCTTGGGGCCATCCGTTTCCTTTCTCTTCTGTAAGTCTGACACTAGCAGCCGCCAACTGCCTTCAAAGTCCCGGCTTTCTCGCTGCAGATGTCTGATAGATGCGAGGCAGGCGGAGCCTCGGCGGAAACTGATTGGGGGAACGGGCTGCCGCCTTTCTCCATTAGGCGCTATGGAGGGCGATCTAAACCACGCCCCAACTTACCCACCCCGCCAACCCACCCTCCCCACCAACCCTGCCACCCCCTCGCCCATCTACTTCTCCCGCCCCCCGCCTCACCCTGCCATCTAATTACCTGCCCACCTATTAACCCGTCCATCCACTTACCCTCTCGCCCACCTGTTTACCCGCTCAGTCACCTACTTACCAGCCCCCCTCCTCGCCCGTCCACCTAGCCTACTCCCCGCCCACCTACTTACCTGCACGCCTACTCGCCCGCTCACGTACTTACCCGTACAGCCGCTTACCCGCCCCCCGCATTAACAGCCCACCCTCTTACCCGCCCGCCTGCGCACCCGCCCACCGACTTACCCACCCGCCGGCCCCAGCGCGCGGGCCCCACGATCGGCCCCCCCGCGCTTGCCCATCCATATTCCCCTGATACGTAGGTAACCCCATGCCAAAATAAATAGGTGCGAGAAACAGATTGATTCGAAGCAACAAGAAGGAGCAGTCAGTTAACACTTGCAGAGAATTTCAAACAAATGGAAGACGGCGATGCTAACTCCATATCGGTTCCTCGCGATCCCCGCACATATTTTGCAATGAAAATGGGCAATCGAGTCCTAGCATGGACTCAAATCGACGCGTCGTGATTGTTTAGTGACTCACCAAAGCTGGGCTGTTTAGCTTACAGGGCCTTAGGGGATCCATGAGTGTCGCGAGAAAAGACCTTCCCAAAAAAAGCAGGTTGTTGAGCCTGGATTTTCGTTATTGTGCGGTTCTTGATCTTATGTTTCTCACGGTAATTCCATCAATATTCATTGTTTCTGATTTTGTTTTGGCCGCGAAGATCCCAAATTCACATCGGGTGGAACGGTGCGCGAGCCATTCGCATTTGAACTTGTTGAAGGTAACGCAGCCAGATGAAAACAGGTCAAGCTGCAATATTGGAGCATTCTTTTGCTAATTAGTAACAATGTAACAATGTCGGTGTAACAGAAACATGACTTGGCAAAGGCGCCCTATCCTATCCTGAATGACATCTACTACACGTTGATGCTGCTCGCCGATTCCTCCAAGTATTAGAGAGTCATAGAAGTGGACTAGATGAGCATTTTCGTATTGAAACGCCAGACTTGTGATCTCACTCTGTTGGTGATTTTTGCCATGAGAGAGTTATAAACTTTCACACGACCACTAATTATATCTCGAGCAGTCCACTCTTTTTTTCTCTAAGATGTACCTGATTATATCGTCTAGTAAGAACAACAACATTATTATATATACAGATGCAGTAGTAAACCTGAACTCGTATAACGACCGACGTAGTACAAGACAGTGATGCAAATCGTTGAGAAGAACACTACAACTAGTTTTTAGAAGCACAAGTAGGATGACTAAAATGGCGGACGACAAGGACAAGCAGCAGAAAGACGTGACGGCAGCGGGGGCGTCCCCGCCGGCGGAAGACGCTGGCATCTCATTGACAGTGCCGAGATTGAACAATGATCCGCGTGGGTCTTCGAGTCTGTGTACAAGCAAAAATCACAAACAAGATGCTAAAGTGTCAGAAAACAACAACAACTCCTCCTCTTCGTCTTCTTCGTCTGGAGGGCCAGTGAAGCCCGAAGAGGAACCTACGTGTTTGATCTGTTTCGAAGAGTTGACGAAAATCGCGAAGCTTCCCTGCGAGTGCACGGTTCACTACTGTCTCAGGTGCTGGGACCGTGCTTTGGCAACGCAATTTTCGAGTCAGTGCTACTGTTCCTGCCCCACATGTCGGCGTCTCGTGCGGGTCGACATCCAGCCGAGAGTCTCGATGAACCAGTTCGTGGGCAGAACGCCGACGTTCAACAAGCATTGGATCCTTTTGGAAAAGAAGATCATGACCGAAGCAGGAGCCACTTCAGGAGAGTCCTGCTTGTTTAACGTGGAGGATTTATACGATTTTCACTTTTCTCTGGAAGAGCGGAGTAAAGGCGAGATCAGGCGGCTCTTCGGCGAAGAAATCGACCGAATTGGAGATCAGGTGAGACCGGTACAAATTTACCTCTTGTACGCGACCGCGCTCGCAAATGCCAACGTCGCAAATGCCAGGGACTTCATCCCCCTGCGAAGTCGTCGTGAGATGAAGGTCTGGCTTAGTACGGCCCCCGACGCGGCTGCCGAGTATTCTTGCACGGCAGCGGAAGATGGCCACGTCGACCCGCGGATTTTAGACCAGCGGTTGCATTGGAAGAGGGTCGAACTGATAGAGGCGATTTACTGTATGTGGAGACTATTTCCCTGCACGCTCGCGCGAGAGACGTGGGATTCTATCTGGACCGGAGTTGGGGGAACCGGAACTGCGATGGGGATGCTGGGCTTTTGGTCGCACCTCAAGAAGGACCTTGCCAGCAGTAAGACTGCGAAAGAATCTGGACTCCTCCACTCAGGGATTTTGGAATATCTCGAGGAGGCGTTGTTCAAGGGAGTGTCACTATACGAGATGTATGCGGAAAGGCACAACTGGAACACGCAGGGAAACAGCGGAAAGACCAAAGACCGCAGGAAGTACATCGTGCAAAAAGTTCTCGAACTAGAAAAAAAGCACAAGATGCACAAGATGGATGGGAGCTTGTTCGAGGATGAAAATCAGAGCCAAGTAGAAGTAGACAAAGATGAACAACAAGGCGTCATGATCTCTACCACATCGGCGAAAGAAAAACGGAACATGGACGCGGAGATGTTGAATACTATTGCCAGTGACGCAGGTGGCACCGCGTCTGGTGCGTCGGGGAAGACTACGACAGCTGTGAGCAACGAAATTGACGATCAGAAGACTACGGTAGAGGTGAACCAAGAGGAGGCAGAAGCAGACGCGATTCTCTGTGCAGAAGTGGACACAATGGTCAAAGATGCGATTCTAGCGGGCGGGATGAACACGAAAATCCCATATACCTGTATATGCGGAAGCAAATTAGAGGAAACCACTGTGGAGGAACGATGCAACGCCACAGACGGCCCGACCGGGTTGGAATGTGATTTGTGTTTAAGGCTCATCAACATTTTCCGAACAATCCATCCACGTTGTACAACTAGTTCTTAAATGTTGTGCGATTTGTGTTTTTGGGGGGCTACAAATTTTCCTGGACTTTGACGAGGTGCTGCAGCTAGTTTGCATCCTATACTTCTACGCTTGTAGACACGACTGATATCCAGCATCGACAAGGTGGTTGTTGATATGGATTTCATTGAGTTTTTGGTCCTCCAGTTCTAATCTGCGACTTCTCGATTCCTCAAGAGGCACTGCTTTGGAGCTGCACGCGACGGTACCAGGAGAAAACTCTCCTACACGCAACTTGCTACGACATTTGCGAGTCGTGTTTTGAATTCTACACCTCGCCTTAAGGCAACGACTGAGACAGCGTCCCCTCAGATCATGATTCTAAAAAATCAGAACACAACAGGCTATCTCGAATTGGATTTTTTCAAAGGGAAAAAGAAGCCTTCGCCAAGGATACTATTATTCTCAGAGAGGAAGATGCGACGTGGTAGCTCTAATCGCCAGAATATCGCTCCCTCGTCGAAGCCGGAGTCATATTGTCGAGGCCCATCAAAAAAGACATGCGAGACTTTCAACAAGATGTATTGGAGAAAAAACAAATAATTGAGGAATTCCAGAAACGCTTCCGGAAAGAAACGCTAAGGCTTGTCCACCTTCTGAAGCATCTTCAGATATTACAATGGATACTGCATCTTCGGATGTTGCATCTTCGAATATTACCTTAGTACCTTAGGTTTAATCTTTGTGTGAGATCCATCGTGTATACCATCTATGACGCCCTTAAGGCAGTCTGCACTGAACTTTGTGCGAGATTAACTGCATTGTATTGTATTCAGATATTACGTCTTGAATGGGCTGTCTCATAAGGGGAGAACATTGGTCGATTGGGTGAGGGTTTAGGGTCGATTTTAGTGAGCTCTAACATTGCCTAACTACCATGGGAAAGCGATGCATGAGGCCCATGTTAGAGCGCTTCTCTCAAAAGTCGAAGAAAAAATCAAGAAAGTAGACGACCTCCGTAAGGCAGCTCCCGAGGAAGTGGATGTCGCCAGGGAAATCCGTGAGCTTGGGCAGGCAGAGTACTCATCTATCTTCAGAGATATTCGCCCCCAGGGTTTTTAAGGCTACCGCTAAAGCATGTGCTTTTAGTTTCATGGAGATCCCTGGTTGTTTATCTTTTTCTACATGAAAAAGATGAAGAACACCCCAAGGACATGCCACTCGAGGGAGCTGCGAATGTGGTAGCTCTAATATAAGTGCAATGTTAATAATGTATCTACTCCGGCCTGCTCGACTTCGTCTGTTCCTGTCTCTTCTACTTCGGCCTGCTCTACTTCGGCCTGCTCGACTGTTCCTGGGCTTGGGGCATTTTCTTCTTCGTCTTCTGGTTTTGTCTCAGCAGCGCAACCCGCGTCGTCCTCGGCATCGAGTAATATTCCACCTCCTAGTAGTGGTGAAACAAGAACTACAAAATCAGCCGCAGCAGTAATAACGGCGCAGGAGGAGCAGGACGTCGAGGCGAATACTGCTGAAAGGACTACTTCTGCGGCACCACCCGCTGCAGAAGTTAGGTGTCCGCTGGACGAACTTCGGGAGGACTTGGAGGGATACTACATGATGTTAAGGGGCTTACCCTTACCCGGGCACCGCGAAGAGAATGAGGCGTTCTCTCGATTGGAGCGGGAGCTCAAGAGAAAGCTGACGGAGACGTCGTGTTTCTCCGTTGAGCATTTGCAAGCGGACGCCTCTGCGGCAAAAAGAGTGCGAATCGAAGCCACAGTGGCGCTACGGGAAAGGCTAATCTCAGATGGGGTTCCGGTCCCAAGTCTGAACGAGCAAGATGCAATCAAGGAATTCTTGCTTTATGAGGCATTATCAATGTTGATTTTTGTTGAAATGAAAAATGTTGGAATTATCAAAATCAGTAAATAATGTTTCTATTACTAACATGTGTGAGCGTGACGGATATAACGAAATGTGATGTTTTCTAACTAAATAGTAAACCGTAGCAAAAAACTTTTTTTAGATTTTATTTAGATGAATCTTTTATATCGTGGTAGTGACAGGTTGATTATGCAGCTTAGTTTGTCACGTGATTCGTCAATGAGTGAGTGAATGAATATGCTTTTGACAACTCACCTTACTTGATTGATCTTCCTCTAAGAATTGGGCAAGGACCCCAAAGAAGAGGGCGAGCCGCACGTGCTTCAAATGCAGTATGTAGACGGTGGTCGTAGATTTAGAGTGCCAGTGCGTGGGCGGCTCGTTCGTAGATTCAGTTTCGAAGACCAGGAATACTTTCGTCCAGAAGGTCACGGGCAAAATTAAGACTTCATTCCTACAACTTATTTCTCGCAGTTCATTGAGGTAATAGTTTATTACCTCTAGGTTCTTCATCAACAGGTTATTTCTCGCAGTTTCCTCCGCGGCGCTGCGAGAAAATGGAGGCAAGAAATGAAATATTCACAGCTCTAACCAAATCAAGTACAGCAAGGAGAGCAAGGACCTGGAGAAGGACAACCAAATGGAGAGCAAATACAACTCCTAGGTGAAGAAGAAGAAGAGGATGTAGCAGAAGGAATTTCGTTGGAATATAATGACGAAAGTCTACTTGAAAGTGATGGGGAAGATGGTCTCAGCTATTTCTCCAATCTTGGCTTTGAAGATATTGAAGAATTAGAGGACGAGGATAACAACTCCCAATAAGTTCGAGTGACCCAAGTTCAACTGTTAGAAGGCGGAGACCAAATGGCAAATTCAGCTAGTACAAACTCTGCGGTAGAAGCCACAGCTCTCACTTATACTGCAAACGTGAACAGCTCATCACCTGCATCTGCCGCTCTGTCATCGTCGTCGACTTCATCGAATGCGAACGCTTCAAATGTTTCACGGTCAATTTGATCGTCCCCTGCTCCAAACGTTTTACGGTCACTTAGACAAGAGGACACAGAGATGGTGCACAATACGACTAGTACCACTTTTGTACATCCTTCCCAAGAACGATCCCAAAGCCAGAACCATCAACACGCAGCAGCAGAAGATGCGGAAATGAGAGACGCAGAAGACGCGCAAGATGGTGCTGCTTAGAGGCAAAAACCTAAGCGTAAAAATTTCAATTTGTAGAAAGTCTTTTTTTAGGTGTCTCTGCAACTTCTCATTCCAATTTTCAAGGAAGAGTTGTATGTGATATATCCAAATGACCCTTAGATCGTATGTTGTTTAAAAATTGAATACAACTTACATCGAATAATCGTATGGAGGATATACTTAAAAACTCATAAATCTCTTTAATATTGAAGATGATGTTGACTTCGCGTTTTGCGCCTGCGGAGCTCGCGGGAATGTAAGATCTTAAAGTGATGTTAAATACTTATAGATGTCAACGTATGTTGTAGTTTATGAAAATTTTTTTTCCTTATTTTCTTCGTTTTCTGCTCGTCTTCCCGTGTTCTTTTGTGACCTAACCTGGCCTCAACGCGCCAGTGAGGTCATTGTTGACCCGCACAAAACAGACAGAGAAAGAGAGACAGAATATTTCATGACAGTGTCAAAGAGAGTGGTAGAAAATGTAATTTGACACGCTTTTTATTTCCTTCATTGAGCTCCCCTTTTTCATGAATTGATGGATGAAGAACCTCTTTCATGAATGGGCTCCCGTTGCTGTTTTTCAACTAAAGTGTGGAACTACAACTCTGTAGTTTTTCGCAGCTACAGCTCTGTAGTATAGATCGAAAGGTCACTGAGTGCCTTCTTTTGGCACCGACTAATGTGATACAATAAAAAGCACACCAGAATGACGAGGACTATGACACTTGCATAGGAGAGAAGCAGAGCAGATGACACTTGCGTAACAAAGAAGCAAAGCAGAACGCTGATCGCACTCGTCACCGCATGGAGTCGCCTACAGCGGCGTCTTTGCCGCTGAACCCGCTTGTTGAATCAAGTTTGACTCGGGAACACACGGCCGGATCTTTGTCCCCGCAGGGATGGCGAGGCCCGCGGGGAAATTTCGCCCCAGACGGCGCCGTAGATCCATTCCAGCGAATCCCGCAGTGTTAAGGCTACCTCTAGTAAAGCGAATACCCATAGATCCATTCCAGCGAATCCCTCTAAGGCTACCTCTAGTAAAGCGAATACCCGTAGATCCATTCCAGCGAATACCTCTAGTAAAGCTTTTCCGGAAGTAGGACATCTTGATCCTTGGCTTCTTTTCCAAGGAAACTGGCGACGTGGTAGCTCTAACAGTATGAGGAAACCTTGTTCACCACTTGTGCTGGCCTCATTAATCTGGACACGGGAGCCCCCGATGTCGAACTCTTACGCGACGCAACACAGCTGATGGGCCTCGCGGCGGCGGAGCTGGTGGCCGATTCTGCGACCTTCTATGGAACAAGTACGCAGTCTCAGACGACAGGTAGTCCCAGCAGCATTACCAGCAACCTTGCGAGCAACAACATAAAAAAAGGACCCGCGACGGCGTTGCAGTACGGACCTACGCAGGGAACCTTGTCCTATCGTTGCGAGCTAGCTGCATTCTTGAATGAGCAGTACGGGGTAGCGCCAGGGAATAGAAGCACGGGGACACAGGAAGTAGAAGATGCCCTAGTCGACCACCATCAACTGCATTCCAGAGTGAACGAATCCGAGCTTTTCCAAACCAACGGTGCCACAGGGGGTCTCCTCGCTGTCATTACCGCGTTTTTTTCCGCTGCCAACAACAGCTTTTAACGCAAGGACAGATTCGAAACCGCGGTCCCGCCTTTGCTTCGTCGAGGATCCCACGTATTTCCTCGCGCCTAAAATCTTGGGAGAACAGGGTTTCGAGATGGTGCCAATCGATGTACAGGCTGATGGCTTAGACGTGGATCAGCTTGCGCGCCTCGCGGCCGAGAGGTTCGGAGGTAGTGGTGGTGCAGAAGAAAATGTTGATGTTGAGACCAGCATTGTCAAAAGCAACGACGAAGTGACGAAAAATAATTCTCCGATTTCTAGCAGCTGCAGCTCTACTTTTGCAGCAGAGAACCGTACCACAACTACTACACATGTTGCTGGCAAGAATGGAGGAACGTTCGCGTCATCTTCAACGACAGATCATCTACAGGAGTATCGAGCGATGGTCTACTGCATCCCCAGCTTCCATAACCCAACGGGAACCGTCATGAGCCATGCGAAGCGCGTCAAGCTAGTTGAGCTTGCACGGAAATGGGATTTGTTGGTCTTTTGCGATGACGTGTACGAATTGCTCGGTTCTTCTAATGCTACTAACATTTTTCCACCTCCAAGGCTTCTGGCATACGATGCCTGCCCACAAAATGATAGAGGGGGGCTTTCTACTTCAACTGAACAATGTGGTAACAACTACGAGGACACTGGTTTTGGGAATCGTCCAACGTCGACAGCAGCAGGAACCGGAACAGGAGCTACAGCTACAGGAGCAAGAACGCGGCAGCCGGCCTCTGCGTGTGCTCCGCCGTCTTTGCTGCAAAGAGGCCGTCACGTTCTCTCCAACAGTACGTTTTCGAAAATCCTAGGTCCTGGAGTGCGCTGCGGCTGGATCGAAGGGCATAGAAGTCTCATCGCGCGTCTTAGCCGCGGCAAGGCCACCTGCAGCGCAGGAGCAGGCGCGCAATTCGTGGGAGCACTGATCGAAAGGAACCTGCGTTCGGGACGTCAAGCCGCTTTTCTTCAGGACGTGCGCGAAGAATTCGACATTCGGCGAAACGCGGTCTATTAAGGCTACCGCTGAAGCATCCTCAGCATCATCCTTGGCCTCCTTTTCAAGGGGGAAAGGGACTCAAGGATGGGCTCAGGGATGCGACACGATAGCTCTAAGTCTATCGCGTCTTCTACGCTGCGGCAGCCGACCGGCTGCGCACAACCAATCGAGAGACAGCTGCCCCAGGTGGTTCCAGAGATGCCCCAGGTTGGTTTAGTTCTCCTTCTTGTCCTTCGATCTGGAACAATCGAAGGACAAGAAGGAGAACTAAACCAACTTTCCTCGAGTAGGAATGCACTAGATCCCAGTCGTCCGGCGTCTCCCAACAGAACACTTTCACCAGCATCAGAACAACTTCTAGAACCACGACAAGCTTGTGGTTCTTCACCGCATACTACTACGCACAGTCCACCACCCCCACTCAGTCCACCTTCGCAAAGCCTTGTTCCGCCAGCTACAACTGGATCGATCATAAGAGGTCGGTCGATCCCGGTCTTAGACGAAGGCGGGTTTTCCGAACTACCCGTTTCTGCGGAGTTGCAGCGACAGGCCTCAGCTGCCTTGGGTCGCAATGTGGATACAATGGTAACAAGGCAGCTTTCGGCGACGTGCGTTGTTCACCGGAGTATCTCTGGAGTGCCGCTGGATCCGCTCACTTTTTTCAATGACGAGTGGGCGCGTGTCCAAGACCAATATCTGCGGTTGTTTCTGCAGACGGGTAGGAGTAAGAACAGTGAGCAGGACACAACAAGTGCGGAACAAACTACGGAAGGAGAACATCATCAATATCATACAGACCGTGCCTTGGTCGAGAAGAGCGGTTTTTCGCTCTCAGGCGGAGAATCAGGAGGCATGTGCATTTTTTTGGACGCAGGAAAAACGGACGCTCATGCTCTCTTGCTAAAAGCGCGCTGTGTAGGCGTCAGCTTCAAGCCAGGCGACCTGTTCTCCGTCACTGAACGTCACCGAAACTCTTTGCGCATCGCTGTAGCGCACTACCCTGCGCCAGCGCTGGCAAAAGCGATGTGGCTGCTAGCACAAGTCCTGATCGAACCAGAGGAAAACTAGAACTAGACTCAACTGTAGAACATGTAACATGGTGCATAGGCAAACTACATACTAAATTTGTGAGTATAGGTGTAAATCATTGCTGTTCTTGAGGTTTTGGCTTTGACATTCTTCTTCGTTCTAAGCTGAATTAGCGATAATTGTAATTTCGCCGCCCCGCATAACCATGAAGCGTTTCCCACCTCCGTTTTCCGACTTCATACGTCGAGTTACAGTGGTTTCTCAATTGCAGTGCTGTCAGAGAATCTCAATAGTTTCTCCGACCGTGGGTGCTCCCACAGTTGTTTCTCTTTACTTTTTCTCATTCCAATAGAAGAGTGCGCATGGACTTGCTTTGCTATTTCTTGCCACTTCCTCCCTGTATCAGGGTTGGGCAATTGGCGCGCCTGTTGCCTTGCTCAGATGTGGCAGCCGCTTCTCGGGCTCCCTCTGCGGAGTCGGGGCGTAATTCTCCGTCGCCCGTCAGTGCCACGGTAGGCCAATGCCCTGCGTCCACTCCTCTGCTACCGTTAGGGGTGACCTACCGCGTCAGTTGGTGGGGCTCGAGATTTGCTGCCTTGCCTTGCGAGGTTTAACAACTTAAAGACTCTGAGTGGTCGTAACTAAGCTAAAAAAAACCAAGGTGCAGACGGGAAGACTTTACTTTTTACTTTCGTTTCTCATATCTGCCTAGCGTGTCTTCATTAAAGAGAAAGAGTCATAGAGGGTTTATTTTTAGGTGTCCAGAGAAGTAGTGATTGACAAGAGAGGAAATCGATGATCATACCTTGTATTATCGAATAGTGAGTGTCTTTATTTGGGAGAAAGATGAGGCTGCATCTTCGAAAGAGATTCTTTCCTTAACGTATGCTTAATCTTCATGATCGTCAACATAAAAACCGTGGTTAGGAGATGAACTACGCAGAGATAAAGATAGACAATTCAATCAATGACAACGCAAGAACTTAGCAGAGATAATTGATAGAGTAGAACTTTTACATGCAATCAATAGCAGCCACGTGAGGACGTCAGGGGCACGCGCCTCATGACCTAGGAGACAATTTAGTGACGGATGGAGTAAAAAAAAGGTGAGTTTGTGGACACTTCTTCAGCAGAGAATATTAGGTATAAGAAGCGCGGAGACCACACTTAAACAGGATCTCTGAAGACCAGACGTGAGTATCTGAAATCGGGGGACTACACGATGTTTGAAGGTATCTTTAGAAAAGATACACGGTGTTTGAAGTCCTCTGTATAAAAGATGTACCGCGCGTGTGGATTAGCGCTGTTCCCCATCGAATATTCAGACCGGAGATTGTAGTGTATGTTGTTGTAGTGGAGGGTAACAATGTGCAGGGCAACGATTTCCATCTCTTGGCAGGCAAAAGAATATGAATATTTCAATTTCGAGTTGCTAAACCGGGCACTACACCACGCTTGCCATCTTGCTATCTTGGGTGAGTAAAGAAGAAAGAAGAGAGCAAAGAAGGACGCAAAAAAAAAAAAAAAACATAGGTCGCTACGAACAGCGTTATTAGGGACGCACACTTGATATAAAGATAAAATAAAGTATTCTTTAGTTAAGCTGCACGAAAAGACCGGACACTTCATCTATCGGAATAGTTGACGGCTCTAGTGAAGGAAATTGGTTCATTTGAATTTTGATTTTTAGCGAAGGATGTCCTATCGTCCTATCTTTTCGAGCCAAAGAATTTCGTGGAAGTTTTTTAGCTTAGGAAGCTGAATCATGACAGGAGCACACACATGACATCTACTCGGCATACGCAGTGCGGCGGCGTCGCTCGACCTCTAGGGAAAAAAAGCTACTTTCCCTTCTTGCATTCTGGCTAATGATTAGGTGAGACACACCACCTTACGGGCACGGAGATCCAAGTGCGGCTTGCTACGGACAGAGAGAAAAAGAACGAGAGAGTAACGAGCAGTGACCAAGACCAGAAATGACGGTAGCCGCCTTGCGTTCTGCAGTTGCGGAGCAGCGGGTCGTGGTCGTAGGTGCGGGTGTCGTTGGTCTCGCCTGCGCGCGCGCCCTGGGCTTACGCGGGTTTCGCGACATCCTTGTACTCGAAAAGGAACCTGCGTTTGTTAAGACTCGCTTTTCGTTCGCATTATCCGGGCTTTCCAATACAAAGAGGGGCCCCCAACGGGATGAATATAGAAGGTCAACAGACACGGGACGATCACTCAATCGCGGACGACGGTTTAGGCTTCTACCTCTAAGTTCGGCACTGCTACCTCTAGTCGCAACTCTGGGGTTTTGCATGCGGGCATCTATTACCCGTTTGATTCATACAAACGTCTGCTATGTATCGAAGGACATCGGCTGATGCGGGAATTCTGTTATGTTAGGTCTCTACCAGTAAAAGTGATATGAAGCGGAACACTAATCCCTTGTAATATTGTAAACCAAGACTTTTTCCGTCTACTTTGCATCAACTAAGACTTCTTTGCGATGGATTTTCACTTCCCGGTAATTCAGCATCACATGATTGATGAGGTAGAAGATGGATGTGTTATGACTTTTTATTCGCGGGCGCATGCTGCAGCTTGATGGGATACTAGACAAGTCAACGAACTGTACTTGAATCCATAGCACCTTTTCATATCCTCGTGTCACACGGAGTGGAGCATGCGTTGTGCGGCAAGCTGATAGTTCAAGACGTTCCTGGCAAAAATGAGGAGCTTGATGCGATATACCACCAAGCTGTTCAGAATGGCGCTCCGGAGCTCGAGATGGTGTATTGAACGTTTCGTTGTTTTTCTCTTATCCTCTGTTCTTGCCACGTTACCATGCTAATAGTTTACAAGCTATTAATCTAATAATCTTTCGTTCCTACTTTTTTGTACTGAAGCTAGACTGTTAAATGTGAACAATGAGTTACATACACCATACAACATAGATGGAAGATAGCTTGTCCAATTCACACCACTAACAACCGAGAAGGATGCTGTCTCCACACCCACACAGATAGAAGACCAGCGAACGTTACAACGGATGGAGAAGAACTTGAGTCCCGACATCAGTCGAGCGATTTTTAGTCCATTGACGGGCATTGTCGACGTTCATCAATATATGCTTGCCCTCCTCGGCGACGCGGAGGATGCGGGTGTGCAAACGTGTTACGAATGCAATATCGATGAAGCTGAGAGCCACCCGGATGGACGCTTGACACTTCTTATGAAGACCTCGAAATGCTGGTTTAGTAGGCTTTGTTGGTTTTTCTTGGGGTCTTTCTCTACTGTGCGGTCTTACGGTTGGGCGTTCCCCGCAATCTTCATAGTATCGTGCGTGCTGTAGTTGATGATGCTAGCACTTCAAAATCGAATTTTTTAAATACAACTAGCACTAACAGACCCTTGAAATACATACTTACGTTACCCGTTCATTTTGGAGACGAGTCAGGGATCGATCGAGGATGTAGATCTCGTTGTGAATTGCGCTGGCCTGCACGCTTGTGTCGTAGCAGCCATGGTGTCTGGTGATCAAGTGGAAATTCCAGACCCTCTCTACGCCAAAGGAAACTATTGGAGGCTCAGCATCGACAGGCCAAAGGAAACTATTGGAACTGGAACACCAGTGGAAGTTGGACAAAATGAAAATCACATTAGTGCCTGTGGAAAACAAGAATCTCCATCTTCTTCAAGCAAGCATCAGACGAAGTCCAATAGTGTTGAAAACGGCACAACATCAAATGCATCTTCTTCATCTCTAAGAGAAGCAACTGGAGGTAGTGCAGGAAATACTGCAAGCGGAGCACATGATTCTCCTGCAGCGCAATTGCACCAAGAAGAAAACATTGAAGAGAAAACTTCGATACCCAGTGCGCCATACTTTTATGGCTGATGTTTTCCTCCCATCTTTGACGGATCATCCTGGCACTCAACATTTCAAGGGCGGGAAAAACTGCCAGGATGGTCTGCCTGGGAATACAGGATGGGAAAAACAACATGAGAACATCCATAACTTTGAGCGTTTGATCTACCCTCTTCCGGAGCCTGGAGGGTTAGGGACTCACTTAACTCTGGACCTCGATGGCGGCATTCGTTTTGGGCCGAACGTCGAGTGGATTGATGACTGTGGAGATGAACATTATCCCCCAACGGAAGCTGCGCCAGCAGTCTACGAGTCTATCAAGCGATATTTTATGACTGCACTTTAGACGGACAGAAACAGACGGTGGTGGATTGATATGATTTATTTCTAGATAGTACCAGCTACAAAAAGTGAAAATAGACAAAACAGCTACTTCTATCATCTTCGTATGGAGGTTGTTTCACCATCGCTGAATCAGTCTGTAATTATAGACGCTAGTGCTCTTTCTCTTTGTTGGAATTACCTATAGATCTCTCTCTCTTTCATTCTTCTCCCTGCCATTGCGAGTCCTGGAGTGTCGCTAGTTCCGGACTACAGTGGAATCCGACCGAAGTTGAAAGGCACTACCGACTTCACCTTCATCGATTAAGGCTTCAAGGGGAAAAAGAAGGGTCCAAGGATACTACTACTCTCAAGGAGGAAGATGCGACGCGGTAGCTCTAAATTGAGGAGAGGAATGCAGTGCACTGTTTGGGAATCGAGTCACCGGGTCTCACGTCGAGCCTAGCGATCGCAGACGAAGTATGTGAACGATCTGTCAAGATTCTGACGGAAAAGCTCTGACAGGAGAAGAAGGAAGCTTGAAAATACGTTGAGAGGAAATGATCGATCATTCACCTCTAATGTACCTTGGGAGGGAATCGAAATACTTGGAAGAAGACAAGGTGACTTTGTTTTTTGACTTTTTACGCATGACCGTGCGCAGCATACAATATTCATAGGATTTTGAAAATGACTGCGCTGCACAATGAGGCTGGAGATACACAAACTATCTTGTGAAAGGAACCGGAGATATTTTTCTGACGATCTATTTTTTGAAATCGCTTTGCAGCAAGGCAAAAATTTCAAAAAGATCGTTTCCGCCAGAAAGGCAAGCCTATGGCTGTGTCTGGCCAGTGGTCGAATAGAAATTCAAAAACTTCTTTAGAATCAACTACCGAATAGAAAGTTACTTCTTTCTTTAGAATCAACTACCATATGGATCAAACTCGACGTATCACTCCCTTGTAGATAGACGACAAGGTTGTAAATGGCGGCACACTTCTTGATTATAGTGCGTGTTCGGGACTTCGACCTGATGTTGGCCCTATTTCAGCCAATGATGTCGTGGACATGATGTCGACGCTCATCCCTGTAGAAGAACATGAAAATGGCGAGATCTGCATTCGCTCTTCTCTGGGCGTCGTTTTTTCGCGCAGCGTCGGGGAGTCAGGTCAATGGTGTCGCTCTCTTCTGGGAGCGAACCGCCGAAGCCGAGGACCTCCTTCTGCGTTTTTACACCGTGCGAGGGGCGCCAGTCGTGCAACCGTATGATTCTGTTTTGCAGTCCGAAGATCATACGTTGTGCCGGCAACCACGCGGCGAGCCGCGGTCCGTCGTTTCTCTGAGGGACATCGTCGACGATCAAAAATTGCTGAGACTCCCGAATCGCCTCTACGACCCGAGCAAACGGACTGAAACACTCAGGGGTACTAGTTTTCTACTAGTTTTCTACCATCAAGTACGTAGAATATTATCAAGTACTAGTTTCCTACCATCAAGTACTAGTTTTCTACCATCATCTTTGTAATATCACTGAATGGGATGCGGAGATCTCGCTGCATGTCATGACTGTAGTTTTTTGTTGGTGTCAAGAATAAGTTTGCTTCCCTTGAACACTGCAATATGTTGATAGTAATGATGTCATACGTACAACCAATTGAAATTGTGACGTACTTCTTTTACCCGATCAATATTAAACTTCGGTGCTCAACATGAAAATGCTTATTTGCAGAATGTCCCAAGTACAAGCAGGTATTTGGTCCCCACTTCGACAATGCTTTTTGGGGCTCGACGACAATGGTGCCAGACAATGTCTTGTGCTCACACAAAGTGCCGACTCGAAATGCCTCTCCGCAGCGGGTTCCTTGTCGCAAACAAGCCACACTAGGGCTATGGCAAACGCAGTGGCCGCTCTTGGGGAGCATCGCGCACGCATGACGGCTCTGCTGCAGGAGACCGTGGCGACACTGCGCATGAGCTTACAACGAGAGGCGCAGGGCTTTTCTTTTGCTGAGGATCCGGACCTCGTGGCTGCTCGGCGCACTCAGAGCGCTGCGGTTCTGGCGCAAACAGCGCAGGTAGTGCGGGAGATCCTCCTGAAGGACGTTTCGGTCGAAGCCGGACAACTACCGCTTATGGGCGCAGCAGTCGTGACTAGTAGTTCGGGGACTAGCTCGAACAACGCGGAAGTTCTTAGTTACCAGAACGCGTGGGAAGCAGTGGCGACGCGCGTACGAAGCGAATTAGGCACTTCTTCGTTAGAACAAGGCGCCTTTCGCACTGTGCTCTCAGAGACTTTTCTCTCCACGTTCGTCTTCGTCCTGCGAAAGCCAGAGTTAAGGTTCAATATGTTTCATCTTGACGGAAGTCCTCTCCACAATTTCACTCCATAGAAATACTGACTTTGAAAAGTCCGAGGTAAATCTCATTATTTCTCGTAGATATCCTCTTGGAATTCTGGATCGTTCGGAGGTCTAACAGAGGATGTGACACCGACCGCATGTCAAGCATTCTTGGCTCTCGATCATGCACAGGCCTTCCGCGAGAAAGCTGAGACGCTCCGTGAGGCGATCGCGACTGCGGCAGACGTAGTTGCAGACCATCGAATCGCCTTCGATTCAGTTTTGCATGAGGTGCTGCCTGTATATGCGGCCGATCCCGTTGCAGACGGTCTAAGGTATGCTTACCACTTGACTAAAGCCTCGTCATCAATCTGCGGGTAAGAAAATGTACTCCACCGCAGAGTTGTGAAGATTTCTTCTACTTCACAGAACTTGTACACAGTTAGAGTTTTCCCTCTATCTCGTAGATTTATCCCTTCAAGCTTATACATACAGTCAGAGATGATCATGCTTTTTTTAGTTTTAAAAGATTGTGTACGGTTCCGTGACCGCTTCATCCTCTCGTGGCAACGGTGCGCACAAAACGTGCGGCAGAAGTTTTTGGTCGAAAGGTGTCGTCAAAACTGCGTGAAACGGCAAATGTGCTCTTCGAGCGACTTCATTTGGTGGCTGCGGTACTATCGGGTATGCAGCACCTCACGTATCTGCACCGCTTCCATTGCACTTTGCTTGTGCACGGACACGACGTATCTTCGCCTGCTGCAGCGCAAGCACTAGAGGTCTTTTTCGAGGAGCAGAATGTTGGAGAAGCGGGAGCTGCGCTCCCGACCTTTCACACGGACGTCGTGATGCCAGACGTACGCAGCCATCTGCAAGATACTCTGAGCCAAATTCGACGTTTCTTTGAACCAAGTGGAGTAGACGCGTCGCGCTTTCTACTCTCAGGTGCTTGCGCCGGCGACGGCCTGCCATGTGTGGAGAATCCGACGGACCTGTCTAGCCCCGATCGACGCAACGGCAGGTGTTGCGGCGCCTGGGCTGCGACGGACGATAACGGTGCCCCGTCGCTGACGATGGACGAGCAGCGTCGAAGCCTGACGGCAGGAGCGGCGCGGATCCATCTGTCGCGGATCGGAATTGTAGAAGACGTGTTTGAGTGCTTTGTAAAGCGCGCAGGCCGCATAAGAACCCGCGACGAATTGATGTCGGTGGCGCTTGCCGACTCTGCGGCCGCGGAAGTTCTTTTTACTGGCGCTTCGGATCAGGCTGCTCTCGTAGTGAATAGTGACTTAACCGCTGACGTTTGCCACGAGATGGTGGAGGCACGCGCCAGTGCGGCTTTTGAAATCAGCGCGGAGCGCAGCAAGGAGCTCGACCTCGCACCTGTTGTAGCGGGCCGCGTCGCGGCAGCCGTTTCTGGAGGAGCGGGCTCGTTATCAGAGTCAGCACCGGCGACGGCCTTCTTTCCGTCGGGTGCTGCAGCCAGAAATGAAGTCTTTCGATTCCATCCTAGTCCGGTGAAGAGCAATGCTGACTCAGGAGCTGCTTCTTCTCCATACATCATGGTACCGCAAGCGCCGGAAGTGATCAACTCGAGAGACACTTGCCTTCAGCCCTTCCAGTGTGCAGAATATTCGAACAGTAACTGCTTTCTGGAGTGCTTTGATCATGGGAATATTTTTGGCATCCATGATGATTGTGCTTATTTAGCGGATCCTTTCCCGGGCAATTCCGATGTATGGTTTGTACAGCGGGCTCCCAGCGCAGATGCGTCGCCATTACGACCACATGCACTATTGAGTCATCCCTAAGCAGTGGATTCCCATATGAAGAGCTTGGTGCGCTTTCTGAATCCGTATTGACATACCTCTCCTGTGTGAAACTTCTAGGAGGTTGTCTGCGGGCTCAGAAAATTATCGCGGGAATCTACAACCTTTGTGTGACTTGTTGTTGCTATTTTTAATACTCGCAGGTCCGTCGGAGCCTCAATTTCCGACTTCGCCGCAGCCAGTTTCATCCGCTCATGCGCGCGTGGATGTCGTAGAGGGAACAGAGTCGTCCCCGCAACAGGTGACCCTGGTCCCCCCTCGAGTGGGATACTACTCTCTCCCATGCGAGTCAGGGGAGCACTCATGCGAGAGTACCTTTGGTCAATATGCAGACTTCACGAACGCGCAGCAGCGACTACAGAGCTACTTCCACGCAGTGCTGCCCTCGTGGAGCGAGCCGCCTTGGTGGTCTAGCTCTTTTTCCACCAGTACCACAACATCTGAAGCCTACGCACAATTTTGGAGCCCATTCGGCTCAGCGGGATCCGGACGTCCCAAAGTCACCTTTTTTAGGTAGGGCTTGATCTAATTCACGGCATGATCCTTGTGAAGTTGTAGTTGTTCTAGTCAATGGAAAGAAGTGCACGTGGAGTAAAAGTAGTTCTAGATCGCGTCATTTTCAATTATGATCGAACAAGGTAAACATCATTTAGTGTGATAGATTCTTAAATGTAAGAATCTAGCTAGTTTAACAGCCTCTGTGCACTTCAATTTTGTGCGCCGGCTCGTAATGGCAGTCGACTTGGATGCGAGGAGCAGCTTGCGGTGCCGGCAGCAGCGCCAGCGCCGCTTTTTTCAAGCACATTGCCAGCAGACCAGTCGTCGGGAGACGAGGGCTCTGGATTATCAGCGGAGCTTTGGTTTCGATCATTAGATGCGCTGCCAACCGATAGGTTGTATGATGCCACTCATTGAGAATCCAAGTTAGTCTAGGGGAATGATTTGTCGCCCCCAGCCCCAGGTAAGAAGGAAAAGGGGGAACGACATTCCCATATCGACAGCGCTCGCAATGAGTGGAAGCATTCATAGGTAGGACGACCCTGGCGGCCGTTTCGGTGGTGCTCGTCGCGTCCAAATTTTGGTCGGGCGAGTCTTGGAGTTCTACCTCGGACTGGTGGCAGAGCCAGAGTTCCTAGACTCTGCGGGACCTGGTGCGCGTCTGGTTTTCTTTCACCAAAATCTCACGATGGTGGGCAGTCCCGAGATGCGCGAATCTTCAGCGCCATTTGCGCTACCTGTCGGTGTGTGGACGCATTTTGCAGTGTCTGCGGAAGTTAGCGCGACTGCGTGCACCCTTCGGTTCTTTGTCAACGGCCAAAGCCTATCTACCTTATGAGCAAATAAGGAAAGCAATATCTGTCTAGAAACTATTAATCTAATAGTACTAAAACGTTTTCTTTTTCATTCTTCTCGACCGCATGTTACACGGGCTCCGTCACAGGTGGTCACGGTGCTGCGAGGAGCGCCCAGCTGCGGCAAAAAGTCGAACAGCACCAACTCGCGTTGAGAGGATCCAGCACTATATCGGAACAATCGCTTGAAAAGACTGCGGCAGCATCGTGGCTCGTTGCTGCAGTGATTGACAGCTCCTGGGTCCACGTGGGTGGCGTAAACCTTCCGAACGAGGACGAAGCAGCACTCGGTGGCGACTCTCCCTATTTTTCCATTGATCGCCCGCTGCTCATTCGCTTCGAAGTGGACGAACTGCGCCTACACAACGCGGCCCTCACAGATGTGCACACACTAGGCTTCTTCGCCACTCCGAAGGCGGTCGCGGCCCGCGCAACGGGAGGTGCCGAATACTGCGCCGATGCCCGCAGCGAATACCAGCTATCGCCTTCGCAGCTCTGTCTACGTCCGACCGCGCTCCTATCCGCTGCCTCAGTGCGCCCAGCTGCAGAGCAGTTGATCGCATTGTCGTCGTCGTCGTCGTCTAGCGTGTCTGCAACGACGCCTCAAGCAGTGAACCACGCTCCCTGTGGTCCAGGGTACGAGCTGAGTCAGTACCAGTGTGCGCAAATGTGTCCGGCGCGAACGCCTGATAGTGCAACCACTCCGGTGTTTCCCGCGCGCTCCTTGGACTTCCACACGAACGAAATGGCCGCGGACGCCTGCGACTGCCTTCTCGGTGAATACGCTTACGGCTTCCCGTAATCCATCTTCAGAAGCATCTTGAAGCTGTTCCTTATTTAAGGAGAGAGGAGCACCAAGGTGCATCTCAGGCTGGATAAGGGTGGGCTCTAATACATAGTATGGAGGATCGACGGCGTACGGCTGCACGGCAACGGACAAGTTGCAAACGTCGAATTCTTTGACGCGGAGTTGCAGTTAATAGGCAGTGGATCGTCTGTAGTGATGGTGCGCATCCCGGCTACTGGGCAGTTGGAGCACGTGAGCGGCCAACCTTTTCTAGACCTCTCTGCGTCTTCTCGAGGGTTGGAATTCAGTTTCCGCAGCACGACAACCCCTAATCCGTCGGGTGGCGATCCAGGCTTGTTGCTTCTCCGCGTTGCAGCAATCCGTGTGACGCGGGCGTCAAGTTCCCAGGATGCCGCGACAGAAATCGGTACGGTTGAGGTCCGCGCGGGCGACAGCACCTGGAAAAGCGTGCCGGCATTGAGCGGGACACGGTTGGACGGAAACAACATGCAAGTCGTCTACTTGCACCACCGCCGAATCCACAAATCTGCTAGTGCTTCTAGCGGCGATCAGAGCTTAGACGAGTGTACTGCCTGTCCCGCCGACGGACTAGGGGTGTCTGCGTTCCCGCGTCTAGACGTCTTCGCGTGCCACTGCAAAACAGGCCAGGGCAAGGACTCTCTGGGACAGTGCCAGCTGATTCGGGCAGCGCTCAGTCCTCCGCAGATTTCGCTGTCGGTCGAAGGACCAACGTCAGGGATGCGATTTGCGGTACCCGGCGCAGAAATCCAGATGAATTTTCCCTCCGATGTTAATCCACTAGTCACCGACCTCTCCTTCGCCAGCATCCGTTACACGCTGGCCTACTCGGATTACGATGCGAGCGCAGGAGATGCCATTCCGTCTGCAGTGGAACCGCTCACCTGCGACGATGTTGACGCGGGTAGTGGCAGTATACGAATTTATGAACCTGCAGGTTTTGCTACTGGTACTGGTTCATTATCTGGTAGTACGTCCGGGCAATTGCGCCTACCTCTCGGGTACCATCGAAACATGGTGGTTCGCGCTATTCTGTGCCATCCTCTGCATCACAAGTCAACTGTGGCACAGAGAGTGTTCACAACACTCGCCTCTCTCCCAGATCCTAGTTGTGCGGTTGTCGCAGGTGTACTGTCTGAATTGCCGTCTGAATTTCTCCAGACTTCTTCAGCAGGAGTAGGTGTTGAAACGGCCCCCAACATAGTGTCAACAACAGCATCGACTGCGTACGCTGAAGAACTCACCATACACGTTCACAGCAACTACGACGACCTTGCAGTGTCTGGTCCGCCAACGCTCAAGCTTTTGCTGGATGGCGATACAAATAACGTCGTGCAAATTTTCGACGAACGCACACAATCAGGAACGAGAGTCACGAAGAGTGGCGAAACCAAGATCACAGTTTGGTCTGAGAAATCTGGCTACCAGAACTCCCGGACAATAGAGTGCGCCTATCACGTTGAAAAACCGGCGGTGGCAAATGTACAGTCCCTTATGGCTTCCAGTCTCTAATTCCACAGCTAGATTTCATGATTATGTAGTACCATAGTAGAATATGAATCTAGTACCATTTACTAGTGACTAGAAAGAAAGAGATGCTGTCTACTACAAGAGCAACAAGATGGTTCAAGCTCATTTATGATCCGTAGAGTCTACTACTTCCTCGTTGCGCACTTGTGATCATGGGCAAAAGACGTCAAAAATGTTGGTACTTTCATTGGTGTTCTCGGCGCTACGACCATGACGTTTCGTCGTGGTTTTTCAGCCAGTGATGATGGCTACACCTTTCTGGACCTTCCGGAGGAACCGATGGATTTTCGGTTTCGTATCTCCCGACAGACGAGAGCAGACCCTGTCGTTCGAGTCAAGCTCATCAAAGCAGAGGTTTTAACGTCGTCTGCCCCAAGTGCAGAGGTGGCGCGCACGGCGACGGAGGAAATCACTGGCTCGCTCGTGTTGGTAGATTCCTCAGCGGAACCAAGTACTGTTGCTGCAGCTTCCTCCATTGTGCTGTCCTACAAAGCGGCAGGAGACTCGCTGCTTATTGCGCCTCAAACAACGACGCGCATCAGCTTCCTGGTGACAGTGAAAGAAGAGACGTATTTGTGGAGCGATGTGCGGAGATTTCACTACGTGCTATTACGTTCGCGTGCTCCGCAACCGAAGCTCAGGTTCGAGCCAACGCCAGTGCTCGCAGCGGCGCTGGAGGCACATCCGCACGCCCACTGGTTTCCAAGTGACCCGTTGCATGCGACTATGAAGGCGCAGAGCCACCGGGTCCTTCTAGAGGCGGGGTCAGCATCATCTACTTCAGGAGCGCAGCTGTCAGGAAACTCGGAAAGTTCAGACGCTGCACCTCGAAGGGCACCAAAACTCCTATTCGTGGTGCGCAAAGTTGCTGGAGAAGTGACTTCACTAGACTCTCCGAGAAGTTCAGCCGACGCAAGTACGAGTGCGGGTCTCATGGGCTACCGTACTGCCGTCTCCGGTGTTGCTGACTTGCCAGCACCTTTGGCTGCTTCTGCCAGCACCTTTGGTCGCACAGGTGTTGCAGTGACAAGCGTTCCTGACTTGCGTCAGACACTCGCAGTCGCAAACTTCTCTAGCTTGCTGGCAGAAGCAGCTCTGCCCCTTCCGAAGTTGCGACGAGACTACAGCGCAACAAGTGTGCGAACCGACTGCAATCTCGGCTCGGCTGTGGCATCTACTTCAAACACGGCTGGAACAGGTGGTGCGGCATCATCGGTTGCTGGTGGCGTATCTTCCGAGTTGTACTTCGCGGTAATGTGCTCGTATCGCGCAGAACAAGACGTCGTTTTGGAACTAGGTGATGACATCGCCGTGTATACGTGGCAGCGTGACGAACTAATATCGGCTCCGACCGTGGGGCGCTCGCCAGGACTCTGGCTTCCACCACTCCTGCCAAAGACGAGCAGTTCCCAGCAGTGGGGCCGCAACAATCCGGAATTTCTCAGTGTCCTGGAGCTGTCGTCAGACTCGAGAGCCGTCAATGATTTGTTGGATCACCGTGCTTTAGTCTCGATAGACCCGCAAGTAGGGCAGCTGCGGTTCACTCTGACACACCCTACCGTGAAACGCAAGTACTGCTTGCACGTGCGTCCGTTTCGACTGCTGGGCGTCGGTAATTTGGACACTTCCGGCGCTGAACCACAGGAGACCGGTGTAGTCAATCAGTGCCTGAGCAATCCACGTGCGCCAGACAGTAGTTCAACGACCGGCTCAAGTACGACGCCAGTGGATCTCAGTATGTGGACCGCGGTGTCGCCACACGCAGGAGAAATGGCGGTGTCGTTGGATGTGTCAACAGAGAGTAGCGTAAATGTGACAGTGTATACGACCGTCGAGCGGCCAGGATACCTGTGGGCGCTTCCTGAGCGCGCGTCTGCGCATCTGCTCTGGATTCGTGAAAGAGCGCCGCCGCCTGTTGTTCTCCGCTGTCGTACCTTTATGGTAGCAGAAAAGCCGTGCTTTCTCGCGTGGTCACCCTTGCTTCACGAGTTAGCTCTCGTCCGTGAAAACGGCCTTAACTTTGTTCTGCCATCTTCGACGAATGCTGCTACACCTGCAACGGCTGCTCAGGGTCAAGTCGACGATGAATCTCATTCATCTCCTTCGTCGCAGTATCTTCACCAGCTACTTTCGAGAGGAGATACGGCTCCTCTGGATGGGCTCCAGTTAGTCCTGAGCCGCATGGAGACCACTCGACCAGCATCGGAGATCGACGCCTGGTCGCGAGCGTCATCGACTACGATTTCGGCAGATAATCTTTTCGCAGTGATCGAAACAACGGCGCACTTTCGGGATAACGTAATCGGCACGCCGAATGAGCCTGGCGCGTGTCGGTGGCCACAACTGTGCGGGCAGGCCACGCAAGCTGCTGTGGCGGAGATGGATGCGACTTCGGCGCAGACCGCGGGTGAGCAGTTTTGTGCGTGGTTGGCGGGAGCGGGGACGCGTCCATCGCGCGGGGCGTGCGGAAAAGTGACATCATCAGGAATGCCACCGACACAGCAAGAGGTGGATACTCATACTTCACCAATCGTCGAAACAGCGATCGTGGAGTCTCGACTTCTGAACGCACAAGACGCTTTTGTTTCGCCTTCAGCAACTACAGGTGATAATACTGGTCCTCCTACGACTAGTGGCACAACTTCTACTAAAACTTCTTCCATGTTCAGTCGTGTTCTTGTGTCCACGACAGCTTCTGTTGAGATAGACGTGACTGCTGGAGTGCCAGTTTCGTCTGCGTTTCTCGTGCACATGCAAGACCAAAATGTTGCCGACGAAGGCTTTCAAAGACGACGGCATGCGCTTGCAGGGTCCGATCAAACAGCTGCTGTTGCGGGAGTACTTCTCGGTGCTCGGCGAGCATCAGATACCTCTATGCGGCTTCGATACCGCTTCGCGCTACCTCAAGACACGGGTTTGGCGTTCTCGAGTTTTCATCTCAAGTTAGATTTACAGGACTCGCGGCTTCGCCTGCAGAAACATGAAACGCTTGAGCATTCTCGGTATTCCGAAAAGAGTAGTGTGGTAGTGGAAGGCAGCGCAACGGACAGAGCTTTGGCTTCGGCAGCTCAGCGTCGTGAAGCTGCGGTGTCCACCTCTGTACCACCGCAACTCGTCACGATGTTCAGTTTCCAGCGGCAGAGCGTGCTAGGGACGCCATCGGTACTTGTTTCTCGGGACAAGACGAGAGTTGGGCGACTCCTCACGTTCTCTTTTTCTGGTGGAGAATTCGCCGACACTGACGATTTTCGGCCGACTTTCGTTTTTTCACTCGGCAAGCGGCAAGGGTCGTCGCGGGAACTACCACATTGCAGCGCATTCGATCAAGCTCTGTCCTTGCTCAATGGCACAACCGTGAATAAAAAAGCCATATTACTATCGACAGCTAATGTTCGGGACACCCAGTCTACTACTGCGGCTCGATCTACTCTTGGAAGGGATGCGCCAGGGAACAATAATACAGAGCAGGCATCAAATGGCTTGAGTACAAACGGGGGGCCAGCTATATTCGATGTTGATAATGCGCTTACTAATTCCGGAAGTGCTGCTTTGCCAGTCATCGAGGTAAATGATAATGTACAGCTTGTAGAGGATCTGACAAGCAGCGGAGGCAATCACAGTCGTCTCGACACAGAAGGCGAAACTAGTTTGAAATCGTATCGCACAGTACTCCCGAGACCCACAGACCTGTTCGTTTGGACGCCAAGTACACCTGATAGCGCCAATCTCTCACCAGCAGCACAGGGAGCAACATCTTCAACGACCGGCGTCGATTTTTTCCCCTACCAAGTAGATGCCGCAGTGTCTTCTTCAGCGCAATCGACGAGCCAAAGTCCTGTCCCCGTTAGACGGCCACCACTGGCATATCATCTCGAGCTTCCGTTTTTACCCGCGACTACGTCCGGCGTGGTGACTGCGAGTTACGATATCTGTGTTCGGGGTTTCTTAGATGGCAATCTGCATTATGGGGTTAGCGACACCGCGTTTGTGAACGTTGGGCATAGCAGTCCCACAGTCTTCACGCTTCCGGAATCGGTGCAGTTAGAGTGGCGGGTCGCAGATTTTGATTTCGCAAACGACTTCTCCGAAACCGGCGCTGCAGTGTGGCGAGTGCAGCTATCTGAGGCGCTTCGGTCTACGCTCGATCTCGGAAGCCCAGACTGGGTGCGCGCCATCTCTTTCAGCTCGGGCAGCTTGCGCATCGCAGCTGACGTGGCCATGACGGCAGCCCACGCGGCCACGCGCGCACAGGCAGACGCCTTGACAGATTTTGTGCAGACGAATTTGCTTCAAAACCAATACGAGAGCGTCGAATTGACCCGCTTCGACGGCACCGGCGTTCGGGCAGGAGAGCCTCGTATTGTATTATCGACGTCGCAAAATGGAGATCATGGTGGGTCCGGAGACGGCGAAGGAAATTTCAGCGCGGCAGGAATTGCAGTGGCCGTAATACTCTCTATACTCGTGACGGTTGCGGGAGGCTTGCGCTTTTGGTACAAGCGGCGCCAAGGGGAGCAAAAACAAGGTCTGGTGGATGCTCGAGAGGATGGCGTGGCTGAGGAAGCGGACATGCTCGAAGTGGAAATAATCGATCACGTTGGTGGGCGCGAAGAAAAAAGACCAGTGTCCGATCTCGTAAGGGCGAGCGGGCAACAGCCACGGTACTAGAAAGATTATACATGGGACCCTTTTACAACATGAACATCTTCTGTCTGTTCTTGTTACGCAGGAGCAATCAGTTTACTTGTAATAATTTGGTGTTGTGAAGTTAGCTGTTTCTTCAGGTTCTCCTCTGCGTGGTACGGTCGAAGGCGCGATCTTATACCTAAAGGTATGTGTGTATTTTGTGGTGGGCGGCGGCGTGCTTGCATAACCGGCTTGAAATCAGAGAAGAACGCCTTCACTGATGCAACGTTTATTATGACCTAGCATGTGCTAGCGCTTGCGCATCCACTTTTGAGTCATTAGTTGTTAAGACGACACCGCTTTACTTGCAAGCTCAAGATGAGATAAACTTCACGAAAGCCGGCAGGAAGAAATGATCTATTACAATTAGCAAAGTCCTCTTGTTAGTTGTTGCACACACGATCTGGCTCTAATCTTCGTTGTTGTCGCGAATGCTTCCCACAGTGGTTTCCCCAGTACGTGGGGCGCATAGAACAGGATCCGTTGGCAACCGAAGCGGACACATTTTTATGGTCAGTTTGTATCCAATCTCCTCAGCATCCTTGTGCCCTTTTCGCTTGTTTTATTTCATGGGAAAGGGTTCGAGATGAGGCGAGCGAGGTGAATGAAAGCTGACTCTAACACTTCGGCCAGTTGCAAATTATGAGTTGGAACTAAAGCCAATGATTGGACCAGCAGACCAAGGAGAACCTCCTGGATTAGCATCGAGGGTGCAGACTAGTACCAGTGAATTGCTGCAGCTGGAGAATGGACATGCTACTGGAGATGACCACGGCAGCTTGAATAGTAGACCTGAGACTGCTTCGAAGCTAAATACACTAGCTGCACGTCCTTCGGTGCGACCACCACCATTGCTCCTGGGAAACTATGGCGACATCGGCTCCTCTGACGAGAAGAAACAAGGACTGACTGGAACAGCTGCTGGAGATAAGCATGGTAGTGTTGACTACGACGGGCACGAACAGTTAGATGAGTGGCAGGAAGATGATGGGGCGGTGGACGAATGGAACGAATTCGGAGCAGCCGAAGAGTGGAACGAAGACGCTGAAGGACACTGGAACGAACAAGACGGTGCGCAGGAGTGGGGCGAGGAGGCGGCGCAAGAGTGGGGGCAAGGTGACGGACAGGGATGGAACGAAGACGGTGACGGACAGGGATGGAACGAAGACGATGGTGCAGGTGGGGAATGGAACCAAGAGGATGACGGACAGGGATGGAGCGAAGACGATGGTGCAGGTGGGGAATGGAACGAAGGCAGAGTACAAGAGGGGAACGAAGAGGGTTGGGATGAAAATGCCGAATGGGAAGAAAATGCGGAAGGCGAAGCTACTAGCTGGGACAGCGAACTTCAGGTAGCAAATTGCAATGGAGATGCAACCGGCGGTGAAACGGGCAAAGAAACAGAAGTACAGCACCACATCGTAGAAGATCAACTGGAGACGAGGACTTCAAAAGCAGCCAGCATCGAGTTGATTACTAGTACTCAAAAACAACACGGACTTTTGAGTATTCCCGAGGACTCTGATCAACGTGGTGCGGCTGCGGAGGGCAATGAGGTGGCTGATGAGGAGGCACACGACCGAGTGGAGAAGACTAAACCGAAGTTAACAGAATCTGGTAGTATAGTGGAAAAGGTGTGCGCTATTTCCGCGAACGTGCAGCGTGTTCGAGAACCAAGGTCGTCGAGCGCGATTCCGGAGGTCGCAGATGCTTTCGCGCGATCATGTGTAACCATTGCTGCATCATCATCTGCCGACGTGCCAGATGCATCATCTTCTATCGACATACCTGCAGCATCATCTGTCGGTGTGCCCGGATCATCGTTCGTGAATATCGCTTTATCATCCTCTGCGGGTCCTCTTGCGGGGAATGCTGCTTCAGGTGCGTCTGTGCCAAAGGCTGACACGTCGGAGCCAGTAGATGACGGAGACTTTTTCTCTCTTTTGCGTCTTGAATCTGTGACAAGAGACGTCGCTGCCGCCACTGCCTCGCTGCAGATCGGAGTATTTTCGGATTCACAACCTCCAGTCACGCAGCGCCGACCTAGCGCTCTTGCTCCTCCGCAATGCCACATGCCCTACCTGGTTCCTCAAGAGGTGCCTAGTTCATCTTCCCAACAACTACACCCGCGGCGCGACCGTGAGCGTGAGCGGAGTAGAGCAAGGCGCGAGAGAGACAGAGAACGATCTCGACGCGGGGATGGAGATAGGGAACTACGAGAACGAAGCAGAGCAGCCTCAGAGCGGAAGAGCAGCAGGTACGAGTCAAAGGCGCGTGACCGGGATCGGGATCGAAGTATGGGTGAGCGTGCAAGTAGTAGTCGACGGAAGGACCGTGGGACAGATGGTGATCGTACTAGGGGTGATCGCGATCGTAGTAGGACAGATCGTGATCGTAGTAGGGGCGATCGCGATCGGGAAAAAAAGGCAGATAGGGAAAGAACAAAGAGCGAGCGAGAGGAAGGGAAAAGCGATAGAGAAAAGAAGAAGGGCGATCGAGACAGGAGCAAGGAGGACCGGGAAAGAAAAGATGATCGAGAAAGAAAAAGCGACCGCGACAAAAGCAGAAGTAGAACTACAAGTGGGAGAGAGCGAAGTCGCGGTCGAGAAGAGGGTGCGTCAACAACGTTTGATGCAAAACACTCGCTAGACGATACTTCCAAGAAAAAAAGTAAAAAGGAAAAGAAGGAGCGTGCTAAGTAAAATGATGACAGGTCCATGCATTTATAAAAACTCCTGTTGCTACAACAAGTACATGATAGATCAAGCCAAACGGTATAGATGATTTTGCAAAGTACAACAGCGTAGAAGTGACTGAACTATTATCACTTCATGACATCAAATTTCTAATCGAATCAGCCAGCTAATATGATCAATATTCGTTGTAATCACAAAAAAACAGTTTATAGAAATCGACACAATGTGTTGAACCGAGTAATTCTACAGGAGCTTAGATTGCACAGTTTTTTTTTGACAATATGTTATGTTTTGCTTTCATAGTTTTAGTTGCTTAGGGTGACTTCTCATAGTGAATATTTTGCGCACTCGATGATGTGCATCCATAGTAGATTCACAAAAAATCACAACTCGTACTACTTCTGTTTTTGCTTTTTCTCTCGTTTCGATGATGGACCAAAATGCACGTTTCGATCTCATGCTTGAACACCTGTCATCTACCGTGAAAAACCCGTTTTTGTCGACAAATATTAGACTCTGGCTTCTACTACCACGTTCCAAGGAAATATAAATGCATATTTGATGTTGATCTAATACGCGCTGTTGTTCGTCTGGGTGGAGCCAGACTGAATCAATGTTTCAATGACAGAAAATATTCAAAAATCCAATGCATATTCGATGTTCCGTGGTCGTGCGAATCAAGAATCTCTGAAAAATTTCCATCCTGCTCACTGAAAACCGGTTCTTGTTGTAGTACGACAATTTGTCCTTTTGATCTTCGTCTTCAATGGGCAAGCACCGATGATCAATGCCATTCTGCTTTCCATGTAGGAGAAACTCTACAACTTTGTTCCGCGTCAATTCCTTCAAGCACTTCTCAGATGAATGGTATCGAAATGGTATTCCTGTAGTTCTACTGTAGGAAAAGACGTTCATCACGACACACTGACTATCACACTTATTAATAAATTGATTCGCGCAAAAAAGAATCATCCTTTATCAATGAATTTCAATTTCCTTAATTCCATAGGCAGACTTAGGACGTATTAAAGAAGATTCATCTTCTTATACTTACTTCTTTCTGCACTCCTCATTACACAGAGCTGTCGATAGACTGACACTCGCTACGACATTTTCACTACATCTAAGTAGAACAAAGCTGCATACTATACTCATCTTCACTGTAAGAATTGTTGCATAAGTTCGCATAAATGAATACCCCAAGTAATTACCACAAGAATTTCAAAGAAACATCATAAATTGTCATTAAGTTCTCTTGTTTTCACAACCATCTTCGAAAATGAATCGTTCTTTGCCCCAGGGGCAATTTCAGAAGCCCGAAAATGCTCATCGCAGAGCAAAGGAGCTTGCCGCCGTCGGCAACCCGGAGGATGCATTGGCTCTCTGTGGTAAGAACAACAAAATCTCCTGATCAACTAGTACATCCAAATTCTTGTTCCCCACACTTCTTGCTTCTTCATCTACTCTTTCCAAATGGTTACCCCAACAACTACTACATCAAACACCTCTTCTCACTCTTTGATCTACTCTTTCCAAATTATTATTCTCTTCGACAGACGAAGACGAGACATTCCATCATTCCACACCCAAAGTCGTTTCACAAATTCCAACAACAAATTAAAAACTTCACCCCTTCCAAGGTAATGTCATGGCCAACCGGAAGTTCAAAAATGCCAACACTCTGCATATCATGGAGAGCATTGCGCTCTTGGGTTTGGCAGAGTTGTCGGTGCAATTGAAGGATTTGAAATCTGCTAGGGATATTCTTATCAACTACCGCTCTATGACCCAGACGGCAGCTACTTCTAGTCTCGAAAAGGTAGTCCGCGAATTTCGTGGCTCAGCCGAAAAGCTCGTCCAGGAATCCAAGACGCACGCGACGAAGACTCAGGTAAATATCTTTCTATGGTCGTCGTTGACAGTAGTTTACGATTCTTTTTGAAAATGCCTTTTTCTAACAGCAACATATCTCTGGCTAACCAGGCTGTGCTGGTTCTACTCGTAAAGATTGGCTGTAAGTTCAGAAAAGAACATACCATGTCATAAAATTGTCCCAAACAACAAACTTAAATAATAGGAGGAGGAAGTTGAGGATTTGGAGGCATTGGATACTCCGGACAATGCTCTGCGAAAGGCCTTGAAACCGAAGGAACAGCGTGACCAGGAGAAGAAGGAACGGGAAGTGTTGGAGAATATCCGGTTTTTGTGGGAAACCTACAAGCAAGTCCTGGACGTCTTCAAGACCAACGGAAAGACCGAAGACCTGTAATTACTGAAGCTATTTTTTTGATGAACAAATGTACCTGACCACCAACCTCATCGTCCGTGCCGTGCGTGTAAAACCACTGACCACATGTATGAACCAATGTAATATGGTAAGCACTTTTCTTCACCCCCTTTTCTTCACCTCCTCCCCCCCAATCCTCAACATAGGTACAACGAAACCGCTCAACGCGCTTTGCAATTCTGTTTGGACAACAAGCGAACCAATGAGTTTAAGAAGCTGTGCGATATGTTGCGTAACAACTATCAAAATCTCTTCAAGCGCATGCAGCCCAACGGAACCTATCCTCCGCATACGGTATCTTGAGTTTCTTCTATGCTTATTAGTGATGTGTGTTTCTTATAATTAGTGATGAATTGTTCTATGGATCTAGAAGATGCATTTTTTGAAAACCTTTGACCGAGTAGCCTAGTATCAGAAGCTGTTCTTTTTAGGAATGACTTTGAAGAAGTCTAGCTGTCTGTGAATTTCGAGGAATTTTTTTCAAAATCAAATCAAAAATTGCAGGTAAATCCGACTGATAAGGACACTATCGCGAGAACAATCGAAACCCGATGCATCCAGCTTAAGGTTGCAGCAGACTTGGGTCTGTGGAAGGAATGCTTCCTCACAGCAGAAGACCTCTACTCGCTGATGACCAAGACCAGTAATCTTAGACTCAGATTCTAGTGTTGTTAGATTTTGAATTTTAGGAGTGAACTACCTACCTATATCAACAGTACGATTGGAAATTGGTTGTATTCTTAGCCGCTGAAAAAGTACCTGTTCAAAGTGCACTGACAAGATCTTCTATAATTTTTGTCTCTCTTCGTCTTCCCCCTAAGGCTGTTTCTCTCCCGCTTACAAAACAGAGCGTCCCCCACCGAAAGTCCTTGCACAGTATTACGAGTTTTTGTCGCAGATTTGTTGGAAATCCGGTTCCTTCCTGTTCCACGCTTTTGCCTGCGTTCGTAACTACACTCTCTATAAGACGAACCAGAAGAATTTCGGTGCGGAAGAAAAACAGCGCATGGCCACTTTGGCCGTGTTGGCCACTATGTGCGTCGGCTTGACCGGAGAAGACGAGACCAGTGTCGACCAAACCCAATTGGAAAAGCTCAAGAAAATGGCGACTCTCTTCAACGTCGCGACCATCCCGACTAAGAGCACTCTGAAAACGGATTTGCAAATCCGGGAGATCCTCCTGGCAGCCAGTCCAGCAGCACAAAAGCTGTACCAGCTCTTGGAATTGGGACCGCGCACTGCAGGAACCGGCACCCAGATGTATCCGAAAGACATCTGCGCCAAATGCCGACCACTATTGGACGAAATTAAACAAATCCCGGAAATGGAAACGTACTTCGTTAAGAGAAATTGATGCTGAAAATAGGCCGATACGATATTTTTGTAATCTTGAAGAAAGCTTGCACCTCTAACTTTCTATTGCAACAATTAAGAGTATTCTGAACTTCCCCAACATCCACCTTTTCTACAATGATAAACCAGGTACTGCAACCAGCTGTTGAAGGTTATTTTCTTCCGCTTGTTGAGCCAGGTTTCAAAGGTATACTCCACTATGAGTGTGACGCAATTGAAGAATCTCTGCGCACCAGTCGTCGACTTCCCAACCGCTGAAAAATGGATGATCTCAGCTGCTCGCGACAGTGGAATCCACGTCCAGCTTGACTACGTCCGAAGTGTCGTCGTCTTTGGTAAGAATTCCTATTTCATAAGTCTTAGTGCAGAAAAACCTTTTGGAGTTCATAAGTGTTAGAAGTAAAGAACAATCTTTAGCAGTTCCCATTGCTTCCCTTGTTGTACAAATCTATCATAATTTGTCCGAAAAAACAACTTGTCAGAAACATCAAAACGACTTCTTCGCAGTAAGAAAGCTAAAACCCAATGACTATCCTACCAACTACAACTATCCTACAACAACTACAACTACCCTACCAACTACAACTACCCTACAACAACTACAACTATCCTACAACAACTACAACTATCCTACCAACTACAAACACCCTACAACAACTACAACTATCCTACCAACTACAAATACCCTACAACAACTACAACTTTCCTACCAACTACAACTATCCTACCAACTACAAAGATCCTACCAACTACAAATACCCTACAACAACTACCCTACTACAACTACCCCACTACCAAATTACAAAACACAGCCAACAAGCAGATGAATGATCTGTCCATGTTGAGACAGCCATTGGTGAATATGGGCCGCGTGGCAGTTCGCGAATTGGAGAAGGTCTACCCTGGTCTCTGGGAATCTCGTAAGGCGTCCCAGCGGTCCGATCTGTTCCAGGCCCTTAAGGATGCCACGGAACGCGAGGCAAAGGATATTGAACGCAGAGTCAACGAAATCGAACGTCGTAACAAGGAAAAGGCCGACCATGAAAGAGAGCAGAACGAAAGGAAAGTCAAACAAGAAGTACAAATTTTACATTTAGATTAGAACTTGTTCCCGACTTCCTGTTCAGAAGTTGTGGTTGTGTAAGACTTTTATCATATGTTGACCCCAACTCTCAAATTTTTTTTCTTCCTTTGCCTCCTACGTTTTTTCCCATCTTTCCTTCTTCTAGACGCTTACGCGCCAACGCGAGCAGCGCGAAGCCGCGCAGAGGTTGGAGCACGAGAAGAAGCGCCGCATGGAGGAAGCCGCCAAGGCACGCAGAAACGATATCGACAAGCGCCGCAAGGAGGACATCCTCGAGGAAACGAAAAAGCTGTATCACGACAGCAATCCGAAGATCGGCGACTACAACCTAAACGATATCGGAGAAGCAGAGCTCGACAAGCTGGACGTCGAGTTCCTTGAGGAGGAACGTAAACGCATCATCCAGAAAGACCGCCAAGAAAAGATCCGACTGCGCAAGGCAGAGTCTAAGCGGGTCGATCACTTGGCGAGAGCGATGAAACAGCAAACCGCTGCTAAGATCCCAGGATTCGCAGAAACACAGCTGATTGAAGAGCAAGCGACGTTCGCCCAAATCGAAAAAGAACAAATGGAGCTAGCGAAGGCAGAATTCGAGAAAAACGTCGAGAAAAAGAAACTCATGGTATGCGATTCCTTTTTTTTTTGCAGAAATCCTAATATCATTCCTCAATCAATGCAGAGACGCCTTAGGGAGTACCTACTAAGTACCTCAACGTAGATTTTACACAGGTTGTTTCGTAGATTGAATCAGGCTGTTATTGTTGTCGTGGCAAAAAAATCTTTTCCTCTTCCACATAATAAATCAAACAACCTCCACCATATAATTCGAACCCTCAGATGGAATCGATTGTCGCGGTAAAGAAGTGGCAAGAAGAGCACATCGGAAAGAAGCAAGTGGAATATCAGCAGAAATTGAGGGACCGACAGCGTGTCGAGTGGGACAAGAAATGCACGCGAGCTATCAGACGGTACTCAATTTTCAAATCCTCGTTGTGCGAGGAACCTTTCCCTCTAATTACTAGAAATGACGAGCAAGAAATGGAGACTCAGCTGCATCGTTGCCGGGGGTCGCCTTCTTCCTCCTACTTAGACTAATGTTGACTAAATGATTTAGCACTAGCAAAAATAATGAACAGAACAACTCGCAATATTGATGAGGGAAACAAACCGAAACCTCGTCCACCAACAAGAAACAAACCTCAACCTCGACGTCCACCAACAAGTAGTACTTCGATATTTGATTCCAGGTACATGGACGACATGGAGAAGAAGGAATTGGCAGAGGCACGAAGACTCGAGGAGGAAGAGATGCGGAAACAGCAGGAAGAGATCGAAAGAAAGGAGGCTGAGGAAATGGAAGCGCGGGAGGCTGAGAGGGAGAAAGAGCGCGAAAAGCGAGCAGAAGAAATGAAGCGATCCGAAGAACAGAGACGCGAGCGTGAGGCACAGGTACAAAGTTTTGTTAGTTCTATTGGCCAAATTTTGGCTAGTCCTATTGTATATACCTCTTCCTTTTTTCTATCTTTCCTAGGTAGGTAGTTGGCTCCACCACAAATAATTACTGTTATTTTGACCTGATTTCAACTACATTGGAGGATATTTATCTTTGATCCTTATCCTTAAACTTCTCACTTGTTTCTTCATTAGACACTTTTCTTCATCGAGGCATTTTTTAATCCATCAAAAAGCAACTCCATGAAATAGACGTAAACGTATACATAAACGTTGTATGTTGCATCTACGAGGCAAGCAGCTGCATTAAAATCATCTTCAGGCCGAGCGAAACCGACCAGCAAAGGCAAATGGAGGTAGTAATTGGAGAGATGAAATGGCTAATGGCAAGGCAAATGGTGGAGGCTTCGGTGGGAAGGAAGAAGGTGAGAAATTCACCTTTTTCTTGATGCTCCTAGATAAAAGTATGAGGAGTAATTGATCTTCCTAGAGTACTCGCTTTCATACTACAACAATTTCATGAGGACCTCCTGAGGAATTCGAAGTTGTAGTTCAACTACCCACGACTGACTTGTAGTCCATCTACCACATCAATAAAATTTAGGTGCCAAGGGCGGCTTCAGCGGTAAGGGTCGTCGAGGATTTGAGAACAAGGGTGGCGACAAAGAAGAGCGGGACTTCGGAAACCTGCGTGATAGACGAGCCGAAGACAACAAATTCGCTTCTAGTAAACCTGCAGATAAGGATGGCGGTAAAGGTAAGAAGAGTGAGAAGCGAGGTGACGGAGGCAAGGCTAGTCGTGGAGACATGGACGACTGGCGAGGAGGAGGCGGCGGCGGACCTCGTCGCCAGGAAGAGGCAGCAGGCCAAGACGCAGCACCACCATCCCAGCGACCAGAGCCAGAATGGAAGAAGTTTGCTCGCGAGAAGAAGGAAAGGGAGAAGAAAGAAGCTGGAGGCGAAAGCGGAGCGTAAATCTCACGGCTACACGTCACGATCACTACTCACGACATGATCATCATGTTCTATGTGTGATACTCCAGATCGATGTGGATGTTCTGGTTTCGTCATCTCCAACACATTGGAGGTGGAGGGTCGGTTGAGGTGGAGCATCAAATTTCGATGGCGACCACGAATAAGTTGTCATTAAGGTGGTGGTGGGAGGTTGTTTCTGCCATAGCATCTTCTTTCATGTTCACATCATATACTTACTTTCTTTGTCTCACACCAAAATATAACTGTCAAAAAAGTTGAATAAGTATTGCTGAAATTACCATTACGCTGATTGATGTCATCAAATACTGTTCCTAGGTGATGTTCGAAAATTGTTTCATCATTGTTTCATCCATAGATTTATCACCATGCTGCGACTCCTGCTGGGTCTCTGGTCGCACGGTTTAACATGTTGATCATACCTATGAGCATGTCTGGCCTCCTAAGTAGCTGAAATGCCTATTATCTTTCACAAGATCTGCCTGCACCAATGGAGCCTGCTAGAAATTATAAGAATGATTTTGGTTAAAAAAGTATCAAGAACACCGCATACAACTATGATCATTTTTCGGATAGACGAGGTAGACTGGTAGGCAAACCCATAACTTTTACTTTTATCTTTACTAAGCACATTTTCTGTAATCAAAAACTAAGACGACCTAGAACTTGTATTTCAAATCATTTGATCCCTATGTTAAGACCAATGCTAGTACGAGACATACTTGCACTTCACTTGCACATCATGATTTTGCCTCTCAAGTAATGCGTTGACGCGATAATAGATCGTTGTAAAAAAAGTGGAATAGCGACTGGGATCCACATTCATCGCGAATTCTAATATCTGATGAATACTTGAGTTGCACCCGAAGGGCACAGCGTCTACTGGCTCTACGTGAAGGAGCACGTACGTGGAGATCGGATGACTACTATAAATCGACTTATGAATACTTCCTTATCTTGAAATTGGACAAGCTTTGATCATGTTGGGAAATTTTTACAAGAAGGCACTCGACTCACAAATGGAAGATGCTGTTGAGCTTATGGCGCTTGATACCGGCGAAAGCTGTAGCTGTGCAGGGGGGCGTGAAGTACACCGGAAGAGTCTGCTCAGTATTTCTTTACTGCGTCACGCGGCGAAAGAGAGCAGTAAAACGATGAGAGAAGGCTTATTATTCTCTCATTTCCGCTTCATTCAACCATAATTTATTCAGTCCGTGCTCTCGCGAAGATAAAATGAGAGCGAAAAAAGAGCTGGAAGGGAGCGAACACAGCGTGACAATACCACTTCTTTTAGACCCCGTTTAGACCCCCGCTCCCCCGCCAGGTCTTTCCAATTATTCCTTCTGTAAATAGTAGTTAGCATCGGACACCCACACGTATTCTTTGTTGAGTTTGGTTACAAGGTAATGCCGCCGCGTGTTGTGGCAACGGAGACAATGAGAAAGAATATTTGCGAAGCGGCGGCTCATCAAAAAGGATTCAGTTCTTCTCACTTTGAAACTGTAGAAAATTGACGTGACAAAACGCCAAGAGAAAAAGTCCTTGAAGATGGACATGAAAACTGCCTTGCTTTGACGTGAATATTTCCTGAGCACCTTATTTAGGAGGCGAGACTTTTTAATCGAGGAATTCTTGAACCAGTAGCTAACGTGTGTTGTATCAGATTTTTTCATTTCTTTGTCACTGTGTGTGTTGGAGTTGATCTTAATCATTTTTATAAATCGAAAGTACTCGATCTCGAAAAATATGGTTCTTCTCAGTTTCTTCATGTTAAGACTGAATATCTGAGTCTGACTTCGAAAAGTCGTCGTGGAGCTTCTTCGTTCGGACCATGACCGACGCGGGTCGGTTGAGTACGATGAGCGACGCAGGGCAGTCAGGTAAATTTGACTAAACACATCTGGTTTAGTACTCCTACTGGCATCAGTCATCTGCATCTCTCAAAACGTTGTATGTTATCCATCAGTCATCAGTCGTTGTATGTTATCCATACATGAACATGACAGAAACAGACCTCGTACGCATCAACGAATCAGAAGTGGTAGAGAATTAGTTATCAAGACTTATCTACACAGGTGAGCAGTTCGTACCTGCGCCGCGAAATGCATTTTTTAATCCGGATCGAGTACCACAAGGTGCAGCCAAGAAAACATGGGTACTAACTTCCTCGTTTCTAGATGAGTTTTCTTTTGGATAGTACATGTACATTCAATGCTTGGCGGAGTCCGTGTTCAAAAATCTGTTTCACATTTTGTTAGAAATCTTCGATCTGAATTTCGCTTTCGATATTCCGGACATAATGTCGTTGGGTGGAGGTTCTTGTCAATACGGTAAAACCATAACCAGGCTGGGCGACTGCAGACGGGGAAAATGTCGGCTCAGGGGGTGGCGGGTCGACCACCTACGGGGGCGAAAAGCAAGTCGACATTACAGGTCCCGGATGTGTTCGGAACATCAAAGAGTAGAAGCCCTCGCCTCCTGCTGCAGGAAGTAGATAGTGTAAATGACAAAAAACAATTTGGCGGTGAGACTACCAGCGATAATAAAGTGGCTCTACAACAACTTGCTGGACTTGACGCTGCTGCAACATCTGCTGGAACGCCAAGACCTTGTAAAGAAAACGTTACTACTAGCACGGCGACGACTCCTGCAGCGCGTGCAAAGAATACTACTATTGTTGCAGGAGGAGCGCCGACTACAGGAGCTGCTCAAGTTGTACAGGCAACCTCTGGTGCGTCGACTACATCCATTGCTTCCGTACTAAGTCTTAGTGGAGCCCCTTCTAGTGGCATCCCGGAAGTGACCGACCTAGACCTCGCGACGTCCCAGGAAATCATCTTGCCGACATTATTTTAAGACAGTAATCATCGTCTCCACACCAAGGATTTTTAGGCAGTAAGAGAAAGAAATTCATCTCCGTAACCGTATATGTGAGCGTAATTACTTCTGACTTTTTAGGCAGTAAGAGAAAGAAACTCTCCGTAACCGTATATCTAAGCGATAGAACAAATAGAGCAAATAATTGTCACTGCGCAAAGTTGTTGGGAGTCAGTCTCATTCTTTAGACAACTCTAAATCTTGACTACGACAGCGGACAGCCAGACGCGACGCACAGAAACTGGGGAATCCTCTCGATCAGAGGTGGACTTTGATGCAGAGGATACGCCGCCAGTCCTGCGGTCTGGACGGCGCGGTCGCTCTAGTACCTCATCCATGAAGCGGCGGCTATTGCAACGGCAGTTATGCGTCTACTTAGCTAGTTGTTCAAATTGATTTGGGAGATTATCAAGTAGGATGAGGAGTAAGGTGAAATTATGGAAGAGTGTGAGTGTGATGGCTGCTGGAATTTTGAGTTTTCGCAGTTGCTTCATCTAGCCACAAGGACCCATTTAGTCGAAAACCTCCACATCGATCCACCTCCTTTTTTTTCATTTTTCGCTGCGCCACCAGTGCATATCCACCCGAATGGCGACGGCTATGGTGGAACACGCACGAACACGCCTAGCAACTCAGAGTGCCCGTCGCCATGGCAGATACCTAGTTGGCAATCCGACGATGAAAGAGATGACCGCTACAGTTGTCGGTCAGGGGATTCTGGGTCTCATCACGGCTCCCAAGCATTCGGTCTGCGCAATCCGCGAAGTCGACGAATATCATTGGACTCAGAACTAAACAGTATGGCCGGAGATAAGAGAAAGAGGACGTTCCTAATATTGTTGGCAGTCTACTTCATGACATGTCGTCGATTTCAACGAGACGTGCACATCATGACTGATTCATCTTCTAGAAGTGTGGTCTGGTACAGATCAGTAATCTGAAGCTATCACCCTTCTTTTGTTCATGTAGAGCACACGTGCTGGTCCAGGAGCAGTCGACGCAGAAAGCACGGGCGGAGCAGCTGGCGCTACTCCTCAGGTACTGCTTTCTTCTGTTCATCACACCGATTGCGAAGGGACGCCGTCAACCAGTGGGATTAAGAAAACGGCGGCTAAAAAGCCTGCTCTGTGGAACGCAGACGGGGTGACGCCGGTTATCAGGGGAAAAGAGGAATTCGATCAGCGCGTGCGAGACAATGTTCGAACCAACGAAGAGCACCAGCATCTACGCGATATGACGATTTTTTCTGGTAAGTAGTTTGTAGTGCAATGCTAGGTATACCATGCAGAAGTTGCTAGTAGACCCACTATAGTGATGAACGAGAGTTCTGATTTAGATGATATTTATAGAGTTTGCTTCTGTTCCGACGAAATATTCGTCTAGTACGATTGCATACTCATCTCGTGTTGGGGTCTTCGTACACGATTCAATCAGATAACAAAAACATGGTCTAACAGGTAAAGAGATGACCGATATAATGGAATATTTTTTGACGTCGGTGGGAGATAAGAAGAAAGTGAAAGCTGCCGCCGCATTGGGTGAAGGACAAAACACGCCAGCGGAGCATGCCGCGGAGGGACTCGCCGCAGCTCATCAACGCCAGAGTGCTGGTAACAAATACACTTTCTGTTTGCATATCCTTTTTGGTCAGAGTATTATTTCCCCGATTTGGTTCTCATTCTTTGAACGACACCGACGGGTAGATCTGCGTTTGTACTCCACCTTCTCTCAGCCGCTTCGTCTCATCTTTCGGCACCGGTGCGACCACGAGCACGGCTTAGCAATTGCACCGCGAATATGAGAGGGCGGTCGGACAGTACAGACAGTAAAGCAACGACTCGCTCAGCGCCGAACGTGTCTTCAAGCAAGAAAGTAGTTAGCTGCGCGCTCGTTGCTGCTGGGGAGTTTAGCTCGGTACCAATTCGCTTTTTATGCAACTTGATGTTAGGGACATTTTTCGTTCTACTTACATCGTAAACTTGATGTTAGAACACTGGAAACTTTCTCAATATAGGCATCATCTCCGGATGGTCACATTCGAGCAGGGGAAGGATCATCCGAAACCGGCACAGCAACATCGTCGAGCAGTGCCAACAGCAACATGCCGAGTCGTGGGTCTGCCAACATGCAAAGGTCAGTGTCACGACCGAACTGGGCATCGGGTAAGAGTCAGGCAATTCGAGCCTCGCTTAAACTGACTGCATCGGCGAAAGCGGCCTCCGCGACGGTCGGACCAACAGCCAACGATGCAGAGGTAGAACACGCAGTGTTGACGGCAACGGCAGTGCAAAAGGAAGAGGCCCCGACCAGAGTAGAAGCCTCGTCAAAAGTAGAAGCATCGTCAAATGAGAAAGTAGAAGCTTCGACTACAACGGAGATGGAGCCTTCGTCAATGAGAATTGAGGTACCGAGACCAGAGGCGGAACCATCGACACAGGTAGAGCCTTCGGCGAAAAAGATGGAAGCGTGTGCGAAGGTGGAGTCGCTGACAGCACAGGAGGCGCCGACATCGAAGGAGCCTGTGTCCGCATCCTCCATTGCGAAGAGCTGTGGCAAAACTGGCAGTACGGAAACACCGACCCCGCCTGAGACGGTTATCAAGCCTGCAACTCGGAAGGCAGGCACGGCGCACGAGAGGCAGCACTCGGAGCAGTGCGCAGGAAACGTAGGCGCGGCTCCGGTGGCGAAGGAGATAGTAGTCGAGCGAAAGGACGGACGAAAGGAGACTGCCGTTAGTTCCAAACAGGCGCGTGCAGCGACTCCTAAATCGGCGGGGCAAGAGGATGGAACAGCAATGAGCACCAGAATCGAGTCGACAGACCCACGCCGAGGCACACGCGTAGTGCGACTTTCTGCGGGCGGCGTCGTCGCGCACTCTAGTAACCCGGGAAGCGAACAAGTATCGACACGAAAGGGCGTCGTCGCGCACTCTAGTAACCCGGGAAGCGAACAAGTATCGACACGAAAGGGCGTCGTCGCGCACTCTAGTAACCCGGGAAGCGAACAAGTATCGACACGAAAGGGCGTCGTCGCGCACTCTAGTAGCCCGGGAAGCGAACAGGTATCGACACGAAAGAAGCGCGAGGATGGCACGCCTAAATCGGCGGGCGGCAAGTATCTCCTAGATACTCTTAGCAATGCTGGTTCTTTCAACCCTGCTCAGAAAGATCTAGGCGACTACGAGTTCAATTTGGTAGCTAGTAGAACAGATCCATGTCAGGCATTTACCCTAAGCGAACAAGTATCGACACGAAAGAAGCGCGAGGATGGCACGCCGTTCTCCGGCGACGGCACAAGTGCAGACTCGGCGACGGTAGAAGCGCAAGCAGGTGTGGTCTCCACCGCAGCGACCGCGAAATCTCGAGGAGGAACAGACACAGAGGGCGCAAAGCAGAATAGGCAGGATAGCGAAAGCGCACCACTTCCGGCCACGCCTCCAGCAAATGGAAAGATGCTAGCGTCTTCGACGAAAAATGCCTCAACAGACGCTGCTGCGTCCGCGAACACTGTTTCCCCGACGTCAACCGTTCCTACATCGACTGATTCCTCTAGGGAGCGTGCGGACAGCATGTCGAACAAGGGTAAAAATGGCAAGCAACAGTTCCGATCTGCGGATCCGGGACCCGAGGACCTCCGCCCAAGCACTCCGCCAGAAAAGAAGGTGCCCGCCGATACGCCTCCGGGGGAGAGCGGGCGCACTGGGACGACCTCCTCGACTACTGCATCACCCGAGGAGCAGCGCACCCCGGATGCGCGCGAAACAGGAAAGGATTAAGGCTAGTATATCACTATCGTAGATCATTATTCTTCTAGTGTGAGGTATCGGTATCCTGAGTTCTTGTGGGGTTCCCCATTTATCTGCAAAGGGAAAACTGAGTAGGGGAAAAAGGGCAACTCACCCAACCCTGGGTAGTGATTCCTTAGCGATTCCTTAGCGTTAAAAGGAGCAACAAGCGGGGCGAAAAAGCGGGGGTCATGGAGATTCGAAGCCTTCGTTTCTAGACGCTCTCACGAAGTCCGCGTCTCCAACGTCTTCCTTGAAGAAAAAGCGCGCAGGAGTCGGTGGAAACCCGAAGCCATCTCCGCGTGCGCGTGCGTCTCCACGACCGAATCACGGATCTAGTAGAGGCCCACAGCTGCTCACCTCTAGTGTGGAAAAGGTGCTCGCGCGTTCCCCGGCACACCTCGCTTCGTCGCAGGAAGCGGTACTTCTACATTTTCTTAAATTGTTTAATCACCTAGATGACATTTTTTATTGTTTTACTACCCTTTTCTCTTTTCTATCTTCCTCTGGTCTTCCTTTTTTGTAGTTAGGTCTGCTCCACCACAGTTATTGCTTAATCACCTAGATGACACTACATCTTCCGTTGTGTGCCAGTCTGCAGGTAAAGTTCCACTTTATGAGAAGATATTACTCGTCCCGTTGATTTTTCCTGCTAATACTGCGTTGTGGCTACTAGGATACAGATATCTAGGTCAGAGTGTCTCTATGTCTGTTTCTATCCAACCGCCCACCAGCCCGTCCTGATGCCGCCTCCGCTGAGCAGCACAAAGCATTTTCCAGAGTTGTCGCTGTCTCAGAGTAGCCTGAAACTGGAGTCCCTGTCTCCGGGTTCGTCGGGTGGGAGCGGCTCAGGCCTGAATCGCAGTATGCGTTCCAGTGGGGGCTCGGAGAACGCTAAGTCCGGCACAGGACACGCTTCGGCTGCGGCAACAGGGACCAACGACGCCGTACAGCGCGCCTCGCCGACTGCCTCTGGTCGTCCGGTCACATCGACGCCAGAGGGTCCCGCAAGAAGAAGCGGCGGGAACAATAAGCTCAGTGCTACAGTGGCAAGTGGACGAGGCAAGCCAGGGGGACTCACATCAAGCCAGGAGGAGGCTAGGCGGGGCGTCAAACTAGCACCAGGGACTACGAAAAACGGCGATGCGAATGCGTCTCTAAATAATAATAAATCGTCTAGTAGTAGTAAGAAGCAGCTAGTATCCCCAGCACTGTCGCAAAGCCGAAGTGGAGTTTCGCGTTCTGGAAAGCCGACATCGAGCGTTGCGGACAGCTGCGACGGACTGTCGCTGGACGCGATGCCTCACGGCAACGTAGCGGAACAATTAAGGCTCACGACAATTCATCTTCAAAGAGGTTTTTTTCTTGGTTTCCTTCTTGGACTCTGAGAATATTTAAAGGTAGAATAGAAGGTTTAAAGGTTTTTGAGCGCTAAAACAAGGTAAGATCGGTGGCCCTGCGCCGACCCGTGCAGACGGCTTTCGACGACGCAAAAATCAACCAAATGATGCTGCAAAGTCCGGCGCCCACTCGTTGCACCGCTCGAATTCCGGAAGCGAGTTGAACTTAAGGCCTGTGGTCCCTATTCACCTTGATTTGTACAACACGCTTGACACCTTGCTCTTGCATTAATACGTCTACCGATAATACTAGTAAAAAAATACGATGGAACAAATATGTTTTATGCTTATAGCTGGTATCTGTGTTTTATGCGATAGATCATGGTCCTATCTATGTTTTTTGCGATAAATCACCTGGTATGCATCTATGTATACAGATACGATGGTACTATGCTTTATACTTACCTAGTATCTATGATTTATGTACTTCCCTACTGAATGGCCTCACAAGTAGACACTAATAGCTACACAAGAGGCGCCATGACATGGCATTAAATGCGTCATGCTCTAACAAACGAGCCTGTCTGTCTCGTCGGGTCATCGCGGGTTGTGCTTTCTTCCCTGGATAGCAGTGTGCAGTTCCCTAGCATGAGCAGTGCCGCCGCATCCTCACTCGCCAACGACACTGCGGGGCAGCAGTTCGGCGCCTCCCCAAAACGCCGGGGCAAGCTAAGGGGCTGGAAGTGATCGGATGGAGGATAAGGACTGAGGACATGAGCAGGCTAAGAACTCTTCTCGCTCATCGAGGTGACTCAAGAAGAGGAGGGAATAAAATGTTGAGCTTTTTGCAGGTCTCTGGCTTGGGTATGCCTCTTTTCGTCCCCCTTTTTCTTTGTTATCTTTCGTTGAGATACTTCCGTCCACACATATTATCCCATTCGCCCGTGCCTCCCTTCTCGTCATCGTTGATTAACTCTTTGTGATACCTCTTCTGTTAGACAACTTAGTAGTTTCAGTTTGACTAGCCTTATACTAATCGTCTGTGCCTTTATTTAGGTCCTTTTCTTCTGCCTCGGTCCTTTCCCTAGCGAAGTCTTTTTCAACAATTTTGAAAAAATTCATTTTCTTTTCGCGCTTTAAACAAAGCTGTCGGTAAGATTCTTGGAAGAAGAAACTCCTGTGTATGGTAGTATCACTAGATAACATATTTAGATTTATTGGATATTTTTCAAACAGAAGGAACTATAGTTGTAGTCTTTTCCATAAGTACTCGAGGCTGTCCAAAGTGGGACAAGCAAAAGTAAGAAAAATGTAAATTACAACAACATCTTAAGGTGGGACTATTTCTTGAATATTTTTTCTTGTTTTTGTGAATGACGTCAAAAAAATACAAACGGTATAGTACTTTTTCTTTTCATCTAGGGCGGACGAGTATAAGCAGGCCACCGTGCTGCTCTGCTTTTCCAGCAGTATAAAAATACTTATAGTTGTTGTTAAAAATCATATTCCATCTTAACATTTCCTTCACATAAGTGATTTCTTTGGTAAAAGAATTGGCTTTTCTTTTCATATCTGAGGGCGAAAACGTCACTCGGGTTTTACAATACAGACCGGGACAACGCAGGTCCGAAGGGCGTGTTTGAAACCATTGCTTAGTACCTACTCCATTGAAAGTAAAATGGGGCATATTTTTCTTAATTGATTTGAAACAGAAAGAGAAACACTAATACCACGGGGGTAGTCAAAGCACATACAACTACTCATTCGAAAACGAGAAATACGCGAGCTACAGCCTGAAATAAGGGAGGTAGCCTTACAAGGCTACTGCTCCTCAGCGTCTCGGTTATTTTCATCAGTTAGACTTTCTTATTTCCGTTTATCGAATATGTACATACTATGTATTTAACTAGAGAATGAAAATCCTTGCAAGCGAAGCTATTTACCTTGTTTTTAGGGTAGTTCTCGAGCTAATCATTCAACTTACTTTAACATGTCTCTACCTTATTTTTAGGGTTCTAGAGCTAATCATTCAACATACTTTAATATCAACAAGTATCCTCCCTTTAAGAACAACAAATGTATCATCTTGCCGACGACTTAGTCTGGGGTCGTTACGGATGCGATGACGATGACGAACTCTGTTGAAGTCTGTTATGAACAATAAAAGTTTCTGATTTATGAATATCGCTATTGTCGCCAAAAGGAACGTTGAAAAATGAATAAATGTACGAAGCGAGAGCTACCGTGTTGAACACAGTGATTGTCTGTGCATGAATTTGTGCCTTAGGTTTAGAGCATACATCAAGAACCATGGTTTTTTTTCTATAATTCAGAATAGTTACGCTTACGACTAAATCAATGTCTCAACATGCGGGTTAAAGATACACTGATTTAATGAGGCTCGCAGATGAACGCCCGCAGCTCATGTTTTTAGAGGAGCACTCAAGTGACAGAGACCCTTACACTTTTACGGAAGGTATGACGATACTCGCTTTTTCTCTCGGTAAAGCGAATGGGCTTTGCTCTCACATTTTTCATATTTCTAAACTCTGAGTCTCGACATCTTTTCTCCATGAAGTTCTAGTTGATTCATTTTATGGTCGTTGTTATATTGGCGTCGTGTTTTTATGATTTTCCGTGGCAGTCGCAGATTTGTAGTTGTGTCGACCTTTTTGTTTCTAATACATGTTCCAGGGCTCAGGGCCACCACCGCTCCATCCACAGGGGGGGGCCTCCCTCCCTGGTACATATATATAAGAGCTTCAATTTATTCTAGCGTGGTTTTTATTTGCTGTCAACAATACAGAAGATACTATTCATTTCTTAAGTAGAAGTGCCTTGTTTGCTTCAATCAAGAAGTGGCCGCATTTCTTTGTTCCGCATCTCCATATAGAAGATCTATGTATGTAACTCAAATATGTAGCCGTAAAGGAGTGTTGTCTATCCTCTCATGTCAGTAACCTAGTATGTAACTACCTCCGTCCAGCACTGGCCTAAGTAGTAATAGTACAACACGTGGTGCAAAAAGAGTTAGAGATTCTGACTCAGCAACTTCAAGCTCGCTCAGTAAGGGGAAATGAACGAATTATAGACGAACGTCTTCATGAACTCGGCATGAGTAGGTTTTTCAGGCTTTTCTGTATAGTTCTGCTGATTTGATGAATCTTTTCGGCAACGTGCCTAAGATTTTCCTGACGATTTCTAGTAGCCATGATCTTCGTAACTTGTCCTCTATCTTTATTTTGGAATTCAACTTCGAGTTCTTCTCCCAGGGATAAAAGTTCTCTTTTCATACTGCCGATTGCGAAGGATTTGCCAAACCTGAAGTACGTGATTACAATGGGCACGTCAGGTGCAACCTTGTTTTATATCACACGACCATCTTCTTCGTCCCAGCATAAGTGCACTTTTCCGGTACAGTAGGTTTTCGAGTATAGTGGGTGCCGTGACACCCGCATATGTCGTGCTGTTACACCCGCATGTGTTATGAAGAGAGCAGAATAGTGTATCTGTACAAAGTCTCATCTTCTATGATTTGATGACTGGCACAACTCAGCATGAGTTGTACTATTTGTTTACAAGACCTTCATACTATTTAGTCTAAAGTAGATCCATGTACAACAGGACCTTCTCTTGCATATCAGTAACTACATGGTTCGGCGCTTTGCGATAAGCAAATACTAGATGAATACTAACAAGAGAGATGGTTGAATACTGGAAAGCAGGTAAGACCAAGTTGGATGAATACTAAGTAGGGAGATAGATGATCCCAACAGGAGATGGAAGGCCCACTTGATCTAAATCCAAGTCAACTCTTGTTGGCAAAGTAAAAATATTACTAGGCATCAGCAGCGTTTTTTTAGGCTGTATGAGGTCATTCTTGTCGTTACTATCAATGCCAAATGATACCAGAAGTGAGTCAGTATTTTTTTCGATGCTTATTGTGTGGACGAATGTCCCTTCTTTCTCCTATGAGGATTACCTCATTCTTGTGCGCCTGCGCGTCCTGAATAGTAGTAGTTTGAAAATGAAAAATTATCGAGATTTGGGATTTTTGCATTTGCTGTGGGCGTATTTCTCGTAGGATTTTTTTGGGTTGTATCGTTTGAATTCTGTAAGTAGTGCTTGTTGCTGCAAAGGGCAATCTCATCTTGCGTCAAAAGAGCTGTGCAGGAATTGTTGAATGCTTGTTGTTGCATGTTAGAAATGCTTGTTGTGTACTCAGGCTTGCTCGTACAGAGAATAATATTTTCAGATAAGCTACTCGTATATGAAGAATGTTACTTCTGACTTATATTTGCCACTGCCAGGAGGAGGGCATATCTATCCGGGTTGATGTGTTGATTCTCACATATTTACGCTCATCATTGAAGTGGACGAGTGAGTCCCTTGGGTTACCATTATTTACTACTTGATTGTACTTGATGGAGAGCGCCGTCACTCAGTTCTGTCTTTCGATTACTTTTTGAGATCCTGCTGACCGTTCCTTCCATATTCCTATGCTGAACAATTGAATACTGAATTATTGCTGAACTTTCAAGAACAACGAGGTCATGACTGCCACTTGTGTTTGACTGATCTAATCTAATCTTGTCCTTTCCTTGAAAGGAGCCAAGATGCATTGAGCCTCTTGCGCGCTAACAGATTTGTCGTCATTCACAGCAGCCTCTAGACTCATGTCTTGACGGTGTGACGCTGTCTTGAATGTGATGTAGAGAAGTTGAAGTTCCTAATTATCATTTTTTGTGGCAAAATACTTGGTTGCATATTATGGACTTCTTCGCTTGGGAAATTATCTCCAGACAGTGAGTGTGAAATAAGCACAACTTCTTGCACTTACTTATGTTTGTATACACGACCTGCTTTTTTAATCAAAATTTTGTGTTCGAAGCAGGATCACATCATGAGTCTGTCCGTCGTCCTCCTGAGCCAATATGCACTGTCTTATCCTACATCGAATCGATCAAACAAAGTGAATTACAGGAAAAATGAAATGTTTGTTCATGGACCCGCCTGAAATCTTGGATCGAAATTTAGACACTAGATCAAACTCAAGCCAATAAAGGAGATTTAGATCGCCTTTCAAACAGATCAAAAATTTATTTTTTCACAGGAATTTTGCCCTTTTATATTGTTGAAATGGCTCATATTGAAGAAATGGCTCTCTCATTTTAATCGTCTGAAACTTTTACAGGCACAGATTGTTCTAGAATTCTTTCTTCTATCATTACCCTTGCTTCCCCATGCGACATTGCTGATGCTACTGTAAATTAAGCGTTTCGATGTGACTTTTTTTGTGACGATATCAATAAAGTAGGACAAACAAAATGGATCCGTTGTTAGCATCGGGTCGGCGTGGTGGCGGGAGCAGTAGCTCCAAGGGCAAGCTACAGTTCCGCGGAAATGTTCCGGCTGCTGGTGTCGACACTTCCATCCGAAGCACACGGCAAGGGATGTTGCCTCCTTCTACCACTGGCATTCCTCCACCGGGGACTGCGAATGGTGGAGCTGTCCAGAAAGGTAACGGTGTCAAAAATGGACAGATTCAGCTTAGAGGACAAGTGCCGATAACTTCCAAGGGAGTTCCGACAGCGAATGGAGGCCGACAACTGGCGCGAGTGGGGGCACCGCCTTACGGCCATCGCGCCGATTGGGCCCCGAAAACGGTGGCAGACTTCGGCGACGGCGGAGCCTTTCCCGAGATCTTGATACCGCAATATCCTCTGAACATGGGAAAAAGTGGCTTCGTAAAGCACGCTACGCAGTCGACGGGCGCATCAAACTCCAAAACTATTGCGCTACAAACCGACGCGGGTGGCAAAGTGGCCTACGATGCGATTGCGAGGCAGGGTCTAGCGGCAGAGAAACTAGCCGTGCATACGAGACCAGACAGCATGAAGGAAAAGTGGAGCAGGGCAGACGCTTTGGTACTTGAGATAGCACTGTAACGGTTGAACTCAAACACTAAAGATTTTTGATGTCTCTGTTCCAAGCAATCGATATTGTGCTCTTTCAACACAACATCTCGAAGATCTCTATCTTGATCGAAAGGAAGTTCTTAACACCGTCTGATTAGGCAAGAATGTTAGGTGGAAGGAGTTTAACACGGCTTGATCTTCAGGCAAGAATGTTTGTTGTAATAATTCAAAATACAACAACAAATACAATTTGATAAATTTAGGTTCGACCTGACGCAGAGATCGATGCAGTGAACACGTCTAGGACACAGCTAGCTTTGCAGGCATTTTTAGCGAAGAAAGTGAGTGCCGGCTCGAAGAGTTTAAACGCCGCCGCTGAATCACAGAAAGCAAACAAGGCTAGTTTTATCAAGTATACACCGAACGAAGATGCGCCAGGATATAACCCAGACGCAGCAAATCGTGTTATTAAGGTGATGCAGAAGCCAGTCGATCCCTTTGAGCCGCCAAAATTCAAACACAAGAAAGTCCCGAAGGGCCCCGGTAAAAATCGTTCCTTAACATCTAGACCACTAGACCACTTCTTGTCATTGTTAGTTGGAACTAGACCACTTCTTGTCATTGTTAGTTGATTTGGTAGGAAGTGGTGAGCGCTTTTTTGATTCTCATCTATCTTCGTGTTGCTTTGTGAAAAATGAATGAAATGTGAAATAAGTCGCCTATAATTTTGATGACTATTTCATCATGTTCACTTGCTACTGTGTGTTTTCTCGATATCTGCTGCTTTGCAGGTACTCCGCCGCCGCCCCGTCAGCACAGTCCACCCCGGAAACTGACTGCGGCCGACCAGAAGGCGTGGATCATCCCACCTTGCGTGAGTAACTGGAAGAATAATCGAGGTTACACGATTCCCCTGGATAAGCGTATTGCGGCAGACGGACGCAACTTGCAAGATACGACTCTCAGTGAAGCGCACTCGGAGATGGCTGAATCACTCTACCAAGCAGAAATGAAGAACAGGGAAGAAGTTCAAATCCGAGCAAATCTGGTAACGCTCTTACTTCCTCATTCTTGTCTGGTCATCGTTGTCAATACCAAATAAATTTCAATGCTCTTCTTGTAAGGTTTAACAAGATCAAGATTGCATCCTGACTTTCACAAAAAATAGGCTCGCCAGCGGAAGCTTGAGGACGCTGCAACTGCGGAGGAGGAGATGAAGAAAGCCGCTCGGGAAGCACGGGAAGCACAGACTAAATTAACAGGAACAACGAGACAGCGTCAGCAGGAAAGCAAGGACGAAGAGGACCGCAAATATCGCGAACAAATAGCAGAAGAAAACCGTCGCGAGGTCGAGCGTCAGTTCCGTTTGGACAAAGCAGGGAATAAACGAAGTAAGTTAACAAGTGCAAGTCTTTCTTATTTTTTGTGATGCTTACTAAGTGGCGTTCTGCTGATGCGTTATAGATATGAAACAGTTTTTGACAACGAAGAGGAAGCCATAATATTTTGGAGTCTCGCACCCTCTGTAACTGTTCTGGGTGCCTAAGAGATCAGTAGTACCGACATCCGGTCTTTTATTTGTCCTACCAAACTAATGAGAACAAAACCTTCCTAGGTGGCCGCGATCGCGACGCGGACCGCGATGTTAGCGAGCGCGTTGCTCTTGGGCAGCAGGTGCAGCCGACACGACAGGAGACCCTGTACGATACGCGGTTGATGAACCAAGACGCTGGAATGGATAGCGGCTATGGTGGGGATGAGAAATACCAGGTCTACGAAAAACCCTTATTCACGGAAAGAACGGACAACACGTTCTACAAGCACGACAAGGACCGGCTCGAAGCAGGTACGAGAGGCGTCAACTTCGAGGCGCACCGCGAGGCCGAAGCCAACCGAGTGGGAGTCTCGGTGCAGTTCGAAAGAGACGAAACACACGATGAAGAAGACGCCTTCGGAGTGGATCGCATGTACAAACGCGCGAAACGAGAATAAAGAATGCCTTGCGGAGAACGCGTTTTTCGCACGTTCTTGCAAATTAGAACGCATTGTGTCTGGTTTGGTACAGGAGGTCTTTGTTATTTCGTTCTCGCGAAGAGTCATAGTTGTTTTTACATGGTCAGCGACACGAGTCTCGTGTGGGTGCGCAGTTCAATCCTGGGGCATCTTCACAGTAGATTTAGATCATTTCTGTTTCAGCAACGCCCCACACACCCATGAACCCTAAACGACTCTACAACTTGTTCCGCTTCCCCTGGCGAACAAGGACTTGTTGTGATTGGCATGTGTACTTTCAGCACCAGTAGTTAAGACGGTTGGAAAAGGACGCGGACTGAAAAGGGTTGATCTCAGAAGTGAGGTTTACTTTGCTTTCGGGTGCAAAACCAAGATCCTAATTTTTTGATGTTCTGAGAGACGATCCAAAAGATGGGAAAAAGGCAGCAGATCCATACGATCAGAATGGCAAGAAATTGGATGTGTTACTCTTTTTAATTCTTGCGATTTCTCTTTGCTCGCTGTCGCTCAACATTTCACATTGTCTTGTCTTCACAGGCACTCCTACTTCTAAAATCTGTTGCTTGAATTTGCATTGTCTTGTCTCTTTTACATCTAGCACCCTTGAAGTAACACGTACTGATTTATTGAATTGATTATGTGATTCGAGGCATAATCAGTAACTTCGTTGTCGTTTTTTTTTTGACTGAAGAAAACATATCGACGGCTTGTTCTCGCTGTGGTATTTCTAACGCATCGCCAGCACCAGGAAACCACACATCTGACAGCGTCTAATCCGCTGTGGACGACGCAAGGATTTTCATACATTCCCCAGACTTCGTACGAAGACCATCACAGGCTTTTCGAACGCGACAATAAGGATTTCTCGACTGGAGAGTCCTGTGATATCATACATAGAGATCAAGAACATTGTTCTGACGTGGAACCACTACTGCCCCGGTGACGAACCGACCTTTCCTCTTCCGCCTGTCCTGGGGAACAAGATGGTGGTGATTATCATGCTGCAGGTCAAAGCTGACCTGGAGAATCTGGACAAGCTGATTTTTCCAGAGGACCATTACTGGACTATGGACATCAAGAATTCGCAAGCAGAGGAGTTTAGAAAAAGGATAACGGTGAACAGAGCGGACAAAAACGAAATACCGAATACCAAGAATGCGACAGCAAATTTTCTAGTAAAGTGGGAAGATGCGAAGCAATGGAGCAGTATTGACGTTTTGCTTGTGAATAGACTAGTGGTTCTACTCGCTTCTGATTGAAATTACTCCTCACCTTGTGATTCTGCAATTTGCGAAACAACGAAAATACAAATGGGCGTATCTCAATCTTGGCAAAAGAAATTCTTGAAATTGAATTCTTTCTAGGTGGAATGAGTCGAGAGCGGGTAAATTTGCTCAGTCTTCCTATGGAAATATAAGCCCCAATACTTCTCTCTTCAGCGATAAGCGTGGCCGAAGTAACGCGATCAGGGCCACTGAAGGGTAAGACGCTCAATGGAGAATATACAAATTCCGGCAACTGGCAGGATGTTATTGCATTCGAATGTAAGGGTGCGGAACCTGTGAAATACCACGCAACAGAGGGCTACACAGTCGTCACCCAAAAAGGCGAGCACATACCTGACGTACCTGTTCTTTTTTTGTTTTTTGGGTGCGATATAGAAATAGATACATGATGTAGAAGCAAGTTGAAGTACCTTTTTCGAGAAGAAAGTTCCTTAACCTAGTTACTTCAAGTTAAATTGAGTGACTTCTGTTGATCTCTAGCTATTTTTGCTGTTTTTCTGCATTCTTGAACGTACAGGTTGAATTAACCGAAGGCGAGGACTGGTGCGGATACGATCAAGCAATACAGGACTCCATTGGAGTTTACAACTTTGAAGCACGCTTCGTACAGGTGAAAAAATGAGAACATTGGCAGGCGACCCTGAACTGTGCCATGATAGACGCAGAACCCGCTACAGTCTCGAAACAAAGTTACCAACAGCTCTCCTACTCCTAGAGATCCCCAAATTCAAGAATAATCTTCCATGAGGTGTCCCTATACCACATCGCCAAAGTCTTACATTATCACAAGATAAACCTGCATCGGCATGAATCAGCTGCGTTGTTCGCGTGTTCCGGGAGTAAGAAGTTTTGATAAGAGTTGGGTTGCATGTGCTCACGTGCGATAGTAGTAATAGTTTGCTGATATTATCTGTTATATCTGTGCTTTTTGATGAAAGTTCAATTGTCCCTCTAGTTGATAATAGAAAGTATAAGGACATGAGGATCGATGTTGTTCTTACTGTTCGGTGCAAACGTACGCCATCGTGGTCGGCCATGTAATTGCTCTCTGTAAAGATGCTTGCTAGGCACATGCACATCGGTATGACCAGAGGCGAAGTAAACCACATTAGAGAGACTCCTCAATGCCTCCAACAATAATGAACTCCCCTCCTCCGTCATGTCCCTGTTGACTACACAGTTTGTACATTACCTTCTCATAGTAAGCACTCATTCTTGGTTGGTAAACAAGTAGGATTGAACCAGCTACGCTCATCATGTTTTCTGTAGTTTGGTAAGACCAGTAATGTGATCTCCCGAGGCATTTTCTGGTAGTATCCTTGCCAGTGCAGAAGTTTTGACATCGTTAGGTTTGTGTACCATCAATCTCTACGACTAGAAAGCATTTTTCAGACTAATATAAAGTACTATCCTCGCATGCTGCATATCATCTCTCCCAAGGTTTGACTTACCGACCAAGATTTCTTTGGTTCTACTAACAAAAACCAGCAAGAAAAATCATGCAACTAATGTAAAATTTGTAGGAGCTCGATCCACGAAATTGAGCGCAATGACCGCTAACACATAAGATTAGTCTCACAGTTGTAGTAAGTAGATCTTGTCGAAAAGTTGGAGCCCTAAGGAAAAGGCATTTAGCCAAGGGGAGTGGAGCAATGGGTACTATGTATAAGAATAGCTTCTCCTTTATATGTACATGCACCGTCTATTACGCTACATGCAATCACTACCGCTCACACTAACTAATTGAGTAACGACAACTTCTCTACTACGTAAGCATAAAGGCTACCGATGTTGGTAAATTTACATATTGGATTTTTGAAGTTCAACAACCATTATATTTTTCAACTTCGTTTCTGGTATAGCTTAGACTCTAGGAAATATTTCCCCGAAATCCCCAGGTAACACGTGTTCCCAGGCGGGCACGTGCTTCTGTCCGAAAGGGGAGGAGCCAGTGGAATTGAAGGATGAAGCACGAGTTATGGCGCTTTTGCTTTTCGAGTAATTTATTTTCAGATTCAGAGATTGAGTCATTTGTTAACCCAACTAAAATAGGTTCTACCGTACAGTTGATAACTGTACAATGGGTAGTACAACGTGATCATACTTTAAGCAAATGCTAAACTATTACTGCCTGTAATTTTCAGATTCAGAAGATGTCTCTCATATATCTTATTGCAATTTCGAATCTTCAGATGTGCTGGAGGTAGATTTGAATTTTCTCGCAATACTGAATTTCGAATTTTCAGACCTGATCTACCGGTAGATCAAGCTCTCTTCTTTGTTTTCGACCCTAGCATGGAAATTGAAGCATTTTCTTCTAATCACGCCAATGCAGCAGAGGATGCAGGAGATGGTACCGTTAGGAGAGTGAAGCCGCCACACGTTTTCTCCAATGGGGCTTCCTATAGCGGTGAGTGGGTGTCAGAAAAGAGGGACGGACACGGAACACAGAATTGGCCAGACGGAGCTGTTTACGAAGGTATTGTGAGCCAAAGCGTGAAAATTAGAGTAACATGTAGTTGGATTTTTCGAATGAACTAGGCTTTCAAGTAGCTTTCCATCGACATGACCTTTATCTTCATCTTCCTTGTCACCAACATGTTGTAGATCATTCTCCCTCCCGAACTACATTTATATCGTCATTTGATGGTGGTCACGCTGTAACCCTTTGTCTCCATGATGATTACCAGGTCAATGGAAGGATGACAAGGCACATGGTTTCGGCAAATTTATTCATACAGACGGCGACATATATGAAGGCCAGTGGGTCAAGGACAAGGCGCAAGGCGAAGGAACCTACTACCACGAGGACGGTTCCAAATATCAAGGACAATGGTAATTTAGAAATGTTTGTCATTCTCTCTTCTGACAGAAATGATAATTTCTTGTTTTATTTTCATCCAGTGTCTAACAGAATACTTTGTAACACTGTAATTTATTATTGCTGTAGTTAGAACTCAAAAGAGACTCAGGGAAGTCGTGGGTCCAATCCGAATCGACTAGCGTCATCATCAGACGCGACAGGTCTGCTGAAACCTAGGCACCCCCTGCGTCGGACGTTGCTCATAGTTCCTGAAGTCAACTAGGACAATCGATCTGGTATACATTTTCATGGTAACATTCTAGTCTGTCCCATTGCCATGCCTTATGCTGTCCCCTCATCCTATCGATTCTGTTCAGGTTGGAAGACAAGCAGCATGGATTTGGGTTAGAGATGTGGCCAGATGGTGCCAGATATGAAGGTCAATATGTAGGCGGAAAAAAGGAAGGCGAAGGCCGATTCAGCTGGGACGATGGCAGCTCATACAAGGGGGAATTCAAGTTCAACGAAATTCATGTTATGACAAATCAAATTTAGATTTCCAGAAAATGTTTAGAGCGAGAATACCTCTGCAATCGCAGTAGGGAACTAAAGTGCGCAGAAATCCCTCATCCTTGTTCTTAACTGTACCTAAACTCCATTACAGTCGCCCAGTGCGGGACTCACAATCCAATATTCGGCTAGATTAACTGGTAGAAGTCGCCCGGAAAATCTTAGTGAGGCGCCTCTTCTTAAAGTCGCCCTGTGAGTGACTCACACTCCAGCATCAGGCTAGACTAACCGCCAGGATTTTGGGCACTTCTCAGATGAATCCTCTTCACCATCCTCCTCATCTAATTTCCGCTTCGGAGTGTACGTGTGGGCAGACGGGCGACGATTCGAAGGGCAATGGGAGAAATCAAGGATGCACGGCTCAGGAACCTTCTCCTGGAGTGACGGGAGAGTGTACTTACAATCCATTATCTGTAGACTCGTCTGGGAAATCTTAGGCAGCTCGCCGAATATATTCAAATCATCACCTGTGGACGTCTATTACTTGTTCTAGAGACGTCAACTCTTTTCCGAAGGTGTGGATGCAAATCACAACTTGGTAAAACGTAGCTACTATATTTCATCAGGTATAAGGGCGACTACAACAATGATCAGAAGCATGGATACGGCGAGTTTACGTGGCCGGACGGCCGGAAATATGCTTATGACAAGCAAGAGTGCATCCTCACCCTCAACATATTCATCCTGTTTGAGTATCATCTTTTCTAAATAGAGAAATTTTAGCTGTGCTTGAATAGGTGCATGTATCAGAGCATCAATAACTCTCTCTTTAGGCGATCAATCATCAATTAATAAGAGGAAAAGAAGACACTAAGACCTGATTTACTTAGTGATTCACGCCAAGGATATTATCAACTAGTACTAGGAGCACCAATGAGGGAACCCATGTTAAGGATTACAGTTTTTTTATCGTTCGTGGCACCGGGATAGTTGGCACCAGGAGGGGCATGTAGCCAGTAGGTACCTCGCCGGATAGGAAAAGACTCCAGTCATCTATCAGCTCTAATCTTTGGGTCAGTGGTTCAATGCTAAGCAGCATGGGAATGGTATCTACACGAACGTTAAGGGCGAATCCAGAGAGGGCGTCTGGGAAGATGGGCGAAGGATGAAGTGGCTTAGTAATGCATAGAGGACAGTTGTAATAAGGAGGGAGGAAGGACAAGAAGGAGGCCTATGCAATAGTGTCTCTTAGAGGGTTATGCTCAATCATGATAGAGACGCACACGCATGACAAGACAAGCTCTACTGCGCTTTTTCTCACTATCCACTAGTACTCTTCTAATGAGATAGAGGTTGTGATTGTCATGTAGAACCGATGGCCCATTCCATCTTTCAATCGCACTCCTACTTTTACTACTACATAGAAAGAAGAGTCGCCAAGACTTAGTATGACATAGACCGATGGATTGCAATTGCATGTAGTTGCTCGCATAGGAAATTTGCAGACATGAAAATCCCTGACCTTACTTTTCTCAATCATACTAACCATTTTCCACAGTTTGCGCGTAGCTAGTAGTTTTATCTCCCGGAGATAGTTGCCTTCATCCTTCATTCCAAATCCGAATACCAAGCCTTGTGATCATAAGTATGTCATTTCTAGTTATGCTCGACATTAATACCACTATTTCTACTCAATAAGTCAGTCTAGCAAGTATTTGGGTACCTAATTCAGTCTTGATGCTGAAAGAAATTAGATTGATATCCTCGACTATCTGACTCACTGTCTTTGTAGAAAATTGATGATTGTCGCTTTCTTAAACTGTTTCTGATGTCATCATACTGAAATGAAAGATTATATCTTATCTTACTTAGCATTCACTGTACACTGCTACCCATGGGCTTCAGATTGTCATGTCACGGATGAAAATTCATTCTGTCGTCGATGCATGTAAATATACGGAAGTTGCATGTTGTATGTAGTGTCTATATTCCTTCGACGACAAGAAGAAGATTAGACTTGTGATCAATCCAGCCTCACGGCGGTGTGAGATTGCATGAACCTGCGTCATGCCTACTCTCGACGCGCGAGTGTTCCGATGATACTGCAGATTCGACGCTCAGGGGAAACATAAATTTGATGGCCCAACACAATTTGAAGTCTGTCGGTCGTGTGTGAGTGATAAGTTCTTTATGAACAGAGAGTTCTCACTCTCTGAAACTAAGCATGCATTATTTGAGGGACTGCAAAAGATGTATTTTTCTCTCATTCGTGCTGGGCCGTAAGACTCGTACGTATTACTTTCATCATTTATGTAGTATATTTTGATAATTGTCGTAGTTGCATCTGCGCAATGGTACTTTTGTTCCTTTCTCTCTTTGAGGCGAGGTCTTCACGGTTCTTTGTTTTTGAATTTCCAGTCAGTCTCCACAGTACCCAATTGAATTTCATTACACGTGAAGAATCAATCTACACCTTTTTCCAATCTCCTGTAGGGTTTTCTTGTCAAGTCTCGCTTTTTGTAAATCTTCGTAGGATTTACAGGCTAGCAGGACTAGAAGAAGCGTTTAACAGCATTGACCTCTGGGTCTCATCTTCGTCGGCCGAATTGCAAGCTTTGTCTCAAACTTCAACCCTCCTGAGAGGCGATTTCATCAGAAGGCCTGCTTCCTGTGCGACCAGCCGCCACGCGTATTCCGCTGGTTCGAGTACAAAACAAGAGGAGCAACTTGATTACTACGCGGATTTTCTTCCCTCAGTACAGGACTTCCTGCCAATCCAACTACAAGACTTCCAACATTTAGCAGAAGTCCTCTCGTCCTCTCAGAAGAAGGTTGTCGCAGAAAAGAAAAGGCAACGATCCTCCAGAACAAGCCTCTGGAGTATACAGGTTCCACCTGTGGACGGCGAGCCAACTCCTATCCTATCCTACGCCGATTCCCGCAAGACAAGGCTCCAACGGATCTGACGCGATGTTGGATCGCGGGTTGCTGCTGCAGCAGTTGCTCTATGACATCCGCATGGGCGGTACTAATATTCTGCTCGATACACGTTGATCCTGATGACCTGATTATGGTATTTACAGTGGTGATCATCCAATTTTAACTCACGTCATTGACTGCAGAATAACCAACTTTCTCCAAACTCTTAGGCACTTTAACACACCAACAAAACACCAAGCGTCATCCTGCTACAACCCGTCTCTCTGTCCTGTAATAAGGATTTTTTTCATCTCTTGGAAGATAAGACTTTTGACTCTCTAAGGTTGACAAGATTACAGTGGTGATGTCTGGCCACCGCTTACCAGCATTAGCAGTCTACATAATTTTGAGCTGTACTCTGGAACTAAGAAGCTGATAGATACGTGCAAATCTTTTACGCATTAGCCATTTATTGACTGGAGGCTTGAGCTGGAATTATCACTGGAATCAATTACTTAAGAGATTTAGACGTCAACATAGAAACTTGTTTTCCGTTGGGATTATAGAAGTGGACCAATAATTTGTTAACACTATGTGGACTAATGTCTTTTTGCTAGTAATCCTTCTAGTATATGCTGATTGTTGACTTCTAGTATATCTATATGGTGATTATTGATATTGAGTTCGAATCTAATCTGAACCTTCCGCACAATCATTCAGGTGGTACCGCTTCTATCATGTCGAGCGACCCCGAACGCCCGGTGGGTGTGATGTACGGCTATTTTTCGCCTAAAGGCGGCTACCAGTGCAAGGCCATGGCGATTTGCAAAGAGCTTGTCGAGATGGGGCTGCGGCTTTCTGACTTGGGTATGACGGAAATTATACTGCGATCTAGAATACCAATACTTTTTATCTCAATAGAAATCGTGGAGTCATACCTTTCACTATAAAAATCAAATGAAGAGACTTTCTTCCCTATTGATCCTAACGAATTAAAACACGAACAATCAATGCAATAATTCAAGGTATTACCTTGCACTTGCATGACCCCGCTGGCCCGCACTTGGATTTGAAATTCTATTGGGTGCGTCCTGGACTCCGAGCAGTAGCCGGCGCGCATATCAAGGACACCAAGGTCGGAGCGCTTATCGCAGGTGACATTGAAGCTACTTCGCAACCTTCTTTGGCATCGGAGGATGCGAACGACAGTTCAGAGCAGTGTCCTATCAGTGACGCGATCACGGCGCACATTCCGGAGGATGTAGGTGATCTTATGTGAAAGAACTTCGAGCGCACATTGGCTTTTTTTTTCAGGGTCAGAAATCCTGTAATTCTAACTACCCAAACCTGTACGACGTGTTTCCTTGATGCGATGAATCATGAGCATCGATGATCATTCTTTCGCTTCTCCAGGTGACATCAGCAAAGTTTCGCGCGTTTTGGTTTCGGAGCACCTATCGAATTTCAGCGCTGAGCGATATCGGTTGGCGGCGATCTTGGGTTGCCGCCTCTTGGAGTGTGGAGGTCATCTTACGTCGTGTATTGAGAGGAAAGTCACAAGCAGGGCAACTTTTCGATCCTTTTCCTACTCGATGGATTTCTTTACTTCCCTCAATGATAGGTAAATAAAGTTGCAGACAATTGAGTCTGCAATAATGTTGCAGACAATTGCGTCTGCTTTGCTTGGAACCAACAAGCTCAGATAGGTATGAGAATTCCAATATGCATAACTTGTTGTCTGAAGCAGGACGAGGTTCGTTCATATGGCGAGGTTGCGCGACGGATCCAGCCACCTTGCAGTATCACTGGAGTGGTAGTATCTTTAAGGCTTTCCCTAATTCATCTTGTAAAAGCACCCTAGAAGGGTACTGTAGAAAGAAACCACGAGCAAGATTCTCTCCATCAAGATGAATCGCGATAAGCTCTAATATGGTTATGTGGACGTATTTCACAACTTAGTAGTTTTTGTGAACAAGCACATCAATTATTTTCATAGGATTTCGATAGTTTCTGCACAGCACGCAACGCGCAGGACAGGGGAGCTTGTTCGAAGATGTTTACGACACCAATAAATCAATAGTGTTCATAGGCGTACCCCTGGATTGGGTTTACTACTACTACTACTACTACTACTACTACTACTACTACTACTACTACTACTACTACTACTACTACTACTACTACTACTACTACTACTACTACTACTACTACTACTACTACTACTACTACTACTACTACTACTACTACTACTACTACTACTACTACTACACTAGTGTTCAAAATGATAGGTACTCAAGGTAAAAAAGAACAAAGGGTCTTCGTCACCCAGTCATGTTGGTTCAGTTGTCGGGTGTTATCACAACAAGAACTCAAGACAGCTATTGTATTCGAACGCTAGACTGTTCTTAGGTACTTAACCACAAGGTCACCTTGATTGCCTCTAACACTGATAAATCGCAGACGGAAAAGAACTTACTCCTTGGCGCGAAGCTGCAGACGGATGAGGTCTTATCGCGTGGCACAGACCTGCAAATAACTCAGAAGAAGACACGGCTGGGCGCGCAGCTGCAAATCACTAAGAAGGAGCGGCGCCGGGGTCGTACGAACTTGCAGCAAGTCACCGAGACGATGAGCACGCTGCTGGGTACTGGAGCGCAGCAGACCACCATGTGCTTGCTAGAAATGGGAACGGAATCGCAGCGAAACAAAAAGGACTCAAGCGTCACCGAGCGTTTATTGCCGTTTGATGATGATGCCACGTTGAATAAAAAAGACATAGCAGGAGCAACAGTGCAACTCTCGATTAGTGGCGTTGAGCCGCTGGAGGGTATTTTAATCATTTTTGTAGTACAACTGCTAAGTACGCACAAAGATTCATTTTATTGACTCGATCCCAGAATCACAACCGTGTAAAACTGAATGTAGTCAGTCTAACGATTTTATTATTTCATCACTGACGCCTCTTCATGCCAGTTAATTATCACATATCTTGTCGAAGTTTGAGTTTGACGTGACAACGTCAATTTATATCAAAAAGACCTCCAGTTATTGATGAAAACGAGAACAACGACACATGTTCTTAGGAATACCCTTGCTCTGTGAAATAATTTAAAGTGGTCTTCTTCAAAACCTTCAGGTGGTCTAGACATGCTCGACGACGATACCGAGCTGCAAGAGGACGTCACGCTGGAGGAGGCGCCTGCCGTCATTTTCTGGCGGCAGGCTCCGGCGAGTTGCCGAGTAGCTGGCAAGGCTACCTCCACCAACAAGCCTCCAGCTTCGCATCGCTGCCAAAGCTCGATGAACCTGAGCGCTGACATTAAGGCCTTTAATTGTCATTTACGTTTGCATCTGCTCTCCCCATTGTTATAGTTACACTTCGCTAGGTGGGCTCTTGCAGTCGTGGGATTCATTACACTTCGCTCTTGCCATTACTATGGTTGCTAGAGGGCTTTGGCTTTGCAGTTGTGGGACTCATACATCGGGTAGTCCGGTCGATGTGCAGGGTAGATGTAGCTGGTAGGACCTATTACAGGGAAAGACCACATGAAAGGGAGCAATACTGTGCTAGGGAGATACAAGTTTACTATCTCTAAGAATCTCCGTCCGCCGCGACCGCGAGCTGGAGTACGCTTGGCCGGTTTTCAAAGAACACGCGCAGCACCTCGTGCTCGAGTGGTGGCTCCGAATTTGCCTGTGCGGGCCAGGGCAGCACCGGGATATGCGGACTCAACTAGTACAACTCAATTGGCGGCGAGCAGGGTGAGCAAAGTCAAGGGCCAAATTTGCACCGGAAACCGGTTCGCCGGGCTCCCGGTGCATCACTGGAAGCCCTGCCGTGCAGCGACACCCGCCCGCTGCCAGCCGAAGGACTCCAGCGCGGATCGTGGACAGCGTTCTCCACCAAAAGAACAACGGGTTAGCCGCAGCAGCAAGGCTGAAGACGCCATCCTGCTTTTCATCGAGGGAGGCAAAACGAACAAGAAGCGACTTGCTGCGAATCTACCGATGGCCACACGCCGTGCCTCTCATAGGGCGAACGAGCCGGTGCGCGGCACTGAGATGAAGCCGAAGGCCGCTGCTGGTGCTGCTTCCGCCGCTGCTAAGTGCTCGAGCAGAAATCAGGCACTGCTCGGCCTCCTGCTATTGGGAATGTGTGCTTCCTCTGTGTACATGGCCGTGCGGGTGTTCACGGGTTGGAACGTCCACCAGCAAACCGATGTCCCGGCCGTGCGAAGCCGTGGAGCGAGCGCGCCGTCGTCACGTGCAATGATACTTCTCTCCTCGTTTTCGGAGCAAAGCAAAGGAATACTCTCTAGTAGATCACACGAACACCAATCATCAACACCAGGAGAGAATCGGAAACGGGATCAAAGTATGGGTTCCTCAAGTTTACATGCGTGTAAATTGCTCTCTTCGTCAGACTGGAAAAGGCAAGGTCGCCGAGAACGTTTTCACACGCGACTCGCCCCGCCAGCCGTTGCCGAATGCCGTACATCAGGTATCCAACGGGAGCACGGGTTCATTCGGAACGCCGTCAATCAAACGGCGCAGCCGCGCCTCAGGATGATGTCAGGAAGTTGGACCGCAGATGAGCGCGGCTGGATGCAGCGGAGCATCCGAGCGACGCAACGTGCACCTTCTCCGTGGATCGTCAAAGCAGTCGCAGAGTCACAGAACACCTTCTATGAAGAAGGGCAACTCCGCAAGTGCATGTCCTTTGAGCACCGCCTTTGGAATCATACGGTTTCAACACCACGCTCCAGTGTTTCGACATCGATCGCCAGTGGCAACAGCGATCTCCCTTTTAGGTCTTTCGCAACTATTCGCCGAGCAGCTCGCAGACAACTTTCAGGCAGCGCAAGGAACCGGAAATCCAAAGCAGTGGCTCACAGGCAAAAGAATGGGCGAGGACTCGGAAAGGCGGTTGAAAGCATCACCGGAAGGACGTCAGAAGGGCAATGTCGCGCAGAAATGGCCGCCGCAGCGCCATTGCAGTATGTGGTCCACCGCAGTACCGGATATTGTGCAGGAATTCTGAAGCTCGTTGGGTACGCTTTGCTGGTGGTGTCTTGTGTGAAGCTTCTGCTGCGCGTGTTCATTCTTCGTTTCAGCCAGCTTGTGCGCGTCCTGTTTCGGCCCATTGGCGTTGTGGCGTGGGATAATTTTCGCCGTGGCGACCGCAGAATGGGCAGGCGAAACGCGACAGCCCTCGCGGAAACGCTTTCGGCTGCGATGAAGCGTGCGCTAAAAGGCCTGCGGCATGTCTTACGGCCCCTCGTATCCATATTTGTTACTCATCTGTCAGTAAATTCTGGGAAGGGCCTCGCGATCGTTTGAGGCTATCCTTTTTAGTTGTGCTCATCGGTAACCACGGGCGCGAACAGTTTTTTATCTGGCGCAAGGTCGTAGCGGGGGGCATCTTTGTCTTCCTGAGGAGAGTTTTTCTTGGAAGTGAGTAAGTGGGATTCTACTCGCCACATTCTAGCGCCACTAATCAACGAGGATGAAGACTCTGGGAAAATACGAGGCAAAGCGCTGACTGTAGATAGGGCGCTCGGGCGCGTGTGGGCGCGGCGCATTGCCGCTGTCGTCGGCGTTGCTGGATATTGGCTGCTGTGCTCAGCGGTGGATGAACAACAAGAACGGGGAGACGAAGAGCAAGAAGAACGCTTGAAGCAGGATGTCTTTTAAGGCTACGCAGTGTTGCTCAAGCATCCTGAGGGCCATCACCGTCCACATTTTCAAGTAAAGGAAAAAGGACAATGGTACCCGCCCCGTGGATTCGTACGCGACAGCTCTAAATTTGGGCGGACTTCAAAGAACTCCTGGACGAGCAAATGCCGGGCAAAATGACGCAACAGATCCACAACACTGAAAATGTTCTTCACCCTTGGTTTCGTGACGCGGGATGGGCAAGTCTCCAACTTGAAAGTGGTTCACCAGACGACCCGCCCGCTCGCTGTCAATACCTCACAGCGCACATAGAGAATCCAAACGACGTGAACTTCTTCGACGACGACGGAGTGGCGCTCCTGGAGAAGACTAAAAAGCCAAAGCCAAAACTTCTAGAAGCCGAGCCTTTCGCTCAGATGTCTAAGAGCGCGCTTACGCTTGCGAGTATCCTGAAAAAAAAAGAGTCGCTGACGGACGAGAACTTTATCGGCGCAAAGTCCAGGCACAGGAACGCTGTGATTGGCGTGGACAAGGTAGAAGTTCCGACAGAAAATGAGGGGAAGATGGAAGAGGTCAATGTTGTCATAAAGCGCAATACATTCCTGCTCGGCGCCGAGTCTTCTGACTCCGGGGAAGCCGCTGACGTCATCAACAAAATAGTGAAAGAAAAAAGTGCAATTAGTCAAGGCCTCCGATACACAGCGCAAGAAGCCTGTGTAGCACTCGACGTTGCGCGCAGCGCGTGTTGCGTCGAAACATATTTCGCCTGGGCCCGATGGCCGCGCACATCGTCCGATGGCAAGTTGTACCTTGATGTTCTGCTTGTCCAAAAGCGGTACAGCATGGATCTCTCGCTTTGGATTGGATCCATCCGAACCCAAGATGATGGCCGTGACGCGTCGGAACATGGACGCTTGGAGACGTCATATACACAATACAAAGGAGAGCGTTTAAGGGCTGGAGCCCTTGTAGCTAAGAAGGTGCAGGAATTGCATGACGCTGGGTATGCTCATATGGATTTGAAGCCAGAGAATGCCCTGATTGATGTTTTTCAGGTACCATCCTCGGAAGAAAAGTTCAATTGGCGATCCTTTTCTTTTTCCAACAAAATCATAATAAAGCTGTTCGACTTCGACACGACACTGCCGGTCAACATGAAGCTTCCTATTCCTGGACTCGGCTTCTTGGGCACTGTGGCATATGCGGATCCGTTTATGCTGGCGCTCGGTGCTGAGATAGAACCACTACCACAGGAATACACAGAAGCACGCAGATGTGATATGTTCAGCTTGGGCGGACTGCGATATACCATACTCATCGTGATGCCACCAAAGGCGAGCGATGTCCGTATTTTCCTTATGAATCATTCTAAGCATAAGCATCAAGACCATGGTAACAGGATGGGGATCGTCTAATGATGATCATAATCAACAGCGTACTAATTTTCCACTTCCAGCATGCTGTATGTGGCCACTTTTCGATTCCTGAAATACAATACTGTCGGACCTCGTCACTTTGCTGGTCAAAAATCGCTTCAATGTTCCGACGGTAGCACTGGAAGGAGCCCCCATTTTTTGCGGAGTCTGCTCGTGTTGGGGTGCTTCCAATTTTTTGCTTTTGTCGGCTCAGGTCTTTTCTGATCCTGAGCATGAAAAAGCCTAGACGGTCGGGGCGTAATAATTGTCACACCCCCCCCCCCGCTGGTCTGTGGTTTTAGTGCAGCAAATTTGCCGGCGTGTGATAATTATTACGCCCCGAAGTTATAGGCATTTTGGCAACGATTCCGACAGTAGCAAATCGACAGAATCGAAAAGTGGCCACATACAGCACCATCCATGATCAAGCACATAGCGGAAGCAAGAAGTTTATCAAGACAGCGACAGCAAGGCTATCGCCACTACTAGCATCAAAATTGCGAGGCCGAGACATCGCGAAAAAAAAGTCTGGCGATAGTGCTGAGCTGGTCTATGAGATGCTGCAGAATAATCGACCCAAGGGATCCAAAAGAAAAAAAGCGCAGGGGTTTGCCGCCTCTATTTGTGACGGCGCTTGTGTAGATTCGCGCCAGCCACAGGATTTGGGCGACGCTGCGGAAAACGACGACGCACGAGTGTCATCACCATACCCGTTCACTTGGCTGACCTATATGCAAACTAGCTGGAAAGCCAACATCCGGGGCCCTGGCTTACTGGTGAGCCAATGGCATTAGTGTTGTGTCAGCGCAGTGGTCTGGTTTGGCAGGCCCGAGCATTTGACGGCGCCGGCCGTTGCACCTACGGCGCATAGGTTAGCCGCGAAGCGTGTCGATAGTCCTCGACCTTCCTGGAGAGGTTGCGCGCCAGCGCTCACAGTGCGCGACCTCCCTCGCGGTCTCGCTGGTGTTCTGGCGCCAAGACTCCGCCGGGGAAGCCAGCCGCCACTCCCGTGCGTCGGTACTCGCGGAGCACGTGCGGCGTTGGCAGTTGGCTCATTGGCCAGAGTGCGCGACTAGCCCCCGCATGCGGGTAGCGCTGTCTCCTCGCTAGTTTTGAACTTGCGGCCCGCGCGTGTCGGCTATCCTGCTGGAGTCATCTGAGCGCCCGCTCCGCCCCTTCATGCCTTGGCAGGCTTGACCTGTCCCAGCGAGGAAGGACCGCTCCACTCACTTATCGCTCCCTCTCCGGCACTTCCCTGCGGAGGCCCCAGCCAGGCTCCTGCGTGCTTTTTGGTGTGGGCTTGGGTCGGCGGTCTGGGGCCCGCACTCGAAACGCGTGCTGGCCTTTGCGCAATGATGCGCCAGGACTCCACGTCCACGCCGAGCAGCGCCTGCGCCAGCGGTTTGCGGGGGCGGCTGCTGACTCTCGCCACGCCGTCGGCCTATGCAGAGGAGGGGCGAACTCCCAGAACGGGGGCGACGCTGTGAGAAAGCAGGCGCCCACACAGTTCAGGGTCAGGCAGCCACAGTCGGGCGCTGTTGGACTGCTGAACCGTCTGCAAGCTGGGGGCCGCGCTCGTAAATTCCGCGCGTTTCTTGTGCTGTGTCGTGCAGTCTAGCTACCACACTCCGCTCTGACTAACCCCACACGTGCCGCGGCTTGGCGTTGTTGTCATGCCAGTGGTTGACGACGTCGGCTGCGGTGCTTATGACGGCTACAGACTTCCCACTGAGCTTCGTGAAATTGTAGAGGGCTGGGGCGTTGTCGGTTAGGGCTGGCGACTGGGCTGGAGCCGCTCGCCCAGGTCTGCAGCTGGTTGGCTGCCAGCGCAGCCGCTGCAGCCTCGAGCCGAGAGCCTTGGTCTTAGCGCCTTTGCGTGGTTTTTCTTGAAGTGGGGGGGTCAAGGTTTTGCCGGTGTGGTTGGCCATTGCGTGCCTGATGGTGGGCTGTCTTTCTGGCTTGCTGTCTGTCGTGGCGTCTGCGAAAAGGAAGGAAGCGCAGGGGCTTGCCTATTAATTTGCCCAGGCTTAGGCGTTGGCTTAGTTTACCTTTGTTTTCTGCTGTCCATCCTTTCGATGGTGGGCTGTTGTGGTGCGGGAGGGCGCGCGTCGCTGCAGCCTCTGCTTCGCCTTCTTTTCGAAGGTGGTGCCTTTCGTCCACGCGTAACTAAAGTCGGAGCTGGGGGCTTCGGTCTTGATAAATTAACTAACGTCCCTAGAAGTTTTTGACTTTGAAAACGGAGAGGCTTCCTTGGGAGCGTGGGCCTGAAAGTGGTGGCTGAGTCGGCTCTGGTGCATGGCTTGAGAGTATGGCAAAAGTGTGGCGCCTGGTCGAGTGCAAGCGTGCGCATGGACTTCAGGTGGGAGTGAACATTCATTGAAGCTCAGGATAGACATGCGCCAGAAATCAGCGAGGGAGGGGCATTTGGCAGGAGGTTCGAGAGGGGTTCGAAGCTGAGTCTTGTGAAGAGAGAGAAAACGTAGCCGGGCGGTGTGGTTTGAGGTTCGGCCTTTGTTTCTATGCGAGACGTGTGAGGCGGAAGCAGAGAGCGCATGGACATAGGTGGCAACGCAGGCCCTAAAATTAAAGCAGGGGGGTCTTAGGTAGAAGACCCAAGGGGGATCTCGTTGGAAAGCAATCGGCGCCGCGTGTAGTTAGTTCGTATTTGCTAAAGTTAGTGGCTGGCGTTGTGCCGTTAGTTAATTTAGTTTCTTAGACCGTACGAGGGGGACCCGATGGGATATTTCGCAGAGTTTTTCGAGCGAAAGCTGTCCCGCCTTCTCAAACCGAGCAAGAAGAAGCAGACCGTGCTGGAGTGGACAGGAGTGAAGACGAAGGAAGACACAGGTGCGGGAAGTACTAGAGCAACAAAAGCAAAGGCAGGCCTCACCGTCTTCGAGTAGTAGTAGCACCAAGCAGGAACAGCAACAGGGAGGCGATGGGCATTGTGTTGGCGACTTTTGGAACCTCAGCGGGAAGGCGTCCCGCCTCCAGTATTCTGAGGGCCAGCGTTACTCGCTGGCTGAATTGTCCCGGGAGGGTTTTGGGGTCATTCTTTGGAGGTGGTTGGAAGCGGGGCAGCATGCGTCTGGCGTGGTTATTCGGATGGAGGCAGATACAACTACGCGAGGGCGCCTAGTGGGTTTTGGTGGGTTGTTGAACAATTGGAAGCAGTCGAAGTGGCTGTCGTCCGGCGCCATTCTGTACATCTTGGCGCCTCGTGTCAGCGTAACCAAACCAATCGGGATTCTGCTTCCCACGCATCTGATGACCTTCGGGGCAGTCTGGGGCAACAAAGTTACCCGCCTGGGCTTTGGGATCGCTGAGAAAGTTCTTGCAGAGTATGACGCGACCGGGAAACCCGGCCGAGGGTTCGGGCTGCAGCGTCCTCTAATGCTCTGCGTCTGCAGCCAGCGATACGGGCGCGCCAGGCCATTTGATCTGGCCAATAGCGCAGACTCGGGAGCGAGGTGAGCTGTTGGCTTTGCTTTTTGCGGTTCGATGCGATGCGCATCAGGGGCCGATCGTCACTATCGTAGCAACTGGCACGCTTTTGCGGCTGTGTGCGGTCAGTGGAGCGGCTTGGAAGGACAGAGGGCGCGCTTGCGCGTCAGGTCTGTCATCGTGAACCAGGCGAAATGCCAACAGGGTCAGGGGCTAGCTCGTGTTTTGCCTGAATGCCTCCAGCGATCGACTGGCGGCGGCCTCTTATGGACTGAAGCGCCGGAGCAGTTTGGGAAGAGGCTTGGTCTAGATATGGAGAAGTGTGAAAGAGTTAGAGGACTACGAGCTGCAGGGGAAAACAAGGAAGCGAAAGAGGGGGGAAAATGAGGAGGAACGAAAGGGCGGAAAGGGAAAAGGCCGGGCCCGTCCCCGGAGAAGAGGGGGGAGGAGCGGAGACAAGCAAAAAGAGAAAGAGGGGGAAGAGCACAGAGGAAAAGGGGGGGGGCGAATTAGGGAGGGTGAGTGCCTGCCCCTGGGGAAGGTGGAGATGACGGCGGGGGAGAGACAGGCAGGGGCCAGCCGGGTGAGGAGCGGCGGGGCGCCCATGCTGAGAGAGTGCAGGGCGGCGATGGGCATGAGGAAGGGAGAACGGGGAGCAAGCGGCCATCGGTGAAGTGTGGCCAAAGACGAGGAGGAAGGGGCGCCGCGCCAAGGGCGCCGAAAGTGAAGGGGAAGAAAGAGCCAGCGAAGGGTGGGGAGGGCTGGCACTGTAGAGCCCGCAAGGGAGAGCGGGGAAACGTGGACCCGCCAAGGGAGTACAGCTAGAGGGATGAGCGGCGCTAGGGGTAGGGAAGAGTGCGAGAAGGGGACGGCAAGCGCACGGGCGGGGAGCTGAGGGGGAAGAGCTTGGAGACGGAGAAGGGAAGAGGCCCAAGAACAAGGGCAGGGAAGGAGACAAGGGCAAGCCCAGCCAAAGAGGAAAAAGGGCTGGACGAAATGAGGCCAAGGGGGACGAGATGCAGGGGCCGCGTAGGGGGGGGCCGCCCCTTGTTAGGGAAAGTTGAGAAGGCGGACGTCGGAGGCGGGCGCCGCACTTTCCTGGGGCCCCCCGGGGGGTTGGCGGTTGGAGTTTCGCGCCCTCCGTCTTTGCGGGGTCGGGTTGGGGCTTTCTAATCTTTTGAACAGGCCAACGCCTAAACCACTAAGCCAACTGCTGTTTACTTATCACGCTCCACGCCGTTGGCGCGCCGGTGGACGAGGGCAGAAGCTTTCTCCCTTCGCTAGCTGGGCGTGCTTCGTCGTAGGCGAGGGCATTGTCTTCGCCGCGGTTGTTCAAAGCTGTTGCGATCGCTTTTGTTGTCTTTTTGCCAGCGACGGGCTTGGGCGGAGAGGTGGCTTTCTGGTGGCTCTTCGAAGCTTTCGACTTCTGGGCCCAGCTGCTTTGTCGCCGTCGTCGCTTTTCTGCTCCGGCGCTTTCTTTGTGCTTCTTTTCCGCCTCTCTCTGCTTCTGCCTTGGGGTCTTCTTCGTCTTGCGCCTTGCGCTCTTCCACGCGCGCTTTGCGGACTGAAGCCCAGACTGCCTGTGTTGGCTTGCGGTCCCAGTCCGTGAGGACTTCTTATTCGCTGCGCGTGATGAGATGTCTGGCGATCGACTCTCCTTTCGCCGTGGCCGCCGGACGGGGTTTCCAGCTGGTTTCTTTGCCGGCTGCGGGCTTTCCTCCGCGAGCAGCCCGCAGCCGGCGCTTTCGTGCCACCTTCGCACCTGCCTCGGGGGTCTCTTCCTTGGTGAGACTCTTCGAGGGCCAAGGCTTTGCGGCCAGCTCTTCGCGGTAGGCCGTGAGCGAGAGTCGGGACCGCATTGGCGTGGTTTCTGCCTCTGTGAGGGCCCCGCTTCGGTCGATGAAGCGCGGGCCCCCCAGGTCTTTGCTGACTGTTTCCACGAGCCCCGCATCTGGAAGCTCGCCCGCCATTTGGCGGAGGGCGCTAGTCCAGTCCGTGGCCAGGGCGCTCATGGCGATTTTTTCGTCGTAGGCGTCTTTGTCCTGCAGCTGCTTCTGCAGCTTCGCAATGGCTTCGCTCGCCATACTCGGGCGGAGCAGATCGCCATAGATCAGCTTCGCCAGGGCTTTGCCCTTCTCGTCTGTGTCTTCGTTGCTGACTGCCTGGCGTTTTGCCAGTGTGGGCAACGAGGTCGCCAGCGTCTTTCAGCGAGGTCACTGCGTTTTTTCGCTTTATTTTGAAATCAGAGCGCGGGGGCGCTGCTGCTTTTTTTTCTAGTGGCAGCGGGCATTTCTATCATTCAGAAAGGCCTTGGACTTTTTAGGAAAGAGACGGCGCTTGCTTGAGTCCATCGCGGTTTTGCGCCCATGGACTAAGAGCGTGCTGCCACGGCGCGGCGCTCGTGAGGAAGCGCCTCCGCGCCTCCCCTGACGGCGCACGCGGCCAGACGCGCCACTGTGAGTCCACCTGCACCTCTCAACAGGCAGCCGCGCGCCCGCCCACTACGCGGCCGGACGGCACGTTGGCTGCCCACCGGCCCACGCGCGGGCACGTTGTCCCGCGCGCCGGTGGCCGCTCCGCACATCCGCATCTGCCCCGCCCGTTGCCGTTCCTCATGTGAAGTTCCCCCCGTGGGTGTAGCATTAACGCTCTCACCCTGCCGCGCCTGGGCCTCCCGTAGAGGCGCAGGCCGTAGTCTGCCTTCGTTCGCCGGGGCGCGCCAATGCGCCGCCGGTGGCGCCAACTCGCGGCTGCGCTTTTGCACGACCACAAGACGGCGGGAACTTTTCAGAGCGTGCAGGCTTCTCTCGCCTACATTAGGTCGCCAGTTAGTATAACCACTCCCGCCGCTGGCTCCTCCAGTGCGTAGGTGCTTCATCTAACATCAACGACGACGGTGTTCGCACGTCCGCAGAACACAGCATGGGGCTTTTTGGGTGGGGCTCTCAGCAGCAAGAATGGGCAGGCCCGCAGCTCCTTGTGTCTTTCCGTTTCCTGAACAGTGCCGCCTCAAGAAGTGAAGTGGCTCGCGAAGTTTTTAACGGGTGGAGAGACGCACTAAACAAGGAACCACCCATCACGCATTCCATGACAACAACGGATGATGATGTGCGCCTTTACGAACACATGACTGGCGCACTCCTCCTGCAGTGGGAGGCACAGAGGCGCAATTTAAAGGGACTAGTTACACAAGAGCATGACGCTTTCCACCCCCCAAAGATCTTCTCCAATTTGGCCAGCTGGCCTAGATTCCAGCTCGACCTCGACGAACAATCCCTCCGAGGAGATGATGTTGCTCGCTGTCAGTTCTTGACAGAAGGCCTTCAGGGTCAGGAAGATCATTTCGCATCATCTGATGTCATCAGCGCGAGACCGCCATTGGAAGTGCCGCTATTAAAATACGTAGAATCTCGTAACCTAAAGTCGGCGGAGAATCCGCGTTTAGATGGAATACTAAATGTTGTTGCGGAGCAGAAGCAATACAACTATCTTGACGGTGACGGTTCAGCTACTGTTTTTGGTTTGGGGGTAGAAAAGCGGTTCGCGCTGAAGCACGTAGTAGTAAGTCTAAAGGCTCGAAAGGGGATGAAGCTCCGTCGGATGAATTTGCCAGAGCGCTGGTCCAGCTCATCAATCGAGGCCGAGGAGTACCACGAATATCTACCGGCATCGGTCATCGCAGCTTTACGGACCGCCTTGCAAGATATGTGCGTTTCGCTCCATGTCACTAAGGTGGCGTCCGGATGCTGTGTCCACACGTACCACGCGTTAACATCATTGACGCGCTCGAATGGGCGCGAAGCGCTCCATATTGTGCTGGTGCAAGAGCGGCTACCTGAGCAGAAGAGGCTTGATCAATACATCGGGCGGATCGACGAACGCACCGCGCTTTCGCCTGGTATGGAGATTGGAGAACAGCTTTCTCAGCGGGTGCAGCAAATTAACGAAGCCGGGTATGCGCATCTCGATGTGAGGCCTGCGAACATGATCGTCGCGCAGGGAAATGGACACGGGCAGGCAGTGGTAAAGCTGATCAACTTCGGGACAGCACAGCCAGCCAGCCTGAAGCTCACGAAAAAGGTGCAGTTTAGTGGAGTGCTCCCTTGTTGGTACGTGGATCCGATATGGGTAGCTAGAACATATTGTACTACTCAAGGAGAACTAAACTTTGGTGGAGACATACCAGTCCCAATGGCGGCGCAGTCCGATAAGTGGTCTGTGGGCGTAAGTCGCCTGAGATACAGTCTTGGAGCTCCGGAGTTGGAGCAGTTGCAAAACGTGGACACTGGCGTTTTCCCCCTTAAAAATAATGAAAATTGGAGCACCTACTGCAGATTTTGGGCCAAAAGGTTGAGTGAAAATTTGGTGACGCTGGAAGGTGTCCTTGATGGCGCAATCACTACGAGAGGCGACGCAAGTTTGAAGAATTTTGTGCTTACGACTGCGAAGCTCTTGCATCTGGAGCCAGAATCTCGCGAGTGGCCAGCAGAAGCTCCACCAAAAGGTCCTAGTGCAATACAGCTGAGCTCTTCCTCCTCCGCTCTGCAGGTCTCTTTCCTGGGCGATGTCATTCCGGTGCGTGACAATTCCTTCCTAGACACGTCACTGACGGATTTTGTGGACCCTTTGGATGAAGATCAACCGCATGTGCAGGAACCTGCTAGACTTTCACAAGGGTCGTCAGAAGTATCATCGTCTTCACCAAAAGGACCACGAGTATCGGCATCTTCCGGCTCATCTTCAGACTATGGAGCAAGATCTTCGTCAGCATCTACTGTGGGAGTTGTGTCAAAGCACGTACAAGAGGCAGAGACTGGCGGTCCACAGTTTCTCGCAGACGAAAATGGGGAGATGGGCGCGGCGTCCTTGTCGCCGTGATTGAAGATACAAGAAAAATTTATGAATCATGATCTCATGACGAAATTGAAGACCGCCTTTTTCCTTTCTTGCATATCATGGCCATTGCTGCTCAGAAACCAAAACCAAAGCTTGCATATCATTGCCATGCACGTCTGATTGTTTTCGTGGACTTATCTAATAAATAGTAAGCACGGAAGATAGCAAAAACTGACTTCTACATCTAGAACTCAAAGCCCACTCTTCGATATATCTGGAATACAACTCTAACACACTTGTGAAGGCGGAGGAGGGTGTGGAGGTGGAGCAGCCAGGTGGTGCTGCAACTGAGGAGCAGTGAGGAGGTGGAGCAGCCAGGTGGTGCTGCAACTGAGGAGCAGTGAGGAGGTGGAGCAGCCAGGTGGTGCTGCAACTGAGGAGCAGTGAGGAGGTGGAGCAGCCAGGTGGTGCTGCAACTGAGGAGCAGTGAGGAGGTGGAGCAGCCAGGTGGTGCTGCAACTGAGGAGCAGTGAGGAGGTGGAGCAGCCAGGTGGTGCTGCAACTGAGGAGCAGTGAGGAGGTGGAGCAGCCAGGTGGTGCTGCAACTGAGGAGCAGTGAGGAGGTGGAGCAGCCAGGTGGTGCTGCAACTGAGGAGCAGTGAGGAGGTGGAGCAGCCAGGTGGTGCTGCAACTGAGGAGCAGTGAGGAGGTGGAGCAGCCAGGTGGTGCTGCAACTGAGGAGCAGTGAGGAGGTGGAGCAGCCAGGTGGTGCTGCAACTGAGGAGCAGTGAGGAGGTGGAGCAGCCAGGTGGTGCTGCAACTGAGGAGCAGTGAGGAGGTGGAGCAGCCAGGTGGTGCTGCAACTGAGGAGCAGTGAGGAGGTGGAGCAGCCAGGTGGTGCTGCAACTGAGGAGCAGTGAGGAGGTGGAGCAGCCAGGTGGTGCTGCAACTGAGGAGCAGTGAGGAGGTGGAGCAGCCAGGTGGTGCTGCAACTGAGGAGCAGTGAGGAGGTGGAGCAGCCAGGTGGTGCTGCAACTGAGGAGCAGCGAGGAGGTGGAGCAGCCAGGTGGTGCTGCAACTGAGGAGCAGTGAGGAGGTGGAGCAGCCAGGTGGTGCTGCAAATGAGGAGCAGTGAGGAGGTGGAGCAGCCAGGTGGTGCTGCAACTGAGGAGCAGTGAGGAGGTGTTGCTGCAAATCGTGAGCAGTGGGGGCAGCCACGTGGTGCTGCGGAAGAGGAGGCGCGGCAGCCACGTAGTGCTGCGAAAGAGGAGGAGGAAATGGAGTAGCCCGGCGGTGTTGTGGAATAAGTGTGCGGCTGGGTAAATGTGCCGTGGTTAATGCTAGCAGAAACACAGAACGCGACAGTGTCGAGTCTTTGTTAGCAGCTGTACAGAGCAGTTCTAGTTGGGGCAACATGCATCTTTTTCTCGTGCCGCTGTCAGCGTAAAGCCTTTGCGAGTTCATATTCGTTGCCTGCCGCGGTGCAAGAAGTAGAACTACATCAAAATCACACCATCAAACACGGGAAGGACCCTTCGAGCTTTACTAATTCGTAACAATATTTAGGTAGGACCAGTACCGATGCACTCGGATTTCCAGACTTGAGTACCACGAAGGTCGACGCAGTTCGGACGGTGTAACTCAGCTGCGTCTGTCTGAGAAAACGTATTCAACCGCAGTTTTTTTTTTCGAAGCCTCCTCTGGTTTTTCGTGTCATTGTTTCTTTTTTTGCATAAGTTGCATTGAAGTCTCGATATACCAATCAGTGTATGAGCAGTTAACTTCACACATCATGTTGTAAGTAGATGCACCATGATATCCTCCCGAATGTTAAAGCACAATCTTGCTACACCGTTCACCGCAAGCCAATTCATGCCAGGTCGATCGTAAAAGTATGGGCACGCTGCTTCTTCAGTAGGTCCTTGCACGAAGGGTGGGAAAACCTCTGCGTAGCGTTTTCTCTCCAAAGAGTTGAAACCAGTCGCAATTTTGAAATGGAAGCAAGGAAAGAAGATGAGACAACGACGTTGTACTTTTATATTTGCAGACGCATGCGGTGGGAGCCCAGTACTAAAAAATGGTCGACTTACTTGGATGGAAATAGGGAGATCCTTGCTCTTACCTTTCCACAGTCTGACAGTAACTCATCAGCCCAAAAAGGGCAGGTTCCGAGACTCGAGTCATATTTTGTGAGTGCGTGTCTACTAGCTTAGTTTCCTGATGGAAAATATCAAACTCTGAGTCTGACACTACTTACCAGGTTCTTCAAAAACGAGCAATCGACGGGGCCAGAATAAGCAAGTGGGTTTTCGATGGTTTTGCGTTGTTAGCGTGCAAGATAATAAGGAAGGCGTGTAATCTCGTTGATGGTTTTTCAGCTTGCTAATCGTTGCTTCATGAAAATCCATCCTTTCTGTGTAAGTCTGTAAAAGAACGTACTAAAAGTATCCGTTGTTGTTAGGAGACGCCCTACAGCGATGTCGTGTAATGACTGAGCAAGAATTGTATGGGCCCACGCCCACGAAGTTCATGGGCTGTGCCGGGTCTCGCTCTCTTACCACGGGCTGCAGACAATATGTAAGGCATCCGCAGATTCCACATCCGACAGCTGATTTTTGGCCATTTTCCCATGAGGAAAGTAAGCCAAAGATGCCGCTAGAAGAGATTTGGCTGCGTTTGCTCTAATGCTGTACCCATACTAGTATAAACTATAGTTGCGAATGCGACGAGAAGAGACAGACAGGGTCCCTGCTGACGTTGAAATGTATGTTGATCGAAGTAGCCCCAATGTTTACCTTGTACAGCCAACATGAGCTCTGTTTCGCTGGAAGTTAATGTGGAATTGTGGCAGTTTACGATAGTACGAATATTCATAGATACGTCATGGAATACTAGTCGTTTCTTCTTTTCAGTCAAATTGTGGTAATTAATATTCTTGTTAAGGTGTGTCGTTTCTTTTTGTCGTGGATTAGTAATTTACAGTATCACTTTCAGTTTTGAGATTTACTAAAAAGTTCCTCGTTTTAGGGGATTGTATCACTTCGAGGATTTTTACTTAGACTCCGTTTGAGGGATCACCGGGATCAGATCATACTAGTGCAGATGATCATGTTGATGGCGATCCTGCTAGCGGAAAGTGCTTACTTTGTCTATGCGCTTCCTGTGGATTGTAGTCGATGACGTCAGGGTGGCGCGCAACACGGAAGTTTTGTTTCTGTGAACGGCAAGGGGCAGGGAGCTGCTACTGGAGGCCTCTGGCCTCGTCCTCTTAGGCGGTTCCCTCTCCCTGCACCATATCCGAGGGCTAGCAAGTGACTGCGGAGAGTGGTCTAAATTTCACCCCTGAACATAGACTAAAAAACGCCATGCACTACTGAATCTTTCACAAGGGGAAGAACGCCAGAATGGCCCTGAAGCGTTTTGAGACTAGTAGTTGAATCGGCGGGTACAACTACCAGCACCCACGAGCCCTTTAGGTCTTCTCTCGGATAAGTAATCGTCCTCGCGGTCTTGTATATTTTTCCCTTCACGACTATTTCTTTTGTTTGCAAAATACCAAGTACATCCTTTCGAGTTTATTTCGTGACAATGAATTAGATCTTCAATCAATCAAGTTAATCCCTGTGTTTCCAAGAATTTTGCTTATTTGAGCTTAGTACTAGTAGGCGAACGTCTGTGTTCACAGGTCCTCTTAGCAATTAGAAACAAGAACAACAGCTTGTATCACTTTCGGTCTTACTAACATTTATCTGATACAGTTGAAGCCACTGATCATTGTCGTTCCATTGTTGGTTGGCCCTGTTCTCACTTTACGACACGCATGAAAGTTTCAAAGTCAATGATAACTATCCTAGCGAACTATCCTTTCTCCTTATATATTTCCATTATTTGGCAATATCACCTGCTTTTACGTCTTCATGACATGATCTTTGATCTAGGTGCTCTTAGTTTGTGTTTCGCTGCGAGTAGAAGTCAAGGGCGTTTCGTGTTTTTTTGGAAGTTCGGATTAATATCCATCATGAAGAACATTATATATTTAAATCTCGGAGGGTCGACGAACCATCTAGCTTATAGTCACATCTCGACTAGCATTAGCGCCGGTCCATAAATTTACTTGGACAACCCTTTCGAGAACAGTTGTCATAACTATATAAAGGGGATGGTGAAACAGGCTGTGATCATGACGTCACAGAATCATCATGTCCATTTCATCTGTCATCTTTCGTTGTCATACATGTTTCGTGGATGTCACACACTCTCAACTTCAACAAGTGTCATACGCGAGTAGTTTATTGTCATCGTCACTCTCCAGACAATGAGGTGTGAAGCAGACCCAATTGAGCCTTGCTGCTCTCCTGCTCATGGTGTTGAAGTGTTTGCGTTCATTCCGACGCAAAATAATGACCCTCAACAAACTGAATGTAATGTGGATCTCAACACAGAGAAGGAAAGAACATGATTGGACCAACGGAAAGAGTACTGTTGGTAGCCCCGGCTAAGTCGCAGACCCTAAGGCCCTCCTTCGCGGAAAGGCATCCTGCGAAACGAGAAACCGCAGTCGACACCGAGCTCACTTCGATGTAGATGCAGGACGCGAGTATGCGAGCATGATCTGCGTCCAGCCGCTGCATTAGCTATAATCAAAAGTTTCTCTCCGTAGTTTTGTACTGGAAGATGGGCTCCCAGGTTTTTATTCGTTTGGTACTCAGGACAGCAATATGAATGAATGGATGTTGATGTTATGGATATGACTTCACTGCTCCAGCATCCTGACTACACAAGAAGGGCACGAATCTACTGGCGACGAGCTACAGCTTGGTCTCAGCATGCGCTGTATGCCGTACTATAACGCGCGTTGCTGTTCCTTGTTGTCGACATCCTCTCCGGTCTTGGGGCATAATTAAGACGTCAAGAAACTGGATTCAAAACAGCCTGACCGGAAGATTAGGCAACCAGATTTCGGGTCGTGTAATAAACAGGCGTGAAGAGAAGCAGGAAAGAGTAAAGTGTTTTCCCATTCATTGAGAGTAGTTGAGACTACTAGGTACTTAGTCACATCATTTACAACTTCCTCCAATTTTTTGCTCGGTGATACGGTGGCGTTGCGAGGGGTGGGTGGCTTTGTTGCTCCACAGTCTCAAGCTTTGGCTCGGACAACCACACAAACTCTTAGGGGATGCCAGGCGGTGCGCGAAGGCTCTTGCGACGCAGTGCTGGACGGTGCGCTACGTGTCCTCTCGTTGGAACCGCAGGTGAGCCGCACTCATGCGGTTGCATTCGGTAACTCAGGTTTCCGCATAAAGCGATCCTCATCGGTGTCTGGTAGATTGCTTGAAATTGACAAGACACGCAGCGCGATCTAGTGACATCTGCAAGTAATACTGAGCACGATATCTCAGAGATTTGCGACTATCGACACGTTCTTCGGTGGTGAGAGAGGATAATAACGGCTGCTCGCACACGCGCTTTCTGTCAGCAATCGGACGCAACTTTTGGTCGTATCAAGATCCGATTGCTGGAATGGCATGGGACATTTGACCCTACTCCAATAACCACATCATAAGTAAGTCTTAATCTTTTGTAGCACACGCACCTGCCGTCCTTTTCCCGTGCACTTCCCGACCGAAACCAATGTCGTTTGTGCCAGGTAGATGAAGATCGACGCCCTGGTCTCCATGTCTGGTGTTTCCCGACGCTTACAAGGCCATGATCTCCAACGACATCGGTCTAGAGGAGCTGGAGAGTGCGTATGAATAGGAGGTGATGGGCACGATGCGTCGTCGTATCAACGGAAGTCGTATGATAGCAACCAGAATCTTCAGTGTCGTGGCAGTGATGTCACAGACGGGAGAAGCGACTTGAGCTGTCGGCCCAATCGAGTAGATTTGCGTAGCCGACCCTTAGCCAGCGTACCATAGACACGATTTCAACTGCTGGTCCGCGCTAAAGCTGATCGCAGCAAAGATTTCGATAAAGTTATGACACCTCATACTACTTCGGCAACAAGTCAGCATGATCAATATTTGTTTGTATCTTGATCCAAGGACATGATGCGGGAACCACCCTAAATCTAAATCTAAATCTAGGTCATGATTTCTCAGACAAGACGGAGTTTTTCTGAGTGTCTTGACCTTCCAAATATCGACGTCAGGATTAAGAAGCCGTACGTTTCGTGCGAACCGCCGGCAAGTGGGATGCCGATATCTCGGTCAGTCTCAGCAACATCTGGATCCACTTGGAGCAGCTTGATAGCAGCGGTGGTGTTGCTTCGCCGGCTCGTGTGGCAGAGCGAGTCGACGAATCATAGCAGAACACGGAACTGAAACGTTCTTCTTCGTGTCGCGATTCTGGGCATCGGAAGTCGAGCGATCCTGAGTCCGCAATTCGGCCGTGACCGTGCGTCATTGGTCGGAAATAGCTGAGGTTACGACACTCGAGATCGGATTGTGCCAACTGCGGTAGATCTTACCAAGCGGTCGACCGAAATGGAGGCTCGATTATTGCCGCGAGGTGGAGGGAGTGAGTCCACGGCAAGAAGCAGCGACCATCGTCTACTTTAGGACGAGGATGTCGAACTATACTTGCTAAAAACATGCAGGAATCTTGCACCTGTTGACAATCAACCACGGCTGGGGCCTTTTGTGCATGACTGTGCTTGTGGAATTATTCGATACTACTCTGAACCTGAGTTTTGTGTTTTAGTAGGTCACGGTCTAAGATATGAAGCACGAAGATGAAGTTGCAAAACGGAAACCAAGTGAGACGTCCAAACGAAGTGAAAAGGTGTGGGTATGCCGCCTTCTTAGATATCAAGAAGAATGCGATTATTCGGTCACTGAACTTTTTTTTGCACGGCTTTATACGATGCGCGGACTCCAGAAGTCATTGTGAGGAAGCTGCCAGCGCTGCTGCGGTCGTTTCGGTCCAGCTAGTGGCATTGATGTTCTTGTTTTGGGAGCTGATCTGACAGAACCTTTTGATCCTGAGATATGTAGCGGTGGAGCCCTTCGCATTCCTGGTAGGGCATTAGTATGTGGATTCCGATCAAGCAGATTACGTTCCGTGCACGTTCCTTGATAATCGCTTGTTTACAGTTGGTCAGCGTGGCTCATTCAAACCACCGACCTGATCTTCCATTTCTTGTCCATATACTCAGCAACAAGCAGCGCCACTGTAGAGACAGCGGACCACCTTCACAGTTTCAACATCAGGGACATGCGTAGAACTCAAAAGAGAAAGAGACCCAGGGAAGTCGTGCTGCCAATCCGAACCGAGCTGACTTGCGAGAACAATGCGGAGCATGAGGCTTGTCCTCGTGGTCGCTATAAAAGATTGCGACTGAGCAGCGTGATGCTATTAGCCGGCCTCCGACGGCTGCAGAGCCAGAAGGCTGACATCTTCCCAAAACTGTCCGAAAACGACTGAAGCAGGTCCAGTAGCAGGACTGGAGTTGGCTCTGTTGCGTGCTTCCGCATATGAGACGTTTCGTGGACGGTGTTGCGGGAAGTCGCGCTTTTCAGCGTCGAACGGGTGTGACAGACGTTGATGTGAGCGGACCTGACAGTTCCGAGAGGCTCTCAGCCGCGAATCGCCGGTGAGGTTGGTCCCGACAGCAATTCCTGGATGGTGCTACGAATCGGGAAAGACCAGGACCCAGCGAATCGTAGGAGCCTTGTGCCCACCTTCATTGGGCGGGAGAGCCGCTCACCTTCAGCAGGACCGCTAACGGACGCAAAGCAAGGGAAGAATGGAAAGGAGGGAGTGCGGCGGCAAGATCACCAGGCGCGATTAGGCCTTCATTTTGTCGAAGCAAGAGACTTGCCGACGAAGGCGACTATCGAGCCATGAACGATCCATGAATCTAAACTCAGGCGAAATTGCTTTGTGACAATCCCAGAATGCCTCCAGAGTGTCGTGGACGGCGAGTTCACCTTGCGGCGCCACTCAGGCGTGCCACCTGAGATTCACTCTCCAGTCTGCGAGCACCACTTTCGACTTCGATGGCAGCGATTTTTCGGAAGCTTCCGGAAGCGTCTCTCGCTCGCGTAGAGGCTTGTGTCCAGAGACGAAAGGACCCGCTCGAAAGAAACTCTAGCGATGACGATGGAAGACGCGACTGTCGACACGGGTGTACGAGACGGCGTGGAGATGCGAATGGGACACACGCGGTACTGCTCGACGAGGGAGCATAGAATCGGCTGCTATTCGTGCTTGTGTCAACCGGAAAGAAAGACGTGCTTGCTTGCACACGAGCTCGCCGGTGTTGCGCAGAGATCGTCTACCGCACGGCATTTTCTAAATCAACGGAACCAGAGTCGCTACTGCGAGACAGGAAGGATGTTTGCAGTTGCTGTACATCGAGTCCGGTGTGCCAATATTTTCAGAGAGTGTATGCCAGAAGATCCACAGGAGAGAAGTGCGCGAAGACTTTGAGGTTGGCCTTGGAGTTATAGAAGTTCAGTTTCATAGCTCAACGAAATTGGTTTCTTTAGATTTATTCATTTCGACATCTGCTTCGCCAGAGAGATAAGAGATTTAACCCTGGTACAACGAAAATGCGTGCTGTCTTCGCTGCGTCAGTGCTTGCCCTCGGTGTTTCTGCCGATGTCGCCTTCAAGTTTGAGGAGTTCAAGAAGCGCTTCAACAAGGCGTACGGATCAGGTAAGAGGTTATTAAAACTTATACTTTGTTAGGACAACTATTGTACTCTTCTCATCTTGACAAGAACACAGTTCAAAAACCCAACTTCGAACTCACATGATTTAGATTTTCACTACGCATTAAAACCTCTCTAAAAACTTTCCACTCACAAAAACACAGCTGCCGAAGAACTCCATCGTTTCAAGATTTTTGCGCAGAACATGGAGACCGCGCAAAAGATGGATGTCTTTGACCCGAGTGCTAAATATGGACATTTGTCGCCAATGGCGGACTTGACCGAGTTCGAGTATGGCAAGTTCAACACGCTGAGGGTGACCAAGCAAACTCTCGCTGACCATGCGAAGAAGGCAGTGAAAATGAACCTCAACGGGGTGGCTCTGCCTTCCGAATTCGACTGGCGTAAGAAGGGCGCGGTGAACCCGGTAAAGAACCAGGCGCAGTGCGGCTCGTGCTGGGCGGTAAGACCACTTGTGATTTATCGTATTCTGTCTGATGTTCTAGGGGATCATATTTATGTTTAGAATGTCCAAAACGGAATGAGTATGTGCAGGACGCTTTTATTCGGGTTTTGTATAACTCTCTCATGGTGTTACAAGTTTCTATCTATAAAGCTTTTATGCGTACGCCACATCTACTGTCTCTCGTTCCACTGTACAGTTCGCGACTGTTGCCAACGTCGAGGGCAACAACTACGTAAAAAGCGGGGAGCTGGTCTCTCTGTCTGAGCAGGAGTTAGTCGACTGCGACGACGATGACAACGGATGCAATGGTGGTTTGCCCTCCAACGCCTACAAGGATATGATCTCGAGTGGCATGGGCCTGGAGCTGGAAAGTGCATACGGATACGAGGCACTTATAAAATAGATTCTCAGAAGATCTGATCCGACATGTACCATTGCATATATAGCGACTCACCTAGCAGGAACTTCTACCTAGAAAAGGAATAAGTTTGTGATTTCAATTTGATTTGCATGTAACTATGGTTTCCATGTTGAAGATAGGCTCACTTAATACGAAGATCACCACTAGAACAATCAACTCACCCACAGGCTCGTGACGGCACGTGCAAGGCCAAGAAGAGCCTCGAGAGGGTATTCTTGTCTAGCTGGGTTGCAATCAGCTCGTCGGAGGACCAGATGGCCGCTGCCCTCATGAAGTATGGTCCTCTTGCTATCGGCATCAACGCTGGCCCGATGCAGCTCTACATGGGAGGTACTTACAAGTTTTTAACTTGTAACTTCCATCCAGAAACTCACACAAGATGAACCAGGTCCCAGATGAAAACACTGTGATGGGGAAATTCAGACAGAAAATCAGATTTGGTTTCACAATCTACTTGCAAAGATGAACTAACTTTATTATAATCCTTTTTCCTTGCTTTTCAACCACTGACGCAATTGAAAAAGGTATCTCGGACCCGTGGATGTGCAACCCGGCCGCGTTGGATCACGGCGTGGCCATCGTCTCGTTCGGTGAGGAAGACGGCAAGATGTACTGGACCATCCGAAACAGCTGGGGTACTATGTTAATGCTTAGCTTTTACAGTTTACTACTGTACAGCAATCAGAAGTAATCGAAAATTGTACGTGTAGTAGATACCTCTTCCTAGTGTTTTCTATCTTCCCTAGGTAGGTTGGCTCCACCACAAATACATGTAGTCCTCCAGTCAAACTCCTACGCAAAGCGAAGAAGCAGAAAGAGACTTGAGTGTATTGCAAGTGGAGTTTATTAGATGACACTCGTTTTGAATACCCTGATAACTTTTTTCTCCCAGGTCCGGAATGGGGTGAGGACGGCTACTACCGCATTATCCGCGGAAAGGGCAAGTGCGGCCTGAATCGCATGGTCACTTCCGCGATCGTCAAGGGTGGCAGCACATCCAAGGTTGTCGGCAACACTCCGGAATTGCTGGAATAAGTCTCGTCTTTTTCGCTTCCTTGACTCGGGGACTCTGGTTACTCGCTTAGCGGCTACGGATACGACAATCGGACTATCTGGGCAGCCAGGTGACGAAGAGACTTTCATTTTCCTCTACAGCCGAACTTGTTTTGCGTACGGAACAGCGGAAAGTTGAGAGAGGATAGCCACGACATAGCAATCATAAAGAAAGTTCATAACTATTTTTGAGACGCTGGAACATGTTCATATGCTATTGCTCACGATTTTATAAATTTCTAGAGGTGCTGCAGACTAACAAACGGGTGTTTTCTTTTCACGTACATATTCTTTTCCATAAATTCTATGTCTTAACAGACGAGTTTTCTATGAACCGAGATTCGTAATGTCCTACATCGCTGTAGCATTATCAAATATAGCCATGATTCCATCATATTGGACCAGGTGTGGTCATAAAATTTTCCTTGAATACTACTCGGTATTTGTTTTTTCATTCCGGTATAGCTCAAGCTCTACGAATATAATGCCATTCACCGTCGCTGATCGAACACACAGACACAATCTAGCACTAGCATGCCCGATATCTCTCGAGAATTTGCCGACAATCGCCGTATCCCTACTGCTAATCTGGATAGGATTACTGCTCCACAATGTGGAAACTGTTGAGAAAAACCCCCGAACGATTACTACGCCCGCAAATGTGCTGGATGCACGAAAGCGATACCCAGCCATTTTTTGTGGCTTACTGTTCATCGTGTCATGTCGTCTGTCACTTCTCTGGTCATGTCCAATCTGCTGCCCGTGTCCACATGCTTCGGTGTTTGATGGAGGCAAAACATTCTCAGTGCTTGCTGTTAGTTGGATCTTCATCTCTGGTAGCTTCTTCTCTGCGACAGCGTTGTATATGCGCTATAATTACGGCTTCTCTCTATCGAAATCTGTAACCGAAAAATGAAGAGACCACAAGACTTGATCTCACCCGATGCATTGTCACATTCGGTTTCCCTAGTAGGGCAACCCCCAGAAGAAATAGATATAGTCCTCCCGCCTATTCCTCATGTATTTACGTGGAATTCGGAAAAAATTAAAACAATTTGGGTCAATGGCTACTCCTGTCAGTTCTGAATTGATTCGCTGCTGGAGCACTATTGATATTATGTACGCGTGCTTTGTGGGTCGGATGTTCCGCATGTACGTGCAGTTGCTGCATTTGCTGTGGGGATATCTCCTGCGGTGTTCTGGTGCGGCTACTTGGAATGAGTAGCCAGACGCTTCTGAGATCATCAAAGACGAATTTCGTTGCTCTGCTAGAGGTAAGATGTAGTACTGATATGAGATTATAGGTTTCCAAAACTTTTATACGACCGACAGAGCGGAGCACGAGTAATGTCGTCGTTTCACCAGGCTTCTTTCTCAATTTGCTACTTCACCGGATGTCGCGGACGTGCGTCGGGATATCGCAGTGGCGCACTCACAAGACGCATTGCCACCGTGTTGGTGCTCTCTGTGCCGCACCTTTTCTCTGCAGCTGCAACGACCAGTGCAGATTTTCCACGCCTCGCAGCGGAGTTTTTGGCTCGGTGTGAGCATGACTCCTCCTGTACCGACCGGATACACGAACAGCTTGTATCAGGTCGGCGAGAGGACCTGGAATCGTCTTTGCGTTCGATTCCGTGGGAGGTGTGGGGCGCTAGACGAAAGCCAGGAGCAACATCAACCCTACACCAAAAGGTATGGAGGGACCGATCGAGGACGTTGTTTGAGCTGAGCAATTTCGAATCTCCTGAAGATACAAACATAAGTAAATATTTTTCGCTAAATGGGCTTAGTACAACGACTATGACATCTCATGTCCTCGATCGGGCTTTCTCAAAGGTTGAATCGAAACAAAATGGAGAATTTGGATTCCTACAGAAACTCGCTGCGAAACTTCGAGTGGCTCGCATGCGGAAGCGAGGGTTTTCAGAACGTGAAGAACGGGAACAAACAGCGCTTTGCGTCCGTGGTGATGATGTGAACACATTTTATTCTATGAGGATCTGATTTTGGGCGTTCACCCAGTAGACATATGAAGCTGAGGCATAGATAGCAGATCCTCTCAGGCGAAATACAGTCTCGTTTCCAGCACTAGAATTTTGGTCCTGAGCAATATCACCACGCGAGTGTATCTATTACATTTCTTTCAAAAAGACGGCAGGTGGAGGCACTCTAAGGAATTCCCTCGGGAGTACTTTGCGGAGAATGAAGGTGTCATCTATCCGCTATTCGCGCTTGTCTATGGACTCGAGGACGTCGTGAACCTGAAACGATGTCCGGTGAAAGCAGCAGTTTTCGTGTTGCTCATAACTCGAACAATTAAGGAACTACTCACTAATCCGAGGAGACGCTGATGCAACAAATTAATTATCTTCTACCCCGTGAGTGGGTACATCTTCTATCTATATCTATACTGCGCTTACAAAGAGTTCTAAGTAAGAAAGCGAACTAGTCCGATGTCGTCTCTATGTGCTTTCTATAGGCGAAATCATTTCCATTTTGGCGTTTCTAAGGTCTTCCGACAGTTTGGTGCTTTTGGCGCAGCAAAGGGACTTCTACGTCTTGCTGAGCGCTTAGTGAAAGGCGTAGCGCTGCGAAAGCTTTATCCCTGGTTGATCGCATTGTCTTCCACCGACTTCTATTCCCTTCTCGCAAGTCCGGTACAGCCAGCGGGTGTGAATTACTTTTATGAATCAGGGATAAATGGTGTACTTGCTACTTCTATGAATATTAAGCAGCCTTTGATGTTGAGACGGGTTTGTTCTCTCTAACCTTCTAGGAATTAAACCACCGTAGGTGACATCAGAGATCGCTGACATCAACATCGTAAAACGATGATGAGTCTGTTGTGGATGCTCATCTTCATTCGTGCGATCCGCCACCACCTGCTGATGTACGGAGGGAAGTGAATTGCTATTACGAGGGTCCAGAGGTGTGGCGATATGGGACAACTAAGAGGTTTCGCGCAGTGGATTGGGAGAATCTGTATTCACAGCCAGAGGTAACGGCACGCGCGAGCAACGCTGGTTCGCGCACTGCGGAAACTATGGAAGACTTAAGACTTCGTTGCATCACTTTAGAAGAAACGAACAGTTGTCCTTTTTTGTTTTACAAAGTGCGCAAAGAAGCTCGTCAAGGTACAGACGGGGTGATAACCGATGAAGCAGCACAATGAGGGCAAAGAATAGAAAGCTCTAAAACCAAACACTAGAAAGGAGGGCATGGGAACTGATGTTGGCAGTGGCACGAATGCGGTTGAAAACGCTGGCGAAACTGTAGTGAAGACGACCAAAAGCTACTCTGTGACGCTGATGGATGCAGATTTTATGCCTGGAGAGAATCTATAGAGAGAAAAGCGTCTCCTTACAGGTTAGCGAGAAGCCGAGGACTATCTCATGAATACAGCACGCAGATCCTCTTGTGGAGGGTTTAGAGAGAATGAATTGTAGTTCTCTCTAAACCGTACAGCACTCCTGTCGATAGCGAGTTGCTGGCGAGTGCCTTGCGATTGGACTCCACTTTCGCGAGTGCACGTCAAGGCCTCTTGCTGCGGTCGAGTTACGGGCGCAAGCTCGAAGAAGCTGTGCGAGCTCATCAGGCGTTAGCTGACACCGCCACAGAACGAAACTATTTGGGCATAACGGAAGCAGTCGCGAAGAAGGGATCGGCGAAAGCTAGCACAGCTATTGGTAAAGAATTTTTTGTCATAGTTGTTTGAAGATGTTAATTGGTGGTTTTCGATCATTCCTAGATATACTAGGTATATGGCTTTGCCCGTAAAACGGCGAAGGTTTAGGTCCAGCGACGCTCAAAGCACCAAATAAAACAACCGGTTAGTTTTTACCTCTAAGACTTAGGCTTATCCCATGCAGCAAAATACTAGGTACGTGTAAGTGTATCATATTCCCACTCCTCGCTTAGAGCTACTCGAAGAGATCACTTATCCCCATGCACTTAGGGACCATTCTTTCTGCAATACACAAGCTGCTCTTTTAGCCGATGAATCAATCGATCCTAAAATAATCTTCACTTGATCTGCTTGAGGTTCCTCCTTTGGTTCACCATGGATTCTGTCTTCTGTGGTGTAGGCCCACAGTGTCTGGTACAGTACTATGTGTGTTTCACCATGATGATTTTCTTCAAGTTCAAGCTCAACAGAACTGATTCTGTGTGAGGAGAACTGAATTTTTCTTCTTTCCCCGGCTGATCTCGTTTTTGCTCATGTACTTAATTGATCTTTGACAGTTCCGCTTGATGCTCACAGACTGATCCTTCGAACGCATCGCTGATGACCAGATCAAAATAGTGGCTCCTCTTGCAGTGACTTTCTATCGCTAAACGTACTCTCAATCGCTTTTCTGCCCTTCAAACTGCTATGTTGCCTTTCTACTGCTAACCAGTGGTGCAGTGCTTGGTCATCTTCTATCGCGTTGCTCACTTTCCCCATTGCCTCTGCGCTGTCTTCATTTCATCTGATGGCACCATGGATAGAATGCCTGAGGGTTGCTTCTCTCAAGGCGATGCTGTTGTAACGCGACACACCGAGGGTTTCTCAATGGTGCTTGTCGTCGCAGCGCTATCCCAAATGAAAGTGCGCGAGGTTGAGTTTCTGGCTCCCTCGCACACGCTGTTTCATATTCCTTGTCGCAGTGGGACTACAATAACCTGTAGAAGGTCGCTTTGTGGCCAAACCACTGGGTCAAACCATGGAACAGATACTAAAGTCTAAATCTTCTTTTTAGCAGATTAATTCCTCGTAGAGCTTTGAGTTGTTAGTATTCGACGTTACTTGACGTTGACCTTGACGTTCAGTCTCGGAGCAGCACCGTTGGTTTGACGCGACCACGGCGTTAGATGGCGTTTGGCTCGATAATCGCTCTTCGGGTGAAGAGCGTAGAAATGCCTACACTGCGGTTGGGGAGATATTGAGCGCATATGAAGCGTTGAGTTTGCGCGACACATCCGCATTTGACGAGTTGGTGCTTCATGGTTGGGGAGTGTTTTGGTTCTCACGCATTCGTTATGGCTTCTTGCTTACTCTTGAAATTCATCAGCTCATCGAGCTTTAGAAGGATTGACACATCTTGGACTTGGAGCGTAGTTCTTTTGAACGGAAAAGCACTACTGCAAGAACAGTCCGAGACGCTTTCCAAGACGTGAATTGTTGAGGTAAGTACTGAAGTAGAAGCTCTAAATTCAACACATGGCACCTTACTTTGAAGAGAAGTATGACGCGCTGGCTTGTTCTCCGGGCACGCTCGTTGGTGGTGGAGCGGAACTTCTAAAGCAAAAGAACACAAAGGACCCAGAGGTGCCAGAATCTAGTCGAGCAGTTGACGAAAGCGCAACGAAGTCCAGTAAAGTAGGAATAGAAGCGTCCTCAATCCCTGATCCAGAGTGGCGAAATTTCGTTTTTAGAGCAGGCGGTAAGGATCCGGTTGCCGGGATCTTTGGGATCGTTCAGTTTTGCGCAGCAAACGACTTCCTGGTGCCGTTGGAGGTATCCACAGCAGTTCTTGCTGGTATGGTTTTAAGGCCCCACAGTATGTGGTAAGGGTAAATGTGATTCGGATTATTGCACATCTTGGAATTAGTAGCACATGAGGAAGACTAGGCAGGTCTTTTCACCTTCAAGTGAGGTCTTTTCTCTACGTTCATGCTGGTTTTTTGAACTTCAAGTAGCTCGGAGCTACTAGCTCTAATGCCAGGCGGTTTTTGCCCAGAAGCTTGGGTTACTGTTTTTCTCGCGTTCATCGAGACTGCGGCTCATGCCGCTTTGGATTCACAGCTGATGAACGCAGTGCTGGACATGCGGGAGTGGCTTCCGGCACATTTAGTAACGGAAGTCCTAGACGCGGGAACGATTCTTAGTGCTGTTCCAGCAGGAACTGAAAGAACCTCTGCGGAGAGCGTGTTTGCTTACGCTTCCAGTGTTTTTCGCATGAACTACGCGTTTCCGATGATCCCACGACGAAACGAGACTTTGGACTGGAGGCAAGATATCCTCCAGCTTAGACCGGAAGACATGAGAAAACGTTACCGAAATCCATTGGTGACGAAGTCTATCTTTTCGGCTGGGGATGATGAAGGGAGCGGTATGGCGAGGGATGGTGAAGAGGACGGAAACCACGATCAGCATTCTTCAACTACACCACCCAAAGCTGGGATGGAGGTTGTCGAGACTGACACGCACCTGCAAGCACGACCTGTTGGAGATTTATGGCAGGGAAAACTTGGAGGAATTCGTCTTTTCTAATGTTAGCAAGGCACCATGGTGGTTCGTTGGAGATTGTTACTCAAACAACTTGAACTTTAATAGTGGTGTGTGCTTATGCATCATTTTAGCATATATATTCATAGATACCGAGTTGAGTCTTCTAATACACTCAGCTTATCGACGATGGGTTGAATTCGACTTACCACGGCTTCTGGAGATATTTGGTGAACAGTTTGCCGCTTTTTCAGCCTCCAACCTCTTGCATACGCGCTGGCCGGTTCTCGTTTATCTAGAGCGTGTTTTTGGGCTCTTAGCAGAGCAACGGGTTCGTCTCGTAGAAGGACGTCCACGGATTAAGGCTACATGAAATCGTGATGCTAATTTTGAGAGAAAAGGCGACGCTTGTTCCTAGCATTCCCTTGTATTTTTTCGATGAAGAGCCAATATCAGCACTTCATCCACGAACAATAGCACACATCATAGTACGTTGCTTCTAATGAAGATGGCGGAGATCGTCTTAGCGGCGAAAATCATCATGGAGATGCGAAGGCCAAGGCGCGTCGTGGTGACACTGGAGCTCGTGGGGACTCTCTGATGTCGCAAGACGCACGTAGGAAAGCGCTACGAGAGCGGGCACGGCAGGCGCGAGAAGAAAACGAAAAGCTCCTGCAGCGAGAGCGCTCAGATCTTTGAGCACATATTGGGCTTTCATTTGTTACAAAAAACGAAAGTTTGAGATTTTGGTTCCTGAAACAGATCGATGTGAATGTCTTTGCAAAAGGCGCACCAGACGCAATGAGAAAACAACAACCTCAGATGTAAGACTCGTCAGCTATACGACCTGCGCGTCGTCGCCGAGGGTAATAATATTCGATGTGCACCTCGGTAAGGGGTCGTGCAGCGACTGATTTGGCTTTTGCGCTTGTTGTAAAGGGATCCGCATTCCTGATTGCGCACCACAGAAACGCTACATAGAGCAAGATCAACAAGTCTCCCACAAACGCTTGCTACAACTTATCATGTCTATGGTGTCTTGTCTGTGCAAACTGCGGTCCACAAGTGAGAAAAGTAGGACTTCCAAAAGCATAGATTGCAAGGGGAAAACGTCACTTAACGACAAAGAGCATGCTTTGATAGTAGCAGCTGATGATAAGAATACTTCTACGAACAAAAGGTGCCATCCGAGAGGACCGAGCTTAGTGCAATGTGCTCATGACACTTTCCTACTTCGTGAAGAAAGCAATATGGGAGCATCGTTGTTTTGCGCCGATGCGTCAGCCCGCGCACCAGCGGAGAAAGCGCCTGATGTCTTCCGGTATCTCATTGAGCCACGAGATGTCGAAAAACGTTGTATCTTTTGTGCAATCGCGAATGGCCGGATGAATTAAGGACATGAAGAACGAGAAGTGGACGTTTGTAATAAGAATCAAGTCACTTGCCACAATTCGCTATCTAGCTAGGAACCTCCACCCAGAGAATTCACTCATCATTTGATGACGTGAATCTATTCGGCAATCTGCCTAAGATTTCCCTGGCGACTTCTACCCTCGTCATTTATGCCGAAAGATAGAAGGTAGCCGCTACTTGTCTCTGGTCTTTCTCCTTCTCGGCGTGTCTAATCGATTCCTGGCAAGAATCGAGGTGGCGCGTTGTTGTACCAGGATGAATTTGTGAGTGCGTTTGACGATATTGAGCCGGGAGCTCAACGCCATGTCCTGATTGTGCCACGGAAGCATGTAAAGAACTGTTGGGCCGACAACTTCGATCCTGCGCTACGTCGGCATATGGCGCAGGTCGGATGGAACTTGGCACGTGGGGACTTCCTGACCGACCAACCACAGTCACGCATGATGGAGATGAATCCGACGAACAGTGATTTCGTGGAGGAACGATCGTCAAGATCACCAGGAGATGCAAGCAGCGAAGTGACTGCCAAATCATCAGTAGAACAACAGCCGGATTTCTCTTCAGATAATAGCATGTTCCGCATGTTTTACATCCGGCCACCTTGGAATAGCGTGTATCACGTGCACTTGCATGTGATGCGACTACCACTGCGGGATGATGTGCCTTTTTTGCTTAAGAAATTGACGTCTTATCATATTGATTCATCTGTCGCTGTGGTCTGCGAGCATTATACTGCGAAGGTTATACTGAACCTTGTTTACCTTCGTTCCAGCTACGTCTAACCTCCGGCGTCTCGGTTTTAGCAGTCCACGGTTTCATATAACGCCAGAAGATGTGGAACGGGAACGGGCGGACGGGGTACCAGATTTTTCTATTGGAAATACTACCGCCGCAAGCTGTCCTACGTCGCGTCTCTAAGCGGTACATTTTCCGGGAATCTCATGCAAGGCCTGTACGCGGAAGGAGACGGACGCGGCGAAGCAAGTATGATCTCTGTATAAGTCTACGCATGATGATGATAGGGGAGCGAGTATGGAACAGCAATTTATTTGGGTTGACGATCTGTTACGAAATTTCGCTCCTACCTATGTTCGGGCGCTGTCGAAGAAAGGTTTTGTCCTGTCTGCGGCGGTTTTCTTTGTTGGACAGACGCGCTACGCGAACGCTAGTTACGATTTTCACACGTCATTCTTTCGCATTGCAGAAGCTGCATTTGTTAAACGGCTTGGGATTCTATCTAAACTGGACGCAAACAATACATGTGTAGTCATCAGCACGAAGCCTCGACTTGCTCTTTCACATTTTTGACCTCTTGAAATATAGCGTCGCGTTTCAGACGACAGCCTTGCTTTTGTATTCAGCTGTACTAGCAAGCAACAGTGTCTGCTTAAGCCACGCGGCGAAGAACTAAGGCATCATAGTAGATTCGATGCAAAATCTTTCTGCTACATCAGCAAAAGGAAAGTTAAAAACGTCGGTTTGAAATTGTGTGGAATTTGTAGTATTGCCGAAGATGATTGTCACCCTCTGCGAAAAAACTCCGAAATGAATAGAGAGTTCTAGTTTTTATTGGTTGTTTCCCCTAAGTGTTTCTTATTTTTTTTTTGCGAAGGGGTTGTTGTAAGTTAGTACCTAAGTGGTTTTGGAAGCCAGTATGATGACGACTACAAAGTTGTCTTGAACAACATTGATGTTCTTCCATCTGATTGATTTCAATTGATAATTTATAAATCATGGGCAAATTATCCGTCGCAAACGCAAAAAAGAAGGTACAACCTTCTGCGAAGAGCTCTAGCAGCAAAGCTTCTTCCGGGTCAGGGCAAACTAAACAGAAGAATGTCATCAAGAAGACCACGACTGGTGCAGCTTCGAAGAAAGTCATCAAGAAGACCACGACTGGTGCAGCTTCAATTTCGGGTTCCTCATCTCCTGCAACGGTTGCGCAACCAAGCGCCAAACTACTCCAAGCACTTGAGGAGAAGATGCGAAGTCTTGTGACTGAACGTGGCGTCGCTAAGACGTGCTGACCCTCCGAAGTCCCGCGTAGTGTGGCACCAGCAGATGAGTGGCGGGGATTGATGTCAATAACGCGTCAAATCGCTGTGCGCCTTGCTGAGACAGGCTTTCTCGAAATAGTGCAAAAGGGGAAGGTACTCAAAGTAGAGGGCTGCGGTCCGGAGACTGTAAAGATTAGGGCTGGTAATTTTGGTGGGCCGGTTCGGCTGCGGAAAAAATGATGAAGAACGTCAAAGGTGTAACTAAGGGAAGAACGTATTTCATGTTGAACTCTTGAAGTAGAAGATCGTGTTGGATCCTGATACGGATGGCGCGTTGAGAACTCTTTTGCATATGGGGCAGGATTTCCGATTTCGAGCTTAATGAATGTTCGTTTTGGCAGATACCAGATGCGGATTCTTGTACAACGTCGCTTCGATGGAGACTAGTACAGGAAGTATAGTTCTGTGGTCTACTTGCCGTTTGCTCGATTCGTGCAACGGACGGCTTGTCTCAATCACGCAGAAATTTTCTGTTATGGGTTACTAGTCCGGTTGATTGATTCATGTGACGCTAGCACGACGGCGTGCTTGGCTGATGTTTGACAGCAACTTGAACGGGTATTGGTTCAGCGCATGGCAAGAACTTTTGGTTTTGACACATTTAGTTTTCAACAAGGTAGTGACGAGATGGTAAGTACAAACGTTTGTTGCTCCCCAAATCTAAAGGAAAACCAAAAGAAAAGAACTAGGTTCGAAGGAGAGACAGAGTTCAAAAATGGTCTTGTTGTAGGCCTTCAAGTCTTTCCGTTTGGTGGAGTCATGACCTCTTTGATAGAATAAAAAAAAGTGTTCAACTCCTCCAAGAGTGATTCCACTGTCGACAAGATGCGCATTGTTCTTTAAACCTTTCTTATTGCAGTTTGAAATTCAGACTCACAAGGTAATATAGATTTCGCATAGCAACTAAGAGAGTGAGATAAAACGAGTGACTCCGAGTTTCACACGAGTGCGTTTAGGAGTACTTAGTCAGAAATTTCCATGTAGAAGTTGTACACCTAGTACGAGTGGTAACGAGGTGTTCTCGGTTTCTTTTTGAATTCGGTTTATATCGTTATCCTTCTCCATCTCGTACGAAAGTTGTCACTGCTGTGTATGTGTTCGTTACAGATCGATTTTGATTTGATTTGATTGCCGAGGGACGTTGTCAGGAGAGCTTTGGACAAGTTCGATGGTCGGTGTCATTGATTTCTACAATCATACCTACTCCCTGAGTTGTTGAATCGTTGTCGTCCCCACACCACCCACAGGCTAGCCCTTTTTGAAAGCCACCAGCGTATTTCAAATCCGCTTTTTGCCCTTCTTTAAGGACACATGATTCTGTCGTATGTTATCTTAGAGGTCGCTGCTAAGTATGACTACGCACGACCGTCGCTTTTTCGAATTGTAACTCGAGCCTAATATCTTGCTGTATCTCATTGTTACAAGGCAGTTTTAGAGTCAGATTTAGATACGTGACGTTGTCACTCAGTAATTCGTCAGCTGTTAGCTACTAGGCTCCTCTACTTGAACTAGCACTCCTGTAGAGTCGCTTTAGTAATCTTATTTGTGTGCAGATATGATCCTGAAAATTTTGCAGGAAAACCAAGTGAATAGAAAAACGTCTTGGTGGAAAAATTAGGAACATGAAATGACACGAAAGATAATCATTTTAATCTATCATGACGAAATGAATACTTAGATGCCACTAAAGATTAGTAAACGCACGACCATCCTCCAAGTATCTGAGGATAAGTAATTGCTTTCACTGGCTAAATTTCCTTCGAATTCAGAAATACCGAGAGGTAAGTACTACTAGAGCGGGGTTATGTTGTAAGGTTGTACTAATGTAAATGTACAATTAGAATTATGTACTATCGCTTGGTGGATGGATAAAAATAGGACTACTAGGAGGAAATTGTTCATGACGAGCTTGAATTTGATGTAAAAGGGGATACAGCAGGATGTTGAGTGCCGCACTATCCGTGGTGAAGGGTGGGGCGCACTTGGTGTTGCGCGCTGCCGCTGCCGTAGAGAACTCGACGACCGCTGAAGCACATGCTTCTGACAGCACGGGTGATCCAGCAGGAGAACGGAACTCGGGAGATGTTGCTGTCACAGAAGGTGAACGAGGGCTCGCTAGTTCTCTAGAAGATGAAGAGCAAGCAGGACAAGAAGATTCCCAGTATGTCAGTCGCGACGCTTTTCTCGCAAAGAGCCGCTCTACTGTAGAGCGTGGACGACGGCAACCTATTCAGGCGCGGTCAGGAGCGTCCGTCGTTTTTGATCAGGCGTCTTCTTCAGAAGAGATGGAGCATTCTAGAAGCAGTGGGCTGGGAGAAAATTATAGTAGGAGGAGAAGCAGCTGTAGCTCAGTGGCGTCCACTACATCGACTTCAGATCCTCCGTTTTCGCCTTCATCTACGACAACAGGAGGATCAAGCTCTAGTACTCTCGAAGACGAACTGCTGTGTCGCGAAGCAGTTGAAGTCATGGCTTTCGGCTGCAGTAACGACGCTAGGAATACGAGTACAAATAGTCGTCCGTCCTCAGCATCTCAAGAATTCATCTATAAAACATTAAGTAAAAAAAGTAGTAGTAGTCAACAGGAATCTCAATGGCGATCCTCTACCTCTTCGTCATCGACCGCCTACTCGTCTCCGTCGACTTCCACTTCCTCCTCCGATTGTGCCATATGCCTCCGGGAATTCGGCGAGGGAGAGGCACTGACCCGGACGCAATGTGGTCACGTTTATCACGCGCTCTGCCTCTTTGAGGCGTGGCAGCGACGTCCTAATTGTCCGCTCTGCCGTGACCTCATCGACAAGACACCTTTGCAGGCCTCTACTTCGTCTGGCGCAAATAGTACAACTTCAGCGTCTTCGCAGCTACAACCTGGTGGAGCCCAGCCGGGACCAGGAGCACTGCGGAGGACGGCTAGAGATGGCGCAGACACATTGGACCCGAGAGTAGTGTTCGGTGCTAATCCTATGGAGTATTTCGCTAGCTCTGACTCTGACGCACTACGTCGGGTCTCGCAAGCCATCACACGACTCAGTCTCGTCAATAGCTCTGTTGCACAGACAGAGTACTTCCTTTTTTTTTCTGGCAATATGTTACCTTCTACTCGAAGACGAGGATTCTTCTAGAAATTTTCTACGAGATTCACTGACATTTTTTGATGCTTAAAGCTAGCACTACTAAGTAAAACAACCGGTTAGTACAGTTTTCACCTCTATACTCTAGGTCTATCCCACCTTCATGCAATACTTCCACAGGACTGCCTCTTCTTCTTCCAGTAGTGCGACTGGTGAGGACCGCGGAGACACTGGTGGGAACGGGACGCCCTCCGGTGGATCTGAGCCTTCACAGGTTGTGCACCAGCCTGAGCAAGGGACCACTTCATCGACCACGAGTGTTGGGGATATTTTGAATGCGGTTCCAATCGATCCCAACGTTTTGGCGAGGATGCGCCGCGAGAACCGCAGATTGCACAGTCAACCGGCTTTTTCGAGTATGATGCGGCAGCGGAACGCCAGCAATGCGCACAATCCGCACACTGGCTGCATCTATGCCGATCTTTACTTAGCAGAGATGGGAATCTGGTCCAACTTACCGGAATCATCGCAGGGAGGTGCCAGTAGTGCAGCAGGCCCATCGCGTTCACCGGCTGCAGGGACTGGTAGTAGTGCCAGTAATAGCAGCACCAGCGTTCTAGTAGGTAGTGCTCCTGTACGTAATGCTGGCACAACCAGTTCCAGTAGCCAACATGTAGGCAATTACAACAGTGCAGCAAGTGTAGAAGTAGATAGCACCAGCACCGCAACGACGACAAGTAGTGCGACATCGGCATCACCAGTGCCGGTGGGCTCTCCAGTTCGAAATCGAGAAGGAAGAAGTACATCCAGTAGTAACAATAGTAGCAACTTCACCTCTCTTGCATCCCCTGTGAATGACGGAAGCGGAACCACAGCCAACACCACGACAACTGACGCACTTCAACAAGCTCCTGCAGGCACGAATGCAATAGAGACTGACGCAGTCGCTGATAATGGTTTGACACCGCCACCATCTTCTACAACAAGTACTACATCTTCTTCGGTTCCTCCATCATCAACAGCCACTACTAGAGCGGACACCAGCCCCAACACTAACACAGCGTCATCAACAGTGCAGTTGACCGCGCATCAGCAGAGCCTCTTGCGGTCGGTGTGTCTTTACCAACTGATCGACGAACTCTTTCAATACGCATCGGTCGGCCACTTCGAGGCAGTGAGCATGATTTTAGCGTCACGGCTTGTGGACGTTAAGACCGCTCGCGACGTTTGCGGTAACACAGTGTTGCACTTTGCGCGGTCCCTCGAAATCGTCAAGCTCTGCGTCGAAGAGTGGAACGCAGACGTATTTCTTTACTCCGCTTAGTATTGCGCAGCTTTCAATTGATTCTGTGTATCTTGCGTGTTAGACTCCGGGAATATCCCGATATCTTGCGTGTTAGACTCTGGGAAGATCCCGATTGTCAGTTTCGGAATACTGATCTGGGCAACATTCGACTCCACTCAGGAGAGGCAGGCCCCGATTGCCGTTGTGGATTAGATTCAGAGTAGATACATTAGGTTTAGATTTGATGGGTATCCTCAAATTCAAACGAATTTATATAGTACTAAAGGATAATCAACTAAAAACAGGTAAACGCCACTAACGATGCATTGTGGACGCCATTGCATTGGGCTAGCGAGTGCGAGAACCCCGCTTTGGTGTACACCCTATTTTAAGGCCATCAGATATATCATTAAATAAACAGTTTATCAGGTATCTCACATCAGATTCACACGTGACAATTTGTACTAAGTTGTAAAAATATCCTTTTACTACAATCGACTACCACTATCGCTACAACTAAGATTTTTACTCTTCAGAGAGAGACGCGTCCGCTGTTCATACCCCGCCCTTTCGACTTCAATCTTCTCTTCAGGGACTAATATCAGGTAGCCGTAGTTGGCTTATATCAGGTAACGTCAAAACATATATTCTTCATCCCTTACCGTCCCTTACCGTTCAGGCTTACTTAATATAGTTTTCATTGCATAGAAAGAAGCTACTAGTATTGCTCTAACGGTTGCAGTATGGCGCGGATCCGGATTACTACACAAACTGTGGCCGAACGGCGCGAGAGCTGGCGACCTCGGAAGCCGTCCTAAGCATTTTGGACCGTCATGAGGCTGAGCTGAGAGGAGATGCCTGCTGAGAGTAGATGCTGAGACATCTAAGTACTCAAGATCTTTGAGTAGAAGATCTTTGAGCAGTAGAAGATCTTTGAGCAGAAGATCTTTGAGTAGGAACTATCTTTGAAGAGTGGGATACATAAGGTGGTACATCCCAGGACCCGCAGTTTCTTTATTTTACTCTGCCGTGTATCCGTATTTTGAGTTTGAAGCACGTACAGCTTCATTCCCCTCTGCGTTTGATATCATAATCGAATTATGATGTAGTTGATGATCAAGATCAAGGTCATCATCACGTGTGTGATTTTTATGTTTATGCGTAACCCCATAGACAGCACGAATCCCCTTTTAAGTAGCATATTTTGACATTTTGAAGATCATTGCCTGTGTTTGCTATTGTTTTGACTGCCTTTCCCCGTTAAAAAGAACGTAGTAATGAATCGAAGACGCTTCGTCGTAGGACAGATTTGATAAGAGAGGGGATCAAAATCACTGCAATCTCAAACTTTCGCACGTAACGCACCATCATTGATGTTTGGCCGCATTTTATTTTAACGTACTTACTTACAAAGACAGGGATACCACGCCAAGCCGTTTCTTTGCCGATTTCTTCGCACACAGGAGATAGATTCCCAAGCTAAAATTTGTCGATCTCTATGGTACAACTAAGATTATGGTGAAGACGAGATCACGGGAAAGAAGTTCTTCTGGAAAGAAGGCTCTTTGCTGAGTAGTAGTAAGGAGCATCTATCTGAGTAACAGCGCTTTTTGGCTGAACTGCTTACTACCGTACTAGCAAAAGATCTTCACAATGTAACTAGTTGTAGTTGTTCGTTGTATACTAGAGCACGTAGTATTCGATTTTAGTTGTCCCAGGCTTTGTTGCGGAAAGAAGCCATGCACAGAAGACGTTGAATGCACAGAAGTCAAAATCTAGAGTACAGAAGATAGAAATTGTGCTTTGATGCTGCAGAAGTTGTGATTTTGAATTTTTGCGTGGTCCTATGTAAGTTGATGAACTTGTCTGTAGTGAATAGTATGATAAGAATTTAGTATTAACATATGGGAAGGACTTATTGAGAAGAACGGATGTTAGATTCGGTCGTCCTCTGTTCTCATTTTTAGTGCGCAGAAATGCTGCTACCCTTTCCCTTCTAAACGCGTGTGACAGACTGGTGAAATAGAAATGACGATTTTTCCTACAAGTTACTGAATCAATCAGAAGAAGTAAGTGTAGTATGGTCTTCAAATTCAAGAAGTACGAACAACTTGGAGACTGTCTTTCAAAGGGACGCTCAAGAATGGTACCACGTGCGTTCATGATCCCAGCAGGCATGTTGAAGGTGTTGCACGCAAGAGCAGGTTGGCGGTGCAGAGCACTTTATTTTAAGAGAGTTTTCCGCTTGACCGAAAACACGTCTTCAAACGTCGACCACAATTCAGAGACTGTTGGAGTACGTAGTTTCTTTTTGTGCTAGTCGGTACCAGCTCTCTTGGGGAGCTTTGGAAAGCGAGATGAAGTTCTTGCATGCTGTCGGTATAAATATCAGAGGGCGAGTCGTGGCAAGAGAGGAAGCGAAATCGTGTGAAAGAGCACGAGGAGAGATCATTTACTAACGGACACAAGATGACGCCGTGAAGAGCAAACACGAGATGAGTCTACAGCTTCTTAGTTAATATGACGTAATATACGTGGGCAGGCAGCAGGACGCTGCATCATCAAATTTGACGTTACCTCTATATCTCAGTTCGTGGGATTATTTCCACAACGAATGAGGAGAACTACCGGTGTGCAGAAGCGGAAACAAAAACGAAATGTCAAACAAAATTACCCACTGGAAATGCGCTTCAGGTTGTTTAGGAGAGGACGGAAAAATATTGGCAATACTATAGTGATGAACTGTACTACTGCTAGTGGAACTACAACTGTTTTTATGCACACTACTAGCATTCATCCATCCCGTCATCGTGTCGGTCTATCCTTCTAAGTAAAAAGTTACTAAGTGTAAGTATTGGTCAGCATCAACCAGATAGATCACGACCAGTAGAAAGATAGACCATCAACACGGTGGATGAATCTAGTTTATGGGTGCTAGCGCTAATCTCATCTCTTAGACTCTCGTGAAAGATGGACCCACAGCAGTTTCTAGGGAGTCGGGTCTTGCAATGGCAGGCACCCGGGGGCCTGCTAGGCAGGTATTCATGCTTATCCTAGTAGTCGTGTCCTCTCTACTGTTTTTCCGGGAAAGCGACGGACCGACGAGCCTGAGGATGACCGTGTCTTCTGTTAATACCTTACAATGAATTACCCATAGCTTTCAGATTTCCAATAGTTGCAAGTAATGGATATGCTACGAGTTGTACAACTATAACGACCAGGTTGAAGGCACGACGGGGAGCTAGCGGGCAGTCGTCTCAACAGAGTAGTATACTAAGGACTTCACCGGTTCGCTGCGATTATCCACTACCTTGGAGATTTGATTGGGGTACTGCACTACTTTGAATTGGGGTCAAATTCAGAAGTACAAATTAATAGAAATAGTAGTGCTCCTGTAAGTAAGCAGTATGACAAATTCTTGTGTCCTTGATCTTGAATATACAGAATACCACTCGGGAGAATATAGAATAGCACTCGTTATAGATTATACGGGCGATAGTCAACTTTCAACCCGTAGCTTCGGTTAAGGACTAGAACCCGATAAGTGTAACTTCTGCCAATCCAACAACAAGCTAGACTAGCGGGTAGAAGCCGCCAGGGAAATCTTCGGCGGTTCGCCGTATAGGTTCACGCCATTCATCCCGTGCAACTTCTGCCCATCCGGTGCCCAAAAAAAGAAGCCGGGCTGAGGCGGGAGCCTTCCTAAATCTAAATCTAAACCAAAACGAATATTCATCCTTTATTTCAGCCTTCCTCTTTCATCCCCATCATCATTTTTTAGGCGGTCACGATCCTGCGACGCCTACGATGGAACTGAGCATAACTCTGCATAATTCCATGTACGCTCTTATGACGCCAGGAAAAACATTACTCATGATACTAATGTCTACCTGACTACTTACTTCCTTGTCTAAGGTGTACCTGATGATTACTCATAATACTGTAACCCGGCTAGTTCTTGTTTCCTCGACGTTTGTTCGGGTCTTCTTAGTTCCTATTGACAGGACCCCAAGATAGTGCCTTGTTCTTCTAGTCTACGGCTTAAATCTATTTGTAGGTGGTCGTAAGCTCTAGCCGCATAAGAATAGCAAGTGTTGTTTAGACTTCTAAGTCTACTTGGGCTATTCTCTGGCTCATATGTCCGATCAGCTTTTTAGTCTAATGATTTGTAGTGCTGTGCCCTTTTACCTTTCCACCAAATGGTTGGTGAGACTACTTTAGTTATTCAGTTGGGTAAGTACTTTGGCTGGGTACACTACTACTACTATTTAAATGCAGCTCCTCGTCTGTCTTTGAATTGATCCACTTACGTTACATGAGTAATGAAGATTTTCCTGTCATAGCCGTCTTCGCGGGAATCACCTACTTTATCGGCCACACGTCTTTGCGATCCTGTTCAAAGTTCCAGAAAATTATGGAAAAACTACAGATTAATTGTAGACCGTACGTACTACGGTTCTACTGATTTTTCATGCGGTACAGTTCGGAATCCTATCCCAGGTCAAGCCCCTAAATATGTCGTAATTCTCTAAAAAGGCGGCTAGTTTTGGGCGATAGCAGAGCACGGGACCACTCGACAACTTGAACCACTTCTTTCGTCCTATTCCTGCAGATGACGCCCTGTTGACAACGTAGTTGTTGTACCAGCCTGTTGTCGAGGTAAAAATTGTACCAGACGAGGAGGTGTTGTTACTGTTGTTTTGTGTCTTTTACAAGAACCTCTGAAGGGAGAGGAGACCACCTATGCACCCTGAAGGGAGACCACCTGTTTGGCGTCTCTTTGGATTCGGATTGAAGAATTCTTTTAGAACAAAGGGAAAGTGGGACATGATTGACCTCTGACGGGGGTTCTTGTGTCAAGCTTGCTGGAAGAGCGGCGCCTCCTCCTCCTGTGTTCGTTATACACAAGAATGAGTAACTAACGACGTCTCCCAAGAACATGGTCGAATTTTACTATTTCGGATTAAGGAACGAACAAGATCTTTCTATGTCTACTCGGAGCAGCTACTCGGGCACCGTGGAAGCAAGGTCGATCTATTACATGTACATTCATTGTGATTGAGAATTTTTAGAGAGTAAACGATCTTAGCAATGCATCATGATCCTCGATCCTACGTCACGCGAGAGATAATGGATATGGATCCCCAGCAAGCAAGACCACTTCTTTTGAGCGCGACACGTGTGAGGCGATAGGGCCACGCGCGAGCATAATAATAATAAGAATACGAACAATAAGAACAATAAGAATAATAATCAAATGATACGATAATAATCCACCTTATCATAACATAAGTATACTAGATGATGTTCTTACGTAATACAAATCATGCTTTCCACGACTCTTACTAGAACATACTAGTAAAAATAAGGAGGAAAGGAGGATGAGGATCAGCGTTGTTTCCCGCCAAGGCGCGGCCTCGGTCGCGTGTCGGTTTGCTCCACCACCGCCACCAAAACGTGCTGTTCTTGTCAACAAGAAGATCGCGGCTGTTGACATGGCTAACCGTCATATGGTCGTGACTGGAGCTCAAGGGGGAGAAGGGTCATCAGCATCTGGAGCAGGTGGGGGATCATCAGCGTCCGCGTCGTCCTCGTCTGCATCGCCTTCTGCATTCTCCTCGTGCCTATCGTCTGCGGTGAAGAACAACAATGGGAGGAACAGTGGCAGCAGCACTGGGTCTCCTCCATCAACGTCAAACAGCCCATTGCGTGGTGCAACAAAGGTGAGGTCAACAGCGCTCGTCGGAAATCAACAGAAGCTTTCGCTTGAGAAGATTAAGGCCTTGTCGTGAGTGTTTTGATACGATACACGATGAATACTCAGTCAAACAGATTCATTCTATTCTTACCTGTTCGTCGTCTGCAATTCTAGTACCAACTACAGGCTTTTATTCTGTAACTCTTTCTAGAAAAAATTGAAATATCTTGAAGAGCATCATCAGGGTAAGCAGATCAACTACATTCATTTGTATCTTCGTGATCATCTACTTTGCCTCTCTATTTTTTCTATTTTCATTGCATCCAACCAGGCGAGTGCAATGGAGGATCTTGAGCGAGAACTAAGGGAAAATCCGGAGTGGAAAGAGTTGTTCCACGTTACTCGATCCGCTGGTGACGCGAAGGGCGCATTCCTACTAGAAGAACTGACGATGATGGATAGAGTAGGCGTGGACGACGATAGAGTAGGCGTGGTACTACAGTTAAAAAACTCCAGACAGGAACAAGCTGGGGACCACATCAACTCTCAAGCCGGGAACGGAGAAACTTCTTGTACTAGTACTTCTGGTGGTAGTAGAATGACGAAGATTCCTAGCGGCGGTAGATTTACGGACAGTAGGATACAAGAACCTGGCAACACGAGGACAATGTCTGGCGCCCTTGGCGCAACTAATGTGGATGTTGCGAGACTCATCCCTGCTTTGTCTCTGCCTGTTTTCTTCCAACTAGTCCGGGAAGTGCTGGCTCCGCTTGAGCAAAGGTTAGTCGCGCAGTCTCATGCTGCTGGAAACAAGGTATCCTCAAGAACCGCTGACACGCATCAGGCACAAGACATGGAAAAAGTAGGAGGTAGAGAGAGTATGACTACTAGTAGTATGCAACATCAGGAGGAGCTCCTCCATGACAACATTCTTGCCCCTTTGCATGCGGTATTCGAGCTAGTGAAGGCTCGGCATCTGACTTATCTGAATGGTGAATGTGTGGGAGACTTTCCTGCAACGGAGGTCGGTCTAGTAAGCGGTTGTGGTCGTGGGCAGTGGAGCGAGGTGGACAATCTTCTTAAGACACGACCCTCCTGATCGTGTTCGTGTAGGAATCGATTGTAATTGTTGACTTGGCTCCTGGCTTCATTAGAAGAAGGGTTTATTAAGGGTAGGTTAAAGGTGCTTTTCTTACCGCTTTTTATGCCTCTCCTAAGGGAGAAAGGCAAAACAAGCGGAGTAAGCGAGCACCGAAAACCTACCTCTAAGTTTACTTTTCAATCACTTGTGGCCCTTTTAGTAGAGCAGTCCGAATCTACGGCGCCTTTTACTACAGTAGTACTAATTGTGAAGCATGATTGATCCAAATAAAGAACTCTAATCCGTCTAGCGGTGGCGAAAACTTGGCTTCCGACTCTGGCATCGCTCAGCGCCTCATTCGGCTATGGAATAAAAGGGACGAACTAGTAGTGGCGCGGGAAAAGTCAGTAGATGGGGAGCAGGATGTTGGACAAAACAGCAAAAGATTTATGTCTACCGATCAAGCATACTCAGCGCCATCCCTGGACCTTTCGTTAGAGGGTATGCGAGTGAGTGTCGGTTGTAACTCGTTAGAAGTACAAGTGGCACAATAATCCTCTCAAGACAACAACTGGGTTACGGGGCAAACTACGCTTATTCATTCATATGTGAAAAAGAACCACCCAAGGGTATGCCTCCCAAGGAAAACGCGAACGAGGTAGCTCTAAAAGTTGCAGCTTCTTTCGCGATGAACAAGATGCCTACGCCTTCCTGCGTCTGGTTCCTCCTGTGCAGTCCGTGCCGATAGTCCTGCCATTTCTGGAGAGCAACATTTACGGGACTACGTTGAGCCGAGAGGAGCATCATTCTTTTTTGTTAGAGACATAGAAACATCAAACCCTATCCTATCCTATCAGCGGCGGCATCCTATCCTATCCTATCAGCGGCGGCATCCTATCCTATCCTATCCTATCCTATCCTATAAACTGTGTACAATGAGTTCAAACTTTGTGCAATGAATGAGTTGATTTTGTTTTTTTGCTGTCCCACAGGAGGTTTTGTAAATGGCTCCGACCACATAAACACTGCAGGACTGATGAAAATTACTCCTGCTTACATCATAGTGATCATCCATGAAGAAACACACCACCACCATTGAAGGAGGACGACCGGCTTTTCTAATTTGCGTCCAATTCGGTGATGCAGTGGGAGCATGTATCGGACCTACCGCTTGAGGACTGCTGTAGGAGAATAGTTGCACATGAATTTGCGTCGCAAAGAAAATTTCGATTGTTAGGAGGTTCACCTGGTAAAAATGGTAATGGCATTGGTGCTAACAATAGTGGTTCCCGTGAAGATCCTCGTGCCATAGAAGCAGAAAAGCGTTGCGTAGAGGAAATGATTAGCGCAGCTCGGGATATCGAAGCTCAGTTTAACGCCAAAAAGCTACCGGAATTCAGCTACACTACATGCGAAGAGGAGGTCCAGAGATACCTCAAGAAGATGATTGCGAAGTGCAACGCTCCGTTTGTTAAGACTGTCGCCGCAGCATCCTCAGCATCCTGCTTCTGGCTCTTCTTCTACTTGAAAGTGATGCTCTCAGGGATGCTCTCAGGGATGCGGCAGCGGTAGTTCTAAACCTCTTCGTGGTTGTGTAGTCCCTATTGTTGAGGCAGTAGCGTACGGCTGCCCTGACCTGGAACGTGCGCTCGCGACATCACAACAGGCACGAAATGGTCGCAGCAGAGACAGCGGAGCGAGTTCGTCAAACACGTTGGGTGGGATGGCGAATCACAGTGGGTCAGGAAACCGCAACCCCGCAGCAACGCAGTTCGTAAGCCTCTGGAGTGATTTTCTATGCGACAACGTGGATGGCCTTCCACCTCAAGATGTCACGCGACTGATTGCTGCTTATGGCCGTCGTGCGCTGCCGACGGATGAGTTTTTATGTGAAATCTGAAGGTTGTACACGCTTTCTGTTTCTTCTAGAAGGCAGTCAGAGTTAGACCCAGATGTTGAGCTGCAAAAGTAAGACGGAGTTAGACCTAGAGGTTGAACTCCAGAAGCTTTGATCTTGTATGTAACGCACAATGCCTGCCATGTTTTCGTTTTGTGGTTCGGAGTAAGAATCGCTGAAAATTTCATCTTCATCTACGTCCTCGATCTGCTAACTAGCTCACCTACCTCCTGCTCAGTCCTCTTCTTTGTTCACGAGTAAGAAAAATAGCACTTCTTCTTCCTTTCTTCCCTTACCTTTACATTCTGCTATGCTAACTAGCTCGACCTTCTCCTGCTCAACCTCTAGTACCTCCTTCAACATCTTCTAATCCTCGTGATGTTTATGCTGGCGAAGCGTACGCAGGAGATCCTCCACTACTTTTCTGGACCACAGATCACCTCAATAGCCTACAGCTTCGCCTTTCAATACTTGGAGGATGATGAGTTCATGCATGCCCTTTCGCAGGCCGTTTTTCTCGGTACGCAGGAAAGATTGCCGCAAGCGCAAGAGGAACAGGCGTCGATGTCTTCCACGGCAGATCGAGCTATCAACATGGAAGAGAAAGATATTACGGGTGAAAAGACTGACGAGATGACGCTGACGACTGCGGGGACAATCCATGGGGAGAACACCGAGCAGAGAACAAATAACGGCCAAGGAGTTGGTGATGATACATCAACCACAACTAGTTGTTCTACCTTAGAAGAAAATGCATCAAGTACCACTGGTAGCACGACTCAAAATGACACGACTACCACCGGCACCAGGAGATGGTTACAATTGTCCTCAGTTCAAAAAGTGACTATGCTGTGGGCTTGTTCAAAATTGCGATATCGGGATCGCAAGATGGCTAAAGCGGTTATAGGCGACTTGATGCGCGAAGGACGCTTTTTCCACAACCACAATCAACAAGTAGAGGGCCAACAGGAAACCGAGTCCGCTACTAATTCTGCTACTACAGGAGCAGCTAGAAGTCCCGCAACAGCCACGTCTGGTTCAACAGCCACGACTGGCTGTGCTGCTACAACAGGAGGAGCAGCTAGTACTGTTCTTCTAACAGATGCTACTGCTGGAAGTAGCAGTATTGCATCAGGAGACAGTAGTTGTAGTACTGTAAAAGCAACACCTGGCGCAGCAGGAGGAAGACATACAACAGCTACTACAAAGTTGCCAAAAGAGACAGTTGAGTCATTGACTGTCTACAAGCAGATGGCTGGCGCTTTGGGTTATGGCTATCATGACTTTCACTAGACAGGTGGATGTTTACTTAAATTTTATTTTTGCTGCATCTCTCTCGAATTATACATAGCGCAGTGGTCCGAATATTATCTATAAGTACATCGTGACACTCACATGTGGAATAGCTCAGTAGGCATGCGCAGTAGGTTATCACGAGGACGAGGGAACATCACGAGTAGCGCGGCTTCTTAACCTACAAAAGCTTATTTACCTACAAGTCTAAGATCTACAGTTGGATCTTTTGCATGTTCCGCTGGCGAATAATCCGGACTTTATTCGCGATTTAGCACGCAGAATCCGATCCGGGAATACTTCGGCTCTGGACGAGGACGAGTGGACTCATAGTGCTGTTATTTTATCACTCTACCTATTTCCGGATGCTGGGACGGCGAAAACAGTGGTAGTGGATCATAGCGAATGGCTGGCAAACGCGGCAATAAAGGGTGACGACTACGAACAAGAGCATACAACTGTGTCTCATAGAGATCAGCAAGATGAAGTAGATGATACATCTTCAACAAAAACGGCCGTCTATCGAAGCCATCACGAGGAAGCTCGAGCTCCGTTCTGGATGCTGTTGGCTTCGGCGCTTCATGTAGTTTCAGTGAACCGGCATTGGTGGGAGGCTCGTCGTTCTTCTTTAGCCAGTCGCCGCATGCGTTTGGTGACATCCTGTGTCTTTGCCGGTATGCTTGGGCCTCTACGGTATTTCCCCTTGCCGATTCTGCGGCAACTAGACGCCGCAGTTACTTAAGACTTTTGGAAATGTATCTTCAGGGGCATGATCTTGGGCCTCCCGTGTAAGGGGGAAGCGGGTCCAAGATGCATCTCAAAATGGGATATTCCCGGAACAAGATCTAAGTTACACACTTAGCCTGTCTGCCTCAAGGGGGTCGTGAGACCAACTCTAGTGGGTTTCACCTGGAAGTAGCGGCAGTACTGGATCAATTGCGCGTGCGCTATGGGTTGGAGAAACCTACGGGATCAGCGCCCTTCGTTCTAGACCTCCTTATTTCGCAGAACCAGAATTTTATGGACAAAACTTCTAGTCTTGAACGTCTCATTTCATCAGGTTGAGTAGAATGGATTCGTTCAAAAAAGAATGCGAAAAAATTTGCTCCAGTAAAATCTTCTGACTGTTCTAAGAATATCTTCGTCGAGCTAGCGATGACAGAGACCGAAAGGGAGGCGATCCTCGCGCGGCAGAGAGAACTCGAGCAGCGTAGATTGGAGTTTGTATTCGGAATCGCACCAGGAGGAAACGCAGACGTGGAGCCAGAAGACCAAGCTGCGACAGAGTTTAGCCATGCTGCGTGCTAAAACTAAGGGAAGAGGACAACTACTTGCTGGGGTCTTTATTGGGCTGTGAATGCTGAACAATATGACATAGGTTCCGAAGTGGCCTGGTTCTTCGTCTTTCTCGAATGTATAAATATATTTATAAGGTCAACAAAAACTTAACGACATGAAACTGATAAATAGTGAGAAGTGTATAAAACCGAATACTTACTTGATGATTGCGTAAGTACGAAAAATGTATCACAGACGCCTACATGAAATATTTGATGAGAAGCTAGTATTGAAGATCACCAACTGTAACGGGATGAATAATCAATGTACCTCCCAAACGAGTTTACCTGTCGCTACTTGTTATACGCTGTCCGACAGATGGGGAATGAATTGTAGAACGAGTGAGAAATGATGAGAAAGCTCGCATGATACGCATACGCGCGTAGAACTGAAATACCCAACATCCAGATCCTACAACATGATAGATAGTTGAGAACGCATAAGTGCTGTCCTGACTTTCGTTAGTGTTCGTCTGGAAGGTTGGTAGAAAATAATCTTCGATCACGCTCTACTCATATCCAGATTGCGGTGTCTACTATAAAAAGAAAGAACAAAGAAGTTGTTTTGATACTTAGTTATGATTGGATGTGTTTTATTTGTTATCGGAGTCGGAGAGATACAGGGCGGAAGATGATGGAACTTTGATGTAAACTGAAAGGACTCGTAGATGGGCATTCGTCAAGATTGCTTGCCTTAGCCTCGCAGGCTAAACGCCGTATCATCTAGGCGCCTCAGTTGTAGATGCCTGTACCTCCCACGGCCGCCGAGCCTCAGCGAGGCCGTCATCGCAGAACAGCACAGGCAATTTCGAGCGATGTTGTCTACCTAACCGGTGGTAGCGGCTTTCTCGGTGGCGCTGTCGTGGAAGCTCTGGCGCCTCGGAAAATCTATGTGCCGGTCAGGGGTAAAGGTCGTCAGACAGGAGCAGAGCGTTTTGCGGCTCTGCCAGTGGCAATACGGCATCCTAACTGCGTCTTCGTTCCACCGCTGACCAGCGCTTCGGACGATAGATGCGACCTGAGGAAGACAAACGACGAGGCCAGGACTAGTCGTGTTGGCAACAAACATACAAAGGCCACGGATCGTCAAGAAAAGAATGTCCATCTCCATACGTCTGATGAAGAACCAGCAGATGCGAAAGAGCACACCTTCACCTCAGAAGCACAGCCACAGTCTGTACTGCTCTCGAAAGAAGATTCTTTCACAACTGGAGCCAGGGTCTCCCTGCTCAGTACCCGCGCGCCGTCTGAGGACGCCTCACCTGACGGCTGTGGTGAATCTGAGGATGCGCACGCTGAGCAACAGCAATGGCGGAGGATAGACCAGACCCTGTGTCACAGCCTGGAGAAGGAAGATTTTTCTGATACTAGTCGTAAAAACACCGGTCATGATGATAACTGTGGTTTACCACGTAACTTGAACTTAGTACTAGAAGAAGATGCAGCTAATTGTAAACAGGGATTGCCCGAAGACGTGACGTCGCTCGTTCTGTGCGCCTATTCGATTGAGTTCCACGATGATGCTCAAAAGGCAATTCGCGAAAATGTAGAGCCCATGCTGCAGCTCTTGGAAGAGGCCGTCGTGCTTGAGAGACGTAGTCCTGGACAGCTACGGAGTGTAGTGGTAGTTTCAACGGCGTACGTCCTGCCCTATCGAGAACCTGCGTCTTCGAGACACGCTAGTACAACGGTTGAACAAAATGAAAATGATAAACCACACAGAGAAGAAGTACAGGCTTCCTCTACACCTGCTTCAACTTTTAGTGGTGCAGCTCGTCCTTCCTCGTGCGCCCTGGCGGATGAAAGAAAACAAGATGCGCTCGTAGCAGACGAGGACGGTGGCCGCGGTATCTCACCAACAAAAACACGACCACGACGAACAGGCGACTGTAGTATAAACTCACAGCCTAAAAAAAGTACATTTACAGCGGACCACCAGTCGCAGCCATCCACGCAACGAGTGTCGAATCTTGTGTCTGTCGGTGGTGCAGCGTCGTCGTCGTCTTCATCCTCCTCCTCGTGCAGCAGGGGCAATGTGCGTAGTCCTGACATCACTAGAGGGTCAACATTTCTGATACCTCCCTTACCGACAGCGTGCGGCTCCAAGGGCGTGGATAACCCATTTCTGATACCTCCCTTACCGACAGCGCGCGGCTCCAAGGGCGTGGATATGCTATGGCTGTACGAAGAGGTTCTACATGGCAGGCTTACCCTAGCTACGGTCAGAAAGCACCGGTGGCTCCATCCCCAGAGTACTGAGAATGCGTATATCTTCTCAAAAACGCTAGCCGAGCACATCATAGTCGACCGCTTTGCCAAAGACTTGCCACTTACTTTCCTGCGACCCTCGATAATAAGCTGTTCTGTGGACGGAGAGATGGGGTCTCGCGCTGCACCCTTCTGTGGCTTAAATTACGGCTTGGATCTCAAATTCATCTTCTTCATCGAAGCATCTTGGGAAGAACGTTTTCAGGGGTAAAAAAGGTCAGAAAAGATGCGGTTCAAGATGAATAGAGGGACGGGCTAATTGAAGCTCTTAGCGCATGCGGGACTGCTCCCGCGGTTCTGGGGTGGACGCGGGACGCTAGATACCGTTCATGTAGATGAGGTGGCTCGTCGGGTGGCCGAGCTGACGGAAAGTGTTCCTCCCGAAAAACGTAAGACCACAGGCACGGCAGATATCACAAGGGAACAGAGCAGAAGTGGAGGACAGAAGGTACTACTGATCGATGTTTCTTTTTTCGTCCATGTACGGATTCCAAGAGCAAATTATAGTATTTGCATAATGTGGATAATCAGGAGTTCACCAAATCCAAACAAGAATTTAGGGACACCCGAGAATGTATTTTGCAACAAGTGGCTCTGGTATTACGCCTCGCGAACTGAGGGAGATCTTACAGCCACGAAACCGCGTTTGGGTATTAGACTCATCTAGTACTAGTTCAACATCTGCTACAACCAGTAGAAGTAGTAGCTGTTCTCAGAAGAAGAAGACGCACGAGACCGTGGTGACTGGAAAAGCAGATACGGAGCGGGCTTCTTTTGATCAAGCGTGTGAGCAAAAACATTTGAAAAAAAATTTCTTGGCGGGTTTCATATCATCATGGCATCCAGCGCCTTGGGCGAGCGCTACAATTACAACGATGCTATCGCAGATAAGCGGTAAAAATGCGACAAAAACAAGCAGCCACAATTTCTTCTTTTCCACCAAGAACATGTGTCTTCAGCAACTTGTATCTTGCGCATCATCATGGTTTTCCGTTTTGTGGTTGCTGCGTGCTGTGGAGTGCTTTGTCTGTTGGTGTTTTTACGGATCGAAATATGCTACAAAGCTGCATCAGACGTACCGAAACTACGACTCGTTCACGCTTCGGGACTTTGATTTTCCGCACACACTGCCTGTCGAAAAAAGGCAACTGCAAAAATCCCTTGACGTATTTGCAAACCGATTTTTCAAGGAGAGAGAAAATAAGCAGAAGAGCACAAGAATGAAACAAGAGGATACAACCGATGAGGAGAGAATGAAAGAATGATTTGGTATCTGGGTATCACTATGAGTATGAAAACGTTGACGTACTAGCCTTGACGCTATAAGCTAGTGCCTCCCTTATTTCAGTCAGTAACTCGGTTAGATGTGGTCCCTTACTACGTCCTTCGGGGACCTCTGACTTCTTCACTTCAGAGAATGAAAGAATGATCTGGTATCTGGGTATCACTATGAAAACGTTGATGTAGCTCAAACTCGTCTAGATGATGTAAATTAGCGTTATTGAACAGAACCAACAGTCCGACCACAGTTGTTAGAAAGGATCTAGAAGCTTGATATTTAATTAACTCCTTATCTTGGAGTTCGATGGTGAAATTTTGCTAGTCGCGTGAAGACGGACGATCGGACCGCCGACGGGGAACAAGGACTTGACAACGAAAGTTTAAGTATAAGCATGATATGTACTCGATTAGACTATTACTTGACAGGTTCGTTTTTACTGGCACTTTTACACACACTGATAAGCAAGCACAATGATCATGATCTGTTATTTCCTAGTACTATTACCTCTCATGATGTTTGCTCATTTTGAAGAACTGACTGTTTGCAGAGGAAGATTGTCATGACCTATTTGGTTTTTTGCTAAATCCTATCGTGGGCGACGACCAGAATCAATATTGAAATTTACGTTTGTTCGAGTGACAACATGTTTGTTCCTCAGACACGCGATCCCGCTTGAGTTCGACAGATTACGAAACAACTTGAAGTGGCCGGATGTCTGTAATCTGAAATTTTCGATTCCAAAATCCATTCTTGAACAGTTCCGACCAAGATGAGATGGTAAAAATGTCTTCCGGGATCCTTATATATAATTTGAAAGCTGTTGGGAATCATAATCACAATGACAACTACAATTCTCAGATGGCATATGAATGGTCTCAATCCTATTTTGTATCTCGCATGAAGTGGTACTCGATCTATGTTCATCTGGGATAGGGGACGCTCAATGCCTTGATCCCCGATTGTCATGTCTGGCCAATCTTGAAGGATCTCCCTGTGAGGATCTCCTGTACTCGACTTTCATTCCTGTGACTTTCTGTTGAAATGTTATTAAATTTTTCAATCATCCTGCTTCATGACTGGTTGTGATCCTGTAAAGTTGAAGCTGTGCCTTGTGGTCCTTCTCAACACGGTTCCTCCTTAACGTCTCTTCTTTTATAATTTCATTTGATTCATCGGCAGCAGGTGCATATCATATTTTTCAAGATTTTAATCTACGAAAATATTCAAATACTTACATACAAGATTTTTAACCTGTAGCTACTGCAACTCGAAAAGAAAATGGGAATTTTTGAACTATCGCAAGAAGGAGAGGGATGGGGCCCAGCTGGCGGCGTCTCTGCAGACCTCCCGCTCCCGAAATACCCGATCGAGAACATCAACAGGTGAGACGAGAGGGCCTACTGTCTCACATCATTTTCGATCTGATGCTCTACCCTGATGTACGGAAGGAAGCTCTAATGATTCAGATCTATCAACATCAAGCCTCCCGTATATCAGATACAACATATACTGCAAATACTACAACTAGGTACCCACCTGCCCGTGTCGGAAAGGCTTGCGATTTCACGCAGGCGACTCAAGACAGAATTCGGCAGATGCAGAATGTGAATAACCCCAATAAGAAGCAGTTCCTGTGGGCTCAACAACAGCAACCTCTGGTCGTCGAAGATGGGTACAACTTGGTCGATACCAAAGCCAGCGCAAGAAAGAAGCAGAACAGCTATCAAACAAGATCGAAGCCGAATCATCAACAAAGTATTTCGACTTCCGTGTTGACTTATAATTAGTACTTGTTGATGAAAATATAGCTATAACGACAAGATGAAAGATAAAGCGATCCCAACCAGATCATAGGAAAACTCTACCCCACGAATTGGTACACTACTACTACTCACCTGCAGTTCAATTACTGTAGACCCAATTAAAACTACCCGATTCTCGCTTTATTTGTGATCCCTTCAGACGCGCAGAAGGCAGTAAAGCAGATGAATTATCAAGAGGGTATCCTCGGAAAGGCGACGAAGATGAAACAACAAGTGCCAACGAAGACTCAGAAGGGAAAGGGCAAGGGAAAAGGCAACATGCGGAAAAATCAGACACCAACTTTCAAGGGTACTTATGAATGTTTAGACTGTTGTTGACATTGACTTACAACTTCAACTAATATGATTCCGTCTGCCACCATTTCTTTTATTGTCATTCGCAAGATTCGAAACCAAAGTCCATCATGGGAAGCCTTCATTTAAACTAACAAATAATTATATAACCTTCAACTTCTCTCTCACACCCCCCACTGCTCCTTCTCCCCACGCCACGCACAGATTGGTCCGTCCCAGTGAGAAACGACTGGGAAATTTTGCAAGAATTGCCGTTGACGGGATTTGTGAAGATGAATATCGATGCACGGTTGGTGAAGGTAGAGGATGTGGCATGGTGTGGAAAATTGTTCCCTATGACGAAAGTGTACGACCGAACCACCTTTCGCACGTCAAAGCCTCTCCCAGTCGCAAACGACGTCAACTTCTTCAACGTATAAACTACAATTGTGAGTTGTTAGAGTTTGCGTTTGCTGACTAGGATCGATTGGTCCCAACTATTTTTAGTAGTAGTAAATGCTTTTTACATTTACTTGCATTCTTTTCCATTTTTCCATGCGAAGAACTGGAATGGTTTTTTTGAAACTTCTACGTAAGTACAACAATTCTCCATTTTTCCATGCGAAGAACTGGAATGGTTTCATCTTGAGACTTCTACGTAAGTACAACAACGGAAAGTACATTTTTTCAGCCCACAACCGCGGAAGATGAGACTATCGAGGCTATTATGGCGGATGACGATTCCGTTGATGTCGCAGGAACGGACCACATCTTGGCCTGCCTGATGGCCGCGGGTCGATCAGTGTATTCGTGGGATATTCTAGTGGTGAAGAGCGGCAGCAAGATCATGTTTAACAAGCGTGAGGGCGCTCCATGCGACTTCCTGACAGTGAACGAAACGGCACAAGAGCCGCCAAGCTATTCACCAGAGGAGCGTGACTCTATCAACGCAGCACCAAAGCTCAGCAGGGAAGCAGCACGTAAGAACATTTTTGCAACGCAAGACTTTGTTGAAGAAGAAGCAACTACTGAAGACTTTGTAGTTGACATGATTAATTTGAAAGTTATTTTACGTGGGGTTTTTATTCATAGAAGATATTCTTAGATTCAAAACTCCTTGCTCGTCACAAATCTCTCATATACTTACCACTGACTCGCGTTACCCCCAATGAATTAGGTGTGAACCAGAATTTTGCTGAGGCGATGGTGGACCGAAATCAGACGCCAGAAAAGCACAATCCCCATCCTTTCGCGGATGACGACGACGAGGAGGTTTCTGCGGCCTGCTACCGATACAGAAAGATCACTCTTCCCGGTGACAAGAAGAATGCAGATGCACAGCGTTCGGCCGATGTCTCGATGATCGTGCGAACCGAAGTCAGCGGTAAGACTCCAACGCAGTACGTCAGCGCCAAGTGCCTGAACAACTTCGAAACCAAGAGCGCAACCATGACCTGGAAGCAGCATTTGGAAAACATGCCAGGTGCGGTATTGGCAAACGAACTGAAAAACAATAGTTTCAAACTGGGACGATGGGTGGCACAGGTACTCATTGCTTATACTAATTTTCCGCCTACAACTGCTATTCTCGAGATTTGAAGATCAAGTAAGCGATACAGCAGGACTGCAACTCGCAATCACGACCGATGAAGTTGCGCTTTACAAGTCCTTTTCCCCTTACCCTTTGGACATCACAACTCTTTCTCTTTCTCTCGATCTTCCCCACACACCATGTCCCACACACTCACACACCTAACGACCATCACCTCACCAGGCTATCCTCGCTGGTTGCGAGCAGATTCGTTTGGGTTATGCGGTCCGACAGCGCGTGACGGATCCGATGCTGCACGAGATCGTGAAAGTGCAGGCTCAGCCGACCGCGCAGCTCGCCGCCCAGATTTCTCTCTCCGCCAACAACGCCTATGGTATCCTGCGTAACTTAATCGACCTGTTGCGAGACCAGGAAGATGGGCAGTTCATCCTCCTGAAGGATCCGAACAAGCCGATCTTGCGTCTCTACTCCACGCCGGATGGCGCCTTCGACGAAGACGACGAGGAAGAAGATGGCGAAGAGGAGGAAGAGGATGATGAGGAATAAGATTCTCCTCAATCTGATTGAGGAGGACTAGGAGATCAGAAGGACAAGGCTAGGTCACCTGCTGCTTCACAAGGAAGTGGCAAATTCCATTGGAGAAAGAAGAACAAGATGAAGAAGGAAGTGAGGAATAATAGGCAGGAGCAGACAACCTCTCTTAGAAGTATTTCATGAAGAATCAAAGGAGCAGGTGCAGTAAGAAGAGCATCATCTTCGCACTGTTGCCGCTTGGCAAGGAACAATTTTAGATGGGGCACCGTGTGAATCGTGGAGTCTACGCGGATGCTGCGATCCTCTCAGCGGGGCAAAGACGAACTACAAGTACTTATGTGCATGGTTTAAGACTGACTCTCGTCATAGCAGCACCAGCCATCATGTTTTGTTACTAGGGACAACGATGCTGAACACGCTTATTTCGTCTTGTTGTTGTTTCTTCGATTAGCTTGGTAGCTACGTAGTTGTCTTCCAGTTGTCCTCCTGCTCGAAATAGTCAAATTGTATCACCCATCATGTCATCAAATGTTTCATAAGCACCAGATTAATACTTCGAACGACATAAGTACTTTTAGCGTACAAAAAGACCTTGAACTAGATGTTTTCAGACTTGTCAACATGGGCCCGAATATACGGGCATATGCATACAGTTACAGGTAAGATGTCCGATTTTCATGGGTCATCTTAGCTACATTCAAGAAATCGTATCGATGTCATTTTCATAAATCCTTGTCCTAATACAAACGTCCCTAGATAATTTGAAACTGAATACTGCGCACACGATCTTCAAACCTCTAAATGTTACAACAAGATGAATCTCACCGTTCAGATTCAAGATGATGTCACATGTCTGTTAACGTGTGATGACACTGGCACATAAATGAATTGCTGCAGAACTACAACATCCCAAGACAGGTGCACACCACAATGATCAATGTGGCAAACCAATAAGCACACACTGACTTCAACCGCCTAACGCCTTGACCATGAGCAAGGATTACAGTGTTTCAACACCAGAACTTGTGGTTGGTTCAGTTTTCGGTGTCGAGAGAAAAGACAGCCTCAAAATGGATTCGAAAGTAGAGCTGAGAATGTTGATCAAAGTAGACATATTAATATATAGGGGTAATCCACCTTAGACAATTAACTGAAAAGTATTAATAATCGTGATCGTCCTTGTACTTAACATTAACTGAAAAGAATAAACACCGTTTTTGAAGTAGAATCGACTTCCTAATCGCAAACTGCTGGCCTGTTGCGAGAAATCTCTGAAGATGTAAGAAGGTGGAAGTGTGAGGTAAGAAGCAGTGTTTTATTTCAGTTTTCCTGTTTTAATAACGACGACACACCAACAAGCTCAAGAACATTATATTCCTAGTAAAGTAAGATCTACATGAGAAGAGGAAATATGTCCTGATTGCTGAACATGCTCTATTCCAGTGCCTGACCACCCTCTGGAGTCATTCTCGCTCAAGGTCGGCTACTGGAGCCCACCAGCCGCCGGAATACTCTTTCCAACGCGAGCGGCCTATTTCTACTTGCTGTCTCAGGCATAAGACACGAGCACGCGATTTGCTGTCCACTTTTCGCTCTAAGGAGGCGATAGAAGCGTGGTCGAGCGAAAGTTGTGGTAAAGCGCAAGTACCAGGTAGAGGCCGCACGAGGTGGAAGACGCTTTTCTCCGCAGACAACTCGCGACAGTGGGTCTCGAGACTAGTGCTAGTCCTTCTATGCGCGAAGGGAGTAGGAGTATCCAACTTGCGGACTCGACGTAGCCAAGCGAAATTACTTCGGATGTTTGTAAACGACCTACACTAAACTAAACGCATCTTCTTCTTTTCGGCCATCAAGTCGTCCTCTTTGCTTCTGACTGACGAGTACGCTGGTGAAGCTACATCATCTTACAGGAGTAGAAGTGACGACAGAAGTAGAAGCACTTACAAAAATAGAACAAGAAGATGCTGGGCTCACCAGGAAAGATTGCGAAGGCACGATACCAGGATGCTTTCGATAGCGATATATTCGCGGGCCCCGCGCCACAATATGAAAAGCAGATGCCGCCAGGCTATCGACGAGATCAAATGACGTCCGAACTCTTTGGCGATGAAGTTTTCTGTACAGACATACTGTCTGTGTACAACTTTGATTTGCTTTTTTCTTGTAGAGGATGGTCGTTCGTCTCGTGTTGCCTTGGCGGCTGGGGTACGGTACGCCAGTGGGGATCCAGGTATGGTTTCGAAACGTGGCTGCACGTTCGCGTCTTCTGCAGTTGGGAACCGTTCCCTTGTTTTTTTCCTTTGCATGTTTACAACTGGGGCTGAGGCTTTCGCGTGTGTGGTGCGTGAGTTAGTTCTACAGCAGCGCGAGGGAACTGGTGGGGCGCCTTCTTTGCGAACAGCGTGTTGGAGGTGGTGCGGCGCAACGCTGCGGAGGATGTTGCGCGGCTTGCTTTTTTTATTGCTTTGCCGCTCTTGTTTGTACGTTGCCCGATCGCTGCAAGCCGCGCGAAGAGAGTTAAATGAGCCGCCCCAGCTTTCGACCATTCGCAGCACGGGGCCCACTGGGGTGGGCTTTAGATTTTCAGGACGGTCGTCCGCAGAGGTCAGAGTTGGGCCTGGCCTCAGCTTTCCAGGGTTGTCACTGTATTTTTGCTTGTAGTTTCTCTCTTTTCTTTTCATTCTGAGCGGGGTTCCCAATCATATTCAACGTTATTCCTTCGCACGGACTCCTCCCAACGCAATCCACAGACAAAGACCTCCGAAAGCAGGAGGGCACTTTCGAGCCAAAGGTCGATCCGTTTTCACCAAGAAGAAAAAAACTCCATTTTCTGCAGGGAGGCTCAGTTCCTGCAACAAACAGTATTGTTTTGATTCTTTTTCTTGTGGTCTAAATAACAAAAACAAGCTGGTATTTCGCCTCCGGCGTATGGCCTTTATTGATATTGATTATACAGATGCACTTACTAGAAGGAGTATCGCAACATACAATAGATACACTTACTTAGCATTAACTAAGCAATACTATTAATAGATGAAGTTGTACACCACGGCTAGACCAGCATCCTGATTTTCCTCCATCTTCCACAGACCAGGACCTTGGGTCTTTGCCAACATCGGGGCATAACCGAGCTACAGTAGCGTTCGTTGACGGAACGAGCTACGTGGATAAAGAAAGCCATCCGGTCGTAAGACGGCATCAAGAACTAGAGAGCCACATCTTTGTTATGAGAATGAGCTGGCATTAACATCTAAGCTGCTTACATGTTTCGTCAGGCGTGCATTTTTTAGTTCTAGCTGACCAGTCTTACATCTCCTGGGTAGGACTAGAGTCATTCTTGAGTAGGTTTTCCGTAAGCAGTGGCAAGGAAATCACTAGTTCTTGAGATCCACCAACTTTCTGAAGCATGTTCTATCATTCTGTCAAGAAGGACATAGAACGCGACTGGGTACACTACTCCTCCTACTACTGCTCCTACTACACCTACTACTACTCCTACTACTCCTACTACTCCTACTACTCCCACTACTACGCCCACTACTACGCCCACTACTACTCCCACTACTACTCCAGCTACTACTCCCACTACTACGCCCACTACTATAAAAGCACGGCTTTGCAACTTCTAAATTGTAAACCACTGCGAGCGTGAATCCGGAGGACACCATGCGACAATGGGACTCTAGCAGAATCACACCACACTCCTTCTCATGGTTCAATTCGGAGCCAGCAAATAAGCAGACGGAAAGAAAGAGCGTGTACAACTTGTTATATAGATTTTCCAGCGAAGTCGAAGCATCCTATCCTCTCCTATCGTGTCCTATCCTCTCCTCTCGTGTCCTATCCTCTCCTATCGTGTCCTATCCGATCCTATTACTTGACTGATCATTCCCTCTAGTGGAGCCGGGACGACAGATTGTTCAGCATGTAAACATAATATTGCACTCTAATGATCAACTTTATCTTCATCAACACCCATCTTGTTATTCTATCATTCTCAGCGTTCTCTTCCATGCATTTTCAGGGCCTCACCAGTTTCGGGCAGCGAGGCAGAGAAGAAGCATTATGAGCGAGCATACGCGGAGAAGAGTAGTCACTTATTCGATCATCATGCGCCTGAGCCACCGACAGAGGATCAGAGGAGGCAAACATTTTCAGACAATATGCATGCGCATGCGGATGAAGTATCGAAGAGAAAGGCGAACCAGTAATGTTGATATCCTCCTTTAAGATCTCGGTCCTTCTCCTTACCTACTTACTTAGGTAATCATCACGATGACTGACTTGTAGGAAATGCAATGCGATTTGTTTGGGTATTCGTGGATGAATCTAGAACGCGAATCTCTCACTCACTCATCTCTCTCAAAGGTATTATTCTGACCTCTTCGGGAGACAGACGCCTATGGATTCGCACTTATCTGGATACTTTCCAAAGCCCGTTAGTAGTCCAGAATCGAGAATCGCAGTCCATGGTGCTTGGACTGACGCTAGAACCAATACCCTGCGTCGAGACGGGGACCCTGACCGACCCCTTACGGCTAAGGTATTTCCATGTTGTTTTTCTTTGGCTAATTTTGCGTGTATGATGCTACCAACCTTGATGTTGAAGAAGGATTTAGTAGCTAGAAGTAAAAGATTTGATATCTGGCCTCTGGTTTTCAGTTCATCACATGAGAGAGTGGAAAGTATTTGCAAACATCTGTCCCACGCCTGAAATTCTGTCTACTCCGCTGAGAAAAGAAGATTGTTGAAAAACGCCGAAAAAATACATTCTGTGAAAGAGCGTTATATCCTCTGTTACTTCATCCTGAGAAATGAGATTGTTAGCTCAGTGTGACTCAACAATGATAAAAGTTGTTTAACGCGCAACTAAACCTGATTCGACATTTGCGCTTCATGGTCTTCACAGGTCCACATCATCTGTAAAGTAGACTGGCATGATAACCCTCTTGTCCTCTTTCCCGATAGAAATTTTGTGTACTTGTGGTGCACATATCAGGACCAAAAGTTTCGGGAATTTTATACAACGGAAGTGCCAGAGGGCGAGAAGAAAGCCTATGCACCTCAAGTCCTGTCGGAGCCACTATCAACGGATACGTCAGGCAAAGTTCGAAGGTGCAAAGCCTACTTCTAGTTAGCTTGTTCTTGTTTTTCATCAATTTGAATCTCTTTTTTGGTGATTATTTCTGAGGCTGTTGTGTAGAAGCAAGTTTTTGTTCGATTGTTGTTGTGGCAGAGAACGAAGCACAAGGACCAGGACTCGGAGAAAACGAGAAGCACGTGCACAACAACTTCAAGACGAAGTCCAGATAGAAGATGACGCGCACCATCCGAGAAGCTGACATTTTCGGTAGGGCTGTGCCGGTGAATTTCATCGGGCAGTCGCCTCATGGCCGTAATCCTCCGTCGCATCAGCATGTGAATATCCGTGGCCGGCCACATTTCGGTGGATTGAAGGACCACGAAGCACGCGCGCCGGACGGAGCGAAGGCCGCAGAAGTAATCCTGACGCCACAGGAGGAGCAGCAACGGTTTTCGCATAAGAGTCGAGTAGTCGGCGATTACGGCGTGAAGCTTGCGGGCAATGCGCCGGAAACCTTGACGGTTTTTTCAGCAGATGATCGAGGAGGAGCGCCGGATCAATTTCCATTCTACAGCGCGTCGTTGGATAATTATCGTGGCAGCAGTCCATCGGCATCAGCAAGTCCTGGACAAAGACAAAGAAATGTAAACGATGACCAAGAACAAGTCGCACTACTAGCTCAACAAGAAGAAGATGATGGTTTTTTGCATTTTTCAGACCGGACCAGTGGAGTGCAGCAGTTTCCTACGAGCACTCGGGAGAGCAGACCCGTGGAGTACGATAGCGTAGGCGCAGCTTTTGGTAGCCCCAAGGACCAGGGATCATCGTCTCCCTCACGTGGCTCCCCTGGTGGCGGTCGATCCGTGATAGAAGATGTGAACCTAGGAAGACGGCGCAGCTTGACACTGGATGAGCACCACGGAGCTAGGCGGGATCTAAAACACACGACGGTGGCAACGGAGTAACCACAACTATTCTTCTAGTTCCTACTTCTTCTTTTTCAGCGAGAAACGATATCATCAAAATGAGAATCATCATAGTTGTGTGGTCATCAACATCAGCAGCATCATCTTCATCTTCTCAACAACAACCTAGAGAATATGAAAGAACTCTTCCGGATCAATCCCACGACATCAACGAACGTTGCCGCTGTAGCTGGACACCAAGACATCTACGACGGCAACGAGAAGAAGACGCCACAATATCGATATCCCCTAACTTAGCTCATCTTCAGATTCATTACAGACTGTCTTTGAAAGTTGAGCTAATTTTGTTTTCTCCATGAAGTCTGCAGGCTTTCTTTGTAGTTTGCGCACGGGCATGGTCTTAATTGATTAAAACTACAATGTTTTTTATTCTTCAACGACAAAAAACTTTCAGGGCCGGCGATCATGATTTGGTAGCGCAAGTGCACCAAAATCATCTGAAGAGCTCACTCTTGCGGGATACTTTTTATGAGAGGGCTGAACAGCAACGAGCCTGGGAAGTCGCAGAGGTGAATATTAGCCGAGTCGCACCTTTCGAGGATGAAAAATCCGTGAAAGAGTACATTATCTTTAATATCCTTTACAATGTTATGCTTTCGGCTTTGCCTAATTGACTCATGATAAATCATGTCATACACTGTGTGTCAGTTTGAAGAAAATTTCTCCGCTAGGTACTCCAGGACGAGGATCTCGAATTTGTCATCAACTGATCTCTTCTATGCGCATAGATAAGAAACCATCCCGCATGATCTCGTTCAGGAAATGCAAGGGCTTCGGTTGCCACGTGGTAAAAGTATGCCTCGATGTCGACCCTATCAGCAATAGGTGTAAAGGCAGGGCGAAGCTAGTCCTGAGATACAATCCCGATGAAAACGACTTAAACGGCCTTGTCTCGAAAATCCAACAAGTCGGATGGGTGGTGTCATTCTTAAATGATGAGGAGCGATAAGTTGGTAGAGGTCTACGCTAACTATAGGTATTTACTGTTACCGCGATGAAGTCATGAAGATGGAATATTGTTAATTTTTCAGGAAGATTATTTGACATAGCGATTTCGGGAATTAGATGATGAAGTCAGTTGCTACAGACAAAAAGGGGACTGCAGGAGTTATCTTCGCATTCAAGGATACAGCTGCTGTAAACGGCTTCCGGAATGGCATGTATGACACGACGCTGAATCTGCTCCTGGTGATCTACCGATACAAAGTAGGTCATTATATAGCGAAGTACATGTACTGTTTGTCTTTTTTGGATTCGTGAGCAGTATCACGGCGCATTTAAAGAATCCCATGGTAGTAACTTAGACGCTACTAACTCGCTCAAGAAGGTGGAAGAACAACCTTACATGATCGCACCACAGAGTCCCCATTAATTAGACGATTACCCGCAGATAATCTGCACTTTTTTATTAAACTACTCACTGTAGAACCAACAAGAATCCGAATGAACTGATTTTCTCGCGCACGGATTGATCACAACGCACTAGAAGGGAAGCTGCACGACAGCGAAGCTATCCGCTTCGAGCGCCAAAGGCATGCAGTCGCAATCCGATCGCGGAAGTGTTGAAAAAGAGTCTTGAAAGACAGGCGATTGAGAAAGGTCCGCGATTCGTGAGAGGGCATGAAATTGAAAGAAAAATTCACATCTGTCTCGAGTACAAAAGATTTTGATTTTAACGAAAGGTCTTCAGATGAAAGTAAAGGACAGGAAGCGTCATTCTAGAAGTACGAGAAAGTCTTTCGAAAGAACATAAGAAATTTAATACTACGTACTGCGGAAAAGGTTGAACGAAGAGGAAGACAGAAAGTGAACCAGCTCTAGAGGGAACGTAGACCTCCCTCGGCATGAAATTATACATAGTATGTGATCTACTCTCTACGAGTAAGGGCTAAGAAAACTGTGAACATGAAGAATCAGTGCCTCCAAACGAGAGTGAGTATGATGTCAACTGAAAAGGTTTAGGCCGTGGGAGGTTGTATTATCACGCATAGGTAGGTTTTGTACTCACATGTCATATTCATTCACAGGCCCCTTTGAAATTTAACCCTAATCCTGATGCCGCAATCTCCGTGACAGCCTAGTGCCGCATCCACCTCCTTCTTTGCATAAATCCGCGCATCACGACACGCACCAGCTTGACTGCTACGCTCACCGAGACCGAGCTGACAGCTACGGCATACTAGTCGTCCGTGGACCGAGAATCGGAGGGCACGAAAGCGATCTATGCGCTTGTGCAGTCGAGGGATGAATTCGTCGAGGCCTCCGTTCTAGTCGAAGCAATTTTCCTTAGTTCCGAGCTCCTGCTTCGACATCCAGCCGAACGGGCGCTGATCAAGCGCGCAGTCGTTTGTGCCGCGTGAAAAAACCGAACCTCGCGTGTACCCGATTGGGTTACTTTTTCCGTTCGAGTGATTCTCGCGACTCTTCACCAGCGCCGACCAGCGGGTTTACTCTCGTTTCCAACATAGAAGAGGGGAGCACAACAACGAGCCGGTGCAAAGGACTGTAGTTGCACCAGCGAGAACAACATCAGAAGACTACTTACGGACTTGTAGACTCCTTCCTGGACCCAGGAGAGTTACGACACAGTGTCACCACTGACGCAAGGGTACGTAGAAATCGGCTAAAACTTCTACAAGATGTTGAGCGTCGAGTTACAACCGTTGTCGGCGGATAGCCCTGTTGCCGGGTCAACAGAGAAAGCTTCGAGTTCTACGAAGCCAGTGTACCAGGCATTTCGAGAGACCTGTGTGGACCACCCGGTCTTAGCGTCTTTCCTCATATTCGTGCCACTCGGAATAACATCACATGCCTTGAAATGCTCAGATCCGACGATATTCACCCTCAATTTTCTAGGGATAGTGCCATTGGCATGGTATACTGAAGCAATTTTTATTTTGCAATTTGGAAGTTTGTTTCGAAATACAAATGTGATTCATCTGATGTTGACTGAGAAAAGCAAACGGTAAGTTGAAGGCAGGAATCACGCTAATCTCGCATTCGCCATGCCGTGGTTGCTCTTCTCCTGCCACTGTGCGAAGTCATAGTCATCAAAGAAACGGATCTATTGTTTCGTTTGCTTAACTTAGACTCAACATTTCTTGATGAAAATATTAAACCCGCCGCATTCAGGTTAATAGGGAAAACAACCGAGGATCTTGCGTGTCATACGAATCAAGTGCTAGGGGGTTTGATAAACGCGACATTCGGCAATGTTGTGGAGATGCTACTATGTACCTTTTTGAGATGACCTAGCACTTCTATGACTTCGTAACTTGTAGTACAGGAGTCGGAATGGAGCAGAGCAACAGCAGCTTTTTGCTTTGGTGAGTTGACCATTCTCTAGTTCTCCTCTTCTTCACTGCCTAATCTCTAGAAGTTACCCGAGTTACCAATGAATTCTCGACCTCAGGTTGCTGGGGTATAATATACGGGCAGATAACAGTGGTGCAGGCGACTCTAGTGGGTTCTATTTTATCGAACCTTCTGCTAGTGATGGGAACGTCCTTTCTCTACGGTGGCTTCTATCACCAGAGGCAAGTATTCAACCAGGAAGGAGCCAAAGTGCAGTCATCGCTTCTGTTAAGGCTACCTCTTACACAGAAGTTGCATCCCCTAAAGTTGCATCCCCTAGTACTACACAGTACACAGTCTGTCCTTGATGTCCTCTTTTTCTAGCTGAAAGAGAAGCTACTTGGATGTTGCCAGGGATCGTCCACGTGACATGACATCTCCGCGAAGAGGCGAATGCGGTAGCTCTAAAATTGCTGCTCGCATTGTTGACACTAGTCCTGCCAACAATGTTTTCCGAACTAGAGACCAAGAATGACACGAGCATGCAGGAAGTCCTTCTGATGAGCAGAATGGGAAGCTTCTTCCTCCTCGTCGTCTACGCACAGTATTATGCACATTTTGAAATTGTCTGACTTCGAAAACCCAAAATATCCGAGTTAGTGACTGGAATAAGGGAGGTAGCTTTAGCGGGCTACTCTACTTACTTGCTCAGTATCTCGGCTATTCTGATCAGTTACTTGCTTATTTCAGTTTAGTTGTGTGTAGTTCATCCCGACTGAGTTGAGAAGGGACCATTTGACAAAAAATGTAATGAAAATTTTCCCACCTTCTAGATAGTTCTTTTACATGTCCACCAGCTGAACATGAACACTCCACACTCTCATATACAACGCGGCAGAGGGGCATACCCACATAAAAAGCGTCTACAATTGAGTTTTACTTCCTATTCGGTCGGAATATTTGACCGTTGCACAAGTGGGAGAGAAGAAAAACCAAGGACTCCGAAAAAATAAAATCAGTACCATTCGGTCTAGTCCCTGATCTCATCCAAATGATACGTAAACGTACACTCCAGGTACCTGTACTTCCAGATCAGCACACATGCGGACCTATTTCAAGACGAAGAGGAGCAAGACGAGGAGCCATCCTTCTTTTTTTCTGGAGCTATGCTCGTGCTCTCCGTAGCGACAGTTCTTACAGCCATCATGAGCGAGTACCTCATTCAGAGCATAGAAGCTACGGTGCTCAATTTCGGGACTAGCAAGGAGTTTATAGGTACTTACACGATTTTTCGTTTTCGCTACCAGGTTGTGTAATTCTGGCAACGGATTTGACAGTAGAAGATGGTCTTTTGAACAAATTGGTTTCTGTCGCAGAATACAAGTATCACTCTTTACCACATGATAGGAGGTATAATTCTGTTGCCATCTCCACAGGAATCATCGTTCTTCCCATTATCGGAAATGCTGCTGAGCACTACACGGCGATAATAATGGCAGGCAGGAATAAGATGGACCTTTCACTCGGCGTTGCCGTCGGCAGCGGCTGCCAGATGATGCTACTATTACGGTTAAGTACTTTTGCTCTTCGTTCGTCTCTATTGACGCCAGAGACATTACACAGGAGATCGTTCATCATCATCATCATCATCATCTCAATGCGGGATAATGAACCTCCGCTGAATGCTGGTAAACGTTAATAACGTTGATTGTGATTCCATCGCCAACATCATGTAGAATCTCATTTCTAAACCAATATATTTACTTATAATAATGGGTGCACCTCCTTCACTGTTTCTTCTACTTCTAGACATTCTGTTCTTGCGCTAATCTTCGTGACGCCAATAACGGTATTGATGGGATGGTACGCGGATGAACCGATGTCCCTGAACTTTCATCCGTTCCAGATTGCAGTATTGCTGGTCTCGGTGCTCATCGTGAATCGCATCCTAGCAAACGGCGAGACTAACTGGTATTGATGTCCTGCTTAGAATGTTGGGCAGAATGATAATGGATAGATCAACAGTTAGCGTGCCACTCTATACCTAGTGATAGGGAATATGTACTGGCGTTTTCTGAGCCCAGACTTCTGGAGCCCTGGGCGCTGCCTGTCGTAAGCCAGAAATCTCTTAATCTTAATCTATACCTAGTGAATATATTTTTTCGTCTGGATGTGGATTCAAGAAATTGGTTGTGGATAATAGCTGCGGGACAGGGCTTTGACGAAATAGAAATGGTGTCTTCCGTCACAAGCGGAAGACGAGCCCGGATTCATCGGATGTTGGTTTTCATTTTCATCGTTTTCGTGTCTTCCTTTTCTCCCAGGCTCGAAGGCGTGATGCTTGTGAACGCTTACGTTTTCATTGCGATGATGTACTTCTTGCAGACGGAGGCCCAAGCTGACAGAGTTGCGATGGATTAGCGCAAAGAAAGCGCAAAGAAAGAAAGTGCTGTGCACAACATCTTCCGAAGCGGCAGGATATATTTTTTTACACCTAACGATATTTTTGTTATCTTTACCCCATATTGATGCTCAAATAGTTAGTACACGAGCAAACGACCCTCCCCACAGGGCTATATAATGAGGTTCGCCAAGTCTAATTCAATGACATGTGTTTACACCACCAAATTAAACATAAGATTATGGTCTATCTACTCAGCGCATGCAGTCAACGTCAACATCAAGCAGATTTACACGATCACGACACTCACACTTATAAATGACGGCAGAGTCGCTTGAATAAGGAGTTACCTTATTCAGCAGGAAATTAAGAATAAAGCAGGATTACGTTACCATTACGAATGTACCTTCTACTCACTGCTGCACGTTAGTTTGTTTCTCAATGTGACAACAATATCGAGATTTTCCAGTTGTGTACAGTTGCCTCAGTGCCGCATTATGGCAGAATTGATGAACACATGGACCACGAGAATATGATGGTCCAAATTACTAGTACTACAACGCACCAACTAACATATATGGCACAACTTACTACATCTACTTCTAGCTACGCATTGGCCTAACATCTTTGTACTTTCGTATTTGAGAGCTGATCGGCTTCGATGGGCTGACAGCAAGATGATCATAATCAACGTGACTTCGACTGTATTTAAATGCTTAGGTGACCATATCAACATCATGGAGTTGTTGCAAATCAATTGAATTTCAATCCCTCACCATGAGCACGCGCAGATATAACAAAGTCAATGACCGCTACCGCATCAAAAGTACGACCAGAGAATATAGAACTATAATTTGTCTACCGCACCAACAATTAACACATGCAGTCAGCAGCAAAGTCTATGGGCTTTGGTTCTCGGGATACAGCGCTTCATAGAAATGTACCTTTCAACATCTTCACGCTTATTTTATCAACGGGCAACGATCCGACACGTGGTTGACCACTTGTGATTTCAGCCAGGGACGTAGAATAACTTCAAACTGAGAATGTGAATGTCCGTTGACGATGAAGAAATGTCAGACGAGCATGAGTGTTCACTTGATTCCTACTGAGCCGGCACTGGATGTGCAGGGCTGAGGTGGGAACTCCTCTGAAATCTTATAAATCGAAACTGTTTTGTTCTCGATCCAATAGATACTGAGCCAACCATCCTGACAAAGCTTGTGATTCTTTGGTGCCATCAATCTGGAATGTGAATAAGGAACGTGAACCAGACTGAGACAAGCATCCATGCTGTCGCGAAATTCGCATGTCTAGAAATGAATTGGAATATGGCGCGCAATTCTTTGTGAAGGTTCAATCATGTCCGTAATAGGAGTTGGAGTCCACGAATCCAAATTTTCTGCGGCGACGTTGCGACCAAGTCTGGGACTTTTCAAGGATCCTTGCTTCTAAGAAGAATCCATTTGTGTCGTGATTTTCGCGTTACCCTTGTCCTCTGTCTAGTTATGCGTCATGATGGTTCTTAAAATGGTGTTGACAACTCCAATTTTATTAGTGCAAGTAGAGCCTCTCAGAGGCTTGTTTTTGGTTCTGCTGGCGACGGTGTTAAAGACAGAAACGATGAATCAATGACTCTATCTTGTTTTTTTTTGTCTATTACAGGCTACCACTACAATTCCTCCTTTTTTGCACAACTATCATTGTCATAGAACGATACCTTTTCGGTAACGTTCACCCAAAATCTCCTACAAAAAGATTTGGTTTATTTCAATAGACTGATTCTTACCCCCATTTGTTTTGGAAAATTATTTCTATTCGCGAACATTGACGGAATAGACCCCAGCACAAGAAACTTTGACAATTTAGAGAATTGTTATTGTTTGTTGCAACAAGCAGCGAGACGAGAGGTGTGTACTAGAAACTGCTAGTACTTGTACATCACGAGGAGTGGAGAAATTTGTATTGAAAACAGCACCACCAATACTATTGTAACCACTAGAGACAAAAAAATGGGAGGTTTTCGCTTTTTATCGTTGATAAAGCCCATGATGGGCATGCTGCCTGAAGTGGCGCAACCGGATAGACGAATTCCGTTCAAAGAAAAAATCTTGTGGACCAGCATATCACTCTTCATTTTCTTGGTCTGCTCTCAGATCCCGATCTACGGTATCATGGGGTCCAAGTCCAGCGATCCTCTCTACTGGATGCGGGTAAAAATAAAGGCTACTACTTACAACTTCTACGAGTCATGATCTAGTTGCTACTATGAGAAGCAAACTTATGAAAGAAAGACCATCGAGAGATGATTGGTACATTCCCCTTCCCCCTGTCTGGCCGGCCGTATACTGGTGCGATTGATGCAGGTGCTCTTGGCGGAACTGCAATTTATGAATAGTCAGTCCAGGCCTTGGGTGCTGGACTGACGCATTTTTTGCGGGAGGGCAGAACGCCACGATGCTCTGCGAGAAACCCCTCACATGCGTCCCCACACGCAGAGAACTAGCAATTTGTTTGCAAAGACAACGACAACGACAACAATGTTCATAGTGATCTGTTTAAAACTTCAGCAAGGTTAGAAATTGTTTTTCTCGTGATAATTACAACAGGTTCTGATGGCTTCAAACCGTGGATCATTGATGGAATTGGGTATTACCCCAATCGTCACCTCGAGTATGGTAATGCAACTGTTAGCGGGATCTCGAATCATCGATGTCGATCAGACGCTGAAGGAAGACCGTAACCTCTTCAACGGAGCCCAGAAGCTCTTCGCTTTGCTCATCACCTTCGGAGAAGCAACGGCGTACAACTCACTATTTTAGCAGCTAAGTATGCTACTGATTTTTAGTAGCTACAAGAACAAGAACGAGGTAGCTGCAAGAACAACGAGGACCACAAAGGACTTCAACAAATAATTGTCTATAGGTTTACGTAGATTTTTCTTCTTGTTACGTGGTTTTCACCTGGGGAGCAGTCGAGGGAAGATTTTCAGTAGAAATCGTTTTGTAATCAGTCCTCAAAACAATCATAATTGTCTCCTGTCACTTCTTGCTACCCCAACTGGCCAATCTCAATCAATCGATCGTGAGAAAAACTGCTTGTAAAAATTCATCGAACAGCTATGTGTTGTCCGGTATGTATGGAGATGTGCGAGAGCTCGGTGGAGGCAGCGCGATTCTCATCATTATTCAGCTTTTCTGGGCTGGTGTTGTTGTCCTGCTGCTAGATGAGCTGCTCCAGAAGGGATACGGATTGGGCGGAGGTAACTGATAAGTCGATTGAAGCTCTTTTGTACTTAGAAGAAAAACACGTAGTCGAGTGTTTTGATGTAGTACCACCAAACTGAATTCTTGTAGTACCATAAGGACAACCACTTTCATTTATCTACCTGTAAGTTGATGTGCATTATTTGTGTGCATCTCACAAGTGTAGAACTGGATTCCCTATTCATGAAATTTTTTCAGGTATTTCGCTCTTCATCGCGACAAATATCTGCGAAGCTATTGTGTGGAAGACCTTCTCGCCGACAACTATCAACACTGGAAAGGGAACCGAATTCGAAGGTACTTTTTTTTCATCACCATGCTTGTGGCTGCGTGTAGTGTCGGAGCTCTCTTTTTAGCGTCAGTATCTACACGAAGTTGAGATTTTTGCACCTTGCTTTCCCGATAATAGTGACTTCCAATATGAATTACAACCTCCTCCAGGTGCCGTGGTCGCTCTCTTTCATCTGGTCTTTTCGAGACAGGACAAGCTGCAAGCAGTAAAAGAAGCGTTTTACAGGCAGTCAGCACCGAATTTGACAAATGTCTTCGCGACAATCCTGGTCTTCCTCATCGTCATCTACTTCCAGGGTACTTAATATTTTTCTGCTTGTGTTAATGTTTCAGCTGAAGTTTCTTAGGTTGCTCAAGCTCTTATCAAATCATCAACAATTGCAACTCACTTTCAGCATCACCTGAACGAGCAACATCACATATTGACGTAACATCTTCTACTCAGGTTTCCGAGTGGATCTCGCAGTGAAGTACCAAAAAGTTAGGGGACAGCAGGGTAGCTATCCTATCAAATTGTTCTACACGAGCAACATTCCGATTATCCTGCAGACCGCACTTGTCTCCAATCTCTACTTCTTCTCCCAGCTGCTCTACCGCCGATGGAAGAGCAACATGTTGGTAACTTTTCCGTTCAATGGCTCGTAGAAATTGCTTAATGTAGTTGATGAAAGGTAAAGAGAATGAAAATGAGAAATCCACTCGACTTGAGGTAGAAGTTTTCGTTTCTTCGCTTTTGTTGATTAGAAGATTATCAAGATTAGAAAACAAACAAACAAACAAGATTATCTTCAAACAAAGAACACTCTCAACAAGAATATCTTTTCAGGTCAACCTCCTCGGACAATGGCAAGACCTGGACTACGGAGGTCAGAGCATCCCAGTCGGTGGCCTCGCCTACTACATCTCGCCGCCGAACAGCTTCAGCGATATTTGGGTACTACATGATTTAAATTTGGATGTCTAGCTGTTTTTTTTCTCGTCTCCAATAGAAATTTTTCGAATGCAAATTTCTCGTACCATAGAATCGCAGATATAGTAGAAGCTAATTTAACCTAGGTCGTTATGGTTGACAATCCATCTGTTGCCGACTTGTTCAATGCCAATCAGGTTATTTGGCCATCAGACTTGTTCGATGAGTTTCATAAGCTAGGCAACATCTTGACTAGAGTGCTGTTGCGAGCGTTAGCTAGTTAGTTAGTAGATGAGAATACCAGCAGATGCATGCTATTACTCAAGTATTACGTTAGTTAGTCGAGTGCATGCTATGACTCAAGTACAACACCTTATTCTTACTCATCGTCTTGTGTGTGTGGTGTATTCGTCACCTGTATCGTATTCAAGCTCTCAATTCTTCGCCTAAAAAGCATATTGACATCGTTCTCCATTCGATCCAGGTTGACCCGATCCACGCTTTGTTCTACATTTCTTTTGTGCTTTCGAGTTGCGCTTTGTTCTCCAAGACCTGGATTGAGATCAGCGGAAGCAGTCCTCGGGACGTCGCAAAGCAGCTCCGAGATCAGCAGCTGTTGTTCAAGGGATACCGGGAAACCTCATTGTTGTCCGTCTTGAACCAGTACATTCCGACCGCGGCTGCTTTCGGTGGTATGTGCATTGGTATGCTGACCGTTGTCGCGGACTTCTTGGGAGCGATCGGCAGTGGAACTGGAATCCTGTTGGCGGTCACGATCGTCTACCAGTACTTCGAAATGGTCTACAAGGAGAAGGAACAGGGCAACTTGTTGTTCTAGATCGAGGTCTAGAAGTACTAGTACCGAACTTCTGAAGAGCAGGTGGCTTGGAGGAAGACGAGGTGGAGAACGAGGTGGAAATAATAAGCAGGAGGCGAAAAAAATAGACATAATCAGGAAGAGATCGTGAGGTGGAGAAGCAAGCCAACTACTGCTTATTTTGACAAGAAACCCTGTCCGACCAGCTCTCACGACTACTTCACTGCAGAAATGCTTCATGCCCACATGACACCTGCGGAAAAGTAAGTAGCACCATCAATGGACCTGCAGCACCAAAGAGTACAACCTTCAGGAAACTAGGAAGAATTAGACTGGCGTGCGGCCTTTTCAGGGACGAGGAAGGATTTCGTGTCAAACTAGGCGGGCGTTCAGGCTTGACTGTGTGTACGTGTAGAGATGTTTGGCATGATGGGAATTCGTGTCTGCCGTTTCTCGTGGTTCTACTACTCTCCTTTCACGTACACTCTTCAGGGTGTGCCTACGAGGAGCGTGGTAGGACTCGGGTCCACAACATAGTAGTCATGTGTGAAACATCGATATCACAGGCACACATAAGTTGTCACAGTGTCTAGAATAGTAAAAGAAGCATAGTAGATTCGACTAAGAGCGCAAATCTATAATCTATCAAATCAACTACACAAACACTTGGTTCAATCATCAAATCAGCTATAGCATTACTCAACGGTTCTATGAAAATTTCTATTCTATCCAACTTCTCACGCATCGGTGAGAAACTTGATTGTATTGTATTCTACTTGTCATGAATCTTCAAATCATCTCAATAACGTCATAATCATCTAGAAGGTCGCTAGCAGCTACAACTCCTCACATCATATTTGTTAGCAGGTAGATTGATGATTTTTATACGGGCATAGAAGTATGAACATCATTCATAACATTCATGTGTGTTCCTGGCGTTATCGGCCTTCAAGGGTCATGTGGTTGAGAAATTATAGTACCCAAAAAAGTGAGGCTGCTCGTCTTTCACTACCCACCAGACCACGCTTTGCTGGCGTCGATCGTGCTGCTCTGTGTGTATGAGCAGGAAACTACACAAATCGCATGAAATGAATGCTATGTCGAAGTAGCTACTACAACAGGTGTGACGTCACTACATGAAGACTCGCTGCAGAGGAACGCTGCAGAGTGAACCATATTGATATTTGAGTTGACGAAGAAGAGGCTAGTATTGATAAAAAAAAGGTTCAGACAGAGATTTGGTGTGTTGTAAATCGACAGAAGATCCCAGAGGACATACTGGGTCAAGAAACGGACTTTTGATTGGCCGACTAGATCGATAAATAGTTGCCTTGTCTTAAAAAAGTTGGCTAGGTCTAGGTCTAGAAGCACGTTGTCGTTGGAAAAAGCTGTTATAAGATGTGACTATTCTAAGAAAGGTTATCTAGAGGTGACAACACGCAAGAATTGGCGAATGTGACACAGACACTTTCATTCATGTTGCCGTATGATGAGACCTACAGTGATTGACGGCAACAGCATCGATGCCAGTATTGTATGCTGACATCATGAGATGACCCCTACCAAACGGACCCAGATGAAAAGGACCCTCTTTTTAATGTCGCCGCGGTGCTGTCGCCGTCGGTGAAGACGTGGCGGCTTGTTAGTGAAATCGAAATGGATTTTATTGACGTACGTACTCGAATCAAGCATGCTGAAACTGTGCTCGTGACGACGCATCTTGTTCAAGGAAGTTAATGGAGCGCGATGTTCGTTTTGAGGCAGATGAGCGAAAGAGGTGGAGCAAATGTAGCTGCAGAGCTGCGCAGTAGCGAGGAATCAAGTAGAGAGGGCTCGTTGAGCCCGATCTGTATCGGGAAAGAAGTTGAGGCGTCCGTGTAGACTTTGAGGGTCACTACCAGTCGGTCATCTGTAAGAGAGATTTTCGGGTTCCCGGTAGGTTCCACAGAGCGCACTCCCCCACAATATTCAGCTTGATATGAAAGCCCGTCCACTATCCGTCGGCAATGAGCCACTGTCGCGCTTGACACAACATCATCACCATATCAAAGAGGCTCGAGTTGTACTCGACACTCACAAACTATAACTAACATGAAGCGAATCGGTCCTGTAAAGAAGGCGCCCGCACCTCCTGCGAAGAAGGCAAAGACGGCCAGCTCTACCACAAATCAGAAGGCGACCAGCTCTACCACGGCCAAGCCTGGGATCAAGAAGGGGAGTTTGATGAAGGCGAGCGACACCCAAGAAAGCGGCTCCCGCAAACAGCAAAAAAGGGAAGAGCGGCAAAGGAACACTGTCGAAGCTGGGATTGCGGGAGCCAGTTCTTCCGCAGCAAAAGGGGGCAGGAATGTCAATAGTGGCGCTAGTTCCTCGATGGCAGCGAGCGGACATCCAGCGACAGCCGCGGTGAGCTTCGCTGATAGGAAGCGCGCTCCTGAGTATGTTCAGGGCAAAACGAAGTGTCTGACGGACACGAGTGGATACATTGAATACAGTGAGCACAGAGATATGCTAGTGAAGCTCGTGAAGGATCCAAGCCCTGACCCAGTGCAAGCAGTATTGGAGTACTTCGAGCCGTCGAAGAAACAGAAGTCGCCCAGCGAGGAGGAGCTTGACAAAATGGTGAAGGATTGCAGCGATGGCATAGACCCAAGAACTGGGTGGAAGGAAGACCAGCTGAGCATATTTGACGTTCTGGGGGCGATTTTCGAGCAAATGGATCTGGCAAGGACGCACTACGTGGGAGTTGACAGTTTTCGCATCTACGCGCGCCTATTGCCTCACTTGGTCCAGTGCGGCACCGCACTAGGTGGCTGGGACGACAGCGAGTTTTTCGTAGAAGACGTGCGGAAGACATTGGCGGAGATGCAGAAACTGAACCTAGGAGGCAAGGCCGGGCGCAATTCGTTGAAGAAAGCCCGCGAGGATATCGAAAAAGCAAGAAAAAACTGCGACGATGAGATCGCAGCCTGCGGCCTACAACTACAGCCTGTTGGGAAAGATGACGCTTGGGATAGGCTTGTGGCAATGGCTGACAAGTGAATATAGCTGCGGCCGCTTGTGCCCTTTCGCTCGCTTCCCTACTGCAGCTGTCTGGGTTCGTAATTGACTGCTGGGCGCGAGGTGTCCGGGTTCGTAATTACACGACATGCACCTGCTACCTCGCCGTTTTCTTTACCTCCGCCGTTTTCGTGTACAGTCAGGACTTTGCGACATGAATGTGTTTTCTTTGCCGGGAAAAGGATTATGGATTACAAGGAAAGCATAAGTCGGTAAGTTAGTGTCAAAACCGTTTGATTCTGTTGACCAGTCGGTAATAAGTTGGAGGTGTATAATGATCATCGAACATTCTCCTGTGTGACATGAATATCGGTTAAAGCCTAGCATCTCTACTTGAAAACACAAGTATTCCAAGCAATCGGTTTTGTCTGCGAATCGTATCAGCACAAGGGAGTCAGGAGTTCTGCCCCCATCCCCCTCTTGAAAAATGTTGCTAGATCATTCTGAATCCGTGAGTACTGGTGATGCATTTTTCTCGTTTTCCTTCTTATACGAGGCATAAAAGCGTACTCTTCAAACTTCTAGTTGCAGATGAATGCCGTCATCTAGTATCGGAGTGTAACAATAAGCCTGAAACTTAATAGAAAGTTGTATGAAACAAATGCAAGTAAGAGTAACCAGGGAGATCTTGTGGTACTAGGAAGTATTTTGTGGTAGCATCGTGGACCGGATCACCGGTGCAAGGTGGTCGCAGAGGGTCCTTGCCGCCAAGTACAAGTAGTTGCATCTGGTGTGGCGAGCCGCGGGAGCGGGAGGTCGCCACAAACAGAGTCCTCGGCGCAGGCTTCTAGAACTTGAAATCGATCATACAAGATCTAGTTCAAGTAGAAGAACAGCATCTTCTTCTTCTTCAGCATCTTCAAGATGGACCCCACTCACTTCCAAGTAGGCAAGTGGGTGAAACGGGCGGCGTCAGAGCCACCAAAACCACGACCTCCAGTACCCAATAGACTAAAAGATCCTGCTGGAGAAGGGTATGGGTCACTCTACCAGGCAGACTTCGTGCCACACACTGGCCAGGGAATATGGAATAGACCAAAAAGATGGGAGGGGATACGGAACATGTACCTACAGACTCAAACTCTTTTTCGATTGTTTTCGTGGTTCAGGGTGATTAATGTGCTATGCCACATCGACAATGTTGTAAATGACACAAATGAAGAATCCACAATTCTACGGTAGAATTGTGGATTCTTCATTTGTGTCATTTACAACATTGTCGATGGAAAGAAAAAGACTCGTAGAAGGATTCCTAGTTTTGTTTCCAGTTGCTCTGAAAACCAAAATGAAAAATCACCAGGTTTTCAGAGAAACCTAGGCTGCCGCACCAGAAGTTCGCACGTAGGTCAAAAACGGTAGAGAAATATCAATCACCGTCATCCGAGTGGACTACGGATTATAGGCAGAATATAGGAGCTTTCACCTATGCGGAAGGTACTACAACTCATTGGGTATTCTTACTTTGTGGTCTAAAGTTGGGCTGGTAGGTATTTCAACAACTAAAAAAGACTTTGACTTTCTCAATGCAGTGAGTATGTTGAGTTCCTTTAACCTGTTACAGGCGAAAAAGAAGGCAAGTGTCCGTCTTTCACATATTCCGCAGGTGTAGCGCAAAAGCGAAAACAGTATCAGCTTGGGCAAGGACGGGGTAGTCAGGCACTGGCAACCGGTGGCGGTGCATCAGGATGGACTTCAGATTATCGATCTGGTGCAGGATGCCAGAAAACAAGGCAGATGATGGTATTTATTCTCGTGTGATTTTGTAGGTCTTTCTCGTGTGATTTAGTACGTTAGACTGCGACACTCTTACTTTGGAACGGTTTCGACTTAGTTCCCTGGGGTCTGGTCTCAAGGTTGATTTGGGAGGTCAAACCGGAGACAAATGGCATGACATGACCACTGCAGTAGTTCTTTCCTCCACGGTTTTTGGGTTCTGGACAATTTGAAAGGAATGAAAAACCTATTGACGGAGAAGATGCACAGGCAAGAGAGGGAGCCAGTAGCCTAGTATGTTTTTTCTCACACAATAATCTACTACAGGCTGAAAGTAAGCGGGAACCGCCAGAGCATCTGAAGAGTCGCCTCCCTCCGCCATGGGAAAGGATACACCCTCATTGGGCAGACACGAAGCAGAATCCTTTCGCTAGGGGATACAAAGGATGTACTTTTACTTTTTTGAAACGACAAGTTTTAGGTCGATTGACTCTCTTGTCGCTGCAATGATGTGTTTTAAGCTCCTAAAGAAAACAAATGATAGCTATATAAATATAATCTTCGATTGATTCAGAAAAGACCTGGTGAACCACTGACAGGGCTAGCATCGGACTATCAGGAAGGACCTGGGTTGAGGGACGAAGCGAAGATCTATCGAGCAACGCGGACAAGTAAGGATGAGTACCGATACATCCGCGGCTGCTTCCACTACCCTATTCGACCAGCAGTGGGTTACTAAGGTGTGCTCGGGACGATAAGTCAATCACGCAGCGCCGGGGAGCAGGAGGCGGAAGGATAGAAGTGTGATCGAATTATGTATCAGAATATGTAGCTGTACTCTTCTAGTTCTAGATCTACTTCACTATCAGAACAAGCTCAACAAACATGAAAAAACAATGCGTGACCATTCAGTGATTGGGTATCAACATTACAACTTTGAGAATCGAAATCATTCATAGTCTACGAAGTGGAAGTCATAGTCTACGAAGAAGTGAACTACATTAATCTATAACACATCATAGGCATAGAGGGCTGGAGATAGAGAACTAGATCTCTGTCTGCTCTTGTTTTGTTACTTATTTTTCAACCGACATAGCAATACTAGCTGGCACAAGAAGGCTTTTCGTTATACGCACATTCATGAACAACAAAGAGTTGTACAGATATTTCGATATTAGAAGCAAGCAGAAGTGTATTTTAAGTTTGATGGTGTCCTCTGACTTATAATATGATTCAAATCTGAGTCTGACTGTATCTCCCTGCGCCGACTGTATACAACATATTAGTCTTTGAACAAGTTGAGCTTTTACACATGTTGCTTCTGCTCAATATTAACTGGAGGAGTTGAAGCAGCCGTTAAACCAGAATCTAACCTCGGGAAAGCGAGAAACCTGTTCAGCCCTTTCCTGAAAGTACACCTCCTGTTGCCAAACGGACTCTCTCCTCGATCGTAGATCTACTGGGGACAAGGTCTTCTACTACGATTGAAGATTGTAAGTATCTCCTGTTAGTATGATCTTACTTGGTTCTAGAAAAATGTTTCTCGGAAGGGTGGAAATGTGATCATTGTCGGGTTGGGTTCGATCGCTAGAACTAGTAGAGGCTAAGTAAGTTCTTGTTTACTATCTCTATCTTAAAGATTGTTTTCATCGTGCTAGGTAAATGAATGAATGAATGAATCGATGTCTTCTAGGTGTCTAGCTCCATTCATTGGGACGTCAATTTTCGAGGACTTCGTATTTTTGACGTTATCGGCATGGGGTAATAGTAATTTCGAATAGTAGAAAATCAAGATTTTTGTAGATTTTCTTCAAGATTGCAGGTTTCAACCCAACCGAAGAACCTTTTCTAAACGAACAACTCTACCGATGATACTTGAAATTTATTTGTTTTTTCTCGTGTAGTTAGTCGCAGCAATGCCTAGCACATCGTCGGACGGTGTCTCGCCGCCAAGCTTGTCGCAGCAGATTGCACAGCAAGTGGGTGTTTCACCACTGCTTTTGCTCGCGGCAGCTCCTACTTCATCGTCCTCTACTGCTGGTCTCCTAGCAGATATTCCGCAAAAAATTTCGCAGGCTCTGCAATCACTGGACCTGGGTGAACTGGTCGACTCCGTCATGACGTCTCTGAGCAAGCTGAGGGTGGAGGACTTGTCCCTAGACCAAGTGGCGGACAGCTTGCAGAGCGCTGTCGCTGTCGGTGCTGCCACAATGGCAAGTGGGTCCTTGGGAGCGAAAGAGACGAGTCTGGACACGGCGGCGCACGCAGCAGGTCTGCGGTGGGCGCGCATGCTGGCGCATTTGTCAGGGCAGAGCTGCCAGAGCTCGGTGAAGGGAGGACCGGGATTTCCACAGTATAATTGGCATTTTCTTTTTTTTATGTGGAGAGGAGATTGTTCGACAGCATGTACTGACTGGTAGTATATCTTACTTTCTTGGAAGAAAGTTGTATAACTTAATCTACCTGTGGATTACGGAACTAGTACCAACGCGTCCTATGCTCTTATACCCGCTGCCGCAACTTCCTCCTCTTGCACGAATATCAGGGTTTTTAATTGGGTTTGGAGCTCTTTAAAATCATACTTTTGGAAGCACTAGAGTTGTTTGTTTGTTTGTTTGTTTTGATGCGCTCCGGGCGACGCGTACGATCCCGCCGGATTTCTTTGTGCTCTGTGTGTGTTGTGCTATGGTCGTCATTGCGATCGACTATGGTATGTCTGGTCGCCACTAGAGTTGTTCCTGATCGTCAATTGAGTATGATATTATTGATATCACTTGAAGACCCATGATAACTAATAAAATAAAATATGTATATGATTCCGTGATTTCCTAATATAATGTATATGCACTTCTACTAGGATGCACCCTTGATGATAACTAATAAATATGTATATGCACCCATGATTCCCTAATATGTATATGCACTTCTACTAGGATGCACCCATGATGATAACTAATAAATATGCACCTGATAACTAATATGTATATGCACCCATGATTCCCTAATATGTATATGCACCTCTACTAGGATGCACCCTTGATGATAACTAATAAATAAATGTATATGCACCTCCTCCCATGATTCCCCAATATGTATATGCACTTGCACTTGTAGGTTGTCCGCGATTGGGTCGTTGGGAGAGTTGTGTTCGGCTTACGGCGAGCACTTCTGGATGCGTCTGGACATGTTTTGCTTCTCATTGCTGCTCGCTCCTTACGTTGCCCGGCAGCTCGCGAGTCCGGTTGACGACGCGGTAGAATGCGTTGCGCCTGCGATTAAGAGGCCTCTCTCGATGCTCTCGAGCTCTAGTATAATTATGTCAGTTTTTATTTTCCATCAGAAGTCTCGGCATCTTGGTCCCCTTTTTCCTTGTATAATTGTGCTCGTGAAATACAAGGTGGTAAAAGGGGTCAAGATGAGGGGGCCGAGATGCAAAATCTAGCAGACTCTAATAGTACAGCTGTTCTGAAAACGGTGCCGGAGAGAGTATGCGGTCCGGAACGGGCAGCGAAGATCCAGCTCGTACTTGCAGATGCTGCCCATAGCGCACACTCCTTGTGGCAGACAGCCTCTAGCACAACGAAAGAGTTGGTCAATCGGCAGATAGTAGCACCAGTGCGGAGTCGTTTCCCCGCGCTGCTGCCACCAGAACAGAGCAGTTCTTCTACGGCGCAACCCCCACAGGTTGGAGGAGGAGTTGGTGGAGTAGGAGACCAGCCTGGACGGATTGGAGTGGATCTTGTACGAGGCACGGATCAAGCGGAGATGTCTACGAGAACAGGGATGTCATCCAATTCAGGCTCCGACGTCGAGGGACATGCGGGTACAATCTGATTATTGCCTATGCATCGTGTATGCAAGATGTGCATAAAAGATCAAATATATCTTCTTCTAGATGCTGCCATTGACTGCACCAGTGAAAAAATGAGTCTACTCCTTCGCTCCTTCGTCCACCCGACTACACTGCCTTTTTTTTGTTTTATTCAGACCACCGGCGCATGAGCGAGCAGCATCCGTTGATGCTTCCCACGCCTGAGAAACGAGCCCTCGGAACCGGTATGCCCGGATCATTCGTAGGACCCGCCACCTCCTCCTCCAGCTCTTCTGGCCCTCCATTGAGTAGGAGAGAAATAGTCGTGAATTCGTTGCAGGCGAGTCTTATGGCTGTAGCGGCAGGCATCTACGTTTTCCCAGGTCCCACGCTTTTTGCTACCCATCTACTCGGAGCAGTGCTGCATAGTGGTCGTGCTGGCTTGCGCTCTGAGTCAAGGCGCGTGCTTTTTCCAGCAGCCCAGAAATTTCTTGGCGACGCATCCGAGAAATTAGTCAGCGCTGTGGGGAGCGGCGGAGCGAGAGGAAATTCGGATCCTGATCGTATTGAACAAGTTCCAGTTCCTACTTACTACAGAGGAAAAACAAGTTGAGTGAATCATGAGGATCTTTGTTCTAGCGTTCTTGGTTTATTGATGCTGCTTTGTCGTGTTGTGAGTTTATCACGGTCCAACGTTTGAAGCCAACGAGTAGAAAGAAGTTCATAATTCTTGTATGATCTTCACTCGTTGTCAACGTTTGTTGAAGCCAACGAGTAGAAGTTCATAATTCTTGTATGATCTCCACTCGTTCTCCAGGTGTATTTTTCACGTTTGCTGTAGGGTTGGGTGCTGTACTAGGTGGACTCGCTGTTGTCGGAGCTTTTGCTCCATCCGGGACGGGTGCTTGTAGCGCTTCTGTACCTCCTGGAAGTCTACCACCTGGTGCATCGTTTCTAGAAGGGAACAATAGTTCCATGCCTCGATCATTGATGGATCCGATGGCAGGTGGACCACCTACTGGCGCTTTTCCAGGTGCGGCACCAGGTGGACATGGCGTTAGTGGCGGATATCCAAGTAACAGTCTTGTGCCAGCCTACGGTGCTCCGCAACAAGGGGGGATGCCGGGTGGTGGGCAGTATGGAGCACAACCTGTTGGAGGCCACCATTTTCCACCAGCAAGGCATACGATGCCTCCTGGGACACTTTAGTAGTCAAGGTTGGTGGCGAAATTTTCCTCGCAGCGATGGTCTTCAGGCGGGATCTTATTGCAGTCGCATCCATTGCCGCATTAGCATTTTCAAGCGGTCGCATCCACTGGCACATCCTTGGTTGGGTTATCACATCAAGCCCGAAATTTTTTCTACTCGCATTTTGATCACATCAAGCATTGGGTTGGATTATCACCTCAAGCCGGCAGTCGCATTATCACATTTTCAAGAGCGTGATCATCAGATTATCGCACTCAGACGCAAAAGCATTGTGGGGAACTTCGCGATGAAGTTCGTTTTTTTGGCATTCCTTCAGACAGAGGGCATACGCCTTTATTGATGTCCTGTATCTTATTTTGGAGTTAGCATCAGGATCAGACTCAGAGTCACTAGTCTCAGACTCAGCTACAAGTCGAATGGAATAAAGTACACTGATTTATGTCATGCGCAGTTGTGGTGTCTTTACTGGTGCGACCACGGGTGTGTTCTCAGTGACAATCATGCAGGTGCTGACATCAAGCAAATCTAAATGCATCGTCCCGCCGGTAGGCTAGTAGAGCTACTCGTCATGTGAATGAGTATGAGTGAAACTGTATTAGAGCACCTCCTATATCATGGAAGTACGAAAACGATCAACCAATCTCATGGAGAACAAAACACTGGAGAGTCCGGATCTTCTTAGACATATCAGAACCTTTTTACTTCTAGTTAGACATTTAAGTTGCTTGTAGCATCTTGCTTGTTTCAGTTTTTTCTCTTGTTGAATACTGGTGCGGGTACGGACTATCATCTTCTTCTTCGCTTGCTTTCTACTACTGGAACTGGATTAGCAAACAAACAAGTCAGAGACTGAGACACACTCCTGCGTACTGACTAAGTACACCTTAAAGCACACAGACACGTCCTCCACAACCCAGAAAATTCCTCTTCTAAACAAAACAACTTCACAGGCCAGGTTGGATCGCACCAGGTGATTTACTCCGTTTTGTGCAGTGAGGTGTTTTCAGCAAAACGAAGGATTACGACAGAAGCAGATTCACTAAGGCATAACTAAGATTAAGATCATTTATGAACTGAGAAAACTCAAGAAAAAACTAACGAAGTAAGTCTAAGGACATTTGTAGCTTGCCGATAGACAGAAGAAGCTCAAAAAATGAATGATACTAGATGACTTAAGAGATTTCTCAACATCATATAATACTCCTGGAGTGGGTACATTCATTCATTCACTCATGCTGGTCCAATTATCGGCCTTGTGTGAAGACCATCAGGGTGGAGCGCCAAATATCGCCCACCGGTGAACCCTACTAATTGCACTTGGTCATGTCTACTAAGAAATTGTAAGCAGCATCGTAGGAGGAAGTGATAGGCATAGAAGAAAGGTGCCATAACTCTTTGATCATATTCCTGCTCTACTGGCCTTGAGGCAGGTTCTGTAGGTTTGTCTTGCATGGAGACTGCAACTCTCATGGGCGTACGCTTTCAGCGGTGTACGCGTTGAGGTCGTGTTATGATTATGTGGACATTCTGATTCTGTTTTGGTATGCTGCATTATTTGGTACTTTTTCGTTGACATGATCAGCAGAAAAACAGAAGATTGAGGCAGAGCAGCTTGGGCCGTCTCATTTTTTGTTTCTTCATAATTGTGCATTACAGAGGTTGTATCTATTGTATTGTAGTTGTATTCTACGAATAAGCTTCGTGTATGTGTATCCACTGTGTTAATGTTTGTGTTTCTCTATTTCTTGTCTCTTGGTGGTTACTAACTTAAAATGCCTGCAACATGTCTTGACTTTTCGTGCCTTTGAGTAGCGCATGATTGGATTATTTGACAATAACAAGAAGAATTAGTATTAGAAGCATTGTTTTAATGATGCAACGTGCTTACTTACTCAGTTAGAAATGTAGTTCTGGAGATAACTTGTTATGAGTTCGATGGACTAGAGAAAATCACTTTTTTTTTATTTGAGTTCGTTGATTGAAATTTTAGAAGCAAGTTTTCAACTAATGTGTACATTACTAGCGATAGCCAGAGATATAATGTATTCAATCACAATAAAGTAGCTGTTAGAGTAAGTTATGTTGTTGAAAATTTACAGATGTTGGCTGAAAAGTAACATAGTAATTCTTGTTTGTTGTCAGTCCTCTTGAAAGAAGAGGCCAATGGCATCACACAACCAGGCCAGTGCTCCTTAACAAAAATGATGTTGTTGGATCTATGTCTTTCGTTTCGGCGGGGTCAGCTGAGCCTTGCGCTCCTTGTTTGGCAGACGTGCGCATACGATGGCGCATGGGCGGTTGCCGGCAAATGGGACGCGGTGGCCGGGTCACATACCGATGGCTATGGGGCAGGTATTCACTAATTCTAAAAGTTGTTTGAGAATGTTCGAAGAATTCACGATAATGAAGATCGGCGGGCGGGGTTTCAAACTGGACGCGAGTACTCAAGCGCGTGCAGAGGGAGCCCGCATGGCCTTCGAGGGTGTGCGGTAGGAACGGAATCGTTTCGCTCACTCGCGCAATTCTTGCACACGGGGCGCAATTCTGTACCCATCCCCGCCGGCCCCCCGATGGGGGTGCCTCGTCCTTGGTCTGTGTAGAGAGCATGCGGTCGCAGCCCTGCCCGCCCTCACTGGGGTGGTGAAGTTAGTGCGCCTGAGATGGTTCGGCCCCGCGTGTCTCTTTTGTTGGTACTCGGGGCTTTTTCAAACTGGAAACGCGCGAACGCTGCGCGCGCAATTTAGTCCTCGTTGCTGTTGGCGGGGTTTCTTTTTTTACAGCAAGAGTAGCACTTTGCCTCTGGAGTATGATCGGTAAGCATATCATTTAACGACCGAGCATCGCGCTGGCTCCTTTCACTCTTCTCATTCAAGTATCAAAATATACAACCTGCTTCAAGGTGGTACAGCTCCAAGTGCTGCCGCGCACATCGAGGCGGGGAGGAGCACTTCTATCTTACGAGCAGTGGAGACTGGTCCTCCTCGTCCACACCGTAGCGGCTGGTGCTGTGGCCGACGAGTACTAGAGCGGCGGAGCCGGTCGACCGGCACCCTCGATGTTAGTATTCAAAACCCTGCGCGAGCACCGTCTACGAGCGGTTTGTTGCCGACTGCGTGGGGGGGAATCAGGGGAGGAGGTGCGAATGCGACGCTTCGAAAAGCGACTTCGTGTGCACTCTTGCTCCAGGTAACGGTCGATACGAGTTCGCAGAACAGTTCTGGAGCTGTGCGACACGTCGTGCGACCTGGAGGTGTAGTAGGTCTTGCTCCTTCTAGGTCTTCTAGGGCAACTGGAACCGTTGATCATCACCATGGTGGCGAAAGAGAGGCAGACGAGGATAGTACGTATTCTCCTGGGGACAGTACGGACGATGATGTCGAACTTGCTACGAGAAGGAACGTAGCGGTAGCGCAGATAACACAAGGCGTCCGACGTTTGGGCCTGCACGTGGCGAGTGGCCAATCACGTAGTTCTCGTACCAATCATGATGTTCGAAATGGTGCATCTGGGTCTCCTAGTGGCGCAGCTGGGTCGCCTTTCAGCCCCACTGGTGACGCAGCTCGCTCATCACGTTCAAGAGACTCAGTGTCTTCACCCCTACGACCTGGGGTCGTGGCGACGGCTATCGCCGCGCATCAGCTGGTGTCGAAGTCACCCGCTGCTGGCGTTGCTGGAGCTTCTGGCGCTGGTGTGTACCATCTAGGATATCAGACGCACTACGATTAAGGCGCTCTCAAATATTCACCTTAAGTAGAAGATGCTTCTTTAGCGTGCTAGTGCTTGAATCAAGGGGAAGACTTCTAGGTCAAAGATGCATTTCACGATGAATTTAGGCAAGCTCTAACACAACGAGGCCCATGAACATGATGGAGAGCGGCAACTCTATTGCAAATCTCCCTTTTTGCTTTCGGGCCGTCCCGCGACCAACGCTAGTTTCGGACCTCCGTATTCTTATTGCGACAAGACAGCAGAAGCCTCGTGGAATCACAAGAAGGACCAATGGCAACAAGGATCTTCCTTTGCAGCTACAGCAGACCAGGAGACTCAGCAACAGATCCAGAGCAGTGAAGGAGACCAAGGGACTGCGCCGGTGAGTTTTCTAGAAGCGGCAGCAACTCGCATGGGGCACATGGCTACTCGGAGAGCAGCAGTCTCCTGCCCACTTTCGTCTTTCGAGTGTGCCGTGGAGCGGCAGCCACCGCAGTTTGAAAGTTTGGAAAGACAGTCTAGTGGAGCTGACGATGCTGCAGGGTTACCAGCACAGTCGGTTTCTGCAGCCTCGCTGCGGTGTCGTCTCCCTCCTTCTACTTCCACTTCGAGTCAACAAAGCCAGAGCATTGATGTGAAGTCTTCTAATCTAGCCAGGCACGACGCCTCCAAGCTTGTGCTTCCGAGGTTGTCGTTGCCCGAGCAGTGGCGAGGTGCGTTCGTCGGGACGCCTTTGACGAGCAAAGATATCAGTACGGAACCATTGTCTCCAGCGCGCAACCTCGCTGAGCCTTTGAATAACAGCAGTGAAACGCTGTGCGGAGACTTTCCTCTTGGTGACCGTGACGCACACCCGGCATACCGAAGCTCGTGCAGTGGAATGGGTCTTTCGGGGACTTGCAAGGCAGATCATTTGGATTTGTCAACAGTTGATCTTCACGATCAACCTGGAGGTGCAGGGCCTGAGCAGATGTCTACGCCGAGGAATCTCGATTCACCGGCTTGGCTGTGTATGCAAATCCCTGTGTGGCGAAAGAAGGCATCTACTTCTCTTGTTGAAAAAGCTGGGGCAGCATCAAGCAGTGACGGAGACCCGTCTTCAGCAACGTCTGCGGTGCCTTCACCGGAGCAAGCAGCTGTCACTGAGGCCGCGCATCCGACCGCACCTGCCAGTGATGCGGCACAGGAGCTTATGGAGGATGAGACTGATGTCTCGACTCCGAGCAAAGTCGCATGTAGAACAGAAACGCAAGTAGAAGTCGCAAATGCCGATACTGGCTCTGGTGCGGTGGTGGAACAAGCAGCGGTAGTTGCTGGTCCTGGTGAGTTTTCTTCAGAGGCAGACGTCAGGCGTGATCATGAGGAGGCAGAACATGAAGCAGATGCGTCGTCTGCGGCTGCAGCTATACTAGATGGAGGAGTTCTTGCAAGCTCTCACGTGGAATCCTCGCATCAACTTCTTGGCGAAGCGGAATCGGAATCTAATGCAGCAACACAAATTCCCGCTCGTTTGCTAGATGAGAGTGAATCTGCAAATGCGGCAACACAAGTTCCCGCTCGTGACGCCGCAGCAGCAAGTGTCGAGGTCTTTGAGCGGTCTGATGTCCTCTCTCGTTCTGCGGCACATGGGCCACTTTCTCCTCCAGTAGCGCCTACTACGGATTTAGAGGCTACAGCAAAAACCTCTGCTGCTAATTTAGATTTTTTGTCGACTTCCAGTGGCAGTGGAGCACAGAATACCGATGTTGAAAATGCAGTCCTCTCTGGTGTCGTCGGTGTGTCTTCTTCGGGTGCTGCTTCTTCTTCCAGTGGCAGTCCTTCCTTTCTCAGTGGAGAGCCTGTCCTTTCGACCGCTGCTTCAGCAAACAATCAGCCACAAACTACTGTAGTTGACGACTTTTTTTTAGATTCACTTCCTACTGTACAGACAGCTCATGAAATCCAGGATTATCGTGATATCTTGGGGGGATTCACGCCAACGCGCCGGTCTAGAAACCTCCTGAAAGCCATCCGCGGCAACGAGTTTGAGCGTGGCAACGATTGCCCAGAAGATACCGGGAATTTCACGTGCCAACTAGATGCCATACAACGATCGTTCCCTGTCATGCTCATGTCGGTTGAAAATGAGACTGGTGGTCGTGGAGAAGAAGGTGCTCCCACTTCTACAACCGCTACGGAAGACAACGGCAGTTCTAGTAGTGGGGCTGGCTCATCAAGTACTAGTGCAAGAACTAGAACTACAACTACAAGCGACCATGTAGAAGAAGCTATAGGAAGTGCAACAGGAACTTCTGGTGTCGGTGCTGAGTCTGTTGTTGATCAGGGTGTAGTGGCCAGCTCGAGCATGACCGCAACAGATGGACAGGAGGCTGGAATCGTGGATGACCACGCTGTCTTTGAGGACGACATTACTGCTTCCACCTCCATCATCACTGCAGTTCAGACACCAGGAGGTGCTCGAGAACAGTCGGCGTCGTCCGTTGACCGACCAGGTTCTTCATTTCGTCAGCGACACTACGTTGTGCCCCCACTCGCGCTGCCGTCTCGGGACGATGCATCGGCGAACGATGCACGTGTTGCTCATCACGGAGATGAATCCGCGAATCCTGTGGAGAACAGCAGCATGGACGTCGACTTTCCAATCGCTGCTGCGCAGAGCACTACTCCTGATGTGGGCATATTGGAACCAGGAGAAGCGATTAGAACTAGAAGTACAACAACGCGAAGAAGTTCTTCGAAGTTTAGCATTGCGACGCCTCGGCCACAGAAGTTTAGCATTGCGACGCCGGAGCCTTCCCCCAGACCCGGTACGGAGTATTTTTTGTTGAAAAGCCCGCGCGGTGGAGTAGGCGGACAAGCGGAGATCATCGAGACTGGCTTACTGGAGGAGCTCGAGGAGGCGGAAGCAGCATCAGGAGTCGTTGAGCAAGAACATCAAAGGTACGTACAGGTACAACACGATGAAGAAAAAGTTGCAACTCCTGATCACGATCCGGCAGCTTTCTCAACTGGTATAACCCCAGATGTGGATGCACCAGCAGTGGCAGTGAATGCGCTGCTCGAGGAAGGTACACATGAATCTGCAAGAGCTGAGGTAAAGGCACTAGATTCAGAGAAGGGACAACAGCTACAATATGCTTCGCTAGTTGTACAGGAGGATGCACTAGCACTTCTACGCTCCCTAGAAAGACGCGTCGTAACAATACACGACCACGACATGGACGAGAGAGATCTTCCCAGTCAAGCCTCCTCGCGAACGCCTCTTCTTTATTCCTCGAATAAACAGGATGGAAAAGAGCTTACTAACATGGCTGTAGATCATCTAGAAGATGCGAACGAAGCAAGGTCCGGCCGAATAGAAAAAGACTTCGACAGATCAGAAGCAGATGCAAATAGAGCTGACGTACTAGTACAGGAAGTAGGAGGGCTAGGAGGAACAAGTAGTTCATCTTCGGACAATCCAACGGGTGGAACTCCTGGAGTGGCTGCATCAAATAGTTCTTTCTCTTCTAGTTCAAGTTCTTCGTCTTCAATGTGGCCTCAAGCTCAAGACACGGACGCTAGTTCTGGTTCTATTGCTGGGGGTGGCGACGCTGGTCTTGACGAGCCTGCTGTTGATTTAGATGATGTGGAGCAGCTGTGGTGCATTGCTCCCTCGCAGCGTAACCGGATCCCACCGGAATCGCTACTGGCGCGGGAGGCGGCGGCGGCCAGATGGTGCGATGAGGAGGAGGAGGGATATCGAAGTGATGAAAGCGTCACGCTTTTCCATTGCCCCGCACCGAGAAGGCAATCCTCGCCTGCAATGAATTTAAGGCCAGTAAGTTGTGGTAGTAGTAGGTCAGGTTCTGTTCTAACTGTACTAACTGTTAAACTGTACCAGGTAATATGAAGATTAATTGAATAATATTGGCTGGTGCAACAAGATTCCACTTCCATGCATATGATCTCTAATCGCAGGGGTCTCCCCGCATGCTGTGTCGCTTTTCCAGCGTTTTCAGCGGGACAACCCAGGTATAGAGGAGCCGGACGACGCAACTTGGGTCCGCTGGCTCAGAGGGAACAGGCCCCACTGCGTCACTGAAGATGGGCGCGCTCTTATCTCGCCTCCGCAGAAGCAAGAGCGACCACGTGGCATCCTCAAGAAAAGTAGACCTGTGCTCAAGAATAGCCTGAAGCTCTTGCGGGAACTGGAAGAAGATGCAAGACGAGGCGAACACGATCTCCAAGCTTATGTGGATGCAGGTGTTGATCTACCGCTTTTTCTGGAGCCTAGTGATCTACAACCTCTGGGACGAGTACCCTCAACACAACGTCGTGGAAGCCAACCAGATGAGGAGGAGCATCATCCCATAGAAATGCGCTCGCTCCAAGATCTCTACAAGGAGGAAGAGGATGCCCTACGAGAACTCAAAAAGAGCCAACAGAAGTTATGGCCCAATACATTTAGATTTCGGACTTAATTCAATTGGGGAAATGCAGGGTAGAAGTGAAGCGTTTTGAGCTGCTCTAACAGATGGAGAAAGCGGTGTCGTCAAAGTCCCACGTCGAGCACGACAAGTGGTTTTGGATATCCCAGATGAGGATTTGCCTGGTGCAGCATTGACGAGGTCGGCGGCGCGTGTGGGGATGAGAGACCTGGCGCAGAACTTTTTCAATCTTACCCCAGCACACAGTGAAGAGGCGCAACTTGCGGATATATTAGGGGTGAGCTAAGAATTACATGAGACCAAGTTAGGCTTATAGGTTAGGGCTAGGAATTCAACTGTAAAAATCCAGATAAATTATACATCGAAATAGAACGACTGTTGTTACACCCTTCTCTTGAAAAACTTGAGAAATTCAATTTAATCGAGCTAAGGTAGAGATGAGCAAAAATTTAAAAATTAGAAATTTAGTTGAATCAGAACAGCATGGATTTGGCATTTGATCGCGTTTTTATCACAATGAATGAATAGCCATATTATGATCAGCGAGGATAGGTTGAAAATACGAGCGCGGTTCTTGATATATTTATAGAAATAGACGTACTTCATCAACATAGATCATTTGAATTTGAAATTATGGACTGAAGTATATGGAAAGTTGGTGTTTTTTCACATTAGAAAGATAAGGATACGCCACAGGGACGGCACCGGGAGACGTGATCATTATTCACGGAGAAGTATACTATGTATAAGATCCAGGCATTTAGAACTATGATAGAATAATTTCGAAGAAGATCACACTACAGACGGTCGTGAAGAGTTTTTCATGTTGAACAATGTTGTGCAATGATATTTCAACAGCGGCCACTTCTCCATATTCATGCACGTCCTTCTTCCTGACATGATTAAGATTACATTAGAATCAAATGTTAGCCTCTATACCTACAGGAAAAAGGGCCCACAACCGATGGCCTTCACTCAGAGACTATACCTTGGAAAAGAGGAGGTAGGAAGGTAGAATTTGCTGGGGGGGAGACTGAAACGGGTACACCATCTATAATTGCTTCTTCCACACCAGGTGTGGTGAGCGTCAATATGATTATTTGGTCTAGTACAACAGATAGGTCGAGATTTAGTTCTTCTTCATGAGCATAGGTTCCTGAGAAAGATGTCGACATACATAGTGAGTGTAACTTTCAAGGTACTTCTTAGAGACTGTGAACTTGAACTTGAACTTGAACTTCATAGTGAGTGAACTTGAACTTCTTAGAGACTGTCTTCTTATTTTCGGTGCCGCCAACCGCTGTACGTAGAGGTGATCAGGACATTATTTTGTTCTTTCTGCTGCATTGGTTTGAAAACAGTCGAATTATGGCAAGAAAAGTGTAGACAAAGGACTCTCTGTAGACAGAGCAGGACTTGATGGACTTGATTGGGTATCTACAGGTGTACCATCTTCAAAAAGAATGTTGATGATGCCCATGCCCACGACGCACTAGGACAGGTCTTCGCACTTCTTGAGAACACGACGACGACCGCAAGATTCTTGGGGTTTTGTGGTGCCGACGAACCTCGCCACATCATCTAATTGATTTTAGGTTCAGACATTGTAGATAACTAGCCCACAGGGGCTGACCAAACGCTGTGCGGGAACTACGAGCCTATAGGGGCTGACCTTAGTTTCACATACGGGATTAAAAGTAATCAGATACAGCGAGGGTAGCACATCGAAGGGACGAGGGCATTACTCATAAGTCGATGCAACCAGGTCTGCAGCGACTCGCAGGTTTTGTCATGACAGGGCAATGGGAAGGTATGACAGATGTAACTGTAGACAGGCACAGACGAGTACCACACAGACGGTGCCATGAGCATGCTTTTTGTGGTACGTATGTGGTTGTATCTGCCAAAATTTGACAGTACTAGAAACTCCCGTGCTGATTAATCCCATCGTACGTACATTACGCCACCGAGTGCCATGAATTCCTCGCAATGAATATGTGTTTATAATTGATGCCTGTAAAAAGCTACTTAGAAGATTCGGCTCATGCAGGAGAGAAGCCAATAATGTTAAAAGTGAAAGAACGCGTATAATAGGTGGATACGGTAGATATCGAGTCCATCAATCGTACGGATAGACTCGTTCAGAAAAATAATGCTTGGCGGTTGAGGGTTTTCTGGATCGATTGCATATGTTTGACTTACATTTTCCGGTCTTTTGGATTTTTGACGTTACTTGTTGCTGAAAAGAAGTTGTGGTCGTGGTTTTTACTTCTTGATGAAAATGATAGGGTTTAGAGTACTTTTCCGCTGCTGTGGACGCATGCAGAATTAAGTTGCCTCTAACCTCTCAGGGCTGTTGACGTTGGTACCTAAAATTGATTCCTTGCTCTTTGATATAATTCATGAAATTCCATCAGAATTTTTTCTTTTTTTTTTGTATGCCAAGAACGCCGGAAGGGTGATCCTAGTTTTTACCAGTTCGCAAACCGGCGACAGGTGGAGTCCGGTTACCTCCTTATATCAATGTGCACTAATTGCCTACGAACCCGTCGATTATAAACTGATGAACCCTAGGGGTGAAGGAGGTAGGTTAAAAGTCTTATATAGACCTCCACCGGCTGCCAACCGTCCCACGCTTATACGCCTACCTTCAAGGCACGAGCGCAGGGGATGTGAGTCATAGTGTTGTTATATTTGAATCACATATACTTGTTCCATTTCCATAGAAATGACACCTACTTGTTTCCATAGATTACCGATTACTAATCGCATGTGCCTTGAGTCACATGCTTATATCGATCGTCCTGCGTGGTTTTATCAGCCACCGATGTCGTGAATTCGGATGTTATCTGTGAGCCCTAATGCTAAAGTATGTAGGGTTGCCCTAATCTTCCACCACGTCTTGTGGTATCATAATTTTGGGGTATGACCGAGGTTTGTCTACATAGTGTATGCGCAACCGTCTCGGGCTAGGCTTGTTGCTCCCTTGATCCTACCGCTTTCACACTATTATAAATATATGCAACAGTGTACTATCCTAATGCGTAGCTTCCTTTGCTTAGATACAACAAGATTCAACTGTGCTACAAGATACGTATCAACAATTGGAGAGTGAGCTCTAGCGTAGTGTTTTCAGATGAGAACTGAAGGAGCCAACATGCAACATTATTAATAACAGCATGCGTTTTATGGTGTGTAGAGAAAAATCCTGAATATACTCACAGCAAGTTCGGCTCTACTTCAATGATGTGTGCTTCGTGTATCCAAAAAAAAAATAAAAAGCAACGGGAGATCTTCATCTGAGGGAGCGTTACTCACATGATTCCTGAAGTCCTCATTGGGCCTCATCAGGGGGTTGGAAAGAGCGTTCCTTTCAGCGCGACTGGTAACAACGTCTCCGTGAGGAGCGAAATAAAAAGCTGGTGTGTGACGAGCTGGTGCGTGATGGTGTGACCAAAGTGTGGCGGTCAACGGCTTAAGAGGACACTAAGGAACTCTTTAGATGTAATCTACAATAAGCAAGATATTGCACGTAAGTCCCCCTCCCCCAAACAACAGGTAGCCCCTTTACCTCAGGAATAGGCACATCAATCAGTCAATCAATCAATCAAATGAGTAAATTTGATGAGGTGTAAATTAGAGCCATAAACAAAAGAAAGCGAATTTTTTTAGAAGACCTTCAACTTGTAGAAGATTCTTACATGCTGGATCTTTAGGTCGTTAGCGACATGAAACGGAGGATGAGACTTCCTACTTGTTCCTGCTTTTTAAGATTCGAAATACATCCCTGTGGAGGCAACCTGATTGATGTTGCTATGGATGATCTTTTGTGGGCTCGGTCAGCGGGAGCGCAGTCGTGGTGGCACAGTCCAGAGTTGGCCCTGGGTCTGCTTGTTCCTCCGTTATCCAGCACCGCCGCTCGTTAGACGGCCGCATATAGTTGACTGACTGACTGATCCTCCATTAGCCCGAAACAGCCTCAGCAAAGCGGGCAGAGTCCATAGACAACCGCAGCCGATTCGCGCCCGGGGTTCCTAGTAACTGACTACATTGGGTGGCTAGCCTCTGGCTTGTTGCTATGGGTGGCCTTTAGTGGGCTAGGCCAGCGGGAGCGCGGTTGCCTTTGTCAGCTGAGTTGTGCGGGCCCATCCTTCACCAGCCCGACACACCGTAAGCAAAGCGGGCAAAGTCCATAGACGGCCGCAGCTAGTTTGCGCCTGATCTTCCTTTTAAGTGACTACGTTAGGCGACTAGCCTCTGATCTATTCTTATGGGGGGCCTTTACCCTTAGTGGGCTAGGTCAGCGGGAACACGCGCGTGCTTGCACATTCCAGAGCTGGCCTGGGGTCTGTTTTTAGTTCCTCCGTTCTCCAGCGCCGCCGCTCGTTAGACGGCCGCACGCACTTGATTGATCCACTAAGTTCAATACGTATCCGCCGTTGCCCTGGACTGAAAAGCACGCCTTTCTTACTTTCTCTCCGAAGAAGGAGCATCTACATCAATTTTAATAGCCAAAATAATGAGCTAGCTGTGATGTGTGTCTTGCAAGCCGTGCAGATGTCTCCATATGTCCTGTAAAAGACTATAACAAAAACAAGACTTGTTCTCATGAGCATTAATCTAAGAACATGATGATCTTTGTAAGCATGACACGAGCCTCGTCCATGTTCAACATTTATTGACTCATCAGGTTGTCATCCGCGCAATGTTGCCTTACATTGTCCGACGTCGTTTTGAATTGATCCTCCCTTTTTCTCGTTCGATGTTCTGCTTCTACGGTGTCGAAGTACCTGCTAGACCGCATCGCCTCTCTCGTCCCGTGAAGTGCACCACGCAGGTGCGAGAGGTGGCAATGCGAAGACAATGTGGCGCATAGGTATTATAGCCTGCTTCGTCGCTGCGAAGCAGAAGAGTCTCTGTAAGAGAAGTCAGATTATTTTTTCTGTCACGTCTTTCTGAGAAGTAGAACGTAAAAAGGAACTCCTGTCCGAGTACAGGGTTTCTGTGGCTAAAAACCTCTTTGTCTGTGAAAAAGCATCAGTGTGCCTGCAAGCGATGACGACTGCGAGTGTAAGAAGCGCCCTTTCTGTGGTGTTTTCAAGTCTGTTCCTGAGTTGCTTGCCATTTACTGCTGAGATGAAAGTCTTTAATGTACGTGTTGTGTCAGGCTGTCAAGCGAGATCTGTCGTGAGAATCCACAAAGGTACTTACGTGATAAGTGTAGCTGTTGCCTCCTTGTGGTACTCATACCTGAAGTCTATTTCTTGGTCCTCTTACAGGCATTTCCTTAGGTATCAATCTCCTGTACTAGCCCGTTGTTCTTGTCTCCTTAATATGCAAATGATTGGCCCCATGAGGTCGAAGAATGCTGTTGTTGGACTTGTTCAACATGAAAGGTTTTTATTTGGAAATTGAATAGACTTTCAATTTGTTTTGTCCAGAAGCATACGCAGTACAGCATCAATTGTTCCCATAGACACTGCATCATACATTGGAACGAAATCATGGGTGGCGCTTGTTGCAAAGGGAATCCCTATGTGGTGGACGCAGCAGCCGGGTGTAGTGAAGTCCTGCGCGTGAGGAAAGTGGACACCAAGGAATGTGCCTCCTGGAGTGAGCATCCTGAACTACCTGTGATCAAGCTGCGCCGTGGGGAGGAGATAGCGGAGCTATTCGTTGCCGCACACTGGCGGGATGCTGCTGCTGTTATGGATTCATTTTTTTATATATAACTAGTGCGGTGCGTGCTGGGTGCATTGAGATTGAGATAGAGAAAGGTCGTGAGCAGCGAACACCATGAGGCTGAATAAAAAGAGCCGCCAGGCGGGTCTAGCAGAGGACTACGGACTGATTGTTTTGGAAATTGAGTAGGGTCGGTCTGGTCCTGGGGAGGAGTGCCACATTCGCACGAGGGGACGGCGTTTGAAAAGATAGTGCGTGAGAGGACAGAGCAACACATTCGTGAGAGAAATTAGAAAAGGCACCACGCAAGAAAACAGCCGGTGAAGAAAATGCAAAAAGATAGAGCATGCGCGTCAGTCGTGGAATAGTCTGTGATGTGAGATCAGTAGGGCGCAGCGCGCGCCTTCGCCTTGGCCTTCGCTTTGCCTTTGGCCTTTGCCTTTGGCTTGCCCCCGCGGCCTTTTTTGCCCTTGCCTTTCCCTTCTTCAGCACCTCCGTCACCTGGTGCTCCGTTTGCAGGAGGAACAACGCCAGGAGGAAGCTCTCCTCCTTGGCCCGCAGCTACACCAGCAAGAGGCCCTGCACCTCCAAGAACACCACCAGCAGCACCTCCTGCACCTCGAGCGTCACCTGGTGCTTCTCCAAGTTCAGCCCCAGCAGGAGCGACGGCGAGAGCACCACCAACACCCACAGCAGCTGCTCCAGCTCCGCCGGCACCCGCAGCAGCAACAGGAAGAGGCGCAAGTCCGAGATTCAACTTCGGCGCCGCGGGCAATGCCATGGTAGTTTTGCCAACGCCCGGCAAGGATGCAGCACCTGAGGAGTTTGCTTCGTGGTGAAGTGTGAAGTCCTACGTGTAGATGTATTAGAAAGTGGGAGAAGGAGAAGCAAGAAGGTATGAGGGAGAGACCAGGAGGCCGTGTCTCAGAATAGCGAAACCTACAATGCAGCGAACTGAGAGAGCGGCATCACCTGGGTGGAGCAAAGCACTGGCGAAAGACTTCATAAGTACGTACCTGAACTCCCCTCCGGCAATGTGAAAGCGGTCTGCTGATGCGACCGGTAAACGGTACTATAGGGGCACTCGGGATACGCTCCGCGAAGTCCGAGGGTAATCTTGCAAGTTTCCCCGGTGAGGTAGTTAGAGACCCCATCGACCACGAACATGCGCTGTAATTTTGAGAAGATGGGCGATAGATTGGAGAAAGGCAAGCGAGGACGACGAAGACACTAATAGTAGCAAGCTCCTCCCTTTAAATCTAAAGAAAAGCGACGACGCGAAAGACAGGGCATAGATAAGGCAGAAGGAAACGAAAGGAAGGTGCTCCACGTCTAAGAATCAAAGCCACCGAACAAAGGAAGTACCTCCTGGGAGTCGAACGACACCACCCAGCGTGTCTTATGCTTCCCGTTGTGCAACTGATTTTGTAAATGCGTCTCACAGTGAGCTCGAAGAACCGAGGCGCCGCCGAGTTGTGCGATGTCTCGGGCAGCGGCCTTGATGACGACATGCTGAGCGGCCGACGCGGGCTTCATTGTGAACCTGGTAGTTGTTGGATGAGGTGGATGAGCTGATAAAAACTGCTGAAGTGGTGCGGTCTATGATGACAAAGTGAGCCGCTGAGAAGAAGATGAAACGACAGCCAAGCAATAGAGGGAAAGAAGTCAATGTCAAAGCCGGCGAGTACATACACAGTAAAAACATCCAGCAACACACGCAAACCCCTTACAGATAAATATTAGAATACATCTTCAGCCGCGCAGAGGGGCCGTCACCACAAACAGCCTTTCGGAAGTCTGCAATCGGAAATAACAGGTTCACGGATGAGTGGTCATGTGTGAAGCCATGCGGTAGACTGAGGCTGAGCTCGTCACTGATGACGAACACCCAGCTTCCCTCCTCACCCATCTCACACGTTTGGGGCAGAGTCTGCGACTCGACCACGAGACTCGTTTGAATTTTGACAACTGCCACGGCCGTCTTTGCCGCTTGTGCGGCTGCACCCCGCTGGGACGACTGTTGCGCCGCGAGCATCTTGTCGGTGGTTCACTCAGTTTCTCTTAGTTGCTTGACCTAAGGTATGCCGTCCGGCAAAGCCTTCCCTGCGTCTTTTGTTTGGTGAAGAGGAGTGATGACAGGCAAGTTTGCGACAGCATTGAAGTGTTGTGAATGTTAAACGTGCGATCTATAATCCAGGCGAAATTCGTCAAGTTCTTTAGAGCGGAACGCATCATCCAGATCGAGCGCATCATCCAGATCGAGACCAGCCTGAACTCTGATCCAGATCACCAGCACACTAACACCATCCAAGGCCGGACCTGAGAGAAGAAAACCACCCCAAAATAAAACACAACATCCACAAAGGCTCGACTATGGTCTCAAGACTTGAAGAATTTGAAAGCTGCGACAGAGCCATGACCAACGCCACCAACGATCTGTTCAAGAATTGCGCGGACCTGCACCGTAGACCTGGACACTGTGATCTTGTGAGGAATGAACTACCACGACGATCTTCGCAAGAGCTTACACTCTGAGACACCCAAAAAGAGAGCCCAGCACATCAATAGCAAAGAGCTCAGCGGCCTCCTTTCTTGTGTTAACCTTGGACGCTTTGCCTGGCTCTTGTCTTTTCGTTAAATGTAAACGCGTCCACGCTCTCATGTCTTCGATTTTTGACCGCGGTCATTTTTGCGCACGTCGTGGCGTGGAACGAATAAAATAGGAAGATATTGGAAACACCTGGAAAAACCAAACGCATCTTGCAGATGTGTAAGAGAGCCTACGAAGATGTTGGAAGCTCATTTTGCAACTCTGGAAAAGACTAACCAGCTCCAGCGTAGCCGGCTACTCGACCGGTAGAGTCAAAAAGCACGCAGGGTTCTGCTCATTCAGAAAGGCCTCATCTTCCACATCGTCCAAAATGTGGATGCCTCCGCGCGTGGTGCACCGGGATAGCGTGACATAGAGGCGACCATGACCAAAGGGAACACCTGCGACGAAGAGGCGCGCTAACGTCCGACCTTGCAAGGCATCGGCGGTGGCTATCTGTGCGAGACGAACGGGATACTGATGGATTAGAGAGAGGCGGGGAGGTATGCCAACGCTTTGCTCAAGCCTGCAGACAGGCCGGCGCCAAACGGTCACTTTTCGGGAAACGTGGCCCCGAAAAGTCGCGCCATGTTTTGGGCAAAGACCTGCACCAGAAGGCCACTTTTCGGGACCACGGTCCCGAAAAGTGGCCGTAAGGCACAAAGGTGACTCTTTGGACAAAGACCGGCGCCAAAAGGCCAACTTTGGGGACACGGCGTCCCGAAAAATGGCCCTAAGGCACAAACGCCACTCAGTTTGTCCAAGTCTTCTGCCAAGCCTGTGCCAAAGGGCCACTTTTGGGGACACGAGGTCCCCAAAAATGGCCCTAAGGCACAGAAGCCATCTTTTGGACAGAGGCCGGCCGTCAGGCAAGCCTGTGCCAACTGAGTAAAGGCGTGAACAATGAAGGCCCCGCGACGCCCTCAGAAGCCCGCCGGCTTGGTCCGTCCTGTGCAAAGCGCTGAACTTCCTCCCACATAAAAAGCGGCAGAACTGTAACCCGTCGATTTCTGCCTCCATCTTCACCCGGCAGAGGGGGAAAAGTTCACCCGACTCCACGAAGCGAATCCAGATGACGTCGCCGTCTTTCCGCAGAAAGGCGAACTGGCTCTTCGGCGGATGCTCCCCAATGGCCATCATAGTCGTGCCGAGTACTCCAGGACACCAATGCAAGACGCTGTAAGGAAGATCAGAACAGTCGCGGCCGGTGATGCAGTGGGTGAGAAGCGGCTCATCTATGCACTCGTTAGCGGCATGCTCAGCGTGCGCCGTCTTCCCATGTTGCGCAGCATAGCGGCCCACCGTCTCCTTCGCTACTCGGAGGCAAAGCACATGGGTCGGACATGCGACCGCCTCATCTTTCGACGCAACGACCTCCGGTGGTATGTCATGCAGCGGAATGCGTGGGAAAAGGTCGAGAGGGATGGACACGACACTGCTGTCACCTATCTGATTCAGAGCCATGCCCCACTCCACGTCATCCCTGTAGCGTTCGTTTATGGTCAAAACTTTGGCACGCACTGGCGTCGTCCCAGCGAGGTCCTTGAAATACGAAGCGGCCGAATGGGTTGCCTGCACCTCTTCAGGCGAAAGAAATCGTAGCTCATCCTCGTGATCATTTTGAGCAATGACAGCGGCGATCTGTGCGTCACAACCTCCAAAGAAGACCACCAAGCCACCCCAAGGGGCCTGGTTTTGCCGCGCTTCCCTTGCAACGGCCTCAGCCTCCATGAGGTCGCCACGCTTCAAAAGGTAGACCTCATCAATCCAGACAACCTGCAACCGCTGCAAAAACTCCACCCGCGCCGGCGATACTACCGGGGGCTTGCCCGGTCGGAGCCCGAAAAGCTCGTGAAAAGAAGCCACATTGGGAAGGAGGCGCGCGGCCTCCCAAGATGCTGCGCATGCTGTGGCCTCAGCCCCCTGATTGACAGCTTCGTAGAGGACACGCCAGGCGAGCACGGTCTTGCCTGTCCCTGCACGGCCACGGATGAGACACACCCCAGAACCAACGGCAAAAGACTCCCGCGCGAGGCGAAGCGCGTCCTCTTGGTCATGGTTGAGGACAATGTCAGCAGCCTCCGCGAGCTTTGGCGTCATCACCAACGGGCGGAGAGGCGTGGCGTCTTGCTGCGGTAAAGCGTGAACCTCTGCCCCAGTAAGCTCACGAAGAACGCGGAAGAAGGTGGGGGCTGTGAGCTCATCTCGACTGAAGTAGCCCTCCAGCATGCGAATATACTTGACGACTTCCTGCGTCGACTCCAAAGTGCGAAGGAGGTGGTCAACATATCCCAGGAGTGCGTTGCTGCTGCGGTGGAGAATCTGACTGCCCAACTCATAGAGAGCCTCCTGCAAAAACAGGCCAGCAGACTGCGCCCATGTGGGTGAGAGCTCAGCAGCCGAGACAGGTCCAGACTCCAGTATAAGCTTGCGCCAAAATGTCTCCTCAGATTTTGAGGAGAACCGTGGAAAACGCCAGACAAACTCCTCATGGTCCAAATTCCTAAAGTAAGAGACACAGCCACACCCGAAAACGTCAACAGTGCCGACGGGCTCCCTTGACGCTGACACAGAATGGCGGGACACTCGATAAAGCTGGAGAAAGTCGAGAAATGCATAACACTGGAGCGCTGGTGGCCGATGTAAATACGCGAGAAGCTTATTCGCCGGACGCCCGCCCTCTTGTCGGTTCTCCAGCCAATCCGCCGGCACCTCTTTGACCTTCAACAGGCGACCCGGCACCCCATTGGAAGGAACACCCGCACAACGGACCTCATAGCGGGAGAAATTCAACAAATCGAAAGAAGCCGCACCGAGGGAGACGATCCGCTTGGACTTGTAGATGTCACCCTCACGGTGTTGCGCCTCCCATTGGAGCAGCTTGCCCTCTGCAGTTCGCAAAAACGGTTTGATGGGGTACTTGAAGAGGTATTTGATGACGTTCACCCCATCGACACACAAGGGATTCACATGCGCCATAGTCCGCCGCGGTGCATCTTGATGAGAAGAGCCAAAATACTGCGTGAGTAGTTCAGAAAAAGGCACAGTAAAGCGGTCCCCTGTCGCGCGCGCATACTGGCAGAAAGCCATGCCATTCTTCGCCATCCAATGCGTTGGACTTGGAGCCACATAAGGAAAAAACTTACTGCAACGGCCGCCGACCTTAGTGCAGAAACCTTTGCTGCAGTCATGGGTGTGCGCAGTCCTATAAAAATCGCGGAAGGGGCTGGCGCTGGTGTTGGCGGAAATTTGTGACTCCAGGTGCCGACGGCTGCGGAACCGCTCACGAAGGCAAAGTAATACGTGGCCGTGTATGAGGCCACCACGCTGGAACTCAATACCAGAAGCACGCCACAAGAGAGGACCAAAGAGCGACCCGTCGTCACAATCTTGGAGGAAATGAGACCAGCGCACCTTGAAAATCCTATTCGTCAGCGGGGCAAAGGTGTAGGCGTCCTTCGGGTCCCATGTGGTAGCATCGAAGCCGAAGAAGATGAAAGCTTCGTCGTTCGTGTTCATGGTATAAGTTATGAAGATAGTCGGAGGGCCCAAGCGGCGGATGCACTCAAATGTGTCAGCACGTAGCGCAGATATATGCGCAACACTGCCGAGAAAAGACTCAGGAAGCCCGGGAATCTTGCAGCGTGCACGGTTTTCGATCGCGGCCTTCAGTTGTATCGCCTTCGCCAATCTTTCCGACTCCGCGCTCACCCAGCCACGGATGAGAAACATGCCAGCAGTCTCCAGGAGGTTGTAGTATCCCCATAGATCTGTGACCCTCCAAGCGCAGTTGGAGTAGAAATCGAACTCCGTCAACTCACTGCCGTCGATCCGGTCCGCCCGAGAGGCATAAGAGATAAATAAAGCCGGGAAGCCGAGTATATCCACTGCCGCGCGCGCCGTGGCATTATTGCACTGCGCAGCCAAATCACGGGAGGCGCCGTAAGCTGCTGGGAGGCCTGTAGAGAAGCGAGAAGAGAAGAGAGCAAGTCACTCGAAGGGGAAAGGCGGCAGCACTTGCACAGACTTGCTGAGGCTGAGAGTAACAACATACAACACATAAGGAGTCATACAGTGCATGTACATCACGAAGCAATGGAAAGAGACTGGCAAGAGTAAATAAGTAGAGGGCACCTGCATAAGCGCCGACGTGTCGAGGGTTCAAAGGGTCCAACACTCCAGCAATCCGGGGAAGGCCATCAACGTCAGCCATCATGTAGACCCCACGACCAAGCGCCGCATCGACCTCCACCTCCGTAGGGAAGACGAAAGAAAGCGGAAAAGCATGCCCAAACTCACGAAGAACCTGCCTACGCGGCACCGTCGTGCCTGCCTTCAAAGACCAGAGCAACTTGAGGCCCGTATGGCCGTCTCGCATGAGGTCCGTGTAGTGCGTTACCTGAGATGGGAGGCCTGTCACCTCGCGCCGTGCTATAGTTGAAGGAAGGGTCGCGACGGCACTACAGACACGGTTTGCCTCACTCCATTGGTTAGGCGTAAAGCCGTTGACCTTATCCGCCAAATTATTCGGAAAAGAGATGCGGATATCTGCGACACCGTTGCAACAGCATGGAAATCGGCCTTCGGCGCCGGTGCTGTGGTGGAAGAGGCGCACCTCCTCCGCAAAGAGCCGGCAACCACAAAGCGGACACTGAACAGGCGCCCAATCAATAGCAGGCAGCACATTTCGGATGACAGGCGCATAGTCAGCCTCATCCGTTGCCCATCTGTCAGACATGCGGCTGCAAGTGTTGCACGTAGCATCTTCCAAATCGAACCAGCACCCAGGCTTCAAGTCTCCACATGTGAGACACGCACGCAACCCAAGACCTTGAACATGCGCCATTTTCTGTCCCTCTTGGTTGTTCTTCTTCTCTGTGGAAGCAGATAGAGAGAGGCCCGAAAACTATGATAGGGCACGGCCCTCTTCTCTTGCAAGGTAGACCGGCGCACACTCTGCTACGCTCTGTGTCTCTTGTCGATCACGATCCAAAAGCTGACAACTTCCACGAGAGAGCGGCGTGAGGTGATGATCAAAAGTCACGACATCCCGAACACCATCAAGGAGAAGCACCGGCAAGCGAGTGCGAAGGAGTGCGCGCACTTTGCAGGGTTCGACGGTGAAGAGGTTGGAAAAAGGTGCCAACTTGTAAGGGGGTCACAAAGGGGGGGAGAAATCATAAGGGGTCGCCTGCTTCATTAAGGGGGGGCTGTAAGGGTGTCGCAAGGGTCTCAAAGGGTAACGCAAGGGGGGGGCGTAAGGGTCATAAGGGTCGGCGCAACGGTTCAAAGGGGGGGGGTTCAAGGGGGGGGTAAGGGTATTATAACGGTAAGACAAAATTTGTTATTAATATATATTAATTATATCTTTTGGAGTCGATACTGATCTGGGCATCATACCATACCATACTTGAGCTACTTGAGTACCTCTTTGTTTTCTTTTACCACTCGCTCTCGAGGAGGTACGTAGTTGTTCCAAGATGATCCACTCTTCAGTTGAGTTGTGAGAGAAGTGTGCGCGTATCTATTTGTTTTGTAACTACAAGTAATACAGGTAAAGGTACTTTACTAGTGCCCGCCCCGGTGACTTAGTAGAATACTAGTAGTAGATATTCTTGCTTGACATCTTCACGCGGCTCTAATCTTAGAGGTCGTGCGACTGGGAAGAGCCAAGAAATCGTTCCACTCGAAGTAGAGGGCGACGAAGCCGAAGGAGCAGAACCGCTTGGACGTGGAAAGCTGCGCTTGGTGCTCTTGGAGGATATTGATTCGACTCCAAAGAAATCACCGAAAGACCATGACCACAGTGGAAATGAGGCAACAACAAGTACGAGAGCCTCTCCTAGCAACTACATTGAGGAGCGCACGTTTGTGTTTGGTGCTGCTCCTCCTTCCTCGCAAGCCTCGTACAAATATCGGCACCTCTTCCGACAACAAGAGGCTTTCCTGAAGGCACAACCGACTGACGCGCTTCTGAAACTGGAGTACTGTGGACCAAGCATGCGAATTGAAGTGCTCAGTGTGCAAGTGAAATATACTAGTCGTATGAAGAAACAGACGACTAGCAAAGGCGCGATAAAGCAAGGCTTGGAAAAACTCGCACTAGTGGAGGAAGACTCGGACGATCAAGTGGAGTATAAAGAGGTGGTCATGTAAAATTGAACATCAACATGTTGTAGGGAGGGACCGCACTTGTATAGTTGTCATGTACTCTTGAAAATTTGGTAGGTAGTTCTCATGCTCCACTACAACAGAGACCCACGCATGACATGGCAGCCAGGACGGGCTTGAACAGACTGCACCTTTATAGGCGAGCAAAAGATATTTTTTTCATTTTCTGTAAATCTAAAGATTTTGCCAGTGAAGATATGGCATAAGTCACTGTCTTCTTAGAAATCTGTCCTCCGAGACGGTCGTGGAGTTCAGCTGCACCAACAAGGTTTAAGTTCTCAGGGCTTGGACAGAGAGTACTGCCAATGAGAGAATGAATTGAGTTGATCAGGTTGAGTGATCGTGAGAGTGAGGACGCCTGTAAGGTCGATCACATTTATTCTGTAGAAACAAGCTAGAACAACTGTACATGTGCCCACGCTAGTTCTAGCACGTGTACGGGAGACCATTTCGCGCTTCTTCAAGCGGAGACTCCTACCGTCACGGTACGCCTCTTTTTACGGTTGTTTTTTTGTTCTTCCGTTGAAAAAAGCTATCATCTTCCCCCGCCTCCTTCATCACGATGTTGCGTCTCTTCTGTTTCGTCCTGCTTGCCTCATCAAGCGTGGGTGGAGATGATGTATCTTCACGTGGTGACAAGGCGACCACTCTTCTGCACGACGGGATATCCGATTCGCGACTTCAGAGTGTCCTACTTAATGACGAAGATGATGTTGGCGAGGACACTGGGAACGATCATTTTTATACCGTCGATTCATCATCCGAAGACGAAAAAGAAGTCGAAGACGATCTTAGCAGTTATCCTAACCTCTCCGACTATCAGCCACTAGAGGACGAGTTGATTAAGAGTTTCCGAATTAGTACAACCTTTCTTGGCGCAACCGTCTTTGGCTCTTTTCATAGAAGTAAATATACTTAGGTAAGAAGCAGGGGAGGTTCTGAGGGATGTAGTCCCGCAGCCTCTAACAACTTGAGTAACTTGGTGGGCGGAGCAGGTGCCGAGGGAGAAGAACAAGAAGGTGCTGGAGTGAAGACCAATGATGACCCGGATCCGGATTGGAACTGTCAAGAAACGGACGACGAACAGATCTTCAAGTCTTACGCTCTGCACTACTACGAGACATCGTATTGGGGCGCGCCACAGTCGATTCTGTTTCATAGGATAAGTTATGGTTTGAGCAGGGGAGAGAAAAAAATTTTCTTAGAGCAAGTGAAATCTTGTCTTTAATCAGTCAAAAATTTAGTCCCTTCACCAGTCAGATTGAAAGCAGCTAATTGGTGAGTTCAAACTCAATAACCCAAGAGTATTCGAGTTCGAGTTGTTGTAACTTACCAGACATCTCAGGTGAAAAAGATACTAGTGGTTAATCACTTCTAGAGGTTTTTTGTATCGTCCAGTCTGGGAAGATCCTTTTACTCACACGACCAGCAGATGACATCTCTAATCCCTAGGCTCGCATCAATTGTATTGTCCGAGCAGTGTTTTGCAAACGATGCTTTTTAAGATGGAGGCCTCAGTGTTCAGGCATGATGCGGAGACGGTGATTCCAGAACAAAAGGGCTTGTACCACGACTATTTGCATCGGAATTTAGGAAAACTCAATCGCGGATGGCCCTTGGAGCAAGGATACCAGAGTTAAGGGTTGGTTAAAGGTGCTTTTCTTACCGCTTTTTATGCCTCTCCTAAGGGAGAAAGGCATAAGAAGCGGGGTAAGCGAGCACCAAAAACCTACCTCTAAGAGAGGATTTTAGATCTAGAAGATGCGGTGGCGAGTGATAAGCTGGAATACATTATGGCAAAGTAGAAGTCGAAGTCTTTTTGAAATAAAGTAGAAGTAAGTCTTTTTGAATTTTATTTTGTTCGTGCATCCTCATGCAGTGCAGAAGCGGAAGGAGAGGAGCTCTGAGTTCTCTCAAGAAAGATGCAAAATATCTTCTGTTTTTTGTTAGAAAGAACGTTTCTGGAATTCTAAGGCTCTCGAGATTGTTCGTGCATCCTTGACGAGGATGGCTTCGTATGGGTTGCATGACTTAGGCTCAAACACAAAATACTATTTCTAATCATGTTGGTCCTATTAATATTATGTACACTCACTCTCCATCTCCTGCTCTGCTTCACCTGCCATGATAATTGATGTGCACATCCCTGCCCAGTCCCAGTTCATAATCCCAATCGGCATGGTGATGAACTTTTGCTCGGTCAAAGATAGGCATGGGGAGGCTCACGGACTAGACTGGCTGTCGCCTGAGAGCGAGATGCTGACCGAAGACCCGGACCTGCTGAAGCAAGTGCATGTGTACATCTATCTGTTACGGCAGAAGGATTTTTATAGAATGCCGTAGCCATTTTGGCTCAAGGAATTCGTGGCCAGGTTGCGCTGCAATGAATCTTGATTGGCTTTTGCCCGTAAAACGGCGAAGGTTTAGGTCCAGCGACGCTGAAAGCGCTTATAAATAATCAGCCGGCTTGTTATTTTCCATTCCTCTTTCTATTTTTAGGCTATCCCTTTCCCTTCTTGCAAAATAGAATGCGTGGATCCAACGTGTTGATTCATATTGGACTTGGAGGGAGGTAGGGCTCGGTATGCAGGATCCATAACCTAAGCTAACCTGCTATTCCAATTCATTCTAATTCCCGTCGACCTGCCTAAATGCAATGCCCGCAGAGAGAATTTCCGACAGGTAGAGGCAGTTGTGGGCCAGCTGACGATAAAGCGATATACTGGCGCACCCGAAAGGGAAGAGCAGAGCAGCTACTTCAGACACATCGTCGACAATTACGACACCTTGGACGACTTTATCATCTTTGTGCATCCCGATGCGCCAGAGCACCAAGGTAAGGAGATGCGAGCGCTCACAGAGGGGTTGAGACTGTTAAAAACCAACTCGGAACTGGTATTTCCTACTGATTTTACAACTGTAGCAGGACTTTGCATACCCATTAGTAAAAAGAGCTGTCAGAAACTTACTCATTCTCCTTGTATGTCACATTTCGTTGCTCGAAGAGTTTCACTTAGTTTGTTGGGTCGGAAGTTGAAAAGTGTCCTAAAGATGAAAGTGACGAAGTACTAGTGATTCTGAAGGCGTACCGGTCGATCGTGTATTACCCGTTGGCTATGCAGTATATTCGTAGTCCTCTACGTACTAGTCGCACACGCGCTATTCACTTTAAGGCTACTTTTATCCAATCCATCTCTATACAAAAGAGATTACTCAATAGTATATTAACGGGATGCAGACTCTTGAGGGATCTCCAGTGAGATTTCTCAACAGGAGTATAGCGGGATGCAGACTCTTGAGGGATCCGATTTACTAGTATGTACGGCGATGATTGATCACTACCACGCGGCTTGGGATAACGCTAATTACTACTACGACGCTGGCGATCGAGAGGAAGACTGGCCAGCCTTCTGGAACAAGCTCTTTCTGTTCAAGGAGAACGGCGTGTGTCCACTAGGATGTCGCTGGAATGCAGAAATGGACGACGTTTTCACCTTTTATTAAGACAATGGTTTTCAGCTTTTTCTTTCAGAAGTTAAAGGTGCTTTTCATCTGATTACTTAAGTATATAAAAAGCAGGAACTACAACTAGATGTAGATCATGAACATCAGGTTGAAGTGTAAACAAGGAAACAAGTTCTTTGCGTCTCATCAAGTTTTTTAGCCACGGAAAATTACGACCTTCGTGAAGCTCTAATCCTCCATTGCGTCTCAAGCCATCGTGCGCCGCGACCGTGTCCGGATCCAGCCACGTGAGTGGTACGCGAGTTTCTTCCCCTCTTCTGTAGGCCCAGCCCGTGATGAAGACGACATCTCGAACTCTACGCCAAGCTCGTCGAATGCAACGGCACCTGTTCAAACTGACGAATACGAAATGATGGAATGGTTCTCGAATAACAGCGGACTTTTAGTTAAGGCGGCCGCTTGATATTTAATAGTCCCTTGAGCCCTTACATCACCGTCCTTAGTGACAGATGGGAAGGGCGCTTGCGAGCGCGTCACGTGCGAGGCGGTAGGGTCGCGCGCGAACATGAAGGGAGCGGGTGAATTGTTTGAGCGTGAATTGTTTGAGCTCTAATGTAGAGGCTGCGTGGCCAGTGCTGATGGGCGAGGAACTCACTGAAGTGTCTAGGGAGGCGGATGTGAGGTTGCCATTGGCACTCAAATTCGATATCATCACGAAATACAGCTACGGATGGAATGACGTTATATGATTCGATGTCCATTATTACCAAGTACAGCTACGGATGGAATGACGTCAGATGATAATGCTGCGGTTTTGGTAGAGCAGTGCTCACGAACAGATATAGCGAAATTCGAATGATCATGGTCTGGGAACGAAGCAAACAACGAAAGCGAACCTTTCAGCTGGTGACTCAGGACATCCGGTGAACGTTACAATCGAGGTGGAAATCCGCTAAACAGAAGACGCGCAGCGCGTGGTCGTGCATCAGCTGCCTGGTACAGTTTTTTCAGGCTTGTTTTCGGAACTGGTCGCTAAGCTCGTCTCTCGCCTCCTTAAGAAAGTACTGATTAGTTACCACTCGTCCAGAGAAGAAACACAAAACTTCATCGCGAAGAAGGCAGGTAGGTGGACACGGTCGCGGACACGCTATGAAGGACACTGCTTATCACTCTCGTTTGCGGAAATCTGACTTAGCCGCGTACCACGACGATCGACATACAATCTGCTCAAGTTGCCAACGTCGCAGCAACATGCTACCACAACATCACGTCCAAGAAGAAATAGAAGCTCATACAAGCAACTTCTCCACAATGCCATGTAACAAGTGCTTGCTACATCTGCCTTTCATGCCTCTACAGCGAGCGTACCTTTCCAAAATAATACTACAATCACAATATCTTCACCAGGCATATCGCGCGATCGAGTATTTCCCTTTGGCACTGCAGTACATTCAGAGTCCACTGAGAACCAGCCGGTCGTTGGAACATATCGCCAAACACAACGATGAGCATGATTACTGGCCAGATTTCTGTTAAGGCTTCCCGAAATCGAAACGACCCATCTTCTGTTTCTGAGGCATCCTGAAGAGGAGGCTTGTCAAGTCTTGCTTTTAAGTCCTCTTCTTGAGTGACGTTTTCTTCAAAGAAAGACATCCTGAAGAGGCTGGCTTCCAAAGGGGGAAAGGAAAACGGTACCAGGATGCATCTGAGGATGGATAACGGTGAGCGCTAATGCTGGCGGGTGTTGGTTGCGCGGCCGAACGCACTGTGTCCACAAGGCTGTGACTGGAGTCAGGAGATGGACGAATCATTCGCCTTTTACGTAGCCTCACAGGCAATTGTTCGACGTGACCGCATTCTGCGACATCCGAAGGAATACTACAGGGGGTTTATAGAACTCGACGAGGGGAGCAGAGATGGAGATCCTAGTATTGATACGTTGAGCGGAGTAGACGATCTTCTCGATACAACACCAGAAATCAGATTGCGCGAGCACTTGCGATGGATCAGCAACAATAGCGGCCTTTTAGAAGGCGCGTGGCCGGCGATGTTGGGCGAGCCTCTGCGGGAACCAACGCGAGACGAAGATACGAGACTGCCACTGTCTCTGAAGCTAAGCCAAACAACACGCTTCAGTTACGGAGAAACGGGTGTTATCTGAGCTGCTAGGACTTCGTGCAGGGCGTGTGTGGTGGTTGGGACGATTGTTCGGTTAGGCTAGAGTACTGCTCTTCAAAGAATGTTCTTGCTGCTCCTACATGATTTAAGCTTGTTGACGTCAATGCCAAGGGTCGTCGATGCTCAATCTAGCCTGCGCTTACAGAGGACGAGGTAAGTCAAATGACTACTCCAGTAAGTGGCCGTACTAGGTGCAGATCAGCATGAAGAAGCGCATCGGCATCCACGTGAACCCCGTTCGGTGACACATCCGCAACAATAAATCTGTCATGTCTGTTTCTGTGTCTGTGGAGGACGAGGAATCACTGTAATATGACTCTACAATAATATGAAATGGCGTTGTAGCCTTGAGACTGACGAAAAAGAAGTCGAACAAGCCAGTCCAGTAGGTCTTCCTGTATTGATATCTCATGATATCAAATGTTTTTTGAAGAAGTTAGTTTTTCGTCAATGATCAATTAGCATGATAGTAGAAAAATTATACGTATAAATGCGTACAAATGCTTCTCAACAACACACCCTAAAATAACCTATTCTCTCTCATTTGTCATACTTGAACCTGCTACAACGAACTACAATTTGACTTACTTCTGTTGTCACCCTCCATGAACGAAACTTCTTTCAAAAAAATGAACTACAGTGATCCTGATCATCAACATGGGCGAGGTCTCTCCCATCAAGCGCCATCAGTCGGAACTGTCACCTCCGACTTGTTGACCTTCGAGACCCTGCTAGTAAGCGTTGTTGCTGTGCTCTTCGTGCTCACCTACCTCCCGCAAACAGGTGGCCTGTCCGTTGGAAGCCGCAACAAGATCAAGAAGCCACATCTTCCAGTGGGACACAATAAAAGGACTACAACTTCTAGTTCACGAGGTGGACTACAACAGCATGATAGTGATACAGCACCACGTGGGAGACGTACTAGTCATGTTGGAGGACATCATAATACAGACACAGCAGTAAACGGTCCTAGTGGAGGGCAAGATCATGATACAGTAGTACTAAATGGTACTAACAAGAGGAACCCCACCTCCTCCGGAAGTGTCAAGAGTGTCCAAGGCCAGAGTCCGCAAGTGCGCTTATCCTCTTTGAGATTGACCGATCGCAGAAGTGTCGACGACGACGATGATGATTCAAATGACGACGCGGAATCGTCAGTTATGCTACGTCTACATCGTTTGGTTACCCTAAAAAACCCTGTGGGATAGAGAATTCGAGTCATCGGGAGTTGGCTCTTGGAGAACTACTGAACAAGGATCCTGATCTTCATCTTGTAACTTGTGTTTGCCTGTATCAGTAACTTCTTTGGCTTCTAATACCAATGATGAGAGCAGTGGTGCGTCTTCCGCCAGTACGTCTCTCGATGGCGCATCGCGAGGTGAGGAGCTCCTGCTACTCATTGATTACGGGCACCGCTATCCCATCTTTTGGAACATCTCAGCTTAGCCATGCAATTCTACTGCGAAGTTGTAAGTAGCTGAGAGGGGCACTAAGAAGTGTAAAAGATGGGCTCTCACTCTCAGGACCTCTAAATTGATTTCGATTCAGAGATTCGGGTTGGTGGGTGTAAAACTATGGCAGGGAGAATGCACTTCGAGGCAGAGCTTCTTCAAGACGGACAAAGCATCTGCACCGTCTGGAAATCATACCATCAATGGCGAAAACTTTGGAGTACTGTTCGTGTTATTTGTGCTGACTTTGATATAATTCTTGTTGTGATCATTGTTGGTGTCTATTCGAAGCACGATTCTAGAACAACAAGCAAGTAACGGAACTGTTGATGATAGGATATTACTCATCTAGGTCTATGAATCAATCACGACTCTAGTTTCAATACCTTTATTTTCTCTCCACGACTAGAGGTACAACTGGGAGCAAGCGGCATTGCAGTTTCTTGCGGCGAAAATTTTTTTCGTCAAAGGAGAGCAAAATAACCCAGCGTCGTGCGTGCCTTGAAGGTTTTGCAAGTGATTTGCGTGCTAATGACAGAAATCTGAATCTGGTAGCGGCTTTTTTCGGGTGCAATAATGTCAGGACGAACAGCGTCGGCCGGTTCGAGGCAGTTCTGAAACAAGTTAAGCATCGGACTAATGGTGGCCATTTCGGATGGCATAGTCGTGAAAAAGTGCAACGTGTTCCACGTCCTCTAATCAAGGGAAGCAACAGAGCAAGGCAAAAATCCCAAAGTCGTCCCCTGAGAAATTGCTACTGACAGCTGACGAGGATGGAGAGCAAGGTCATTACAACTCTAGCATTCAGGGACAACCGGAAATAGACAGAGAGTCGGGATTTCATCTTTTGGGGAAATGCTTCGTCTAGAACAATCGCTCGGATAAAGTTGTCAATCAAGTGTGACCAACGAAGCACGCTTTTCGCAAAATCCCAATGAAGATACTGGCCTCTGAAGATTCAACTTTTATATATATTTTTAGTGGATCATGTTCATGATTTCCAGACGCTCAAAATATTCTTCATAGGTGTTCGTGTCGGTATTTGTAGTTTACCTTGTGCTTAGTGGAGTCCGTACTCGTTAAACAACTCTAACTGATTCAATAGCGCTCTGTCGAATTTGTGTCACAATCTATCAGGGGACAGCCTGTGTCAAATTTGTGTCACAATCTATCAGGCGACAGCAAGAAAATGCCGTCCGCAGGACAGATTCCAGAAGATTTTCAGAACGGCTGCGACCATGAGGTGGTCGTATCCGATAGCGCGATGGATGAGAAAATTGCGAAGCACTATAAAAAAGGCGGCATGTTTGGTGCCATCGCGGGCGCCTTCGGCGACAAGAAAACGATGTACTGCCACCACATCACCAAGGATGGTATCATATCTGTATGACTGATAGTACTGATTTTATGCTTGTTGTTCCTCTTGTGCATGTCTGCTGAGAGTCACGCGCGGGCCGCTCAATATTGGGGAAGGTGGACGCGTGGCGAAACTGGCCGCGTCTGAAGGATGTCAGGCGCCCTGCATGCCATACGCTTACGGCACGAGCAGAGTGCCGGGCCCGACACCCCTCCCCCTCCAACTGCTTCGTTCCCAGACATTGTCCGGGCCGCGTGTCCTCTCCTTGTGGTACCCTCTCCCTCAACCGATAGTGGACAGCGAAAGGCCGACAGTGCGGCAATACAAACAAAGGGAAGGGCGAAGCATGTTCCCGCAAGGTCTTGGAAGTGACGCGCGTGGGGACGGGTGGAAGGGTGGGAGCGCAAAGTGGGCGCAGGGATTGCCAACCTTCTTTAGGAAATTTACGCGATACAGACAAGGATAAGGTAGCAGAGTGACGCGCCGCCAGGAGCAGTCGGGGCATCGACTTGAGATTCCCCGCAGTGCCGGGGCACATCGCGGCTGCTTAAGAGGTGCCTACTTTTTACCGCGTAAGCGCCCAGCTTCGCCGCTTAATCGCTTCCACGGGTCTGCCGGCGGGTTGGTGGGTTTCTTTGGATCTTAGTCGCAGGGCTGCAAATAGGTCACGGTTTGCAATCTCAGGCGCCACCAAATGCCAGCAAAAAACACGCGTGCGCATCACCTTAGAGCCCGGCTGAGGTCGGGCTCAGCACTTCGGCCAGGAGTGCGGGGGCGTTGAGCGACGTCCCAGCGCGGGGCCTTCTGGCTCTGTTTGTGCAGAAGAGGTGAAAGGCAGACGGCCACCCATATGCGGGCGCAGATGTCACCCCCTTCACAGGGGAAGCGTTTGCTCTTCGGTTCGAGCCAGCTGAGCTCGAAGATCCGCACTCTCGTGCTGATTTGCATGGCGAAGCCTGGCCTGTGGGTAAGAGAAAGCGACCTGAAGGAAAACGCTAGGAGAGTGCGGGAGGGGCGCGGGGGTGCAATAGAGGGGAGGGCTTTGGCTTATGTTATGCCATGGCGTCGCGCTAACCAGACGGACGGGGCCGGCGGGTGGTCTCGCTTGGGGGTGGGGGTGTGTGTTACTGGACGCCGATGCTGTGGCCAGTGGGATGAAGCTGGGTGAACTCGTGGATAAAGACGCGAAGCCCGTCGCGCTGGAGGAGGAATTAAGCGCGCTGCGGGTTGTCATCGCGGAAAATGGTGAGGATTGCGGCAGCAAGCGGGGGCCTTCTTGGTATTGTGATGGTGAGGTGGCCAGCTGCTGTAGTAGATACACCTCGCTCCGCGACCATTGCCGCCAGCCGTTGCGGCTATGCTAAGGATCTGATCGCGCGCGGCTTCTTCTTACCTCCGCTGCTCTTACCTTACCAGGCGCCGGCAACATGGGCGGGCCAATAGTGTGCCCCCCAGCTGCGGCGGCAATATGAGACGCGCTCGCGCGCGCGCCTACGTACTATGAGGTGGGTGAGGGAGGGGGCGTGCAAATTTTAAGTCGGTCGCTCCTACTTCTGGCATTTCTGACGGTGGAACTGGTTGGCTTGGTTGCAGTTTAAACCGGGCGGAAAACCAACCCAACGCCGGGCCTCATACTTATTCGCCTGCCGGGGGTCTCTGGGCGGAGTGAGTGGGCCCGGCTGGAGCTGAGTGCGCAGTGCTCGGAGATGGAAACGAACCGCGGCGCGCGCTCTGCGTGTTTGTGTGTGTCTTCGTTTTGCGGGGGTTTTTTGTTATCGTGCCACTTGCATCGATGATGCCGGGGGGTGAAGTTGTTGGCGTATTCTATTGCCCGCTGCCCCCGCTGATAGTCAAGCCAGAACGCTTAGCGCTCCAGCGTTGTCCGCCTGATTTCGTTGAGACTTACTTTGGCCTGGGCATATACTTCGTTGAGACTTCTACTATACTTCCAACATCTACACTTGGTTCATTCTAGCATCAACAGGTCTTTTCGCCACCAAGGCTGCGGCTGGTCGCGTTTTTACGTCTGAGGACGAGATCTGGCAGTTTCTGGGGAAGTGTAACAAATGTACCGGCCGTTTCTCCCTGAAAGATTGGCAAACGAAGACCTTAGGTTGTGGTGGGGTCGTCGAGAAAGACCACGATAACACCTGCAATAAGGAAACTTGTTTGTTTATTGCCAACGGTTTCGCATGTCCAACGCCAAAATGGGCACATAAGTAATCTAGATGAAGTGGATCTAATGTAAGTGTCCGATTGATTAGATGAGAACTAGAGCTACTTATGTCAGTTTGTAATGCAAGAAGATTGAAGATGTATTGAAGTACAACCTACTCCCGAGTACGAAGACGTCTAAACTACTGACTCATTCATACAGCATGATGTACTAAAAAAACTAGATGAACTAAACCTTGGATGAACTCATGAGAAAGGACGTAAATTGTTTGTTAGGCATGATGAACAGACTTTTTTATGAAGCATCAGCAATCTATGTGTAAAAAAGGTTTGAGCACTCATATTCTTTGTTTCGTTTTGATTATTTGCTGCAACCTAAAAACAAATGTGTTTATGATCAACATTCGGCAATCATTGTAAGTTTGTATAGGAGCTTTGACAAGACGAACCTCAACAACGGACTATCCACTATCTCATATGCGCCTCAACATAGTCATCGTCCTACTTTGCATGCACAGGAGCCCAAGTCGGTGTTATCAACAGCAACATATTCTTTGTCATCAAGACATGCTGGATCAACTGGTACTATCATCATGCTAGTAATACTGGAAGATTGACCACAACATCATACTGACCTTATCAAGAAATTGGTGTAATGCCACACCTTGCAGAAAAAAAGATACAACAACCTACTACTTCTGCTGGCGGGTAAGGAGCCAGCATACTATTTATGTTGGCCAGGAGCTACGATGGGGCTGCTAGTCGAAGGCAATCTTGCTTTCGCAACTGTGTTTCTGCCTTTTGCGTACCCGTGGACTGGTGTCAGAGCATCTTCATCTTGTTTAGACCCACGCGTCCATCTACCGTGTACATTCATCTGGCCAGTGCAAGAAACCATGCTCATCTCGATGCCCCAGGCCTTCTTCTCGTGTTCTCTTGGTCAATGCTGTACGATCCACTTCGAACAATGATCTTAATCTTGTATGTTTTGAAAAGAGACTGCTTCAGGATCATTTGCTCGGCGTCTTTGTTGTTATTCTGCTTGGGCTTTTTTTCATATTCTGACTCATCGATGGATGTTGCACATTAAGTTTCTAATAGGAAGAATGTGATTATCAAATTGTTGAAGCGCATAGTTTTAATAGTTGTATCTTCGATCATCGATTATATTAAGGTTTCCTTTGTGTAAGTTAGCATCCATTTTTTAGGAGAAGACACTGAGCTGGTTAATATCGTAGACAAAAGAACTTGATCGAAAAAGTACTTATACTATTTTCATGCGATAAATATTTAAGCGCCGGCAGCTATCAGTTTGTTTCGTCCGTTTTTTTCATGTCCTTGTCCTCTTGTCAATGTACAAGGGATACAGTTCTTGCTACAAACAACGAGGTAAAAAATTCGTCATCCGGCCACGCGCTTGTGTGTTTCGCGTTGTAGATCGAGGATCGATCGCCAAGACTTCCGAATCACTGTTGTCGACCTGCACTTCCCTTCAAGGTTGCTCATCGTCCGAGAATACTCTTCATCACTGCCGAAGATGTTGGCGCGCCACTACTTGGTTGTCTCGATTTGGTTCGGCAGCTTTTCTCTCGTCGCAGGTCGCGGGACAACCTCTGTCGATTCCGAGGCGAGCGCCGCGCGCGGAGGGCATGCAGGTGGCTCAAGAAGCGACTACTACGATGGACGCGGCCCCACATCTGCTAGGCCTGAGGTACAGGAGGTGGAGGCGTCTCTAGTTGGCTCTGAAGGAAAGCATCTTCATGCAAGTGGACGAGCACGACACCGAGGAGATGATGTTGGCCAAGCGCTAGAGGGGCCTGATCACAAAAGCGCCAAAGCCCTGTTGGAACAATTCCGTCCTCAGTCGAGAGGAGACGGAAGCTCCGAATGTAGCAGATGCAGCTCCTCGCGTTTTTCTACTACTGCATCCTCAAGTTCGTCAAGCTCCATACGAAGCCGAACACTGACGAAAAGTCAAAAATGTCATAAGTTAAGGCTCAGCTTTCAATGGTCATTGGAGTTGGTCACTGAGATCCATCGAAGAGGCGACCCCTTGCGAGAACATACAGGGGAAAACGAAAACGACGGGTGGAAAGGGGAGAGCTTTGAAGGGGGTCTCTTCCGTTCAGAGTCAGCGACCAATGAATGCGTTAAATAAGGACACTACTGCTTGTGCTACACGACAAGAACAAGGTCGTGAAAATTGTTCTGATTTGCCCGACGACAGCAGTGGAGATCTTGTACCTGTAGGATTTCCTCTTACTAGTTGTACAAGTACAGCCACGTCGTTACAACTAGCATCTTTACCCAATGTTGCATCACCTTCTCCTTCGCCGACTCCTTCACTGACAGCGTCTGGTAGTGACGCCTCGCCAGCACACAGCGCACCACCAAGTCCACGTTCATCACCCGAAAGGCAGAGCAGCCCAGCGCGAAGCTCGAAGGCTCCTAGAGGACGCGTCGTGGCTCTCTCGGATCATCAGGATGTCGATGTTGGTGAAGACGAGGAGGTGGTTTCAACATCTTCATCCGCGACCGCGACATGCCGAATTCCGCCACCAGTTGGGAGTGCTTCATCCCCCACAGGTGAGAAGGAGGTGGAAAAAGACTGCAGCTCCTGTCCGCATCAGCGCACGGAGGTGGGTGATGAAGAAACGACAGGAGCTATTAGTTCTCTACACCTGCATCCTCGAGTCGCGGTCTTAGCATCAGTCGCTGAAAATGATGTGTGGGAGGCCTCTGAATGCGATGGTATGCCTCACGGACAGCGGGATCAGAGCAAGCTTACGGAATCGATGCTGCGAGATCAGAATTGGTAAGGCAGTAGCTGGGAAGAACTGTGTCATTCCACCATTGCTGCATGAAGCTCAACTAGTATTTCTTTGTAGAAAGCATTTTATTTCTTGCTCCTCATGATAGATTCTGTAGTTCTCAGTACACACTTTCAGGTATAGGATGCAGATCTCTGCGGACTCATCGATAGTAGCCAAACAGCATGCTCTTGGGGAGAAGACGTACACGACTACTCTATTGTAAACTTATACTATTCAAGTCGGATTTGCATTTTTGTCAAGATGATTCATGATTGTCTGTAATCAAGGAAGAGGAACTTTTTTGAGTGAGTCATTACTGCGTATTTTTTCCGCCGATGTAACTGTCTCCAACAATCATTACAGACTATCGGCGTGTCTTTCATTCAGGTCACTTTTCGTGTTTTATCGACGAACTCGACGGGACAAGGAAAGTGGGAACACGAATCGTGGTTATTGGGTGCTTCTAGCAGTGAAAGACGCCGCGGACTGCGGCATAAAGCAACAATCATGTTTACCAGAAGCGGAAAGCTCGAGTGTATTAAAGAATTTGCGTGACTTAACCAGTGCAGATTTCATAACGGATTTTCGTCAGTGCGATGAACGATTATCCTGTCAATCTACGACTATAACGTAGTAGACGTAAGCAAATTGTTGTTCTTGACGCTCACGCTCGTGTCTAAGACATCCGTTCTCATAAGGCCAGCTTAATATCAATTCTCTCAGATATTTCTCCGTGACAAAGACGCCGATTTTGCAGATGCTGCGGGAGCAGTCCAGGATTGGTTATCCTCAACGTCGTTCGATAGTTCGTCCTGTACAAGTGTCCTGTCGAGACGACCTGCTTCATCTTCCGTGGGAGTGCTGCCTGCGATGGAATTCGTAGATAATGACAGGGAGAAAGAGACAACTGCATACTCTTCAACAGCCGGTGGTGTGCGTTTTTTGCGCAGCTACTTTGCTTCCGGAATACAACAATTTTCGCGTTTGGTCAACATTTTTCGCTGCTCCGCGTGTCGTCGCAGGCACCACAGGATCCACGTCCAACCAGGACGCATCTTTCTACCACGCGATCAATCTGTTGCTGGACGAGGGAAAGCTTCTACTGATGCAAGAACTTGCTCTACGAGTTGTATACAAGCAGAGTTGATGGCGGAAACTACTCAAGATGAAGCAGGAAGTGGCTTGCTCCAGGTGTGTTATTTTGAGCACTGCTATTCGCAGAAAGATGAAAGTACAACGACACATGTCTACCGACCGACGGATCTCACCGCGGTGGCCAAGAGCAGTGCTATCTTGCGGGACTGCATTGAAAGCCGTCATCAATACAACTGCCGACAACAGAAGATCAGAGCAGGGAGTACGGTATCTGCTGTGGAAGATGACGCCAAGGAGACAACGACTAGTACTAAAGCTAATAAACGTACCTGTACCATTTGTCCTTCGTGCAATGTCGAGCAGCGACTAGTAGACGTCAGCGATCCGAGAATCCTCGAAACTGGGGAGACCTTTCCGTACCAATGGAAAGCAGATCTACGCGGACGTGCATCCTTTTCGGTGATTGTGAGTATGAACGTACCCCTGTGCCGGCTGCTGACTCGTATGTTAAGCCCAGTGTATCACTATCCCATGTGGGCTAAGCTTAGTGGGCCCCCCTTGATTCAAAGGGAGAACCTCCAAGGGGGAAAAAGGGCAGCTCACTGAACTGCGGATAGTGAAAAACTACCTTTAAGTATGGGTTTGGATGGCGCTCTTCGTGCTGTGCCATGGATCGTTCCTAGCGTTCGATGGGTCACTGAGTGGCCAGTGTGGCGCTTCCCAGACTTCACACTACCGAAAAAAACTCAACGGCGGCGCTTCATGATCTCCCGACAGCACGGACTAAATGCATTAGCGACTAAGGTTGCCGAAGAAGAAAAAAACCGACAAGAAGCGTCGCAGGACGAGAGAGCGGAAGCTTCATCTTCAGGTGGCACTAAAAATGTTATCGTGTCCGGAGCTGCTAGTAGTACATCAAACGAATACTACATAGAAAGGACGACAGAACAAGACTTAGAGCAGGGTCTAGGTGATTGCAGTGATGAGCAGGATCATGTTTGTGCGAATACTAAACTGCCTTCGTGTAGCAGCAATTGCAGTTTATCGAGAAGACGCGCACCGTCAAGGCGATTACTAGAAAGTCTACTTCGACTCAGAGACGGAGTCAGACGAGAACGTGAACAGCCTGCGGAATCGGAACAACTGCCAGCACTAGAACGCGAGCCTCCAGCACTAGAAGCGGAATGGATCACACCAGAGGGCTACGATCCCTCTGACGGGAAAGAAGTGTACCTCTACCTGCATGGGGGCTCGTTTGTGCTGCTGCACCCGCGACTGGTGCGACCGTTCTCCCATCGATTCGTGAATGAGTTGCAGGCGCCGATGCTGATTCCGAAATATCGCAAGGTGTACGATTTCAAAGGAGGCGTACGTTTTTCTGATATGGTGGAGGATGCACTTCGCGCTTACCTCTACTTATTACGGCACGCCGTAATTTATCTTGAGAGCAGGCATCTTTGGCACGTTTTCAAAGGAAAAGTACGTCCAGAAACGCCTTCCAAGATGAATTTAGGCAAGCTCTAAACTTAGTAAAAGAGCTACGCATAGCGCCGCGTCGAATAGTTCTCTGTGGAGACTCGGCAGGCGGCGGTCTAGTGGCGCAATTGCTTCTGCGCCTGCGTGACCTCTACTCTGGAGAGAATGAAGCTTCAGTCTACCAGATGATGAAGCCGGGAGCTGCGATCATGTGGAGTCCGTATCTGTCGCTAGACGAGCCAGGTCTGGGTGTCCATCCGGTAGGGGAGAAGGATGGCCGAAACGATAATCTTGGACACAGTGCTGCATCTTCCAAACCTAGACAAGCAGAAGAGGATAGCAGCTATAGTACAGTGGCTGAAAATTCTTCATCGGCTACTAACTTCTCTATTGATGCTGGCGGATTGCTCCGACGAAGGAGGCCGGCAGGCAAAGCGAGAGTCTTTAGCGATGAAGATGCTCACGAAAATAACGGACAGAACGAAGCAGGGAAAGAATCATCTGAAGCTGCAAGTGCAACATCAGATATAATTAGTGGTAAAAGCCGCCTTCCGCGTAGTGTCGATTCTGTGACGACTGACATCATCACACCTGCTGCCATCACCATCATAGGTGACCTCGTGGCTCGCACTGATTGTCAAAATGCAGCTGGTCGTGAACGAATGAATGACATCAAAGAATCTAACCGTCAAAATCGACAGACCAGTACTAATGGATGTCGTACAAGTGGACAGACTACTAGCACAACTAGTGGTTGTGGTGGTCGCAGGGGTTCTGGTAAGCAATTGAGCCGCTCAGTGCTCCGCGACCCACGTCTTTCACCGATGTTTGCCGACTTCGCCGGAGTCGACGTGCCAGTTATCATCCAACTAGCTACGGCAGAGGTCCTGCGGGATGACATTATTGCCTTCGCTTACAAACTATGCGAAGACTACAACCGAGCCGCATCTAGCAATTGTTCTACGTTTTCAGGCTGTTCTTGTTGTACTAGTGGTAGTACTAGCTGTTCAGAATCTTTAGATGATCCTCAACTAGTACCTCAAGAACAAGTAGGGCAAGGTTCCTCTACCGACAAAGAATCTTCTGCGCCAGTGTGTTTGGAGATAGCAGACGGACTAGTACATGCTTATCAGGTTTGGTATGCTGCCGCAGCGCATCCAACGAGTCGCATGTCGTGGCGTCAGGCTGCGCAATTTGTACGTAAATCAATGAGAAAATGTTGATATGGGACATGGAACTGGAATAAGGAATTGTACTTGGAATATTATATATTGTTCCAAAGGTCCTCCTCCTCGTATGTGTGAGTGTGTCATGCATACTTAATTAAGTTTTTCCATAGGTGGGAACAAAACTGAAAGAAGTTGGTTTATCCATCTAGCATAACAGGTAGGAACCTTCGATCCTAGCTACCCAATGTTTCGCAAGAGTTAGCAGGTTGGCTTTGATGCTGTTCGCCAGTGCAACAGGATACTATCATTATGCGAGATTGTGGTTATGAAAGGCCGCTATGCATCAATCATCGATAATGAAGTGTAGCACATAAATGTTTTTACGGTTCTTCATGAACTAGCGACTCAGTTACAAGAAGGTGCTATTTGGTACGAGGCGTACTAAGCAAGGGAGCAATTGTATGTTGCGGTAGTAACTGCTCGAGCTCAAGGGAAGACCCGCGCGCCAGTCTCTTCGGTAGTAAAATGCACGTTTAGAACTGTTCTTACTGTTCGGTTGTCGTAAAACCTAGTGAAAGTTGAACTTGAAATCAGGACCACGCGCTGCAATGGAACCACTTGGTCTTCAATATTCTTCAATTATAGAAAAATAACGACAACATGATAGATAGAAAGTTGTGATTATATAGTGGCAAAAGAATAAGTAAGAGGATAAGATAGAAGAACGGTCATGGGTATCGGTGGAGTGTATAATGGGATGGTGAGACAATCAGGCTATACTAGCTGCATCATAGACTACGGCCTGTTTAGCTGAAGCTTCTGCTGCCTCTGTCGAGTCTGGCCTCCCTCCGTGGTACATATATATTAGCGAGAATGATTCGTAACCGCTCGATGATGAGGATCGGATTTTATGATATTCAGGACCACGATCATATTTAATGATGTTTCTTCCTAATATCAGTGCAGTTCTACTTGCAACCCTTTCTCGAATATTTTCTGTGCCAATGCGCATAGAAATCGTTCGTTATTCCATGATGTCGATGTCGACATAAAGACTAAAATATAGAGATGTTCATCATGTTCTAGAGCGTTCTTCGTTAACACACACTACTAAACGCATAGATCATTTTTTTACGCATCCGCATTTAGATTATAGAATGAAGTGTTCCTCTATTTCGTTTCGAGTTGTTTTTGTACAAGGAGTTCAGACTCCTGGATAGATAGTATCATACGCATGCACTTAGATGATCGTGTAAAAAGGATTTCCATAAATGTCATTTTTTTCTTGGCGTGTGACGCCGTTAGAAACTCTCTCCATCCTCTCGTCGTCCTGCTTGTTGCCATAAAAACATCTGCTAGATTTTCTGCTCCCTCCTTGTTACACGGGATGTTCTGTGTAGTTGAGCTACTAGAAGTGAGTTGATGCAAAATAGGAAAGCATCCAAGGCACAGGAGAAAAACGGGACCAGCATCGCACCGGAAGCATTTGGAAGGTAAAATATGACACCTCACTTCGAAGAAAAGTGCAATTAGAAGAAATGCGTTTTCCTGGCGGGTTTTTATTGTGAGACATTTAATGATGTTGTTTTTCAATTTCATGTTGATGTGTATTAAAGGTAAAGCTAGAATTAGACGGCGTCGCGGACGCGACTGGAGATATAGCCTCAATTAAGGTGTTCCTGATCTACCTGTCTGCGCGCAAGGCAGACGGCGGGTGTGCAGGTCACAAGGATGGACGTCCATCTCCCAACCAAGATAATTTCCGACAAAGCATGTTGGTTTCATCTCTCCTGATGTTTCAATTTCAACTGTTTCACGAACAATTTCCGAATGAGTAGAGGGAAAAAGTAACTACTTCAAGTTGTACAATCAAGAGATCGAGGACTTCAAGATCATTAAAACAAGAGTACTATTAAGCGAGTAGAGATCTTTAAAACAAGAGATCGCCTTCAAGATCATTCAGGATGAAGACACGTCTACCAGTCGTTCTTGCCAGTATGGGGGGTGCAGCCTTGTGCCTCCTGCTGACGTGGCCCATCGCCACTGCGGCCGCCGCCGCGCCTAAAACTCACTCAGAAAGTCCTGGATTTCTCGCCAAGTTCTCGACTACATCTGCGGCTGAACCGAAAAAACATGCTCCGTTTCTGCGCCTGCCGCAGAAAAAAGTGGTCAGTACCAAACCGGCATTGGCTTGCTTTCTGCCCGCGTTGATGGCTCAGGTGTGCTCTGGGGAAGTTCACTTTCCTCAAAAATATTTATGACATAACCCATATAAATATTTATAGGTAAACCAGTTAGACGGGGAATTTCTTGATCTTGGTCATTCACCCACTTATCTTCACCCTCAACTTCAATCTCCGAGCAAGCGTTTGTTCAACTTAGTGTGACTTGTTTAATATCTGCAACTCCTAGGTGGAATGAACTCCTGCGTACTCCTTTTTAGAAATATCACTCCAGCTCCAGCAGCATAATCCGCCAACTTCTTCTAAATTTTATTCCGATCAAGGCCGATTCCTGTCCAGCGCCGTACCCTGATTTGGATATGTTGCAGGATGACACAATCGAGTCGGAACTCTTCAAAAAAGACTGGCCGCAAAACGCCCTCTCAGGAACTTGGTGGGAATTTTTGTTTTCATTAGATATTGTAAGGTATAGACTCGTAGTCGTAGAATCTTGAATTTCACTGGTGATCGAGTTCGTATGCTTATGCAGGAATCACTCTGCTCTCCTGTTTTGATTCACAGTCTCAATCTGGTTACCATGTCACTCACGATGAAGAACATGATGTGCACCACAGGCCAAATGAGAATTTGTCCGCTAGGTATGTCGTTGCCGCTGCGGACGCCTATCAGCCGACAACGCAGTACAAGTGCACGAGTTACAAGTATTCCACTCCGGACCTCGAACATTAAGGGAACAAAGTTTTTCTTTTCATCATAACTTGAGTTTTTTTATAATAAATTTTCAGCATCTTCCATGAGAGTCGGACTTAGACTTTGAGGCTAGCCGAAGCTTGGAAAAAGTATACATGCACAGTGAGGAGCGTTAGCTTCGTCGTGTTTCTTGTCCTTTGACTCATTGCGACTGTTTTACTCAATCGCTCTCTTTTTCAGTAAATAAGGACGAGAGCAAAGTCCGAAAACATCAAATTGTGCGTCATCTAAGAAAAAGACCCACGCGGACAACCCACCGGTATTTGGCACAGCTTCGATATGAACGCCCAGCAGTGGAAACAAATTCCGCTTCAAGGCTACCTGCAGCGCCGCTCGAAAGATGGGGCCCTGATTCCTGGCGGCTACGAGGAAATTCCTCTGCATCTCGGCGCCAAGAGTGACAAATGGTACTTGGGGCAACTAGACAAGGTTCTACCGTCTGTGTTTTTACCGGTCAGGGGCTTTGCTTGCTCCTGACCATACCGCGGGGGGGGATTCGGATTGCGAGTGGGGCAGGAAACAGGCGGCGCTATTGGCTGGGGCGGGCCTTGCGCGAACGCACGGCGCGACATCGTTATTCGCCGCGGATTCAACTGCAGACCAGCAGCAGAGCGCGCCGGGCGCCGGGGTGTCTTATCAATTGGCGGGCTGGGGCGCCATTCTTGGACGGATAAGACGAAGCGGCGAGGCAACAACCGCGAGCGCGCGGGGTTGCCTTTGGGAGACTTTTAGTTTTACCGCCGTGGGGGGCCGTGGTGTGTGGGCGTGTTTCTTGGCTGTTTCGCCGTTTCCGTCTGTCATGGACGACGCTTTACGAATGGGGAGGCGCTGCGTCTGTGTATGTAAGGCGGCGGGCCAACGCCGCGGGTGGCTTGCGGCCTTAGGCTCGTGGCCGCTTGGGGCATGTGAAGGTGGGCAATCCTTTAGGGGGCCCGAGGCTCTATATGTATCAGTCGGCAGGGTGGGGCATCGACGAGGAGAATCAGCCGCGTCGCCCCCCGAACGTGGCCTGCAGGGGAAGCGTTACCGCTGGAAGTGGCCACGTGCATGGGGGCAGCTTGGCCATAGATCCTGCAAAACACTCAAAAAAACAAGGAGAGCCAGGACGACGAAAAAACGGGGGGCCCACGTGCTTCAGCTTTTAACTTCGCGGGCAAGCTGATCAGTGGGGGCGCTCGTCTTTCCCGCTGTGACAAGTTTGCGCGCAGTGCTCTAGCTACGTACTTGCGCGCAGTGGGGCACGGCATTGCTTCAAATGTGGCCTCTTCTGATTTAAAGGCCTCGCGTGTGAGAGAATGCGGCGGCCTGGCTTGTTGCTTTGGTGCCACTTGTTAGATGGAAAACGATGCGGCGAGGGTGCTGGCGTTTATCCACCGCACCTCGAAAGAGAGGCGTAAAGCAGCGCGCCGCGCCCGCGATCAAGAATGAAGGCGCGCAAATGAGTCGGCAGCTGGGGCGCACGGGCTGGGCGCCATATGCAATGCTTGGCAGACAGCGAGGAAGTGGAAGGCAGGGGACGCGGGGACGGCTGGGGGACAGGTCGGCGCAATAGCGGGAACGGACGGCGGCGGCGGCGCTTGTACGTAGATAAAAAGGAAAAAAATGCCACGGGGTGGCGAGATCGCCAGAGAGTTGGAAGGGGGCGCGCGCCTCTAAAGTATGGGGCTGGTCGTTTGGGCGGTCAAGTCTGAGGGCTGGCGAAGTGTGGCGCCGGTCGCGTCGCGCTCATGCAGATGCCGAAGGCGTGCGGGCTGCCTTCTTACTTGGGTACGTAGGTGCAGCGGGCTGCTAATTAGGTGCAGCGGATCGGCGAACTTGAACGGAGTAGCTTGCGCGGGTCCGCTGGTTTGGGCCAATTAGTCGGCCGCTGGAGCAATGGGCCAGCCGGTTCGACTTCGAACTGACTGGCGCAGCGAGATGCCTCCACTGTCTTAAGGCGAAAAAGAGGCCAGTAGTGTTATCGGCGGTCCATTGTGAACCCGGAGGGGCACGAGCGTCAGCCTTTGGGTGACGTGTGGAGAGAGGTACAGGCGGAGACGCAAAGGCCGGGGCGTCCCAGGTTCGACAAGCCTGCGCAGTCGACAAACATGCGCAGCACGTCCCAGCCTTGAGAAGCGTAACAAGCTCCCCCGGACTGTGTTCAACTCGCGCAGTACACAACTGCGGCTAAAGGTTTAGCGCATAAATCATGTGGTCCGTCTCCCATCTTACTAATTTTACTGCATTGACAGGAGGACGCCGCGGCGTTTCGTTTTGGTTCGTAAAAATTTTTCGGTGTGGAAAATTTTTGCGTTTTTTGTGTCAGGGTCGATGTTGGACCTGGCTCGTTTTTTTACTATTGGGAGGCACTTTTCAGCCTATAGTACGAATAGTAGGCGCAGTACGTATAGTAGGCGCAGTACGAATAGTACGAATAGTAAAATTTTTTCCGTGGAGAAATTTTTACTATTCGTACTATTCGTACTGCGCCTACTATACGTACTATTCGTACACGAAAACACACAGGCTAAAGGTGCATCCAATAGTAAAATTTTCTACAAAAAAAAAAGAGCCCCGGATGGCATCGCAATAGTAAAATTTTTCCTGAGAGGCAAACCCACGCAGCAGCGAAGTTGGGGGGTTGCCGTCTTCTCGTAGTTTTTTTTTGTTCCTATTTTCGTGCCCCTGTCAACGCAGTAGAATTAGCATGCTGGGAAGCTGGGCCACATGACATAAAAGTGGCGAAATAAGAAGAGGCGGCCCTGGGGGCAGTCATTGAGCAGGGTAGCCATTACTTTCGTCGTGTTCTTTAGCTGTCTCGGATCGGCTTGCCTTCTCTCGCATTGGTGCCCCCCGCCCCTGCGTGACGGGATTGCTAGCAGCTGGGCTCTTCTCTGGCTGGGGAAGAGGGTGCCCCGGAGGTGTGCCAGTGACGGCGAGCGGGTGGGTCACTGTTTGGTAGGCGGCTGCAAGTGCAACCGCGCTGCAGTCGCTTCTCTCGCGCAGTTTTGTGAGGATAGAGAGCGGGGCTCTGACGCTCAGCAGATACACGACAAGCGCAAAAGCCTGCCCAAGCTGCAGAGGAGAGGAAGGGCGCGCCTCGCGGGTCGCAACCATTATAAGAGCGGAGCAGTCTAAGCTGAGGAAGTCCTTGCGTGTTGTCTGTCTTGAAGGCCGGCCATAATTTATCTCCACTCGTCGTCGTCGTAGTCTTTTCTGTTCTGTTGTGGAAGGAGGAGGCGAGAAAAGCAGACGGCTGGGAGGTGCTTCGCCTTCTTCATCAACGGCGAGACCACCTCCAGCAGCCAACGCTGGGAGATTCAAGCATGACGGGCGCACTTTGTTGGCCGCGAGGTGTTTCGCCTGCGCGCTGCGCAGATTTCACGAAGCTTCTCCGTCTCCGAAGCCAACGACTAACAGACCAGCCACTCGCCTCTATAGTTAGAGGCAGCCCCTCGCCGCGCAGCCTGGGACACCAATGCGAACGCTTCGGCGGACGGAGCGTTGGCTTTTTTATCCGAAGCGAGGAGCGGCCGCGCCTCAAGATCGTGCAGCTTTCTCGGACGAGTACAGCCGAAGGCACCAAGTCAAAGACGCGGGGGAAATTCCGACTGGGTAGAGACGCGGGGTAGATTCAGGGCCAGCCTTGAGTGGGTTCCTTCTCTCACTCTGTCAAATTATTTGCTTCTCTCTGTCGAATTATTTGCGAACTTTTTACACGAACGCAAAGCAGGCTCTTGCGTGAGTTTCCCTTCCGGGATTTTTATGCTTTCCAGACGCATTGGCCGTCTCCATTTCGAGGAGCGAAAGTGAGAGGCGCGGCCTCGCGCGATATGACAACCGTGAGGGGAGACGCGTCGCCAGAGGCGCTGGCGTTATGGATGAAAGTACTCGGAAACACATAGACAGGAGAGGGAGCAAGTGAGCAAGCTAAGAGTCTAGCTCCTCGGCCAGTGAAGGCGCTAGTATGGGGGCACTGATCTACGTACTCAGCAGTGTCGACGGGTCTCCCTCGATGTTCGGGGGTCCTTTCTAGTAGTTGTCTGCTGGCTCCCGATTAGATGCCGCTCGTTCTGATATTGCTTTCTGTTAAATAAACGGGCAGCGTGCAACTCGTAGGAAAGCCCGGCAAAGTTAGAAGCGGGCAGCGTCTTAGAAATTGATGGAGCTGGCGGACCCCTTTTCCCAGGCGGCACCTTGGTTCTTTCGCTTCTTTTGGTCGTTTATTTCTGCGTGCTCCTTTTCTTCTTTTGTTTTGGATGGGAGGACCCGACTGGGAGCGCCCGCGCGCCTTGTTCGTTGCGGCTGTGTTTGCTTGGTTTCTTTGTGCGGGCCGTACTGGTATGATGAACATGAAATAAAATAAATGCTGGCCTTGGCGCTGCCTTGCTGTTGCTTGTGGTGTTCTCCTCACCTCGCTCCTTCGACTGGGTTGGTTGGCGTGTTCTTTGTTCTTTCAGTCTCTTCCTCTTGGCTCTTCTCTTGTGGGTGTCTTGGCGTTTATGATTACTGACTTTGCTCGCTCTGTGTCTCTTTCTACTTATTTAATTTTGAATGTCGACGCATGCGTGACTCTGTTGTCGAAGAAATTCACAGAGTGGATATAAATAAGTATTTATAGATACTTTCTTGTGTACTCACATCGGCAGAAGTTGCTTGTGAATTGAAAACGAAAAGCAAGAGGAACCCACAAGCAAATTACATCTCCCAGAACTCAACAGTCAACTTTTTATTCAAAATCCAGGTTCGTTCCGGTTGTGCACTATGGACAGGACAGTTCCACCACGATGATGGTGAAATGGGGGTGCACTAGTCCGCCGATGACGCCGAATCGTGTCAATTTCGTCGAGGTACTTCTACAGAGTCCTTGCTTGATGGTGATGTCTTAAACCTATGTATGTTGTCGTTTAGTCTGCATACTTGTAAAACGTGCATGACTTCAGCCTGACTGCTGTATATCTAATCTTAGAAGATGGCACTCCTCGGAATCAACGGATGGGTCCCAAGATGATGTCAAGAGAACCAGGAAAATCATGATTAGCTATCTCTCTTCCCATTTTTCAATCTATCTAGGTCCTCGCCCGTAGTCAGGATGTCGATTATACGGAAGTGATCGCTGCTATTTCTCACCTGATGCAAGAGGGGCAAGAGGTAACTCCAGTGATCGAATTCATGCGGCCCGTCGACCAGTCGGCGTGCAATGTTAAGCGTTGTAAATTTTAATCCATTGATGTATATGATCGTGATCTTATAATTACAGATTGATAAATTGATATATCAATCTTGGATTAATTTAAAGATAGCTGGTAGAAGTTGTATAGAATTTTGTAACCCTTGGCTGTTGGGTACATGAAAATGATCAATCATTATCAATTACCTGCCATTAGCTCTAAAAATACAAGCGGTTCTACGTCCGGTATGTCCCTATGTCGAGGACCGGAGTGCGACGAAAATGGGGAAGAGTATAAAGCACTCAAGAAAGACGTCGATGAGCACGCGCCGATGCACCTCTGTCGCGGGCCTGACTGCGATGAAAATCAGGGCCACGAGGGAGTCACTATTTCTGTCTAGTTATCTGATCGGCATTGCCATGAAAGTCCTCAAACCATGCCATAGTAGTACATATTACTACAGGTAACAGCTATACATAGTAATAGATAGTATTAGTACATGAACGTCGACTACGTCTAGGGGCGGATGGATAAGAAAGTGCGGGGTGGTAGAAGACTTACAGGAGCCAAGACGCTAGTACGATTTTATCAAGGTCAAGAGGCTAGTAGAGTCGGAACGACGAAATAAAGAATATGATCAACATGTGGTACTGCCTACCTGTGTGAAGAAGGAAGGCTCTCGTTACTGCAGCTTCTATCGTTCTTCAAGAAAGCCGTGACAAACAAGAATATTTCTTCAACGTTGTCGCGAACCAACATGTTGGTATTCCTGTTTATAATTAGAATTAGTGTGTAGTAAAGGCAGTTTATTCTTAAGAATAAAACATAAAAATAGCGATAAGGACATTTCTAGTACTGGTGGATTCTGCATATATAATATAACTATAAGGGTTGGGACGGTTGTACTACGCGGCAAACTTATCTTATCGAAGACAAAACGCACATGCAGTGCTTCGAGCTTATGAAGAATCACACGAATGAGCTCAGAATAGAACTACACATAAGTACTCATAGCGATAGTTTTACAACTACCGCAGCACAAGAATCCTACTACGTTGATGGAATCTATTGGGGTGACGAGTTGGTACTCATGTTTGAAATATGTGTAGCAATCTAGTCAACAACAGCATAATATTCTTACAACGCAGGAGGCTAATATCTGGTTCTGGACTTCGCCTTCGGTCCTTTCATCACTTCTTATGTTTTATCTTTTCGCTCCATCATATTTACATATCTATATTTAGAAGGTATAAACAAAAGACTGAATGCTATGAATACACGCGCCAGGTACTTCATTACACATGTATCTATAATGTCGAGAACAATATTGATGACCTCGATCTACCACGTGCGGCTCAGCCCTTCACATGTTCATACTTGGTCTTCATCAATTCGTTATTGATAAGATCTACTGCTTGCGCGTTTCGCTCCGCTATGGATGGTAAAGTAAGCACTAAAGGATCCCTCGTTCGCGCTGGTTTCGCCACGTCAAGATTCGTAGGTTCACAACGCTTTCAGAAAGAGACACACTGTTGAAGGTTGATGAACAAGGACGAGGTATACTCATCAAGTTTCATCTTGTTTTGTCGCATGGCAAATATGTAGTATATTCCACTTCAAGTATAAAGGTAGTTCAAGACATAGCGGACCACTTGACGAGCATGAAGAAAACAATAAGGGTGTTCCATGACGTCAGATAGTAGGTCGTTGAGTGCGAAGTCAGTCCTCAGCTCGTTTGCATATCGAAGAAGATCCATCAACATAACAAGATCGCAGATCACGTGAAGATCCTGGCGTCTCAGTCCAATGCAAGATCCAAGTCAAATCAAGTCAATGATCTACGAAGGTTATATGAGTAGAAGAGAGAAACAGATCCAGAGTTATCGCCTTTGAATAATCAGATTACGTTCCTATTGATAGGCCCAGCGAAGCCGAACTTCCTTGTTCCCAATGCCGCCCGTATTTGATTCATAGCATGCAAGCATGAAGTAGATTCTCCCACCATTTTTTCGCAGGACGCGAATACAGTGTTGACCTTCTATCAGCAACTTGAAATAAGACGACAAGAACGCAATCACAATATTTCGCAGCATTACGTTCGGAATTCATCGGCCCCGTAACTACAACACGACACTAATACTGCAAAGTCATCTCTTCATTAAATATTTGAATCTGTTCTTTGCAAACGCCGACATCTACTTCTAGTATTTTCTTTCAGCCACGAGTTCAATCACATACAACAATTCAAACATGTCGTCTTCCTTGATCGAAGTAGTTGCATCGAGTGCAACTAGTAGCGAAGACGCTTCGGTGCTGTCGGTACAAACGCCGCGCAGTCTTGCAGAAAAGTGCCCCACGCCTACCACAGCAGGGTCTGCGTCAGCCTCTACTGTGTCCGCCCCCTCTGCTTTGAGCAAGCTCCTGCATGTAGTCGCAGGCCAGTCTTCCCCTTTGGCAAAGCGACGCAAGCCTGATATTGGCAACCTCAAGGACCTGACGACGGGAGATCTTCAACATGCTCCCAAGGCGTTGTCTACGGGAACGACCGATTCTGCAACAACGAAGTCGACGTCTTCTAGTTCGAAAAATAGCGTAGTAGATTCCTTGTTGCGCGTCCAGAATTTCCTCTCGGCAAAGCCGGACCCGCTAGCCGGCGTCGACAAGGCTCTAGGTCGCGAAGAGGGGTCTTCATCTTCTGGTGCAGCTTCCTCTTCCGTAGTGGAGATAGAGCGAGTAGACGAAGGCAGAGGAGCTGTCGGACTGTGTCGAGCGCAAGCAGCGAGTGTCGGACAGAACGCAGCGAGCCTTGGAGTAAGTGAAGAGGCCAAAATCTTTCAGGGCATCAAGATGCCTGGAGGAGCTCCTTCTTGTGACGCAGCAACAGCAAATCATGGTACAACTTTGAAGCTTCGTGGTTCTTGTACAGGTGACGATAGGAGTACTTCTGCTGCTGCTCCTGGAGGGCTATTCGATTTCAAAAAGGAGAATATTATCAACGTAATGACCTCTGATGAAGAAGACTCCGATGACGATGTTGATAACGATGACGATAACGAAGATATGAAAGACGGAGAAGAAGACCATGGAGGACGGGATGATGAAGAGTCTGACTCCGATAGTGACGCTGAAGCACTTGAACTGCTGACGAAGACTTTACGTGCAACTGAGCGTGGAAGCAAACTTCTCGACGAAATCATGAAGGCTGCCAACATCGAAAATCTCATGCAGGAAGATGATGAAGTTGAAGATGCCTCTGATATTAAAACAGACCAGATGAAGGGCATTAAGGGAGGCGGCGATGATTCAGATAGTACTAGACGCAAAGAGACCAAGAGTGTTGACGGGGCTGGTGCATCGAAAGAGCAAGTAGTAAACAACGCTGCGTCTTCAGGAAAGATGGTCGAAATGCAGGTAGGATTGGGAGTCTTCGATGTTAATGGAGCTGTCCCCGCGGATCTGAACATCCCTACGGTGACCGTGCCCGCGCCAGAAGTCAGCGGTGCTGATATTCAGCTTCCACCGCGAAAATAAGACAAGAACACAAGTGGAATCTGAATCATGCCATGGACAATTTCGTTGGGTCCTCTCTTGGAGCAAAATATATATTGATATGATCGACTGACTGTGATCGTGGATGTTGGCCCTCTAACACGACTGACGTGAAAAAACTTTGATGAATCATTTCTTTGAAGTTGTTTTTATTCCGATAGCTGTCGGTTGGAGATGGAGATGTTGCACAACTGCGCTAGTGCAATGGAAAATGAAACTTTCTAACAATATGTTGTAGAGCCTCACAGGATCCTGAAACGACTAGATACTCTATGTTTTGTTCGCCACCCAAGCTCGGCCTAGGATTTGGTCCAGATTGAGTCTAGGGCTCGCGTGGAATCGGTAAACGGAGAGGGATTGTCGAAAAGAGTGTCAAAAGAAGACCGCCAAGAAGGGATGTAGCGCGACCAAAGCGTAGTGCTGGTCGTACTTCTACAACACAATTCTACTAAGACATCCACCGTATTTCATCTGTCGTAAACGTCTCATACAAATTAAATCAAGGAAAACTCGGGTTAAAGCTGATCGGGAGCGCTCCTCGGTCGATCGTGTGTATCGCTCAGTGTTAACCGCACGTTAGACGAGCTACTGTCTGTGATCAAAATCGTTCTGATTTGATGCAATAGCTGACACTCGATCTAGTAGGTGTACTAGTCATCGATGTACTTAGTCAGGTCCTCAGCTCTTTCGTGCTCTCGGTTTTCGTCCCTCAAGAAATGCACAAGCACATCGGCGACAAATAACGTAAAAATTGATACCTTCAAGTTTACTTCTACTTAGTATTTTTCGTCTTATACCCCCTGTCTAGTTAACGTTGTCATTTCCTTCCCACCAAATCCGCAAACCTCTTTTAGCTGTTTACGTGCTGTACTGACGGCGCGACGGGATGTCTATTTTTGGCACATTCATGTGACGAAGTAAGATTTGTAACCCTATTTCCTTCCACCCAGCTCCCCGTTGCTGCCACCCCCACCCTCCTTCTGTTCTTATTTTTTAGTATCGAAATCCGTACAAGACTAATCGCTGGATCCTCCAGCTACCAGTGCAACTTTCCTTGTACTTCTTCTACTACGTTTTCAAAGTAAACTACGTTTCTCTTTCTGTCCACTCCTATTGAGAAGGGTGATCCCTATCAACCATCCAACGTGAACAAGGCCTCCTCCGACTACCATGGTGTGTTTTTGTAACACGACGTTGGAGACGAACGTTCACTCGGGTCAGCCATGGGATGCCCAGGTCTCACCCGTACTTGTCGGGCATTACTTTTTTTCTTCGAATTTCGATTCCGGCAATGGAGGTCGCTTTGTCAGACACCGCAAGCAACCAATTGCGGGTGCTGACAAGAGTCTTATGGAGCATGAAAAGTCAGAATGTAAGTAGCTTCTTATATTTAAAGAAGACGAATGGTCGTGATCATGTTCTCCAAAAAAGAACAGAGTTTCGCTGAGAATACTGAAACCGTATCAAACTATATTTATCTCTCGGTCTCTCGATTTTGTCGCTGCAATGTCCAAGTGGTCAACCATGAGCTGCTCATGGCGATATCGATAAGATGAAATTTTTATTGACTCTAATTCCCTCTGACTCTAATTCGTGACCCACTGACTCTAATTCTCTCTGGGTATGGAAAGAGACAACATCCACCATCGAGAACAATGCAACCTCCTGCGGAGACCCATCCAGCAGTGGCCCGGGTCCAGGGAACGAGGCGGAAGATAACTGCGAGTACTGCGATGACCCATGGGAGTATCATGTTTGGGTGTCACCTGATTGCGCCAACACAGCGAACCAGTCAACGTGTCGCACGTGGTTTCATTTCCGAGTACAAGCAGCGCAAAAAGAAGGATTGAATGCTGCAGGTATAAGTACTACTAAAATGCAGGTTGTAGCTACTAGAATTCGTGGAAATATGATTAATCTGCCATCATAGACGACCACGACCCTTGTGTAGGAAAGACGTATCATGTAACATGGACTATTCTTCTACTTGCTTCTACAGTAGTTGCTTATGACGAAGGTAGAGGCACAACTACCTGCACTCTTCCTCGATATCCTTTTCTTTCTCAGGTGTGCATCCGATTCACCTGGTGATACGGGGAATGCAGAATCAGGGAAGGTTGTATCGAGAAAACTATGGTATCTGGATGCGCGTGCCCGAGGGGCCATGGCATCGCGTTCCGGACATGTCTCGCTTGGCCTCGACAACGGACCCCCAAGGTGCGGCGGCGGCTCGCGCTGCTACGGAGGCGGGAACAGCGGGAACAGAATCGACGTCGAAGACAGCACAGGTGAGCGACACGCCGAACAAGGGAATCGATCACAAGCTCGGCCGAGATCCGAAAAAGGGAAGAGGGAGTGCACGAAGGTAGATCATGGTGGTCCTTCTAGTAGATTTTATTATGTTACTTCATCAACCCACTGATCATGTTTTAGGTTGTCGATGCGCAATTGATTTCATCTGATCATGCTCATGATGCAATACCTGAAGTTTTTTAAGGAAAATTTTTTAAGTCACAATTTCTCCTCATAGCACAAAAAATAGTCGATTACTTGACAAGGTATTCTTTGTCACTATGCACTTTGTTTTGCGTTACTGTTCTCCAAGTTGCCTCAATTAGTGCATTCTTTTGATTATAATGAGCAAAACAGCCTCAACAATCGTTGTTTTTCTGAATTCATATCGCCTTTGGCGCTCATGATCACTATCACTTTGTCGTAGTACCACGCGCTTAAATTGAAGGTCTGCCTCTGCCAATAGAGGATACTCAACTTCCACTTACACTTAATAGTTATAATCATGCCTGTATCTCCTGCCCTTCGCTACAGTGCCACGGCGCAGAGCATCGGCTTGGGTTGTGCAATGGATTCACTCCTACGAACGACTGAGCAACAGCAAGTGACGGCTCAGGAGAGCGTGATCCCTCTGTGGGAGGACCCGGCTGAGGGTGGCACTGGACTCTCTTTGCGTTTCCGGGCACCGATTCCGCTAGACGGCACAACGGTCTACTTCGCCTTTTGTGTGCCCTATTCGACGCAGGACATGTGCATCTTCCTCTCCCGGCTCGAAAGGCAGTTCCTGGCATATGATCGTTATGATCTGGTTCTATGTATTGGCGTTGATGAGGATAGCGCACCTGAGTTTCGTTAAGTAAGGCAATCTAATACATTGGACAGCTTCACAGCGCGAGTCTATAACTTGTGGGGGGCCTGGGGCTTTTGCCTTCGTGGACGTATTTGCGAGGTTTTGCGGCTGTACTGGGTCCCATTCTGCGCCCGTAAATAATATTTTCCGCCACTATTCTGCTAGACTTCTTTTTGAGCTAGAGGAAAGAATCAGCGACTCTGTAGCTCAGTTGGCAGAGCACCCGTGCACACATGCACGCCCCCGGGGGAGCCATCGCGGTGGTCGAAAGTCGTAGGGCTGCGTCCGTGATGCAATGAACCAACTACCTGAAGTGATTCACGGACGTGGCTCTACAATCAACTTACAACTCGGGTGGTCGCGGGTTCGAATCCCGCCGGGGTCGCTATTGTGGAATTCGTCTGGTGGTACTTATCTTTCCTCTAATGAATGCGGCGGTATCGGGCTGCAGCGCGAGAAGCAGTGGCCGACGCGCGCAAAAGACGAGACAGAAGTCGCTCTGGAGGCAAGGACCGACACGAGGTCAATCTCAATCCGCAGCTCCCTTTTCTCTTTGCGCCAGAAGATGACAAGGGACTACTCGATGACTCGACAACAGCATCCGCGATTGAAGCGGCTAGTAGTGCTAGGAGTGCAATGGGAGGCAACTCATCGAATCACGGTGATGCTTCCGCTAGTTCGTCGTTCAGCGAGACCGATGACGACTCTTCACAGTACTCCGCTTCGTCAGGATCTTTAGATGTTGTCTGCTCCTCCTCAAAATATGGCCAGGCGCGATCCGGCTCCCTAGGGGCGAACTCCAATCCGATGAATTGGGTACCGAGAAAGCTCGTCAGCAGTCGAACATCATCAAAAGAAGCAGTAATAGAACCAAATGGAGATCCTCCAGGTACAACTACTTCGTCATCAACATCGTCGACTTCGAACAACGGTGGACACGGGGGCAGTAGTACGAATGATCCAGGAGGATCCTTCTACGTTGCAACCGGCTCAACAGGAGGAGAGGAAGCACAAGAAGCAGACGGAACTACAGGCTCAGGACGAGGAACATCATCATCTGCTACACCTGGGGAGCAAAGAAGAGCAGAGAACTCGACGGATCATGCTGCGGAGGAGCCTGCATCTTCAAATGCAGAGAAAGGAGATTCAAGTTCATCTAACCAGAATGAAATAAAGAGTGGTGGATCTTCATCGTCTTCTTCATCTTCTCGCGAGAGAGAAGCGACATCTTCGGACAGGAGCGATCGCCGGGAGTCGAGGTACCTGTCGAGGTCGGGACTCAACGATGAGGAGAGTATTCGCGAGACGGAGGATGGCGAGCACTTGTTCTACTTTCCGTCGAAACAGCATCACCGAGGCCTGCCGATGCCATCGAAAGGCAGCAACGTCTTTCTGAGGATAGAAAAGCTGTGCGACTCTCTGCAAGGCAGACCTGTGCATCTAATGACGATTACGGACGACCGCCTGTTTCTGCGCACTGCTCCGGACCCGTCATCTTCATCTTCGAGTAGTTCCAGTAGTACTGCCCGTTCGAAAAGCAAAGCGAGGATGAATTCAAGCGTAGATTAAGGCTAGAAGAAGACACTCAGACTCACTTCTATCTGGTTTGGACTATGTCACTCAGCCACAGATACAACATAGTGAGAGAGTGTCTAGCGTTAAGTAGAAGAGAAGCAGGTGGAATTCGACCCGCACGATCCTGCGAATGATGCCGCTGTGAAGCAAGCACTGCGGAGTCGGCCAGCGGCGTTTATCAGTGCCCGCGTGCACCCAGGCGAGACCCCAGGACAGTTTTCGTGGCTGGGCATGATAGCTTTCCTCTTGTCCGATGACGAGCGGGCGGCTAGGTTGCGGCGCATCTTCGTTTTCTACTGCGTGCCCATCCTAAACCCAGACGGCGTGGCTCGAGGTCACTACCGGATGAATAGTCTTAAGGCTACTTACAACCCTAATAAATCCACGTTACAACAAGGCATCTTACAACAAGGCTCGACAAAGTCGCTTAATCAGGATTTGCCTTTTGTTTCTTACTTCTGGAACAAAAGGCAAATCCTGATGAAACTCTACAAAGTTAACGCACAACTCCTTGGGGAAGATCAAGATGACTACAAAGTGAAAGTAGATGCACTCGTCCTTAGAGAAGAAGATCAAGATGATGATTTTGGGTACCACTGAGCAGGTCTAATAGTCGAGGTGTGAATTTGAACCGCTTCTACGCGAGACCGGAGGAGGCAGAGCACGAAGCGGTCTATCACGTAATGCAATTCCTGACGAAGGAGGTTAGAGGCAACCTAGTCTACTATCTCGATTGCCACGCGCACGCCACACGTCGTGGTATTTTCCTGTTCGGCAACAACGTATCGGGGAAGTCACTGTCTCTCGGACAAGATTTGACCAAGGAACAGACCTGGAACCTGACGTATGCGCACTTGGTGGCGTTGAATTCGCCTTACTTCGACATGGAAGGATGTGACTTCAAGATCAAAAACCAAGGCGGAGGAGCTGCCGCGGCTGCGCCACTTGCCGGACCGTTCTTAGCAGGCGGCGCCTCTTCACGGACAACGACGCCACGTGGCAGCGTGGTACCTGGCAGACCCGTTGTAACACCTCCACCTTGTGGAAAAACGGGCACTTCTTCCGGAGTACAACTCCATCAAGTAGGAGAGCAGACAACGGAAAGAAAAGCTCCTGCCAGCGACGATGGCGCCATGAGCGACGGCCCTGACGGCGAAGCAGATCCCTCCCAGAGCAGAGGCACTGTGGGTCGTGGGCTTCCGCCACCGATTCTAGGGAAAGATGGAACCGGCAGAGTTGCCATGCACAACGAATTTAATCTCGTACATAGCTACACTCTAGAATGCAACTACAATAGTGTGAACCCCGCAAGCAGCGTGAAGCGATGGAACAATGGAAAGCCTGAGAACGGATTTGGGCCGGTGCTACTTCTAGTAACTTGGTATAAGAGGTGGATGTTGGAGTTTTTAGGATCCTTTACAACTACGACACCAGAGATTCTTCGTAGAAGCAAGAGTCGTATAAAAACAAGGTTTACTAGGTTAAGTTTAAGCATTATCCCGCCTATACTGAATCTCTCCATGACGTTCATGTTCGAGAAGAGAAAAGCCATGAAAATTACTTTAGGTAACATTTTTTTACGACGTAAACGCTTGGGTGCAAGTTGGGGAGTCGCTTGCCATTTCAATTTTAGACATGTACGGCCACAATTGTCGCTCGCGTGTTTTGAGTCTGCGTCAGCGCTGTCTCTCCGGTTATTTCTCTGATCGGTGTCAAGGTATGCGACGCGAACTTATGCATCTTGTGAATGGACATCCGACAGCTGCTGTGAAGCAAGTCATGTGGCCTGCAGATCAACAAAGTAACGGCGAGCAGTCCTCTGGAGGAAACAACTCATCTACTTCGAATACAACATCGAAAGCAGACAATATTAAGGCCGCTGTTGGACCATCCTCAGCGTCATCCTTGGCCCTTTTTTCAAGGGGAAAAAGGGGCCAGGGAGGCTCTCAGGGATGCGAGGGCGGTAGCTCTAACAATAAGAACGCCTCGACTAAGAAAAAGGGCAAACGCGGAAGCAGTGAAAGTCGCAAGAACGGCGCAAAGACTTCGGACTCTTCAAATGCGAAAGCGGACCAGTTAGAGACAGCAGAGCCGATAGGAAATCCGTTGTATCGACCACCAGGGCACTACTCAAACCTGTTTTTCGGAAATCGTTCCCGTGCAGGCTCCAGTGCTTCGTCTTCATCAGGAACGGCGTCTAGTGGCGTTGCCCCATCGCAGAAAGCTGCGCCTGCGACCGATGATAGAAGCACCACGGCGCCAAGTGACTCGGATCGCGGCGTCGAAACTAGTACCACTTCAGAGGAAGAGGTGGTCGTGGTTGCGCAAAATGGGTCCTCTGGAGAAGAGCGCAAGGCTGCCGGAACTGGTATGAGATCTAGGAAGGACCAACGGGATGAAATTGATCTCAGAAATGCTGACAACTCGTCTTCTGCAAGAAGTAGTAGTACTACCCCTGTTGATCAAACTGGAGGTGGTGCTTCTGCTTCTGCGGGTGTCGGTGTAGTCGCAACTTCTTCTTCCAGTACTACAACAGCCCCTCCTGGCACCAGCGTCGGAGTGGCAGCCTCCACTACGTCTACTTCGACGTCGGCGGCGTCTTCTTCGTCTGCAACTCCATTTGCAGCACCAGTCGTTGTTCCAAATGTAGTCGATACTGCTGAGCTTGCTCCAAGAGCCATGGGCAAGATGACACTGAGCAGCTTGCTCGAACGCGAAGCGCCATGCAGCCAGCAATGTTGCTACAACAATGAATCAATCTTACGTCAGATTTGCATCGCAGCCTCTGCCTCGACCCTGAGGAACGCGAGAACTAAGGCTGGCGGTGGTGGAAATTCGGGAGGCGGTTCTAGTGGCTCTTCATCTTCTTCAGGCTCCTCTAGCGCCAACCCGTCTTCGTCCTACGATGACGAATTGATATTTTCCTCTTTGATCGATATGGGACCAGTTCAGGTGGCAGAAACTGGGAAAATGCTTCGCGAGTTGCTACCACCAAATGCGATGGGAGGTGGTAGCGCAGGCTCGATTGCTTGGCAGCGTCTCCGCAAGCTGTGCAATTCGAGAGCAGGACTTTTCAACGTCAAAAAAAGCCACGACGAGATCACCGGTGTACTGCCTCAAAGTGTCCGTCGCCTGTTTTTATGGTCAGGTCCGAAAATACACAGTCTTGTGAAAACTCCAGATCATACTCGCAGTTCTTAACGATAGTGGTCCCCTTTGACTTTGTTGTACTCTTGTTGCTGTTCATCTAAGGATTGGCGATACTCCTGTTGAGGCTGGAGGAAATCCAGCTACTAAAACTCCTGGAGGTCCCGGCAGCGGCAACAGTATCAACAAGTCAGGTGGCGGCTCTGGTGCGCCTACTTCACCGACGCGAGGCCGAAACCGTTCTGGCAACGCAAGTCAGGACGACGGCGACGGGGAAGACCCCGCAGAGACTGGCGATGGCACGTCGATGTTCTCGTCTTCTGTAGTCGTAGAGCACCGGCGGCGAGCACCGTCGCGCGCTCGTCGAAAGAGCTTTGCCGAGAAAGCACGACGTGAACGAGGCTTGGAACAACTTCATCAGATTGAGCAAGCTACAACTGCGCAGCACTCTTCCGCGGACCAAAGTCAACCAGGAGTTGTCCCACCAGGAGGTATCGGACCGAATGGCGTGCTTTTATCGGGCACTTGTAGTAGTGGACAAGCAACTGGTGGGAGCACCATTTTCAACGCCTTACCCGTGGGACCGATAAAAAACAACGAGGAAACACTAGTAACGTTGAAAGTCGCACTAGCATCGCGTTCAAGAAGCGGCAGCGACGCGTCGTCTCGAGCGCTTCCGGGAAGCAGACGAGGTAGCGACTTCGATGGAGGTAGTTCCTCTTCTAGTACGTCGACCGTTTCCAAAGGCCACCAGAATAGACTTCCACCTTTGATGGCAGCGGCATCTTCGAATGGTCCAGGAGATCACCCTCACGGCAGTGTCCCAACCTCCATCAAGCACGATGATCCAAGCACGATGAGAGCAGAACCATCCGCTTTGTCAGTGACGAAGGCTATTCTTAAGGCTTCCCCTAATCCATCTCGTGAAGCATCGTAGCGAGGCGCAAATCATCCTCTGTTATCTTTGGACGAAATTTTACCCTAGTAAACCGAAGAATCAACAACAACTGAAACAAAAGGGCGACTGAAAAATGAATCTCAAGATGGATAAGGGTGAGCTCTAAGATTCGGAATAGTTACGCATGTCTAGAGCAGGACGACCCACCGATGCATCTGGAAGTCGTGGTGAAGGCGGCTGCTCCAAGGGGAGCCGTGCTGAGCAGTGGACCGGTGCAAGGGAAGAAAAAGAAGGCTCCCCGCTCGCGCTCGCGTGCCTCAACTGCAAGAAGTGTGTCCTCACGATCAAAAAAAGGAGAGGGCAAAGATGAACAGCGACTATAGAAGAACTTATCTGCTTCAGCACTACCAGAGTCTCCATGCATCTTCAGATTCGCGGTCTGGTGCCGGTGAATGAATATGCTTAGTACTCTTGAATTTTCAATTTTATGAAAGAGAAGGAAACCCCTCTACATCGCAAATGTATGAAAGACAGACCACTACAACGACCTGCTTGCTGATTTGTCTTGTTACGAAAGAGAATACATCCATCAACATTATAACTTCAATGCAAATGCGATATGCATGTAGATATACAACATGTTTTTGCCAGGCTACTTAGTTACCTATCTTCCCCAAATTATGAATCTGATTCTGATGTATGACAGGAGGCCAAACAGGGGCTGATGTTTTGCGATGCTTCCGAGGTCGACTCGACGGTTCTCTGTAGAAAATGGGACATAGATCTTTTCAGATGTGCAAGGAGGGTTCAGGAGGAATTGAAATTCCTATGAAAAAGTCGATGATTTAAGCCTTCATTATAAGGATCTTGATTATATGCCGTATCTAAGTCTACGAATTACTTATTATACTTAAATAGCACAATGTGACCAAGACCATTCTAGAAAGTAGGAACTAAATCTTCTGCTCTCGTATTTCCCGGCTCTTCTCTCACGCTTTGTACAGGCAGACGATCTAGACGCCAGCGGTCTACAGCGCCGCCCTTTTGTAGTAGTTGACCACTGTTTGCACGATGTCAACTGGCCTACAAGGACCTTCATCATTGAACGCGGGGATATTTCAGACCAAGACCCATCGCTCTAGTGGATTACAGGGTGGCTACGGTCTGAACAGCAATAATAAGCCTAGAAGAAAGAGAAGTTCTAGAGGTATCTATACATAGACTCATCATGACAATACCATAACAAAAATCTTAAAAATCTTTGCCTCACTCTCGAAGGAAAATAACCAACAACACAGCAATTGTAAAAGAAGGAAGAGGCTCTTGAAAATATTAACTGAAAGAAGTAGACATCTTCAACTCACAACTTGTAGACTCTAATAGAAAAAGGTCTAATCACTACACATCTTCAAGTGAGTCTATCATTGAAAAGAATCATAAAAATGGTACTAAATAATACTCGGATCCGCTTTGTTGTTCCTTCTTGGACAACAAGATGACTGCGGACCCGCTTTTGCGTCGGCAGCTGGGGATTCCTCTAAGTGGTCTATTGGGCTCCACGGTCCTCCAAACAGTGAGGCTTCGTCTTCAGATTCAGAACCGTCGTCTCCGACTGCGGGACCACAGCGTGTCGTGGGGTCCAACCGTGCTCCCCCACGCGCCTTGCCACCACACCAGAAATTTTTTCCAGACGATCCTCCTACTTTGCTTCGGGACGTTCGGCGCCACGTGCCTGATGCTCCTGCACCCTCACGCGCCCCTGCTGAGGCTCCACTCGCTGTTCCACTCCCATCGCAAGGATTCTTGCACCCTAGACTTTCACATCGTGATGTCGAACGACCTGTGGAGAGTGTGCCTGAAAATTCTAGAAGTGCAGTTCATATCACTCAACAAAAAGCAGCACCGCGTCAAAGTCAACATGCTATAACTTCTCCGCAAGCTTTGCGTCAGGAAGCGCTTCAACTTCCCGGTACTTCTAATCAAAAACCGTCCGATGCAGGACCGAAGAACCGTCTTGCAATTCGAGTGTCCGTTGCGTCGGCAGCTCGGAATTCCTCTAACGAGTTTGATTCTCTTGGCGCTGATCATGTGCCTGCAGGGTGTTCGGCTCCTGCCCACACTCCTCGTCCTGCGTATTCTCACCTTAGAGTTACATACGAACCACCGAGTAGAGATGCTGTCGTACGAAACTTGAAAATGCAAGGGTACTCTTCGTCGTCTAAAAAAACGTCGACCAGAACAGGGAAACGCTCTTCTCAGAAATGCGATGTGAGAGGTCAGGAGTACCACGCTGATCCATCACGAAGACACCAAATTCCTGTAATACCTCGATTGGAGCGGGAGATCGAGCTGAGGCTCAACAAGGGTTCGTGGAACGCATGCCTTCCTTAGCTCTCGAGCGTCAGCCTTTGGATCACCATGCGGACAAAAAAGAGGATAAGCGTGGGACTGCATCGGAGCCCGCACCTCTACAACATGAAGGCTCTTCTCAGGAACATGTACATGATGAAACAAAACTAGGTGAAGGTCCTTTTCAGATTCTGGCAGAAGGTCCTTCACCTCTACAACCTGATGAAGAAGAAACGCTAGGAGGTTTTATTTTTGCAGAAGATGATTGAACCTTGAACCTTCATCTCAGGTCAAAGAGACGTGGTCATCTTTCCAAGGAGCTTCAGCTAGTTCTAGTCTGAAAGCCAATGCGTACTCTTCACCTGTCGAAGAACAAGAGGAATACCACCACGCTGAGCTGCTCAACAGCAGCAATTTCGGCTCTCAGCAGGCGAAAAAAATGCTAAAAGATCAATTGTCGGCAGATGAGTGGGAACTCGTCGAGATGAGTGGGACGTGTGAAGATTCTTCCACTGGAGGTTCTTTTCGTGACGAAACGCCGACTACAGGAGAAGCCTCTTCTAGCGCAGAAGTAATTACATCGGAAAGCGGTAATTCGAACTCCTCTCTTGGACGTGCGGTCGCGGGAGGTGAAGATAATAGAAGAAGGCCAGTCGTTATAGTAGGCGGAAATAGGTGTTAGATAAACTTAAACGATACAACTAAGAGTATTGGTACAGCTGCATCCTTATGCGCTGTTGAGGGACGCGAGCGCGGTTGCGGTTCTAATGAGTTGCAAACAAGCAGAAGGTACGCGTATGAGTAGCGACGAGGACGTACATGTAATCCGATGAAGAGAGATTGCCTATCGCATCGACCCTTTAGTCGAGCAATCATTGTTCTTCTTTCTTTCTCTTTGACTACCAGCACGATTTTATATCCTTTTTAGTTGTGATAAAGTTGTGCTATATTTTAGTTGTTAAATATCCTTTTTAGTTGTTATATCCTTTTTAGCTGTTATATCAATCCTTTTTAGTTGTCATATTTTATAGGTACTAGAAGACGGACGTAGTAGTGTAGTGGTCTTTTTACCCCTGGAGTGGCTACATTCATTCCTTCAGACTTGTAAAGCAACGTCGCATGCAGATTGAGACTACGGACGTGCTTGATGTCAGCGATGAGTTCTTTTACCAGCATCGCCTATAGGCTGTCAGATCATAAGTTTTTCCGCGTTGCCATATTTTGTTGTTCTTAAGTAAAAAGTACAAGAAGTAGTTTATCAAGTCTTTAATAGTACAGTGATCTTTATCGTAGCTGCATGTCAATTATCATGCATAGTTTTTTTACTGAGTCACTTATTTGCAAGTACTCACGAAAGTCCACTAATATATGTGCCTTGGTTTTTTATGATTTCTTTTGCATTTCTTTTGTTGCACCACCAAGTCTATACTTGTGAATAGTTTGTTTTTTTTTTAATCTTTAGTCTGATGTAGTTTGTTACCGTGTTGATGGATGACAGACAGGCAGCTCCTGAAATTTAGGAAACAAGGATAAATGCGGGATAGCATGCGGTTAGAAGAACTAGCATGGGTATAGCATTCTGGTTATCGGAATTTCGATGTATTTTTCCTATCAAAGCAAGTGTTAAGGGTCTCGAACTCGATGAAAATGTCGTTTCCCGCAGACGAGAAGGCAAGTGGACGCAACACACCTACAGGCTACGCTGTCAAGTACTACTTACATGAGCCTTGAGTCTCTTTCGCCATATCGTTGCACATTGCAACCTGCTCCTGATCGGAGCGACACCCTGTGCATCCACCTGGAGCTGAAAAGAGTAGAGAGTGAGAGAAAGGATCGCGTATTGGTGGCAGCTTTTACCTACATGAGGACAATTCAAAAAAGGGATGATGGTTGATCCATCCTTCATTTACTTTTCCAAAAAATGTAGAGAAATCCTCCAGAAAAAGAAACTCAAAGCAGAAAAAAAACCTAGCAAAAGGGTCGTTATGAAATTTGAAGAAATATACCAAGAACCAATATAGAGTTGTGTATACCTTTGCCTAGTTCGAATATATTATACCATAAAATGAAGATCCTTTCCCTCTCTGAAAATAGTAACAAGCTATACGGACTAGGACTTATTTTGTCGACCGACAGCGAGTGATCTGGTTTCCCTTTTACATGGAAGCTGTCGATCCTTGTCGAAAAGGTCGTAAATCGAATGGAGAAACAGATGTCCTCAAACTCCTTTTACAGTTCCTTCGGAACTATAGTTGTAATACCGTGGAGTCCCTGAGTAGTTTGTATCGTCTTCTCCTACAACAAAATACAAAGTCAAATTGATTTTACCAAGAATGAGGATTAGTTATACTAGTAACTTCTCAAGATGAATGAAAAACGATTCCGAACTGGTAGAAATTCGTAGGATCATAATGTGAATCAATAGTGGTTTGTCACCATCAACACATGGCCTCAAAGTAGTACCGCGAAATCGGGATAGCGACGCTGCCGAGACGTGATAAAGCACTGCCAGCTTCAGGCAAAGAGGCTCTGTGCGATACCTGTCAGCGTGACCCCGAGGGGGATTCTTGGCAGGACTTTTTCGCGCAATCGAAATTGCACGCGCCAAACTCGAAACTAAGCAGTGCGACCACAGCGGATTCGAGTGCGCACACTTGGTGCTTCGAAGTGTGGGTCTGTCATACGAGTTCGCGGTCCGTCAGAACCGTGATGACGCAGCCGAACGAAACGACGATAGACATCTCCTAAGGTAGAGAGTCCACACGGCCTCGATTTCGGCGAAGATTACAATGTTGGTGTCCACCTCCGGAGAGAAAAATGCGCTCTCGCTGGCTACCGTAGACGAGGTGGAGCAGCGTTTTCTGGCGGTATTGGATCCAGATGTCAAGGAACTGGGTATGAACCTGTCAGACAGCCATGCGCCTCTCTCCGGTTCGAAGACCAGCGTCTCAAGTCGAGCAGCGGCGCTCAGTGACGATAACTTTCTCTGGGATAGATCCGATGGAGGCAGCACAACAAATGCGCTGAAGACTCAACAGGACAACTACATTACTAAGAAAATGTATACTTCTAGAACAAAAACAAACACGACTCGGCCAGCGTCTAGTACTGCTTCTGCTTCTATGCACGCGTTTTCTAGTGCTACAAGTTGTTCTAGTGCTCTCGTGAGTAGAGGAAATAATACTAGTGGTAGTGGAGCACCGCCACCCGGAAGCAGAGGCTCCAGCTTTAGCCCCGAGAAGTTTAGGCACCCATCACATTTGCCCTATAGATTAAGGCTTACCGTGATTCATCTTAAGACGCATCCTTGTTGACCCGATTTCTAAGGGGAAAGCACGTCAAAGATGTTTTTCAAGATGAAGATAGGTAGGGTCTAAATAGAACAAGATACAACAGCTCTTCCTCCTCTGTGCTATCGATGCGACCACCGGCACCGTCAGGCAACGACATGGATCACCTTGGAGCGGCTGAGTCGTCTAATACTATCTCGAGAAACGATTTCCAAGAGAAGCTGCAGCGCCTCACAGAACTTCAAAAGGAATTGGAAAAAAGAAGGCAGGAACCTACACCAGCGTCTTCTTCTACCTCCGCGTACCTGTCCAGTCAGCGCGCGGGCACGAGCCATCATAGCAAAAACTTCGAACAAATTTTAGTTAATCAGCCATTGTACTCCTATAGCTTTCTGCATGACGATCATACGAAAAATATAGTTGCAAGAAATCCTGCAGAGGGGCAAAAACCCGGAGCAACAGTGAGTAAGATTAGCGCCTCCACGAGTGCTAGTCTCGAGCATGGGGCATCGTCCACCCGGTGTTCCTCGTATGCGACCACGGCATACTACAACACTAAAGACCCTTCTTCGGCATCTGGAGGTGGGACGAGTAAAACGATGGCACAAGAGCTACAGGTAGTAGGCGGATCTGCATCAGAGAGAGCTTATTCGCCAGGAGATTTGTTCCCGCTTACGAAGTCTGTAACGAGTTCTGCAACTCCTGTGGGTGATCGGATTAGCTCGCGACATCGGCGAAAGTCACCGTTTCTTGGACGAGCAAAAGAAAATCTTGCAGAGCAAAAAAGTACCTATTTTTTTTTGCATTTAGTTTCTCTTCCTGTCGCTTGTGACATTCACATTGCAAGTCTATTAATGTCATACTCGATGTGATGATTCGGATTAGTTGTGACATGTCATTCCTACTAAATTTCAATCATCGCATAGCTCAGGCCTGACGCGTACTCCGCAGTTACCAGCGTGGACGCCTGGTAGCACGTCTGGGCTGCACTATCCAGCGACTCTGTCGCTTCTGCGTCGTGACGAACATAGCCAAAGAGAAAAAGAAAATTCCGGAGATGACGAAGATATTCTAGCGCAAAGAGATCCAGGTCGCATCATATATCGGCGAAGCGATTACTTTGCAGAACCGGGTTTTTTCGCAAGTAGTTCGAGTTCGAGAAGAACACCAGGTGGACGAGGAGCCTCTGCGTCTACACTAAACGGAAGTAGAAGAGACCTCTTGGATAGAAGTAGTACGAATTTGCGAGCTAGTACAGACCCAGACGATATTTTTACTACGAGTGTGCGTGGTGATCCTCGTCGTCCAGCTACGGAAGAAATATCACGCTTTCTTTCCCAGACAGCATCCGAAGTAGTTTCACAGCACAACAACGTGCAACTACGCACGCCTGCGACGCCTGCTCTGCCCACGCCTGGCAGTCTCTTCCAAGGACAGCACTCGACGTATCCGGAACAAGATCCTTCTGTTTGTGAAACTGCACTTTGTGCTGCTGCTAGTAGAGCGATAACGCCCTATTCAACACACAGTCGAAACAACGCTTCAGCACAAGCGACACCAGCAACGGCAAGATTGCCCAGTGCGTATAAGGAACACGGACTTGGACAGAGCGACGAGCGTGACATCGAAAACTCAGGAACAAGTCCGTGGTGGGATAAGGAATTCAGAGGAGCGACACCATCAGCGTCTCTGCAGAACAAGACGCCAACCTCGGGACGCACTCGTGCTCTTTCCAGATCTACCCTGTCCCTCTCTTTCATGCCGCCTCGTCGATCTTCGCTTCGTAACCGCAGCAGCGAACCCGCAAGCCGATCGACGTCGAAGAGGTACTTATATGCGTATAAGAATCTAGCTGAGCAGCTGTACTACGGTGTTAGTTTCCGAGTAAAGAAGAGAGCTGATTGAAATTGTCCTCTTATTATTAATCCGTTTAGGTTGATGGCATCTAAATCTACCTACGTCGTAAAACCCATTTTGCCTACAAATGATAGGATATGATCCAAGTAGCAGAACCTACAAGTGTAGCAACGTTATCTCTGCGGATCCCTACAACTTCTAGGTCGCGGTCCCGCGCTCCCGAAGTAGCACCTGCGGTTTTAGACGGTCTTCCACTGCATGCCTTTCATCCGCCCGCCCCCGCGGGTACGTGGCACCCTCGCCACCTCGTCAACCTCAACGAACACATCTATCCAACACAAAGGATCACAAGTACCTTCTCTTGATGTGGTCGGAATCTTCGTGGAATTACGTCAGTCTAACTTCTACTTAACTTGTCCTTCCTACAAATAAAAGTAACAAATATATTGTCATGATCCTACTTACTTGTATTGTCCTCTCCCACTGCTCTCACAGCCCACAAAGAGCGCGTTTTCGATCAAGTTACTTCGGCACACTTTCGAGTGCCGTTGAATCCCGGATCCTTTCGGAACCATGTGGCAGCGATGCGTCGTTTCCAACGTGACCGCAAGTCCGAAGGTCGGGATGCTGATAGAGGGTGGATTCCTTGATAGAGGTTGGAATTGGATTCCTTGGATAGAGACAGTTGACAAATTTTCATTTTGCAAGCTTACCAGTTTATCGCTCTTGGTTTCGCTTTGCGAGTTTGGTGTTAATGATCAACGCATACCTAGTGGATTTTTCGAAGCATAATTTGATTTCTTCGCAAGTGTTACAGTTACTTACCAAATTTCGCAGAGGACGCACGTCGTCGTCGTGTTGACTCCTTTTATTCACTGCCGCTTCAGCAGCCTTTGGAACATGCTTACTTTTCAAATCACTACTACAACAATACCAGCAAGAAACTTCCAAAAATCGCGCAAATTTTTTACTACACAGAAACTAACACAGCAAGAGCACGACCCGGATACTCCGCTTCCTCTGGAAAAGGTCCCAAAAAAGGGCCTAATCGCAGCGTGCCGCTTTTTGTGTCCAATTTCAGTCTGTGCGGCCCAAAAGTTGTTTCTGAGTCATCGGTGGCGGTTTTAGATTCCACCCAACAACGTCCTCTAGCAGGTTTCTTCTCATCATTGACGCGAGTGGAAGCAATCAACTTGAAAGGGCCAACGAACATGATTTGAAAACGTAACTAAAAGTGTAGAATCGTATCGATATAGAATTGGTTGATAATTTTTAGTCGTTCCCTCCTAAAAGAAAATCATGGCCGACTCCGAGACAAGTAGAAGCGACGACCAGGAGATGACCGGTCCCACCACTGCTGGGACCGACTCTGCCAGTAGATGGCGCACTGGCATACTCTACATTCTGCTCGTCGCGGTGATTTGGACTGCAGCAAGCGTTCTGAAACAGTTCATCTTCCATAAGATGGAGTTCAATCACCCATTATTCGTCACCGTCTTCTGCAACGCTTGTTACGCGTTGCAGATTGGGTCTCTCTGGGTCGTTTCCCGCAGAGATAGACGACAGGAAGACTTGAGTAGACTAAGACAGGCGACGTCTGAATCGACTTCCACCTTGGCGCAGCGTGAATTCGTCGATCAGAATCAAGACTGCACCACAAACCGGAGTGGTTCAGCACATGTTGTTCCTGTGAGCAAGATTCACGCTGGCTTGGCTACGGATCTGCGGGAAGAGCTGCTAACCAGTGCAAGCAATAGTGCTAGAAGCGTAGGGAATCTGCATCTTGAGGATGTCGAGATGGCATCAGGAGACGCGGATGCCAGTACTTCTGCCTCGACGTCTACTGGGTTGTTATTACCAGCTGCAGCCGAGGGCCAAGAAGAGAATGAAAGAAACCCAAGAACAAGTCCTCGACGTCGGAGATTTTTTATCGTCGACAAAAACCACCTGCAAAGCGCGTGTGTGATAGCACCCATTTGGTTTTGTGCGCAGTATTCGTATGCAGTGGGCCTCGACTATACCACAGTGACTTCTTCGACGGTTATATCCACCACAAGTTGCGTGCCGACCTTTCTACTCAGCTTGCTGTTCCTCCGGGAACGACCACGATGGACCAAGGTCCTAGGGGTGCTAGCTTGCGTCGCAGGAAATCTCGTTCTGACACTGGGGTTGCCTTTCGCGACTAGAAGTGATCGTTTCTTGGACAGGGAAGTTCTTACAGTGGGCAGTGCCAAAGAACATCAGCCGGAAACACGAGAAAGCCCTGGGCAGCTGCCTTCCGATGAAGGACTGCAAATTGTGCGAAGTGCCATGTCAATTCCACGCGAAATGTTTGGAGACTGGCTCTGCGTGGCGTCCACATGGTTGTACGCATCGTACTGTCTCCTAATCAAACGATGGATCCGTGAGCCGCTACTTTTCTTCAGCTATTTGGGTGTTTTGGTCGCTCTTTTCGGCTTTCCTTTAGCCTATCTTGCAACCCCAGAGGCTTTCAGCGCACTGTTTCAACCAGCAGCAGGCGATACCTCGTCCATTACTCCGACTTCTGCCCCTACAGCCGTTGCCAGTTCCACCACAGCGGCACCACCACGACCACCACCCCCACAACAGGCACCTGATTACGTGCGTTTTTTCCAGTTGCTCGGTTTGCTCTTGCTCAATGGTATCGGCGACAATGTTTTGGCGCAATATTTCTGGGCATGGGGTGTGCTTTATACGAGTCCCACCGTTGCAACAGTAGGGTTGTCCTGCACAGTGCCGCTTTCCATTGCGACGGATGCGATGCGTGGCATCAGTGTGTCACTCGCGCAACTAGTAGCAGCTGTCCTCGTGCTCATTGGGTTTTCCCTATTGTCCTTTCGCGGACAAGACCTTCCTCCAGATGAAGAGGTGGACCGAACTCAAAGGTCAAATCTAGAGACAAGTAGAGAGAGTAGAGAAGATTCGCGCATTGTTAACATCTAATGAAAAACGTATATTATAATCTTTTTTCAGAAAACGATAATGAACGCATCATGTGAAGATTGAAATTGAAAATTATAAGTACAACTAGTGATGAGAATGAAATAAAGCTCCAATTTTGGTTGTTTCGAACAATGAAGGCAATTTCGATTCGTCTACTGACCTGTTAGGGTGACTTAACGATAATTGCTTCAACATCCGCCAGAGTGTTTCGTGTTTGTGTTTTTTTTGCAGGGCTGGGATCTTGGGCACGGGCGGCGATGAATAAAAGATTGCTTTTATATTTCATGAGGACCGGCCGCCGCCCCTCCAGGTCGTCTATCTCTATCTTCTACTCGGTGAGATAATTAGCAAAAGGGCAAGAATGAAAGTGATTACATTGTGTGAAGTACTTGCCAGGTAGAAAGAAGTCGTAAAACGAAAGCTATTAAGTGTCTACTGAGAAAGATAGGAGCGCTGATGAGAAGCGAAATTTCACATGAAAGGTTGTACAACGGTTGTAGCGAAACTTCGAAGCACGAGTAGGCTCCGTGCTAGGCGCAGACAGCGGAGCAGCCGTAGAAGTTAGATTGTAGCAATCTGTTCAAGACCTAAAATATTCCTAATTGTCTCAGTACTGTCATGTAACAGAAGAACGCTTACTACATACTATATTACAAGTGCAACCACTCAAAAAAAAATGGTAGTACAACTAGCGACTTCAACAAGTGCCGCGAGCCGCGCACCGCTGTCACCGGTGAAAGGTTCCTTGCAGCACGTAGCGGCCGACTCATCATGGCGAAAAACGATGCTTGTGTACGACAGACTCAAAGCAGTAGGAGCGCTATTGCAAGGCTCGAGAGCAGATCTCTCGCTGATCGTCTCTCGGCGACTCTTCCGTAATCCGACAGATACGATGATCATCAAGGAAGCGGCGACCTCGATACACAGGGGATACCTCACGCAGGGGTAGGAGATGATTATACTTACTTACTTTGATTCTTCGCAATCGCAGTGCGTTTCTTTGTACGACCAGATGAATCGCTAAAGATGATTATGATATTTTCAAAAGATAACCTTGAAAGAACCTTGTTGATGCTCCACAGTATATCTTCGAATGCATGTCAATTTTCAAATTCTCCACTCTAGAAAGCCGGTGCCGGCAACGGTCGACGTCGACGCCTTTTTAGCGGTTGTGCAGCGCAAGATTTCAGCCTATGCGGAGCGCCGCGGCGCCGCAGCGGTAGAGCGACTGTTTGTCCCTGCAGTGGATCTAGAAAGTTCTGATGGCGGAAATTTTGACGACTCTATCGGAGATATCAAAGACGGCAGAAGAAGTGCTGTGATAGAGCAAAGGTGTGGTGGTGACGTTCCTGGCGAGGTAGAGGGCTTGGCCGAGGCGGGATTAGGATATGACCATAAACATCGGAGGTTGAGTTTATCTTTATTTCGATCAAAGAATATGAATTTTGCCAAAATTTTACCTAGTGAAGATAGTAGTACTTTAACTGAGGAGTAAAAGTCTTCAGCGAAGAATCAATGTACCTACAGAGTTGCCTTTTGGTGAAAAAAGTACAATATGGAGTTGGACAAGAAACGAAAGTCAGTCCTCTTGTCTTAGCACCTCTAAGTACGTCTAGCACCCGATCTGCCTCTTTTCTACGGGGAGCCTCCTGGCGTGGGAAGTCGCTCAACGGGTTCGATTCAGCACCTGTACTCCCTCCATTCGTCAGGAGCACTGAAGAGTGCTTCATCTGCTACTTCAATAGAAGATGCGAATAAGGCTCGCTACCTGTCCGCATTTCGAGACGCCCTTTTGAGTCGAGAGGGGGATGTAGTTCTTGTTGGAAACGAACACGCTCCCGAAATGGAAAAGAGGGATGGACACGAAGCTACTTCTCGAGCAGGTGTTTTTTCACATTCGCAATCCACTCCAGGGCAAGCAGCTGTGAAGCACTTTGTTGAGACTCGTTCAGCTGGGACATCTTCAAAGCTATCTTCCACGCATCCAGCTTCCGCTTCAACATCTTCTAAGGAAAATCAGCAACATGCAGAGAATAATTCCATCGACCACGACGAGGGTCGAAGTAGACCGCGCAGTGCTAGGCGCGCTGCTAGCAGTATCTACACCAAGCAGCGGATTTCGGTTAAGGCTTTCCCCCCTATCCATCTCTATCGGGATCCCTCAACTTCGTATACAAGGGATGCTCTTGAGGCATCTCCAAGGGGATGAATTGGGGATGGATCTAACTCACCTGCATCGAAACCCCATCAAGCAGGGACGACCGAATCTTCTAGTCAGCTTGCTGGTGCGTCCAAATCTTCCTCTTCTTCATCGCAAGTTCAACCTAAAAGAGGCTCTAGCAATGCAGCGGCCACAGCGTGGAAGGAGATCGTTTCTCAGCGAAGTAAAAGGACGTCGTCACTCACTATTATGCCACTCAGTTTAGAGATGAAAACTTTTGTCACCTCTGAATTTGATTGTAGGGTGGGAGTAAAGACATCACATGACTGTTGAGCATCCGAGTCCAGCAGTACTCTCAAGTTTTTAATACTTGATGATGGTGGAACTAGTATGCTGTCCTCTAAGATCCCAGCATCGTCGTTGCGCAATGAAGAAAAAGGATCAGAGCAAGGGACGCAGTTTCGCTCTGCATTACGTACGTCTACTTCTTCAGCTCCTTCTGGCAAAGAGAGAAAAACTCCACTGAAAACGATGAAAGCAAATGCAACTGCGAAATCATCGTCCACCTCAATATCCAAGGGTAATTCGCTAGCCTCAGAACAACACCAGCGTCTGGAGGTGGTTGATGCACAGCGGGGAGTGGTAGAAATAAGAGGAAACGTGGACGGCAACTTTGCAGACAGTTTCTTCTCGGAGTATGCGCAACAGCGCGAAACAGACAGGAAACAAAGACAAGTGGAACATACTGCACGATTATGAGATGAAACTTTCGCAGAATCATTTTTCACCAAACAGCATAGCAGCTTCGATGTTGATCACTACAAATTACCACACTTAATTAATCAAGTACGCGCTTCTTCTTCTTCAATCTTTATGTTTATTGCAAGTCCTAGTCGTAGACCTAGTACTCGCAGTAGCCTTACTCACAAACAATGAAGCAAGTAAGACTATGAATTTCTCTGTACGTTCTTTCATATCCTTCGAGCCGGTTCGATCGTTTGCATACAGGTGAGCAACGGCGCACGCGGTCCTCTGGTATCACGCAGCAACAATTATCTGAACAAGGACCAAAGCCTCGAAATTCAGTAGACCGCAGCCCTGTGAAAAAGATAATGGTTACGAGGAAAGGCCGGCCAGATCTCTACTACGGAATCTTCTCCTCACCTGTGAAAGGGGATGATGCACATAATGGTGCTGGTGGAGGCGGCCAGAGGTATTGTAGTGGAAGTCGATGATGTCCACACAACTACATTAACTGTTATCACACAACACTTAACATGTTATTTGATGTTCCTCTCTGGGAGTGATCATCACTACTGTGTGCTTGTCTGTGGAATCTTGTCACATCGATTCATCCCGCCGGTAGGTGCTGCATACCTATTTGGGATGCACAGAATAGAATAGAAAATCGATATCTGAGGCAACTTCAGGCAACCTGTTCATTCTTCAATCCTAGCTTGAGTCTTTGTTCCGACTTATTTCCAGGTGTATCAATTCGCCCTCTCCATTGGGCTCGCGTTCGGATGCGCAGCCAGAAACGAGGCTGCGGAACTCGAGTATGGAAGATCTTGTAGAGGAATTCCGAGCCTTTCTAGAGCTGCGCACCTCAACAGAAGCAGTGCCAAGTGGATGGCAGACGGTATTTAAGCCAGCACCGCGTAACGGAGAACAAAGAGAGGAGCAGCAAGATCAGGGACGAGACACTTCTAGAGGACAACACCATGTTGAAAGTCTGCGAGCTGGCGATGAGGAGAGTCCAACGAGTCGTGGATATGAGTACTTAGCTGGAAATATTCGCCTTTCTAGAGGGGGATTGCGACAGCAAACTTCACATGATGATGACAAGACGCAGAACCCAGCTGACGAAGCGTTCTGGAACCACGCAACATGCGAAGATGAACAACAAGTTACTAAACAAGGTCGTTTTGCTTCTAGTTCGTCTAATACGGCGGGTGGTGCCGCTGCACCATACACGCCACGCATGTCACCCGATCATGAAGTGCACGTAGAAGAAACGCTAGCGCAGGCAGAGCGGGTGTTAGATTAAGGCTCAAAATATTTCATTTCCTAGGGTCGTTGTCCTCAGTTTCCTTCTTGGGATTCTGAAGAAATGAACTCCGCGAGGCGCGTATGTAGTGAGGCGGACGGTTTTCCGCATGGCAGTAGTCTGCCCCAGCTCCTAAGTTTGACACTTTTAAAGTCGACGGATCTGAATTTTAGCGTATAGATACTATGTATAGGGAACTAGCTCGCCCGTCTGTCGTCGGCAGCTTGTTCTCGGATAAACATGCAAGCCCTTCCCCTTCAGATAGGCCTGGCACTACTTACAAAAAAAAACTCACGGAAGAGATTGAAGAGAATGGCTTTGAGCTCTAATTAGAGGACCGGGAGACTGAGGAGCCTTGGCCAACCGCTTCGTATACCATAGAGGACACAGCCATGCCTAGAGGGGCGTCGCAAGAAGACGGCACTCCAATCGACACTCCAATCGACTCGTTGAAACAGAGGCTGCCACCCTACGCTTTTGGATTTCACGATTATGGAATCAATGTTGGTTGGTCGAGAGGCACTAGAAGTCTTTACTTTCAGTATTACTGATATCCCCTAGAAGTCTTTACTTTCATCAGTATCTATGTCTTACTTAGAGTTAGCATCTTAGATGTTGACGATGAACTTTTTAGTCTCTAGTTTTCTCACCAGTACGTCGTAGTTTGAGCTCCTTGATGTCCGCATCCTCGCTCCCTAACCTCGTCTAACTCAAACGTGTGGCAGACTGTGAAGAGGAGCCCCAAGATATTGAAATGAAAGGCAATGGCAGCGAGGAGATGTCGCGAGAGTCAGGAGCAGTGCAAGAGGTATGAGTTTCTCTGTCGTGATAGATTTAGATAGATGGTTCTCTTGGTATCACAAGATCTAGATCATCTGCTCAGTTGAGGTTGGTTGTGCTATCTCCTCACTAATCATTTTTCCAGTTTGTTTTGTTTTTCCGTTGAATCAACACCATTTATTTTTTTCTCCAGATTTCTGATGGAGCGCCTGACCCAACAACTACCACGACTACCGAGAAAGGCACAATTAGACGGCCAAGACCGCGAAGCCCGCCACCCCCAGACGTGAGCTCGCAATTCCTGGAAGCCACAGGTACGGCCACATCTTCTATGGGCCCTTTGGTGAAGCGCAAGCCAGCGCGGATGGCACTGCTGACGAGAGAAGTGGCGAAACCGGTAGAAGTGTTGCCTTGTGAAAAAAGCAATAGAGCAGAAAAAGATCATGTTGAAGAACGACCTATAGATCCAGTAGTAAAAAACGTAAACGAAGTTCCAGGTTCAGTTCCACCACAAGAGCACGAGCCGAATTCTGACGAAGATTTCATTCTGCAGGATGCAGTACACAATCCTGCGTTCGAGCGCATTCGTGATGGTAAATTTAAGTTCTTCGGCTACAATGATCAATATGCGGACATGATAGCGGAGCATCTTCTGTTCCCAGCACCGGCGAAAGGGCATGGTTCCTTTATCGGAAATGGGAATAGGATAGTTGCAGAGCAGGCGCATGAGGAAACAAATCGCAAAGAACATAAAAACTACAACATCATGGCTTCGCCCTCAGATGGTTCTACTGGAGTGCCGACTAGGATGCCAAGTGGCATCCCAAGTGGCATCCTAGTCGGCACTCCAGTAGAACCACGATCAAGTAGACATGGCGGAAGTACTACAATATCTACGTCGGCTGTTCCAACATCTTCTTCAAGTAGAGGACATGTGTCTGTCGGGAACGGGAACACCGAACTGGACGATGTTGAGGTAAGAACAGAGGACACAAACAGGAAACTTGTTAGTAATATCAGCAAGCAAACAGTGGTCAGTCCGCATTATGTGGTGGAGATGATAGACGACAACGGGAATGATTGTGCTAGTGAAGAGCATCATGGTCTTGGTCATGCTCTTGCTCGCGCAGAAGACCTCACTGGCAGCAACCGTACCGCAAGTAGCCGCGCGCCTCAACTGAACAATACAAATACTTCGCTGAAGCCCAATTACACCAGCAACTACATTAGTAACAATAGAGCGACGAGCAAGTTTGCCGGATTCATCGGGACGAGCAAGGCCACAATGAGTAGTAAGGGCAGCGTCGTAACGATCCGCCGAGATCCTTGGGCTAGCTCTACGGATGTAAGACGAGAAGATTCTGGTAGAAGTATGCTAGATCAGCACAAGAAAGACTCTTCTCCCTTAAACAATGAGGACACCAGTGGTCTTGCGTTACAGTACTCCACAGAATTGAATTTTAGGAAAACATTGCGGGACGATGGACACCATGGTAAACATGGAGGTGGACATGGCGGTAGTGCTCTTATCTCTCCGACCTATGGCTGTGACGGAAAAATGGTGGGAGCAGGACAGCCAGCTGCAACAGCAACTGACTACAACGCCATACTATCGAGATCGCACGATACTTGTACTTCGCCGCCGATTTTCGGTAGCCCTAGGCCCTCACGTCAGAGCAGGAGGCGTAGCGGTATTCAATTCTAAGCACATTCGACGTATTGGCTTTATGTTTTTTTCTCAACATTTTACAGGTCGCCGTGCTGGTCTTCACTCACTAGCAGTTTTTTTTTTGTGCAAGAGAAAAGATACAAACATTGAAGAGCAGTTGTCACCCGATGCAGTGGGTGTTACAGAGATCCGCCGCACCACCGCGGAGGTAGGTAAGCACGTTGCTGAAGAGGATCAGCGCCCTGCAAAACTTCACTACACGACAGCCGCCACCTGTGACAAAGGAAACAGCGGAGGGGTGGCGAGCTTACTAAGAAAGCGCACGCCAATCCCCTTCACCGTAGTAAACGTCCCCGGGATAGATTCGGACGAACAGCAACAGGAACGCTGCCCGAGTGATGACGCCGCCAGGCCGATGCCCCGGCCTCAAGAGCGCAGTCGGCGCCAACTCGTCCCCGGCTGGAGTGATGTAGGATGTACGATAAAACTCAAGACCTCCGCTCCGGGTGGTCTTGTTACTGCTCGAATCTATACCCCGCCAAAGTGCAGGCCTACGCGCCGCACTTCAGAAATGGAAACCCTCACCAAGCAAGCACCCCACGCACCGCAGGAGGCTGAGGCCCCACCTTCATCCCCGGCGGCTTCGGCTTTACTTCGTGGAAGCACCCGAGTGGAATCGGGAAGACGCGTGGCCACTTGTGTGATCTAGGCAGAACTGGGGAGACTGCGCACGGCCACAGATAAGGCGGGGCGGCAGCTCTCCCCCTTTAGCCACGGCCGCTCTGCACCGGAGTCACTTATCGCAACGAAGGAAGGGCGGGAAGTGAAACGATTGAAAATGAAGCGGGTGGAGGCGAGCAGCATGAAAGTGGCGGGGTCGGTGGCTATTAAAAATATGAAGCCCGCCGAAGGTGGTGGAGTCAGCCGCGGGGGCTGGGTCGGCTGGTGAAGTGCGTGGAAGAGCCTCTCTCGGCCTCAGAGGTGAAGAGGGTGCTGTTGCTGACTTTTGGGCAACGAATCTGATGACGGTGGACCCCCAGGAAGACAGCGGCTGGCCAGGGCGGCGATGGCTCGGCGGGGCTTGCTAAACCGCCGCGCCTCACCCGTGGCGGCTAAGGTATGGCCCCACCTTTGCTCGAACAGCACGCGCCACAAGATACCCACTCTGGTGCATCGCGTGGCGCCGCCTATCACTTACACCTGAAGGGGTAAGGCTCTCGCGGAGTGAGTTGAAGGAGTGACTGCGCCGCGCTGTGGAAGAGATGAGATAGCGGACGATGGGCGCAAAAGCAACATCAATTTGCAAGCTCACTCCTCTCCATCCTTTTCTCACTATGTTAACTAACACACAGGCAGCCCACAATGCATCGATCCTACAGAGATGACAGTGACACATGATCTTTAATAACTATGTTTGGCGCCAGGTAGCAACAGTTTACGGTACTCGAAGCGCCGGGATTGGCCTCACCAGCTTCGGTCTGATGACCAGGCATACCGCGAACCGTTTCGTACCGAGTTGCTGCCACAATCCAAATTCGTACCCATAGGTGGGAGCACAAAAGATTCCGTGCTAAGTAGCACCCATGGTTCACTGTGCAAGTCTAGTAGTAGATATTAAAGCTGCCTTGATGTTCTTGAAATCTTGATAGTGGAACTGGAAGTGCAACATCTTCCATATGGATCAACCTAGAACACTTCTAAAAATTAAGATTGTGACTCAACAAAACAAAATGTAATGACCAGACATGAGACGTGAATTTCGAGGAATCTTAGCAAAACGTAATCGAGCAAGATGATAGGATGCGTAGCAGCATTTACCAATTGATAACGCATCACCCTTCTGTGTGACACTATGAATATCAATTTCTATATCGGTTCGACAGAGTAGCCCGGCTTCAAATTTAGATAGTTTATGACGTAGCGAGTATGACTTCAACTGATTCATTGTATGCCTTGCTGCATTCCCTGTGATGGATGGACTTTGATTAAATGACTGACCAAGAGCAAGAGAACTGTATCGCATTAGAACTTATGAAATATGACTCATTGACGCATCATACGGATTCCCGCTTATTCTATTGTGACGTCCGTAACACTAGACAGCTAAAGCGTGCTCCCTTGAATTGTGCTATGTTTAATACTTCTTCTTCTTCTTCTTCTTCTTCATGATGGTGTCAGAGCGAACCATAGAGTAGAAGAAATCAATAAATTTACACTATGGTCATCCGTCGTTTCATCAAGCTTCAGTTTTGTAGTTCTTTTTTTACCGAGTTTAACATTTCTTGGTCAATCAATATCTGGTCACTCGCATTGATGCATCAGTGATGTCCCTGTATATTGTCAATAATCTAACCTAAGTAACCGCATGAAACACATTGAGACTGTTGCTTAGTGATACTCATCGTCATCATGTGTTTGTTCGTCGATATCCACTAGCTATACCATACGTAGAGATGTCATAGGTCGTGTAATAGGTAACTTTTCATCGTCTTGCTGAATATCATGTGCTGACTTTCATTTCGAAAGCCCGCATGTGGTAGGTTGTATTGAGTCACAAAATTTCCACGAGTACCACTGCCGGGTGAACGAACGCAATAAAGCTACGCACCGCAATAAAAGGGAGAAATACACACAGTCCATCTCGCCGAGGAGCACAGCTCCCGCGGCAGAGTCTTACGCATGTAAAAATGAAACAAAGTATTAGATTGCACAAGAACATGCAAGAAGCAAGCAACCGATCGATTTACAAGATTCTGGTCGTCACAATATTCTTCCGTATCTGTTGACTCCTCACGAAGATAATCCCAGTGAAGCTACTTAAGATGATCCCAGTGAAACTAAGAATCGTTATCCTTGCCGGTTTTTTCTCCACCTTCCTGATGCTAATCAAAGATCATGAGGTAGAAGGGCCTTCAGCGAGGAAACCCTTTTCAGAAAGTCAGCACGACTCCAGAAGTAAAGGATCCGGATCCACATCCACTTACTTTGGAAGGAGACGATCCTCCTTCTCCTTCCAGAAGTAAAGGATCCGGATCCGCATCCACAGCTTATTTCGTGACTCCAGGATCAAAAGTCCAGAAGTAAACGATCCGGATCCGCTTATTTCATGTTTTCTACATTGGAGCGCTTTCATTACATACACTATCCCGTCGTGCGGCTGCGGAGTATCGACTCTTAGTCTTAGTCGTGAGTTCTGTCTCATTTCAAGGGGACGATTTTGAGGGGAAGACGAAGAAAGGTGGGAGTCCACTCAACAACCAGGGGACGAAGAAAGGTGGGAAGACGAAGAAAGGTGGGAGTCCACTCAACAACCAGGCATAGTGAAAAACTAGCGTTAAGAAGGTTTGCATCAACGGCGCTCAATCCGCGACTGCGCAGTGGCGTGAGCGCCTGCTTCGGCACAAAGAAAAAGGAAAAGCTCAATCCGTGAAAGTGAAACTGAAAGTAAAGGTGCTACACTGTTCAGTATCGACAGACGGCCTGACAATTTCGGATAGCCACAAAATTATTATTACAGGAGTTCATTCTTGATGTTCATCCGGCGAAGAACAACAGAGGTGCTTCTAGTACAGAGGACGAAACTGGCGTGAGAGCAGACGGACATGGTTCTTGTACAACAGCGCCTTCTGCCGAAAGGAGCATTAATACGAGTACAACTGCTAAGACAAAGACAGTGGAGGCTGCTGCGGTGCAGATTAGTAAGTTGTGCCCAAAAACGTTCCGAATACGAGACGTCCTCAGCACGAAGACCCTGCTACATCTGCGGAAAGAGCTACAGCCGGTCCCTAGGGTGTTGATGAAGTAGTCGCAGCGCGAAATACTTCGTCATGATGCAAGGTAAGTATAACATCCTGATCACGCGGTACTGCTCACACCACGCGCAAGACCGATGTTTAACTGGCGACTGTGATTGTAGGCTTCGTGCTTGAAGGACACTTCTCACCTCGTCCTCCAGATGTCCACATAAACCTACAATTCACAGAAAATGTACAAGAGCAGTTCTACATTACGCCTTTATTTGGAAATTCCCGACTGAAAAAATGACGATTAACTGATGGGCACACTTAGACCTCCACAAAGGAGGTTTAAATCTATTTATGGAGTCCAACCTCACTATAGCGGAATAGCACAACGTGACCATTCTAGTTCCTAAAAAGTAGTAGACTCATTCTCGTATTTCCAGGCTCTTATCGCAAGCTTACCACTTATTAAGTCCACCCTCACTTCTTGTTCTTTTTGAAGACGGAAGGAAAAGCTAAAAGCAAATACTCATGAAGAGAAAGAGATATTAGAAAACAGAGAGGGAGTGTAAGAGGTAAAGCAAGCAACAACCGGTCCGCTGTGGAATGATTTGTGTTGAGGGATGCTAAAATTGTAAGCTTTGGGCTGATGCATACGAAAATAAAATCAAACTGTAGGCCTTCGTCGTGCAGTGTAGCCGCATAAGCTACTCCTTGGATAAGTGGCTTCATGCTAATACTATGCATGGCAAGCCTGGTTCATGAGCAAACGTAGCAAATCGCTATTGCGTCAGCACTCTCTACAAAAACTTCTTCTAACATCAGGTTGCAGTTACATCAACACAACTCGGTAATCGTGTGTGTATCTTCGTGTGCGCTATATTGTAAATACATAGGCAATAAAAGAAGATTTAGATTCTTGATACAACAATACTGAATACTCGTCCTCATTAAGACCATGACTCTTCTCAAGACCATGTTCTTCGGCTACCAATCGAGGACTGCAAGAATTTTTTCATTCACATCCGATTCCTGACAGCACCGACTGCAATTACTGACTGACAGCATCGGTTCCTGACAGCACGTGAGGAACGACGTTATTACGATCTAAGCAAAGCTTTCTCGAAGTCGAACTTCGCACAGTCCTCGCCAACTTCAGTTCCTCCTGTCGTAGTAAAGGGAACCTGACTTCTACGTTTTCTTTCCCTTTCCCACATGCGAAGACCATCATCATGAAGAAAGGGGCGAAGAGCGCTCATCGGGAAAGCAATCTTAAGGCTCATGATGGAAGATGATAATGTGAAACTTTCCGGCATTCTCCCTAAGATTTCCCTGGCGAATTCTCAATCTCATGCTAAACAATTTCAGACCAACATGTTGATCCTCTTCACAGGCGAGACTGTAGTGACTGACATCATTCCTGATCATAGATAACTACTCAACAGACACGACCGCGGACACACAAGGCTCCTGATGAAGAGCCGACTTCAATTTCCTTCTTGGATAAAAGAAATGATTTTGGAGTTGGAGTTGGCGACCTCATGCTCTAAGAATGCGGGGAGATGTGGATGCAACCGACGGACGAATCCCAGTCTCGCAGTTCGCTGCTGCTTAAGGCTCGAACAAAAAGAACCTCGTAGACAAAACAAACTATGTATATAGATATAATACCTCCTTAATACTTGATCTTGATTTGATGTTTCCATTATCGTGCTGAGCTCCTCTAATGTGGTGTCCCACCTGCACTGTCGGCAATTACGATGGCACCGCAACCAAGGCATTTTTAAGGCCTCACTTAATTCATCTTTTGGCCCATCTGTGAACTGTTTTCAAGAAGAAAAACGGAAGCAGATGAGAGGCAAGATGGATTGTAGTGAGCTCTAAGATTCACTGTATCGCTAGCAATTTTGGGGCTCTCCTTGACCTTTGGCTTCGCCGCCCTTATCTTATGGCATTCAGCACAGATCTTTGTGCAGCGAGATTCATTGTATTTCATCGTATTGTATTGAAGTACTCGACGGAGTAGTTAGCAGAAAAGGGAAAAGTAAATTACTAACTTGACGAGTGCTGAGGAAGAAAAAATAAGATCTCGACTTCCATATTGTGTAAGTAAGTAGAAGGACTCACGTGACTGAACAAGCGTAACAAGTGCAAGATTTCTCTCCGACTGTCTGTTTCAGACTTGTTGACCAGGGAGGGCCAGACATGAAGCACATGACGAGGACCATGTGAACCAGCGTCGTTCTTCTACTACCTCAGCTTGGGTATAGTTGTAGGCGCCTGGCTGCTTGGGGGTCGTGTAGTTTAAAAACAGTCCACGCGTTCTTGTTCACAGTTTCCTTTCCGAGTAGACCTGCCTCTTCTAAATACGGTATTTCTCAAGCTTCCTAAACCCTTGGCTGTACAACCATCTTCAGCGTCAACCGATACGGCAGCCGATGTTAAGGACTCAACAGCTGATCTTATGGACTCAACTTTTGTTCATCCTCTACAACTTTTTTCACAACTTTTTTTCTGGACGTATTTATTATTTCCTGATCGTATTTATTATCTATTTCACAACTCTGTTTTTTTCTGTCTTGCCTATGTCGTAGGTATACAAAAAAAAAACACAACACTACGCTTCCAATTTTCCTCATACTGTTATTTGCTGGCAAGAATGAAGAAGAAGGAGAAGATAAAGATGGATGAGATGTGGTTGGCGAGTTAGATAACTCATGAGGAGAGTAGGAAATGACGAGATAACACATGAGGAGAGCAGTTGTCAACACGAGTCTCGATGAAGTTGTGCCTTCTTTTGCGAGGGCGCAGCACATCGCATAGTCTAGGAGTTGGCATGCAGCTAGCCAGTGTTGGACTTCATGGAATGAAAGCTCTT